CCCTTGGGATCTCTCAAGCAGCGTATATTGTTGTGCTTGCTCAAAAAAATAAACCAATGTGTCTGCTCATGGCCGCTCAGCCGTTATTGCCATAGCTGTGGCTTTGCACCCCTCAGTGTAACATGGTTGGGGCAGGGCCATTATTATACCATTGTTGTGGCAGAGTACAATACGTATATTGTATCGCGTAGGAGCAGGTCAGCCAAGTTCCCTGTTGCATATTAGTATTGACACCGCAGTACTATACAACTACACTACATTGACTTGGTCTTAACCCAGGGTTGACAATGTTGGATGGTCACGAGTTTCATTGAATGGTTTGGACTGAGCAAGTCAGAGAAATGTTGTGTTGAATAAAGAGCGGGCTGAAAGCAGCCAGAAAAAAGAAAGGACTACGAATGAGAGTAGTTAAAAGAAAAATAGAAAGCGGAGAAGAGAGAGATTTTAAAGGATTGGAGCCATGGTTGTGATAGTACATGGATCCGATGAGAAAAGAAAAGATTGTAGAAATCCAGAGAATCACAAACTCTGACATATCCCATGGCTGATTCTCACTAGTAATCTTGCTTACACGCTACTGATATTTCCAGTAAAAGTGCTGGGGGTAAGACCTTGGCAAGTGACATTCCATACTCTTGTCGTAAAGTTACATATCCTACTCACATTACTATGGACCATTTTGTAAACAGCATCGAATCGAAGTATATCTGCAGACGATTTGATATACAAATGTCAGGATCAACCATACGATTTCTTTTCTTTTATGCTAATGCTACTAGCGCTGGGGATTTCATGCCCGGTGATAAGCTAAGGGAGGGGTTCTATCAGACTCTTGCTCTCTCTGCCCCTGGCTCACCAGTGATCATAGACAGACTCGAAGCGGCGGAATGGAGATCGTTGTCGACAAGGGCCATCTGAGCATGCCTGGTTACCATGAGTCGTTGCCATTGGTGCATTTCAGCAAGATGCAGTCCTCTAGGTTCAACCCTGCCACATGGCCTGATAATCTAGTTCCTGTTGAACCGGTTCCTTCTCCCAACAAGGCTACTGGAAAGATTAAACTGCTGCATGTTCACGTTGTGCGGTTAAAAGACAACAGTGAGATATCTATTTCAATTAATCTCAGCCATAGTGCTGCAGATTCTATCACTTTTATGACATTCCTCAACTGCTGGGCGGATGAGATGTGTGCACTAGTAGCTGGTGTATCTGTAGCAGAAGTAACCTATTGCTTTGGTGCCGATGTCATCAAGCAACACCTGCTAAGCGAGCGCGCACCCCTCAGTGATGTTGTAGGTCTAGAGCACACGGTGGGTGGTGTAGGGCAAGAGGAAAAGGAAATAAGAAACGAGTAACAAAAAATACCTTTTATATAAATATGCGTGTAATTTTCGTTTATAGTCGGAACAGATATGCGAATAGTAATGAATTGGTCCAAGAATATGCTAGCAGCGTGAGCAAGATATCAATAGAAAGCGACAAAGTCAAGTAATATATTGATGTAAAGAAAGCTAAAGAGAAGTAGGAAGGGAGTGGCGAGCGAAAAGGTTTTATACCATCGCTCAGGTGGCATAGCCAAAAAGGGAGAGGAAAGACAAAGAACAACAGGATGAAAAACTATAGTTCACAGTAATCGGATCTTGAGATTCTAACAAGCTGCTCTGCCTATTCTGGCAGCAATAGCAATGAGGCGACACTGATTTGTGGGGCATACTTGGCCTTGATTGTAGCCAAGCCTTTCCTAATTCACTCCAAGGTCGGGTCAGGGGTCCAGTCCAGCGATGCCTGGACGGTGAAAACAACAGACCTCAGCTACTTTTTCAAAATGATCCAGTGCAACACTTCAGAATGACCGTCGGTTCAGTCTGATTACCGACCCAACAGCCATAGTGAATGCGATTCAGGAGAAATCTATTGCTATTCGACACAATGATCAGTAGACGTTGTAGAATCCTGCCTCGCTACCATCCTGGCCCTCCTGTTCGGCAAACTTGTGATTCTCGCGCTTGTAGCTGAATCTCAGGAGAAGAGCAATGATGATGGCCACCGCAAACACGCCAAAGTTGGACGAGTTACCCTTGATGTAGAGTGGGGCATCGGTGTTCAGATAGGCATAGCTGTTAGCCAGCACTCCAAAGTTGGTGCCGATGATAGCCAATGCATTGGAGATGGCGCTCTTGTCGACACCACGCATGTTTACATTGAGCCAGGTGGGGCCGACCAGGCAGGCAGGGGCAGCAAAAATCGGGAACAGCACGACAGCAACTGTGCGTGCAACATTGTTGTGCACACCAGCCACTGCGATGATGATTGTAGCGGTTGATAGCACGGAGAGGAGGATCTGGTAGAGCGCGATGTTCCCGTACTTGCGAATGTACAGCCCTGACGCAACAGTGACAGCGGTTCCCACACCGCTGGGCACAAGCAGAAGCGCCATGGTAGTCGAGGTGCTGTAGCCGATACTCTTGAGAATAACCGGCGACCAGTTTCCCGCTGAAGACGCAGCATAGTTGTTGGCAAAGTCAAGGGCCATAAAGGCAAGAAGGCGCCAGTCAGTCAGGCCCTGAACGACCTGCCTGCCCGAGATCTTGTGGTCGACGCTTGCCTGCAGTTTGTTCTTGCTCATGATGCGACCAACGAGCTCGCGCTCCTCGTCGCTGAGAAAACTTGCAGTATCCGGATAATCTCTGATAACGATTGCGCCGTATACCCCAGTAAGGATAGCAAAGAGACCAACAAGCAGGTACTGGTACTGCCAAGCATAGGTCGGTGTGTTGGTGTGGATCTTGGCAAAGCCCAGATTGACCAAGTTGTGAATGATGCCGGCAAAGCCACTTGAACTCAGAGCGAATCCAAGGCGGGGAGCCAAGTACTTGCGCGGATACCAGAGACCAAAGGTGAAGTAGAGCGACGAGATAAAGCCTGCCTGAGCGAAGCCCTCAAGTAGACGGATCGCGATCATGCCTTGGAAATTCCGAGCACCCATGGCGCCAACGCTCATGGTGCCAGCAAGAAGAAGCATGGATGGAAGGTGCTTGCGAGCGCCAATCTTGCGGCACAAAAAGTTGAGCGGGATCTGGAAGACCAGGAACGTCGGGTAGAAAAGCGCCATCAGCGTATTGTACTGGGTTCCCTTGAGCTTGAGATGCTTCTCCATGCCGTCCACCTTGCCAAAGACCAGCGCTCCACGATTCAAAAAAACGCCTATATATCCCAGACACAAGAACAGTGCGATCCGAACATCGACCTTGCGCAGGTAGCTCTTCATGATAGCCTCTTCGCTGGCAGTCAGCGCGTCGACAGCTGCAATGCCATCAACTCTGGGTTTTTCGATATCAGAATTCGAACTGCTGGTTTCAGTTGGCGACATGGGTTTGGTGGATTAAGAAAAGATATTGTTGCTTTACAGTCTACACCGTTTCCTCACACCTTGCCATCATGACTCAGCATATATACTTGCTTATTTGCCAAGTGCTCACAAAAGGGTACTGCGGGAAATTACGACATCTGGTGTGCCCATGGCCAATTCCCCATTGATCGAGAGCGGGAATTCTGGCCCCCTCATCCAAGAGGCATGGCCAGAGTAGAGGTGTGCTGCTGGATTTCCGATACAAGCAGGCAGACAAACATGCTGAGTCGGTGCTGATCAACCAGTCGCCATACGGATTTGCGATGGCACCATTAGCTTTTGCTCAACCAGAAACCAGTACGATCTATCTCCACGGTGCTAAACGCGATTCCTTGTCTGGAGCTGCGGTAGGTGTTGTCAGAAAGAGGGTGTGAACAAAGCATTTACATGGCAGACAGCAGCAGCAGGCGGATATACCGTGCAAACCCGAGCTGATTTTGGCAGTGACAAAGGCAAATGCGAAAATGTATGGATGCTATACAAGAGTTACCTGCAATTGCCATTTAAAATTGATGGTATTTCAAACTCTGTTGCCCTAAAGTCATTGTGATCCGTTGGCTGACTCCTCCTTGTTAACATCATCCCAACATTTCGGTTCAAGTTAACACGCAAATGCTCTGTGTATGTCCACGGTGGGGAGAAAAGAGACCGTATATTTACCGAATGTTCCAAAACCACCTACAGAAATATGCCGATGAGCAAGACATAGTAGCTGGTCCCCGTGTCTATTAGAAAGGGAGTCAAATGTAAATCCGGACGACAGTTTGCTCCGTGGTGTCCGTGTGCGATATAGTGTGCATAAAACTTGGTGCTATGGTTTTCTGCGTCAGCTATTTTTATGCAAGCGATAATCAACCTGACAACCTCACTAGTGTCCACCTATTAAATGGTCCTGGCATTGCCAGATGCCGATGGCATCATCGTCATCTCAGTTCAAAGCATGCATTCCTTGCAATCGCGGTGAGATCTAGCTGATCACTGATCCTTCAGTTGTTAATTCTTGGAATCTAGAATAGCAATGGTTCTGCCACACTACTAGCTGTGGCTTGGCTTCCTGCGACCAAACACCAGACTCGTAGCTGGAGACAAACATCTCGCTGATGACAGGAGTGTGGTTGACATGGCGCCCCCCATATGTCTTTCAGTTCGATGAAGAACTGCTCATACTACAAACCGCACCTACGGTGGTATTATCCACGGGCACGCCGCGCTGCCATGCACCAGAGATATTTCGCAGTGTCCAGGCATCAATAAAGCCGTAATGGCATATTTCCTAATCCAGTAGAGTTAACCGCAATAGCTTTCAAACGCCGATTGGCAAAACCTATTCAGCAAGACAAAATCCGCATCATCCCTTTCCTCCCTGTTCTCAATCATTTCTACCTTCTAAATTTCACAGAGATGGCACTTCTTCAAAACGCCTTCACCTATATCGGTATCGGAGTAGTCGCGTACTACGCGTCCCTTCTGCTTACGCTCGCGTACGACGTGTTTGTGCGTTCCGGCGTCAAGCTGGAAAAGTTTGGGGCCGGCAAGGGCTTCTGGGCGGTGGTCACCGGCTGCACTGACGGACTCGGCCGCGAGGCGGCTCTGGAGCTGGCGCGCAAAAAGTTCAACGTGGTTCTGATTTCGCGCTCGCAGGACAAGCTCGACGCGATGGCAGCTGAGATCAGAGCGCTGGGCGTGGAGGCCAAGGTTCTGGCGGTCGACTACTCGAGGGTTGATGACAGCAAGTGGGCAGAGATCCGCTCGCTCCTGGATTCGGTGCGCGTTGGTGTGCTGGTGAACAACGTGGGGATCAGCTACGATTTCCCGATGTACACTGAGGACGTGAGCGAGGAGCGCGTCAACGAGCTGGTGGAGCTGAACGTGCGTGCGATGATCAAGATGACCCGCTTTGTGCTGCCGCAAATGAAGGAGCGCAAGAGCGGCCTGATTCTGAACGCAGGCTCGTTTGCGGCCCTGCTGCCGTCGCCGTTCCTGTCAATCTACTCGGGCACCAAGGGCTTTGTCAAGTACTTCAGCCAGTCGCTGGCGTCGGAGGTGGAGAAGCAGGGCATTGTGGTTGAGCACCTGCAGACGTACTTTGTGTGCTCGCGCATGTCGCGTACGCGCAAGCCGACGTTCCTGATCCCGCTGCCCAAGCCGTACATCCGCAATGTGCTGAGCAAGATCGGCGTGCAGGGCGGCTCGTCTGAGCCGTACACGTCGATTCCGTTCCTGTCGCACGCGCTGCTGGGCTTTGTTGGTGAGCGCGTGGTGTCGAAGCAGATGGCGGTGAACTACAACTACAGCCTGCTGAGCGGGCTGCGCAAGCGTGCGCTGAAGAAGCTCGAAAAGGAGCAAAAGGCGCAGTAGGCATTTTCGTACCGTCGTATATTGAAATACAAACACGCTAGTGCCCCAGCTCTGGCGGCTCCTGGTAGACGAGGAACTGGCCAGACATTGACCGGTCGGCGGTCAGGGCTAGGCTGGCAATCATCTCGCCGGCGGGCTGCAGCTGCTCGCTGTCGATGACATCCTCGACTTCGGCGGGCGTCTCGCTAGTGTCGGCTTTGGTCCTGAGGTCCGGCGTGAGCGTCTCGCGGATGTTTGGATGGACAGCAACCGCTGTGAGCTGCGGGTCGATCAGCGCAATCTCAGCCGTGGTCATGTTGACAGCGGTCTTGACGGCCGCCAGCACAAGCCATCTCTCCAGGCCAACATGGACGTCGTCGGAGCTGACGTTGACCACCCGGCCACGCGCCTTGCGTAGCGTGTGGCGGATCGTATGGAATAGCCGCAGAGGCGCAATCAGGCTCAGCTGGAGCATGTCCCAGCGCTCGACATCCGACATTGGCCCGTCGCTCTCAAAGGTGAAGGCACCGACGTTGTTGACGAATGCTATCAGCTTGCCCTCCTGCTCGACGCGGGCAGCGATCTGGTCGACGAGCTCCTGGCTGGTGAGCTTGCCGACGAAAGGAACGAACTTGCCTGGCAGGTCCTTCAGCTGCAGCATGCTGGTGACCCGGTCCATGCGATGCTGGTACGAGGCGATGCCGATGACGGTGACGCCGCGCTTGAGCAGGTGCACCGCTGTCTCTGTGCCGACCCACGACGGAACACGGGTGACGATGACAACAAGTCTGCGGGCTTCTAGTGGGGCTGACATGGGGTAGTTGGGATATAGGGATGCGGAACAAGAGCAGGACAGCGCCTATTTTTCTGCTGTCTGCGGAAAGTAGCTGGTTTCAGGCCCAGGCGGTCTGGAGTTCCTTTGTCTCGCTATTCCGGCCTCACGTGAGGTTTTTCTCATACACTTTTCGTCTTGAACATTCGCATAAATGCAGCGCATGTCGGCACTGCTCTTCAAGGAGCTCGGCACAGCAGCGCCGGTCAGCCGTCTGGACACCGCCTCGATCGAGCTGATACGCCGGCGCCTGGCCAACGCATCCCAGCGGCAGCGCCCGCTAGTGAACTTCAAATACCGCACGGGCGAGGCAGAGGTCAAAGAAGCCGCAGTCCTGCTCGCCCTCTGCTCGGTCAACAGGCAGCTCTGTGTGCTGTTCGAGGAGCGCAACAACAAGCTCAGCAGCCATAGCGGCGAAGTGTGCTTTGCCGGTGGCAAGGTCGACCCCACCGACAGGTCGTACGAGGACGCGGCGCTGCGGGAGACATACGAGGAGCTGGGCATTGCCAGGGAAGATGTCCGGATCATCGGCTCGCTGCCGCCCGTGCCCAATGTGTCGTATACGATACGCGTGCACCCTGTGGTCGGCGTTGTAGCTGGCGAGCTTGACCCAAGGATGCTGAGGGTGAACCGGTCGGAGGTGCATCGCGCGTTTGCGCTGCCGCTGGCGCACTTCTTTGAGCCAACGAACCGCGAGGCACAGTCGTTCCGGAGCATGGGGGTCCACATTCCCTCGTATGCCAGCGACAAGAAGGGACTGAGGATCTGGGGTATGACCGCGTTTGTGCTGTACGAGTTTCTGCTGCGTATCTGCCAGCCAAAGAACGACACACCAGGGCTGGAGGCGCCCAGGCTTTAGACAACACCGCTCTCCTCTACTCTACTGACTTTTAATGAATTCCACAAACAATTTGACCTACTTGCTAATTGGCGCAGGCACGGCTATTGGCACATACCGTGTGCTGTCGCATATATTCGAGCAGTCCTCCCACGAATTCTGCTCGCTGACAAGTCCGACGGCACCGGCAATGCCGCCGGTGACGCAGCGAGCAAAGCGGCATGCATGGTACGGTTCATGGAGCGACGGTAGCAACAAGGGCATAGACATGCAGGCGCTAGACCTCGACGCCCTGGGCCAGCTGGCCATGTCCAGCAACTACAAATTGCGCACCGCCGCCAGCGACCTGCTGTTTGACCGTGCAATGACCAAGGAAATGCTCCTGCTCATATCCTCCAGGCTGACTGGTGAGGACGCCGACGAGCAGCTAGCAGTGGTAAAGGTTGCTCAGATTCTCGCACAGACCCCGGGACGAAGGCCGCGCATGGCATCGGTGGGCGTTTTGGGTTCTCTGGTAACATGCCTGCGCGAGGGCGGGAGCAAGGAGCTGAGGCAGCGGGCTGCATCGGCCATTTTTGATATCCTGAACCACCACGACGCGAAGCAGGCCGACAAGTTCCGTCGCAAGGCAGCGCATGCCGGGCTGCTGCCGATTCTGCGCGACACCATGGTCAAGGACTCGAACGACGCGTCGGTGAACCTGACGCTGGTCGGGCTGTGCGCCATGATCACGCAGCTCTACGCGTTGCGGACAGCGTTCCACCGCGACATGATCGACCTGGGGTTCCTGCCGGGGCTGCTGGGCGTGGCCAAGAAGGGCATTGCTGATTTGGCGCTGCTGCGCGTCGTCATGGAAAGCATTGTCCGCCTGTGCACCTACCTGAGCACGCATCGCACGTCGCTGACGGACCTGAACGAGCCCAACCCACACATGGTCCAGCTTCTGGAGCAGGGGGCTGTGGACGTCGTTGCTGCGTGCATTCGCCAGGACGACCAGGGCGTGTCCTCGTGGGGCATTGGTCTGCTGCACGAGTTTGTATCGCGCAATGTCGGCAAGGACGAGCTGGCAGCGAGCCCCAATATCGTGCGCTGGCTGTGCCGCAACCTGTCGACGGCAAAGTACGCTTATACGAACCAGCTGATTCTGCGGTCGCTGTGGTGCCTGTGCCTCGCCAGCAAGGCAGCGCATGCCGACCTGGCGCAGCCGCCGAACCTGCGCCGTGTGCTGACCATCTTCTCCATGGATGGCGACGTCGAATCGCACTACTGGGCCATCGCGCTTGTCAGCAAGGTTTCCGCCTCCAGCGCGACGCACAAGTGGATTCTGGGCAGCCCGTTCTCCAAGGTCATTATAGCGCTGGTCAACAACATGGGCCGCAGCTTCCGTACCACGCTGCTGCCCGAGCTATCAGCCATCATCGCCCGGCTGACCCACTGCATTGATACAGCGCCGCTGCTGGCAAGATACCCAGAACTGGCGCGCGCGTGCAAGATGCTGTTAGCAGCAGAGATCCCGTCGGCCAAGTCGTCGGCCATCATGTCCATCATCAATGCCACCGCGACGTCGCATCAGTTTATGAGGCTGGTTGCCGACGCTGAAGCGGTCGAGATACTGATGGACATGATGGCGGACAACAGCGAGGAGCAGTCGCAGAACTACGCAGCCAAGGGGCTGACGGCGCTTTTGTACTCGAGGCGGCTCGATACCGAGTCGCTGGTTGATGCCAGCCGGCTGTTCTTGGCCAGCCTGAATGAGAGCTACAAGATCACAATCGACGCATACTTCCGGCATAGCAGCTGGCGCGACCCAGTCGAGTGGGGCGCAAAAACCTTTGGCCTGTACCTGTCCACGGCCAGCGTGCTCATGTCGCCTATCCAGGTTCTGGTCAGCGAGGCCGGTACAGATGATGTGCGGGTACTCGATACGCTGGCTGAGATCATGACGCTGCAAAAGAACCTGCTGGCATTTCTGGCCATCTATATAATGCACGCGCTGGATCTGGGCAGGTCGTCGGAGCGCTCGGCGAGCTTGTGGAGCGACATGCCGCCTGAGCTGCTGCTGGCGCTCTGTGCTGAGATCAAAACGAGGAGAGGCCGCGAGGAGTGCGCAAGAGTCGGTGTCAATACTGTAGTCACGGCGTATTACATCAACCGCAAGAGCGACCCGCACTTTTGCGCTGCAGTCGCAGATAACACTAGGCTATTGCGCAATGACGATTTGACACCATTCGTTCTGCCGACTCCAAAGCAGGAGCCGGCACCGTGGACTGCTGGCGGCAGCATGGCGTGGCCAAAGTCGAATGGCGGGTTTGAAGGCGAGATGGCCAGTGCGCGCATGCGGTGCTTGATTCCAGTGATGTCTGCTGTGGTGTGCACGCTGGCAGACTCGCTGGCTGTGGGTCTTGTGGTGCAGTCCCCGGTGGTGACGCAGCGCGCGGTCTGGCTCGCTCGCATCATCTACCAGGACTTCCCCCTAATGCGCGGTATCATCATGCGTCTGTGCGCCACCATTAACCTAGACACGCTCAATTCTGTGGATGCTGCCAGTGTACTGGCAATGTGCCAGGACTTTGTCATGCATGGAAGCAGGTTTGACGAGGTGGCACACAACAGGGACGGCAATGAGGATGAGGACTGGCGCTCATGGCTGGCCAAGATCTCGCACATGGGGCTGAGCGACGAAGCCGACTTGCTGCCAGTCGAATATTTCATCAAGCACCCCGAGATCAAGCCCTCGCAGGTTGCAGAGCTTGGCCGGTTTTATGCCCAGTACGCCCTAGACCGGTACGTGGCGGGCTGGGACTCGTGTCTGAGGGTTTTCCGTGGGATTGCGCCGCCATGCGCAACGGCCACGCCCGAGTCGTGCTGGGCCGCCGATCGGTCCGGACCCCGCGGAGAACCAAAGGACCAGTGCGACGATGTCCGTGCGATGGCCCAGGTTGCCAGCACGAGCAATAGCGCGCTGGTGCGGATCAATAGACCGCCGTCGCCGTTCCCGACCGTTGCGTCGGTGATAGCCAGCCCAGCAGAAATGGCTGTTGCTACGCCCAAGCCATCAGCGTCTGCGTTGCCAGCGGGCCCCGTGTTCACAACACAGGACCCGTTCTACCCGTGCTTCGAGGTTCTGGCTAATGGGCGCACGGTCTGGAACGCAAGCCCTAAATTCGAGTCCGTCCGCATGCGCACGGGTATTGACGGGCGCCAGGGCGGCGTCCACCGCTTCTCGGCAAGGCTGCTGACCGGCGGGCTGGTCCAAATTGGGTGGTGCACCGAGCACTGCGTGTTCTACCCGGAGAGCGGGCAGGGCGTTGGCGACGACTATGAGTCTGTTGCGTATGACGGATCCAGATGCCGCAAGTGGTTCGGTATTGCCGAGGAGAATGAGTACGGCGAAGCCTGGGATGCGGGAGACGTTGTCTGCGTCGAGCTCGACCTGGACCTGGACCGGGTGGTGTTCTATCGAAACGGGCACTCCATGGGCGTTGCATTCGGGGTCAACGAGTTTGGCACCATGGAAGGCGCTTCCTGTGGATTCCAGGGCCTGCCAAAGGACCGGATCTGGTACCCAGCGGCATCGCTGGCGACGGCCCAGGGCATCGAGTTCCTCGGGATGGAGGCGACAAGTGTGCCGCCAGCACCGGCCCAGCCGCCAATTGGCGATGCCCTCAAGGCGTTCAGGATCAAGATCGAGTTTGAGGACCTGGACTCGTTCCCTTACATTACACTGGCGCTTCCTGGAAGCCACGGTCAGATCATCGTGGCCCCGGTGGTGGATCCGCGCGACCTGTCGACCTACTTGCAGCCGCAGTGGTGGGCCCTCTGGGTTCCGCCCAAAGACAGCATTGCCGGGGAAAGAGCTGACGAGCCGGCATCCAGGCTGTCGCGCTGGTTTGCGCACCAAGTGACCGGGGCCATGGCGGCCACGGCTGACGGCGAGCAGTGCCACGGAGCAGTGCTTGGCACCAGCCCAGAGTGGACATGCTTTGCGGTCCTGCGCAGCGGCAATGTATGTGTGTCTGCTGGAGAGACACAGGTGGTCCTGGACACCGGCATGCAAGACGATGCCCTGAGCACCATGGGCCATGTGTGGCTGCCCAAGGTCAGCAGCGCCATCGTGCGGTTCGAGCTCCATACTATGTGATCGGAGTTCTAAGCTATATTTGCCCCAACCGCAAAGCCGCTGAAATTCAGAAATGCTCGCCTCACAGCATATTCCTCACTCTTCTCCCTGTCCGCCTTTTGCAACAATGTTCAAAAAGTTCAACCTGCAGGAGACCATGTCTGGCCAGAACTCGGTCAAGTCGTCGGTGGTCCGCGGCATCCGCACCAAGCTGGTCGACCAGTTCCCGGAGCTCGGCCCGTATGTCGACGAGATCCTGCCCAAGAAGGCCAACCTCATCCAGGTCAAATGCAAGGACCACATCACGCTCTTCGCCATCGACAACGAGATCCTGTTCTTCCAGCACTTCAACGACCCGATCACGCCCACGCTCCGCCTGCTGCACCAGTTCCCGAACATCCTGCCGCACGTGCAGGTTGACAGAGGCGCCATCAAGTTTGTGCTCAGCGGCGCCAACATCATGTGTCCGGGCCTGACATCGCCCGGGGCAAAGCTGCCGGAGAAGTCGCTGCCCGTGGACACAGTCGTGGCCGTTATGGCCGAGGGCAAGGAGCATGCGCTGGCGATTGGCGTGCTGAAGATGTCGACCGACGAAATCAAGACCATCAACAAGGGCATTGGAGTCGACCTGATCCAGTACCTCAGCGACCCGCTGTGGAAGACGCACCTGGACTAGGCTAAATAGGATTCTTTTTATATCGGAAACACGTCTAAACCCCACGCTCACACTCTATTTACTTGGTGTGGACGAACGGCAGCTTGCCCGCACGGTAGACAAAGTTGTTCTTGTACGATTTCGGCTTAATCTGCCTGAACTTTGGCTCCTTGATCGTGTACCCCCACCCCTGCTTCTCGGCAAAGTGCACGGCGTCCTCCTTGGTGCTGAAATCCAGCTTCACCGACGCCATCGCGTCGGCAGTCGACTGCCAGCCCATCAGCTGGTTCTCCCACCTGTCGCCCTTGGACAGTGCGTCAAAGTCGATGCGCCAGCGGAGGTTCGAGTTGCGTCCGGACTGCATCGGGTTCACCGCCGGGCGGTAGATGTGCACTGTGCGCTTGGTCACCTCGGCGGGGGCGCCAGAGAGCACCTCTGCCGGCAGCGGCTCCTTCTGATGCGCCGGGTGGATTTCAGTCATGGCATTGCCCGTGGCGGTGCTGCTGAGACGAACGCCGACAGCCCTTGGCACCGAGACCTTTGAGAACGCGCGAATCATTGTAGCTTGGAAAATGAGCAAGTACTGCTGTGTCAAAAGGAAAATGAAGAAAAAAAAAAGAGTGCCGAAATTGGAGCCACTTGTGACGGGGCCAGCAATTCCGACACGCTTGCCTTTATCTCCCATCTAAATCAATCACCGGATGTGATCATCCCGACACGTGAGCAGGGCCGGGCTTTTGTTGTTGTAGTCGCCTCATTGCGGGAAAACAATGGCTAAGTACGCCTAAGGAATCGGCTGAGGTCGCCCTGGACCTTGCGAGCGACGCGCCGTGGGGATCGGCGACATTGCCCGTCGACAATAGCACATCCCGCCGCACCACCCGTGCGGGGAACGGTCCTGGCACTCTCCATGCAGCGTGTGTTTCCACCAGGGCTGAACTTCCCTTTACTGCCTGCCAGTGATCGTCCCTGACTACTATTCGGCGTCCTTCAGCGGATTCACATTCTGGGTCGTGCAGCCGCTTCCCGGGTTGTTTTTCTCTTCCTACTCAGCCCTTTGGCAAAAATACTTTTCTCACCTAATATTATTATTCTTCATATCCCTTGTTACACCCGTCCCTGACCACCGGGAACACACAGCACATACTGGACATAAACATGGAGCCACAGGGGCACCGCAAACACGGCCGCGACATATCGAACCTGCTGGACCCGTCCAAGGTCCCTGGCTCCAGCTTCTACGCAGCCTCGAACGGCACCGACCTGGGCGTGCAGGCGATATTCGCGGGCTCCATGTTCATACTGTTCATCACGCTGTTCAGTATTCTGCGGCTACGGTGGCCGTTTATTTTCTCACCGCGCACACGATTGACGATTACAGCACCGCCGTTCCTGTCACCCAAATTTTTTGGCTGGTTCATGGCGACAATGCGCACGCCCGAGACGCATATTCTGAACACGGTGGGGCTGGATTCGGTCATTTTCCTGCGCTTCTACAAAATGTGCATGCGACTTTTGCTGGACGTGGCCTTCCTTTCCCTGGTGATCATCTGGCCGATCAACATCCGCTGGTCAAAGGTCAACCTCGGCACAACCGCGAGCACTGTCACCGACGACGGATCGACGGTCTCAGCGCCGCACGCAGTTACCGACTATCTGTTCAATCTGACGCTTAATACCCGGGACCCGAAACAGAAGTGGAATCTGATCCCGCATATCGTGTTTGCGTACATTTTCTCCGGACTCGCGTACTACCACCTCTCGCGGTTCAGCTCGCGGTGGGCGTCGCTGCGGTGGCATTTCCTGATGTGCTCCAGGCACGCCATGGTGTCCCGCACAGTCATGCTGACCGGCGTGCCAAGACACTTGGCGAGCAGCCCACGTGAGCTCGAGTGGTTCTGGGGGCCCGGTCTCAGACTGGGCAAAATCGAACGGGTCCGAGTGTGCCCGTTCAACACCAAGCTGACCAGCGGGCTGCGCGAGCGGGCGCAGTACTTGCTGAAGCTGGAGCACGCGATCAAGGCAGTCCTGGGCAACCCGTGCGTGCACCCAGAGTATGACCCGGAGCGTCTCAAGGCACTGATAATGGACCCATCCGAGCAGGCGCGCGCAGAGGCAAACCAGCTGCTGCTAAAGTGGGCCAAGCCGTCGCGCAAAACGAAAATACGGAAGCTGCGTCGCCGGGATGCTTTGCCAACGACAAAAATCGAGATCTCGGAAGTCGACGACAGTCCCACCGACTTCCGAGCAAGCGCAACAGTCACCGCATCGCATTTCGTCGCCAGCTGCGCGCGCGGCGTGCATTTTGCCGACTCGGGCGAGTATTTCCGCGGACCATCGCAGTCAGCCTCAGCCACCCCGCACGACGTCACGGTCGAGGAGGTCGAGGATAACGCTGCGGATGACTCGGATGTGGCGTGGGCGCTGCGGAGACCGAAAATCTGGGTGAAGGCCAAGAACCACTGGTGGCAGCCGTGGAAGCATGTCGATGCAATCGACTACTGGCGCGCAAAGTTTCTAGAGTCAGACAAGTGTTTCCGCGAGCTGCGACGCACGATCGGCCGCGAGCGCGACGAGGTCGGCCGGTCCACCACGGCATTTGTGACATTCGAGGATGCGGCATCGGCGCACATGGTCACCCAGCTGTCGTGCTATCCAAACCCTGGGTACATGAAGGCCAGGCTGGCACCCGAGCCCCGTGGCGTGTACTGGCCGAACGTGTGGATCTCGAACCGGCGCAAGTGGGCGCTATTCACAGCCAAGTGGTTTATCATTTTTGTTATCTGGGCGTTCTGGTGCGCGCCGGTCATCCTGGTTTCGTCGCTACTGACGCCAACTACGCTGCAAAAGGTGTGGCCGTCGCTAGATCTTGACAACAGCAAAATCCTGCGCTCTCTGCTCTCGACGACTGTGCCATCGGTCTTCCTGCTGCTGTTCCTCAACATGCTGCCGTGGATCCTGAAGCAGGTGCATTTCTTTACGGGCGTGCGGACCAAGCCCGACATCGACTATTCGGTGCTGACCAAAATGTGGGCGTTCCTGGTGTTCAACGTCATCCTGGTGTTTGGCTTCTCGGGCACGTTCTGGGAGCAGATCCTCGATGTGGTAAACAACCCCGGCACGGTCATGCAGAGCCTTGCAACCAACATCCCCAAGGTCGGTACGTTCTTCACTGGCTACATCCTGGTGCTTGGCATCGGCTACCAGCCATTCAAGCTGCTGCAGCTGAGGCCCGTGATCTGGCACATTGGCCGGCAGTGGCTATGCAATACGCCGCGCGACTATGCACGGCTGGTGTCGCCTGTCTATATTGACTGGTACTCGGTATACCCGTACCCGCTGATGGTTTTCGCAATTGCCATGATCTACTCGACATTCTCGCCGCCTGTGGTTGTCGGTGCGGTCATCTACTTTGTAATTGGCTACCCGGTCATGAAGTACCTGCTGCTGTACGTCTACTTCCATCCGTTCGAGACCGCTGGCATGGTGTGGCCGCGTGTATGTCGCCGCATGATCTTCTCAATCATCATTTACCAGGTGGTCATGATGACATTTGTCATTGTCAAGGGCGGCGGCTGGTACACGTTCAGCATGGTGCCGCTGATAATGCTGTATCTGTGGTTCTTTTACCTGTGCGGATGGTCGCTGGAAAAGCAAGGCACGGTGTTGCCTGTGTATTTGTGGCGGAACCCGCCGCCCAACAGCTCGTACCCGCTGCCGCCTGAGACCGACGAGCAGGCGGTGTTCGATTCAGAAAAGATGCGGTCCAGTCAATCAATCGATTCGCCATGGCCACAGCGCAAACAGTCCACAACCCCGCTTGCAGGCAACCGCCGGCCGAACAAGCAGCTGAATGTACGCAAGCTGAATGTCTCGGTCGCCCAGCGTCAGATAGCAGCCTCAGGGCATCGCCGCGAGTCAAGCCGCAGCGCACGTACACGCGATATTATCCTGTCCAGGACTACCCCGGCCGATCATAACGGTGCGGCTTCTGGAAGTAGCCCAGTGAGCCAGCGTCGCCGCCGCGGGTCAAGCACCGGCAACCTGAGTCGTGCGACTCCTCGGCAGGCTGCCAAGATGCGCAAGCCGTCGTCGACGGCACTGATGTCCCAGCAGCGCATTGCGAAGAAGCGCAGGCGTAAGTACAAGAGCCTGGCGGAGGCGGCCACCACCGAGGGATCCAGGCTGCTGATATCCCTGACGAGACTGCCAGCCGAGCTGCATTCGCGGTATAGCTCGGCAAACCAGTCCAAGCAGCAGAACATCGGGAGGCAGGGCGAGGAGTCGAAGCGGTGGTCAATGAGCCTGCTCAACCCGTTCTCCAAAGACGACTCGAGCGGTGCGAGCCAGGGGCTGCTAGAGTCGGAGAGCAATGACGATTTCGGAGACAACCCGCCGGCTCTGCAGCGTGTACCAGCTGACAGCGGAGCAGATGTCAACTTCGCAGTCGCCCAGAGTAAGGCAGCGCAGCTTGGCCAAGCTCCTCTTTCTGTGCGCACGGTCCGGTCTCCGTTAGCCATGCCGCCAGTCCGCCGCCAGCTGTCGTCGGCTGCTGCCGGAAAGAAGCCTAGTATGCTGCGCCAGGAAGTGCGTATCGGCAGTCAGCGCCGGCAGCGCGACATGGAGGACGGCAATGAGAGTGGGGAGTGGTCTGATGTGGAGAGCGAGAGCGAGGACAGCAGCGACCAGCAGCACAAACCACAGATGACGACGGCAGCAATGACGTACCCGGCCAGTGCATCGCAGCCAGGGCAGACAACCGCGGCTCTGCACGACGATTGGGATCCGCTAGTGTATCTGAAGCAGCAGCCGTCTGCCGATATCCCTGCGGTACGGAATGCCGGCACGCTGGGCACGTTGCTGAACTCAGTGCCAAATCACCACTTGGACCAGCCAGGCAGTTCGTCCCTGCGCCGCCGCCGCCCGTACAATAGCGGTCGGTCCGACTCAGTATCAACTACCGACAATATTCAGGGCTACCAGTCAGATACCGAGAGCGCCCAGGGCGTTGAGCGAGCGCGTGCCTATGCTGATTCTCTGGCGCCGACCGAGGGAGCTGGCTTCGGCACCCGCGCCAAGGGCACGCTGCAGCGTATCCGTGACTACTTCTTGGCTGACTTCCGCCCGGCCCGGCCGATCCTGGATCTGACATACGACAAGCTATATACGCAGGGCGATGAAGAGCGGGAGCGCAATGAGGCCGCATTAGCTGACAGCCTGCCGCAGTTCCGCGAGCTCCTTGGCCGTGTCCTGCCGCGCTCCATGTCTCGCAACTTTGTGCAGTCTCCGACTGCCAGCAGCCAGCAGCATCCGACCAGCGTCCACACCCCGGCACACGGCGAGACTCCAACTGGACCAAAGCATGTGCGCAGCGGCTCGGTTATTACGCCGCTCGGCGAGAACGCTTACATAAACACGCTACGCGGGTTTAGCCCATGGTCTGCAGCTTCGGCTGGCGAAAGCGTGTATAACACGGCGCCGCCAGCACGCGGGTCGCTGGGCCCGGCGTTTGGGAAGCGGATTTCCAGCCATTCGCGGTCGCAGTCGGCTGCTGTGCCTATGCCTCTGATGCGTGGTCTGACTACGCCCATCAGCCGCACCAGCACATCGCCACAGATCAGCGAAAACAACAAGTCACTGGCCCAGGTGGTCGACGGATTTTCAAATGCGGTCAAGACAGACAACAGCCAGGATCCGCAGCCAGCAGAGTCTCCCAGGCCCCTGTCATCGCATGCGCGCAGCAAGTCGGTCCACGCCCTGATGGGCATCTTCATGCGCAAACCGTCGACGGCCGACAAGCCGCGCAGCGCACTGGCTGAATCCGCGGCCCCGCTGATCTCTGCTGCCCCGGCCGAGCCCAGCCTTCCCCCGCTGTCCAAGCAGGCGTGGCTGCCGCTGAGCGCTCGTGAGCACCCGCACGAGCCCAACACTTCGGCCCACGGCTCGGCGGGCACGGGCAGCCTGAATTGGCCACCCAGGCTGTCTCGCGAGCCATCGAGCATCGGATCAGCGCAGTCGGGAGTCAGGTCGACGCACAAGAACTCGCTGCCACCGCCGCGCATCCAGCTGACCACGCGCATGGTCACCGAGCTCAACTACCCGACACGCCGCACCGCGACGGCGTCAGTTGCGCCCTATCTGCTGCCGCCCCGGGCCGACCCGAATGGCGACCAGCTGATCGCCAACTACCAGCGCTTTGCGGTCGAAGCCCAGTCGAGATTCGCTGCGGACGAGTTCACCGACTATTCACAGACACCAATGCTCAATGTCTTTGGCGTGCTGGACCGTGGCATCCAGGACTATGTGCATCCCGGCCTTGTTGGCGAACTGCCGACGCTGTGGCTGCCGGAGAAGAAGCGTGATTCGCATGAGGGCGAGGAGGCGCCTGAGCCCGAACACAGCGAAGGCGGAGTTCCGGACGCTGCGGTAGAGCCAGAGTTCGCTGCATCGGCTCCCCAGTGGGTCGTGAATCGGCTGCTCAGTTACCGTATGCCGATGGCCAACCCCAACGCCAATGGCAACGCCAACGAGGGCCAGTTCTATCCGTCCGCTGCGGACCACGAAGAGTTGCGTGAGGTGCGCATCCAGCAGGACCACTGATGCGCTGGGGCTCCGGCCTGTTTCTTACAAATTCTGTATATTTGCGGTTCGACCTTTATATAATTGTTATGTCGGCGTTCGGCGCTTTTTTTTGGTACTGGTGTCGTATGGTGCCGGTTCCCTTTTCTTTTACTAATATCTGGTGACTAAATTGCCCGGCTACCCAACAGTGGTCCGATAAAGCGATTAGCCTGGAATGGTATATGACGAAATTCCCCGCTCACTGTTGGTCTGTTCCCTAAAATTTACTTCAGATCCTTCTGGATTCAAAGTATCCCCTGTTCTCACACACCCACAATTTCAAAGTACGTTGGTAATCGTTCCGGGATGTGCATATCGCCAGAATGCACTGAGACTTGGAACTCTCATTGGGGCAGTTTGTGACTGAATAGTGTATTGCTATTTAAAAACCCATCAACAAACAACAAGAAAGGGGTCAGCCACAGTGGCATGCTCTTGCCTACAATGGCTGCCCCTGCTGGATGACATTTGGACAAGCGCAATATATAAAGGCATGGCTTGCAGCCGATGCTGCTGCTTCTTCATTCCCACTTTATTCCTCTGGCAATTCCTTGTCTTTCTGCCAACTACTTGCTTTTTCGGGCACTCTTTCATTATGTGGAATCTGAATGCGAGCTCTGTCAAGGGCGTCTCCGTCAAACTCATCACCCCGCAGGTGGCAATTGTTGAAAGCTGCGGCGACTACGGCAATGTTCTTGCCGGTGATGTATCGTGGGACATTGCGTCATCTACCCATATCAAATCCATCGAAGTTGAGGTCTCTGGCCGCTACAGAGCCGAGTGGGTCGAAGGTGTCGGGCCCAGCCGCATGCAGCACTGTGTCGACAAGCCAGTTTTCCAAGAGACGCAAACACTCGCGCCATTTCAGCCGGCAACGGGCGTGACCGGCCACATGCCTGCGGCCCCCGCATACCAGCTGGAGAAGTCAGCCACCGATGCATTAATGGCACATGGTCGGTATTGCCTGCCCTTCCAGCTGCAGCTGCCCGACTGGCTGCCGCCCAGCATTGCCACCCACGTTGGCCAGATCGAGTACACGGTTGTGGCTCGGATCAAGTCGGCTGCGCGCTACAACTCGGTTGTTTCCAGCGACAAGCAGCCGCTGACAATTGTGCGCCAGCTGGCGAAATCCGACGAGCTCGAGCGCGCAGCCGTGTACTGGCACAAACTCGAAAGCACTGGCCGTGTGGGTGTGCTGGTGAACTCGCGCACAGCCAGCGTCGGCGATAACCTGCTGGTCGGCCTGCAGTTTGACAATATCGACCGGCGGACATTCAGCTCAATTGATGCGTCTGCCAAACTTGTTGAGACCATACTATACAAGTCGCCCTGCGGCCATCGCAGCAAATCGGTTACGCGCACCGTCGGCTCATTTAATGACATCGTGGGTGCAGATCAACTGTCGGTTGAGAAGCTGCGGCTGAGGATCCCCAACAGCACTAGGGTCGACTGCCAGTCGGCCCATGTCTCGGTGCGCCATGTCCTGCAGGTGTCGCTGAAGATGCGCGAGCACGGAAAGCAGCAGGCAGCTACCGGCGAGTTCACCGCTGACATTCAGGTTCTGCCTAATCCATCCTCCCTGGCGCTGCCATCGTACACATCCGTAAACCACGATATGCTGATGTAAGATACTGCTCCGCAGGTGATCGTTAGTCTGCTGCCTGCTCCAGACTTCCCACCCCATAGACTTTCTCCACACATTGCCATGCATAGCCCTTTTACCTGTAATTAAGCATAAAACTCAAGCGCACTATCTCTATGGCCACATGGCTGCTGTATTTCAGCAATGTCGAACATCACGGTTTTTGGCCCATGGCCCTAGTGTCATACCCCCTCGACTCTGACGCGAATTGCGCTGTATGCACCCTCACCATGTCGCCAGGCATTGCCTGTTTTTGTTCCTGATTGCTGCAAATATTGCCTATTGTTTCCTGTTACCCAATGTTTCTCAGCTACTTCCTCACAACTGCCGCTCTGTCAATTGGCGCTCTCGGTGCCCAAGTCACCCACGACTGGACAATCTCTGAGATCCCGGTCAATCTCGATGGCAAGCACCCACGCACAGCTATTGGAGTAAATGGCCAGATGACAGTGCCGGTTGTGCGTGCTCAGCTGGGAGACACGCTCGTGCTGCGTGTGCACAACAAGCTGGATGAACCAACTGGGCTACACTCGCATGGCATATTCAACAACGGCACCAACTACTATGATGGAGCCGGTGGCATTACCGAGTGTGGAGTCGCACCCAAGTCCACTTTTGACTACCGTATTCCGCTGGTGCAGACTGGCACATACTGGCTACATGGACATCACGGCAGCCAGTACATGAATGGATTGCGTGGGCCGCTGATTATCACAGATCCCAACGGCGAGCCGTACGACTACGACGAGGACATTGTGGTTGCCATGGAGGACTTTTTCCCGCAAACATCGCACATGACCATGGCTGGCGAGCCTGACATGCACAAAATGAACTCGACCGGCATGGGGATGGGGATGGCGGACCGCCAAACCAACCAGCTCCCGCTGCGCGACAAGATAAAGGTACCAGAAGACAAGTACCCGATCCCTCTGATTAACGGCCAGTCCACCCTCAAGCACCAGAATCTGCGCTTCACGCCCGGCCGCACGTACCGCATCCGTCTGCTCAATATTGGATCCACCATGATGTTCCGCTTCGGCATCGAGGGGCACGACCTGCATATAATCGAGGTAGATGGCCTGGCAACCAAGCCGCGCACTGTCAGTAGCGTCGAGGTCGCTGTTGCGCAGCGTGTCTCGGTGCTAGTTACCGCCAAACCGCAGGCTAGCCACAACTACCGGTACCACATTGAGCAGTTCTCGGACATTTTCCCCGAGGTTAGCGGATTCAACCCGAACCACCAGGAGGGCCTAGTTTTGTATAGCAGAAATGCACCCACCAGGCGCTGCCGTGACATCACCTGGGAGCATTTTGAAGACATGAAGCTTACCCCACTGGATATGCTGCCACTGATGACACCAGACGTACGCCACGATATCACGCTGACTGCCAACCGCGTCGATAACGAAATCACCGGCATGTTCATCAACAATATTTCGTTTGCGCTGCCTGCTGTGCCAAGCATGTTCACAGCACTTGCTGCGCGCGGCCAGATGACCACAAAGACATTCCCGCGCAACTCAAACGTGCACGTTCTCGGGCATTTGCATGTGCTTGAGCTGCGCATATTTAACCACGATATCGTGCGTCACCCAATGCACATGCACGGCCATTTCTTCCAGATCGTCGAACAAGGCGTTATTGGCAAGCCAGAGACTGCAGTGCGCTCTGGCCGCTACCCAATGCGCCGCGATACAGCAGTGGTCCCGCCTGGCCACTACATGACGATGAGGTTCCGCGCCGACAACCCGGGCGTGTGGATGTTCCATTGCCATATCGACAAGCACGCAGCCAGCGGGCTGACTATGCTGTTTGCGTGCGCACCCGAGGTCATGAACGAGCGTATCAAGGTCCCAAACTCTGTTGTTGATCACTGCCACATGATGGGCATTGATGTTTGAACAAGTACATATCTTCATTCGTTGTTTATTTTTAAGCATTGTCTAGTTTGTCAAGCACCAGTGGAATATATAGTCTGCCTGCATCTGCTAGCTGCCTGTCCGCTGCTTCATAAGACCAGCATACAGTTTGTGGGGGAGAGAGAAGTCACAGGGCTGGATCTGCTCGATGTCGCTTTCGTCGTCCGCTTCCACGTCCTGCTCATCGTCCGACTGCTGCATTGGTGGGGACGAGGATGGATGGTACATGGGCGGATCGATATTGGGTAACCGCGATGCCTGGACAAGCAGCTGCTCCAAAACTATAGACGTAGAGTGTGCCAGACGTCGCTCGCCCGATGTGAGCAATCCCTCTGCTGGCCCCTCCCCGGCTACTTGGCCCTCGTTCGCTCCCTCTGCTTCCACACCAGCGCCTGGTTGAGGAGATCCAGATCGGGTAGATGGCGGGCCAACAGCCGGTGATGCCCGCCCACTCCTCACCCGCGCCTCCTGGAACCCGGCTGAATCGAGCAATGATGCCAGCTCCTTGCGCATACCGATTCGCTGTCGCTTGTGCATGTTTGCTGTCGGTGCATTCTCAAGCTTCTTTAGTGTTTCGTTGATCAGCAACGACTCGTCGTGCTCAACAGTCGGTGTCGCTGCTATCGGTGTCGCGCAGCTGTCTATATTTGCATGCAGTTTTGGCGTTCGTCCTGACTCTTCCTGCCAGCGCGCGTACTGATAGAGCTCGACCTCCCGAGTGCGCACGCGTTTTTCTACGTATTCTGGCTTGCGGTGCAAGTGCTGGTAGTGGGCGTCGCTAGTATCCTCCTCTTGGCCATCAGCGCCCAGTGCTGTTTGCTTCTGCTGCTGTTGCCGCATCCGCCTTCGCCGTAGCACTGCTGCTGCAGGGCTATCGTCGATGTTTTCGCCAGCAGTTGGTGCCTCGTCTATGACCTCAAACAGAGGCAGCTTGTTTTTGATATACAGAGGCTCATCGCCTTCTGCTGCCTCAACCACCGGGTGATATACCAAGCCTGGCGGCAGGCGTCTGCGCTGACAGTGATCGGGCAGCGTCGAGCAGGGACCGGTAATGAGCACCAGGCTCTCTAAATTGAATACATCCACGTTGTGTGCGCCGTCATTGCTGTCCATTTGAAACGAAAATGAAAACAAGTCGCGAATTTAAAGTCGAAAGAACCACAAACTGGTTGAAAAACAGACTTCGATCAGCCCCTACCCATCAGGACATCACGTGCTCGTACGCAGATGCATCCCTGGGAGAAGTGTAAACCATGGAATGCAAAGCTAGGATCCATACCGCACTTTGGCGCTGTGGTTACGGAAACATGTGTGACAGGTAAAGCAGTGCTAAAGCAGGACCCAGTGACACTCCAAAAGACTTCCTTCTCTTCTTTGTCGCCTTATAACCCTGCTTCTAACCTTGCATCTTTATCTTCACACAGATGCAAATGTACCACACTACCATAGACATACAGGCTATACTCACACATTGCAACTTAGGCGCAACTTGCGTATAATGTTGCGCATGTTCTTGCATATGCTCTTGCTGTAGTTAAAGGTGTCAGACAGCTGACAGAACGCCTGGTTCCGTGGCTGGAATTGACTCTCACCGAGCCTATCAGCAACAGAGCAGATATAGCCGATGCCTGGGTCAAAGCCAAGGATGTGTGAGAGCATCTCCTTGCCTTCGGGTCTTGCCAGAACCCTTCCGGTCAGTAGCACCCGTCCACTGCAGCAGCAGACAGACTCGGATAAGATTGGCCAGTCTGCTGCGTACTTCGAATGTGTCAGCAATCGCAGAGCTGGTCGCTCTTGACCTTGCGCCTTTTTCTCGATGCAGAGTCAAAAACAGCTGATATCTTTACCTATATCTTTACCTATATATAAGATTTTACTAGGCAGGCACCTGAGGGCTCACTGCTTGCGCCAATGTCTATTTCATCGGGAACACCCGCTAGGCCACGACCAACACCTTCGTCACTGAGTGCAGCACTTTGGTTTTGTTTGTTTCTTTGATATCATTACAAAAAAGGAGCACAGAATCTATATCCGGGCATCATGTGTGCTCATGGCTGGAGCCACGCCCATAGTCTAGCTGTTCTTGTACTTGTGCTGCGGGGTGCGGCGGATATAGTGCTTGTCCTGCAACCGAGTCACGCCAGTGTAGACGCCAAAGCCGACCATAGTCGTGATGACAGCAATAAGAGGGAGGGCATCCTGGGTGACAGGGACGCCAGCGACCTTGAAGAACGTGCGGCTCAGCATTGTGTGTAGTTGTGTGTGAAGAGAGAAAATGTAAGTGAGAATTGACGGAAGATGTTTGTTGTCCTGAGCAAACAGTCTTGTTCAGCTCCACCCTGCTGGCCTTTTATCTAAATCCCGTGTGCCTTGGAGGCGGCGTGGTCCAGTATGCTTATCGTATGGTGCTGCTGAGTGCCAGCACCTCATGTACTGGCCGACAACAGTAGGAAAATAAAGACTGTTGATTCGGACAACACCACTCGACAAAATATGTAAAGTGGGGTGGGGTGGAAAAGGTGCATCAGTAAATGGCGTGAGCCTCTAAAAAAGGAGCAAAAAAAATGCAGTCCGAGAATCGCCCTTTACCATGGGGTGACTTTGTGACCGCGGGCCGCCGTCTCACGAACCCGGAGCTTTGTCTCCGACGCTTCACGCAGGAGTAACTGACAAAAGGGTGGTCAATTTCAACTGTCCGTTTATTGGTGGGAGGAAAAGGGACTCGAGTTACTGATACAGTCATATAGCAGGCTAGTGCTCGCCAGAGCTGGATGTGTTCTTGTATGCGTGTCTCGGACGGGTGCGGATGTAGTGGGGGTCGTTGAGACGGGTGAAGCCGTGGATGATGCCGTACGTGCATCCCGCGGCCGTCACAGCGAGCAGCGGGGCAGCCTCACGGGTAAAAGGCACCTGAAGGAACTTGAACATCACCTTGCCAATTTTGTTGCCAGCCATGGTTTATACCAGTCGACGATGTGAGTGTAGGGAAGTGGAAGCTTGTAGAGGAAAAAAGCAGTCAAAACAGAGACACAAAAGGGACACGCGGCCTGCTTTTGTGCAGCAGCCTCCCGCCGCTCATTTATACCTGGCCCACGCCGTGACGTGGAGGCGTTTAGAAAGGAGGAGGGGAGAGGTTCTGAGACAGCTGAAGCAGTAGCAGCAGCGAGCAATGGCCACATGAGCCCAAGCCGCATATGAGCGATTTCCAAAGTGCAGCTCTGCTAAAACTCCCCGAAAGGGAAAACAGGCAGCACATGACCGAATCTCCAGATTAGATGATCAGCGCCATGATCGCTGGCGGTTTGGCTCGGGGGTTTGGACCGCCAGGCAAAGACGCCGCTGCTTTTTGTTTATATCCTGAAGATCGCGCAGTATCAAATACTCGGATAGAGTCTAGAACGTTGCCGAAGTGAGGGATATGTACTGCCACAATGGTGCAACGCACGCGCCCACACAAGCCCGACAGAGACATACACTCCCAACCACAGCGGCTGACAAAAAAGTTCCCCCCAGCTCTCCTTCCTCCTTCCTCTCCCCGCGTTATAGTTCATTAATACTAACATCTCCATTGCCCAGAAATTGAACATGTCCTCGTCGTACCAGTTTCCCCAGGCAAATAAAAGCGCCTACGACACAGATGGCGCTGAAGGGTATCTCGAGCCAGTGCGGATCAGCTCGGCAACGCCTGCGCCGCACCAGCCCTCCGTCGACATCACGGCTATGGGGGAACCCGAATACCGACCGTATGCAGGCTCCTACAGCGCAGCGCCAGCGGGAAATGTGCAGAACGATCAAGAAAAGAGCCGCGCAACTAGCAAAGACCACAAGCGGTCGATGTCAAAGGGCAACGAGTTTGCCGATGATGGCGACATGTTGGGAATAGCCGAGATGTCGCATCTTAGGGCATGTCGTCTATGCACATACTTGATGATCCGGATTCTCCAGATTGTGCTGGCAATCGCATGTCTCGGGCTCATGGCCAACTCGCGCACTGTAGGTAGCCAAGTGTCAGCACGACAAGTACTGTGAACAGAAATGGGAGCCATACACTAACCAACTGCTATGATGTAGAAGGCCGGAAGTGACCTGGGTGGCATTGTGCCTAACACGACGATTGTGTTTTACGTGGTAGGCGGTGTCACAGCGGTGGTGGCAGCAGTGTCGATTGCGCTGAATCTGTTCAGGAGGACACGGGTGTATATCCGCACGTCGCGGCTCGAATGGTCGTCGCTGGTGCTCAACTCGCTGATATTTGCAATGTGGATGATCTTGGTGCTGATTGACGTCGTCGCTGTCGACTGCTCAACCAAGGACGGTGGGTCGTGGTGCAAAAAAATGAAGGTTGGGCTGGCCATGGCACTGATATCCGCCATGCTGTCGCTCATCGTCGTGGTTCACAGCTTGAGTGTGCTTATCCGCGGAAAGAATTTCATAAAGGCTTAGAGAAAATAAAAACACGACTAGTGCTGGACCGCCATCAGCGAGCCAATGAATGTCAGGATCATCTTGGGCTTGACCTCGACGATATCCTCGGGCAGGAGGAAGATGGTTGCGCCCAGCTTGCGCGCAATCGAGATGGCGTACTTTGCGTTCATCTTCTGGTCATCCTCGTTCTGGCCTGCGGTGACCAGCTGCGGGTCGACGATTCCAGGCTTCATGCCATTCACAACGTCGAGCAGGAAGCGGCCGGTAGCCAGCGACGAGTCGCTGAACGACCTGATGGGCGCCGCAGTCCCGCTCTTGGCAGCGGTCTGGTTGGCCCAGCTGACCATGTCGCGGTCTGTGACCTCTCGGCCGCCATTGGCAGAGAGCGAGGCTAGGGTCTGGATGATGTTGGCACGCATCAGCTGCCACACAAGGGCCAGCACCAGCGTCGGTGTGCCATCGGTGATGTCGGCGCCCTGGATACCGACGAGTGAGAAGCGGTGGGCCTTGCCCATGTCGACAATCATGTTGGTGTTCTCGAGCTGCTTGAACCGCATCAGCGGGCGGCGGTTGTTGACACGCTTCCAGTTGACAGAGCCAGGGAAGATCTTGTCGAATGCCTGCAGCAGCACCAGTCCGTCCTTGACGTCCTCAAACAGATAGTTGACGAACGGGTCGACGTTGAGGCTGTTGAGCCACAGCGCAAAGGCACGCGCCTCGCGGTCGTACTGCATGTCGTCTAGGAAATCGTCGAGCTCGGCATGGTCCACCTCCTGGTCGAGCGGGGCCAGGCACGGGTGTGTGTTGAACAGCAGTGCAACGAAGGCCAGGTTGAGCTTCGGGTTACCGTTAACAATGGTCTTGGGGCTGACGTAGCGGCGGCACCCAATGCGCTCAGCACCCTGCAGCATAAGCTCGGCGCGCTTCATGGGGTCAGTCTCCTGCAGCGGCGCGCGGTTGCACTGCTCGGGCACCAGCTGGCTTAGCAGAACCGTGTAGTTCTCGCTGTCCTTGATGTCGCCGCTAAAGTTGGACACACGGCGGTGGGACCCTGCTGCCGCCAGGTGGTAGTTGAACCAGCGCAGCAGGATGGCGTCGGCCGGCAGCTTCAAAAAGTCCTCGAGCGTCTCGCCGTCCTCGAGCAGGCGGTACAGCTCCGGGTGCAGCTTGATGTCGATGTTTGCGAACAGACCAATCTTGATGATCTGCCAGATCAGGCCCAGAATCAGGTGCTCGCGGCCCTCAGCCAGGTCCTGCGAGCCAATGTTGACGACGCTGCAGCCGATGGCCTTGGCCGAGTTGATGACCACGTTGTTGTTCTCGGTGACCTGGAACGGCGACAGCTTGCGGCCGCGGTTCAGCACGCGCTCGTCGATGGTGTCCGGCGACGAGTAGTTGATCAGCTTGGAGAGGATGAGGCCGTCGCGGCATTCGTCAAACAGCTGCATTGTGTTTGGGTCGATAGGCAGGCGGTACCCAATGTCGCTGTCGCCGTTCAGCGCAAAGTTGATGTGGTTCGTGAACTCCTCGCTCTCGTCCTCGTTGATCGTGTGCGCCGAGCTGGCGTTCTCCCGCGACTTCAAGATAGTGCGCTTCTCGTATGCCCGGTTGCTGGTGATTCCTTCGAATGCCTGCGCGGCCTTCTTGGCCCCGGCACCGCCGGCCTGGTCGCCCTCACGAAGCAGGGCAACAATCTAGTAGCACCTTCGTGTTAGCGAAACAATACTGCTATGCATGGCGTGCTTGAGCATCATATCACTCCAATCCACCACTTACCTCAACAAACTCGTCCAGCTCCACCACGTCGGGCCGGCTAACCTCCACACGCTTCAGCGCTCCGCGGATTTCATCGTACTGGCGCTCGGGCTCAATGCTCTGCACCGCCTTGACCAGGCTGCGCTGGTTCAGGCCATTGTTGGCGTCCAGGTCCAGAGAGCTACATACGAAGGCGCGTCAGTATCCACGCAATCTGCTGCACCCGCGAAATCAGCATTCCCCAAATACATACCTGAACTTCTGGACGATGGTCTCGATGTCCCACGGCTTCAGCACCGGGTGCTTCTTTGAGAGTCGCTGAATGTCCAAATTCGACATTTTGGTTGATGAAAAATTGGCAAAAGAAAGAGTGTCGGAAAAGTAAAAGCAAGAGGAATGACGGCGAGATATGGTGCGGCAAGATGCCTGCTGGTGGCCCTAACCCCATGTATTCAACAAGTGACGAGTCCTCACAGACTGTTCCTTTTTCCACCATCGTGATTTTCTCGTCGCGTTCCAGGCATGGGCTATTTCATGCCAAGACATTGGCGCCTAGAACACACCCGCTACGGCTGCGGCGGCCCTGCCCTTGGCCGCGGTAAGAGTGTAGCTAGGCTCCGGCACTCCTTGCTGACGCTGTCTCTGAAAGGGAACCGGCGGACACACGGCGCCGGTTCTCAGACGCGTGCCGTGATTCCCGCCTATGCTGATCTAGGAACCTTAATCAGGACACGGAATCGTTCCGCAGCGCTGGTTGTCTAATTATGCCTCCTTTTTGCTGTTCTAGCTACATTGTTTCGATCCCGTTTGTTTTGATTGTCTTTTTGTAATGGAGGAATGCAGCGAATTGCGACGGTACGAGCTCGAAGCCATGGAAGCAGTCTACGCTGAGGACTGCACCATTGACTATGAACGCAGCAAGGGGACAGTTTGCATTAAGCTTGCTGAGGACCTCTGTGAAACAGCTACTAGAAACAGCTTTGGCAGGGCCATTCACCACCTGCCGCCAGTGCAGCTCAGCTTCACTCTGCCGAGCCTCTATCCGTTGCAGTGCCCGCCGGAGATCAAGGTAGCTTGCGACTGGCTGACTCCAGAGTCGCTTGTAAGCATCACACAGCTCCTGAACACGATCTGGTCTGAAGATGGCGGCAGTGGTGTTCTGGACATAATGGTCAGCTCGGTCCGATATGATCTCGATGCAGCCAATCTCCAGGTCTTGCCTGAATCACTAGACAGGATCATGTCGTTTGACAAGCTCAAGGAGAAGGAGGATTTTGAGTCGCACACCTATCCATGCATGATCTGCATGGAAAAACAGTCAGGCAAGCATTGCGTTAGACTATCATGCTCGCATATACACTGTCGCCAATGCATGGCTGGGTATCTGGGCATGCTAATCGACGAAGGGAGCGTGGTTTCGCTACGGTGTCCACACCCAGACTGCCGCAAGCCCAGCTCGTCATCACGGATCACAGCCGAGGAGCTCGAGGATCTGGTGGATGCAGCACATGTCCTGCGATACAAGGATCTTTTGGACAAGCGGCGAGTCGAAATAGACGGTGGGTACGCGTGGTGTCCGCGGCAAGGGTGCGGTAGAGCCGCTAAGCGCGACTCCTCGGTCGACAAGCTCTGCGTGTGCTCGTGCAGGTTTGCGTTCTGTCTCATGTGTAGCAGCGTGTGGCATGGCACAAACTACTGCAAGGTGAACAACCAGCAGGTGATTGTCAACAAGTACAGGGCGGCGCTAGAGTCAAATCCAGATGCGGTGAGGCAGATGGAGAGGCAGTACGGCAAAACTGTGCTGGCCCGCATGCTGAAGGCGGTGCTGGAAGAAGAGGAGACCATGGAGTTTATCCGCAGCTCCACGCAGCAATGCCCGTCATGCTCTTTGGCAATAGCAAAGTCGTATGGATGCAACCATATGGTTTGCTCGCACTGCAACACACATTTCTGCTACCTGTGCGGTGCGTTCATTGACAAGGGCGACCCGTTCATCCATTTCAACGACAAGGGGTCAAAGTGCCACATGCGCCTGTTTGAGGGTATCGTAGAGGACGAACAGACTGCAGAGGATGCAGAGGATGCGGACGAGGCAGAGGCTAACCTGCTCATCAACATGGCTTTAGGCGACGACTAGGAATATTTTTAGATTCACAAGCTGTTCGCTCCAACCAAAATAGATATGCCAACCATGAGGCGCAAAAGGCTATTGTTGAACTAGGACCAAGCGTTGGCAACTTTCAAAAGGCGCATGTGGCCATCTGTGAACTGCGATTCAAGCAGTTGCACACTGGTATATAACGCAGCACGGTATTCGGGCGAGAACAGGTCCTTTGCCGTATGTCCTTTGGAACCCCAGCCACTGCACATATAATGAGCGCATCACGTCAGCCTCGCTTTCGGATAGAAATCATCAACGTTTCTGACATGGACAGCCCGAGCCCCGATGAAAGCCGTTCCAATTCGCCTTTGCCGACCACCGCAAATCAAGGAGATTTTAGGAGTCTGAGCACACTTGTAGAAACACTCGACTCCTTGATTCATACCGCGAACACGAAAGCCATGGAGATCCGCCGACGTACGTCCATCTTGGTTCAAGAACTACCAAACATTCCTACTGATGCTGACTTGGACTCGGCGGAGCTGGAAAATGAAGTCGAAGCATTTTTGACGCTGCGTCAGCAAATTAAGCAAAAAATGGAAACCCTCAATAACGCAATGGACAGTTGTGTTGCTGGGGCTATGGATGAGTATAGGCTTGAGAGACGGCGCATACTGGAGGTGCAGGAAAGACTAAAGAGGGCTCAGGAGATGGATCGACAGAGGCGGGGAGGGAGGCGTACGGTTATTGTTGGCGAGCAGAGGCAAAGAAATCTAAGGATGCTCTGCGACTACATCGCAAGTCTCGCGCTGTCAGACGGTAACAATACGGAATCGCCGAGCTGAGGTCTGACTTGGAAGGGATGCATGGGGCAATTATTTTCCGCGCAAGCTAATCGTGGACGGGGTGCCACCTGGCCAATGTACATTTCGCTCACATGTATAAAACCGCGGCCATCCTGGCGCTGACATGGCTTACTATCGACATATTCCAAATAGTAGTTCATTTCCATCAGACTGCCATTACTTTTTTATATTTCCGACCATGTCGTCCAAGGTGTCTTCCATATCCGAGTTGAAAATACATGCGGTAGACTCTACAGATTCTCTAGTCATCAACTCGCTTCCAGACTCTGACTCTGGTGTGATACCCTCGGTTGGAACATCAAAATATAAGCCTGGCCGCACCAAGCTCCACGCCTATAACAAGAAACAGCGCTCTATTGCGAAATTGCGGATGCGTACAGCGAGAACCAAAGCGTTTTTCTACGAGCAAGAACAGAAGCTGAAATGCCGGATGAGTCAAGTCGAGGCCCAGGAACGAGCCTTGCGCACCAAGACAAATGACCTTGTTGTCAAGCTCGCCAAAGCAGATAGTCTAAAGACCGAGTACGACGAGCATGCAAAACGGCTTGAGCGCAACAGAGATACAATGGCCGACCTAGTCCATCGCACCGACGAGCTAGTCCAGGTACACAAGACGGTTAAGGCTCATGTGGTGAGTCGCATCAACGAGCTCACAAACACGTACAAGGTCATTGAGGACACCGACATTGAGGCCAGCAGTGTCAATACCACCCGCTCCAGCTTACCTAAATCTGCAATTTCCTTAGCAAGGACAGCAGATAAGCTCAACATCCACCCGACCGTCACCAGGATTATAGCCGGGCTGAAGGACGTGAAGATTTTCAGCTACCCCGAATACGCCGAGCTCCAGAAAAGGCTGGAAGATAGCGAGTCTCGTCTTTCTGTGCTCGTAACCGAGAATGCCCGTCTCAGCCGCATCATCGTCGCCCTCGAGATCCCCAACGAGGATGCGTTCCAAAAGCTCGAGGCTGAATGCAGCATGGTGCTGGACCTGCAAAAGAAGGAGCACGAAGAGGAGATGGAGCAGCTCAAGAGGGAATGCGATCAAAAAGTCGAGGATTTCTGTGTTCTGGCCAGAGACGCCAAGGCAGCTGCGTTTGATAGATACAGGTACCACATCCGCATCCTTGAAGATAACGTGCGGGATTTGAGCAAGAGACGCGAAGAGAAGGCTGACAATGGTCCTGTAGCTCCCCGGCGGGTGATGGCTGTTCAGTCTGGCCAGGCTGCTCTGACTGTCCGGACTGTTCCATCTACTCCATCCACTCCATCTGCTCCATCTGCTCCACCTGCTCCACCTGCTTTGGCGACTACGGGTCGCCAAGCTACACCACCTGTTCAAGCTACTGCGTGTGCACAGGCGTTTCCAAAGGTGCAGACGTCATCAGGCCAGTCACCCCCCAAGGCAGTGCAAACTGTGTCTCAGCCTCGTCAGGCTGTGCGTAAACTATCTGCCTGGGCAAATTCAGCTGCTCCTCATGTGAAGACCATGCGGCTAGCTCGATCCAGACCATCTGCGCAGCCTGATCACGCTGCTCAGCAGAGTAAGGATCAGTTTGGAAGAACATCTATGCATGCAAAAGTTACTGGCTACGACGAGGAGTTCGACGCATATGAAGTGAAGATGCTATTGGCAGAGTCTGCTGATTCTATGAACAAGTGCCCGCCCCCTCATGAGTCCATGTACTATGACGAGACTGGGGAGCTTTTTACTCGTCCTGACTGGAAGCGTGCTACCAAGTTGTACTTTAGAAGGCTCGTCGGCAGGTTCTTGTCCTGCTAAAGTTTGAAAAATATAGCTACTCATGCCGTTCTTCGCATTTGTTGGGATTTTATTCTAAAGCGATGAGTTTAAGACATTTGAGCCACAGCCTGTGCATTCAAATAACTGAGCCAGATACCTATATAAAGCGACTACATTCTGGGACGGTACCTGCAAAAAGATCTATCAGTATATCTATTCCTCACTTTCTCTAAGCGAAAAGTACAAAGTTTCCAATGGCTGTGTAAGTTCATGACAACAAGACCCAGGACCAGAGTAGCAAAGCGAACATTGCTACCAGTCAGCAAATCGGTGACCAACATCTTGAATGGCTTACCAACCCGGGCAAATCTCAAGCACGCATGTGTGACAAAAGTAAAGCGCATGAGCCTGGAAGACATGCCTTTTCTCGTAAAAGATCGAGACAAGAGCACTCAGAAACACAACAGGAATGACTCGCAGCAGAGCGCAAGCCCGCTGGTTCACTCAATCGCAAAATTTCAGCAAAAGCAGGAGATCGCTCAGGCCAGGGTTAAGTACAAACCGCAGAGGAGCACACCAGCTAATGTCCACAAGTCATTGAACAATGAGTGGTGCCGAAAGGTGATGGCACTCGTCAGACGTCCCATATATCTAAAGTCAAAATATATAGTTTTGTAGGACAGGATCTCGATTGCTTTTATGGATTTTGCACGAGGTCAACTTGCCAAAATGGTATAAAAGGGAGGTGGATAGCGGCGAATATACCAGCAAAAGATCCAATAATCACTGTCGCCACCGTCCAACTGCCAACTACCTTTTGAATCATGTATGCGACAAATATCTTACGAGACGCATGCTGTCCACTCAGTAAATTATGTCCGTGCGGCGGAGAGCCAACATGCCTTTGCTGCTCTGGGACCTGATACATACCAAATTGAATAAATTCCAGGCAGAGGCTGAAAACCATGCTACAGGTGTCAGCATTTGCCTAACCAGCAGTGATCAAGCTAGACAGTGGTCTGTGTCCAATGCCACAGGGTGCTTTTCAGAGTACCAGCCCAAAGGCGCAGTTTAAAATCTCGCCCTCGCAAAGAAACTCCAAGAGCAAGCTGATGAGTCCACGCAAAAGCTGGGCAAAAAGGACAAGGAAATCGCAAAGAGCGCTGCCCGAGCTCTGAAGCTGGGTGGAGAACACAGAGCTAACAGAGAGAATCCGACAGGTTGAGCAAAGACTGGGATACTCCATTAGACCCAGCGACGACTACAAGAAGCAGTGCCGAGAAATAACGGCAGAAAATGACACCGCAAAGTGCGGGCTGGAGAACCAGCACCTGAAGCAGAGAATTCACGAGGGGGTGTCTAGAGGCTGGCGGAGTCGAGGGAGCAGGGGCAGCAGTACAGCAGGCACCACGAGGATGCACAGGCAGCAATGGAAATCCAAACTCAGCAGCAGCACGCCATGCACAAGCAGATTGAGCAGCCTTCCAGTCAAATCGCAGCTCTGATATGTACCCACCAGGGGCTAGAGCAGAGATGCAAGGCGGCCCAACAAGAGAGCAGCCGCCATGCCCCGCTCCCGCTAGATCAAATAGACAGCCGTCAGCTGGGGAGCGGGAGGCGTCAGGCAGGATTGCTGTGGGTGAACCCGTAGCGGTCTAGAAAGAAGGGGGTCCAATTTTGATGAAACAAAGTCAGACTAGCCTATGCGCAGTGTATTGGAGGAGTTTCGCAAGGGGGATCTAGATCGGAGCAGAACCAGAGCCGGGAAGCATTGACTCGGTGCAGGACCCGCGTATCATGTGGACAGGACAACAGCGGAGATATGGTGCGATAGGAAACAGGAAACCATGCGATGAGCGCAACAGGTCGGGATGTCAACATTGGGCAATAGATGATGCGAGATGGCAACCAACTTGTGAATAAAAAAAGCATGATGCAAATATATGCAGAAGAGCAAAGTGATGCCCTCCCTAGCCCCAGATAACATGCTTTCCAAACGATGCCAGGACTGGCTGGCAAGGGAGTGAAGGCTTTGGAAACCATGTTTGATGGACACAGCGTCATGTGGGAGGGAGGGCTAGTTCCTGAGTCGCCATTAAAACAGCCCGCGGCCTTGCGATTCGTGGGTATGTGGCCGATAGCATTCACAGTGTCTGATTTCAATTCAGCGCACTGGCCGCCTCCTTGTATTTCGCCACTCTCACATGGGGTTGTCTGCTCCGAGACAGGGGAGATTCGGGGGTTCGTGGATTGAAAATCTGTAGGACTGAGGAGAGTTGCCAAGAGGCAAGGAATTTCCATACGGGGCATTCTGGCAACAAGGCCAGAGATCCGGGTTGCTCGGGAGGGGACTATGGATTTTTTCTGCCAAGCGACAAAGACAAAAATCCGCACACGAAGCTGGGGGAGTTTTAATGAATCCTTAAGAAACTTTTGACCTCTTATCGGAGGAGACTATAAAACAGAAGTGGACTGGTCAGCTTGCCAGGCCGTTTCGTTTTCCCCTTTGACTCCACAGCCTATTTTTTTAGTAGTCTTTCTAACCTACACGCACTGCTTCTTGCAATACCTCCTCTCCAGCCCTAGTATTTTTTTTATTGGCATGCCTTATTCTGTCCAGTCTGCTGTCGCATCTTCCTCACCCGCAGACTACCGATAGAACCCAGTTTTCCGTATATCAGCCCAAGCTTATTATTTTCAGAAATGCTTATAAGGCAAGCGATTACAGCACGCATCCCGCAGCGCCTGCCTGCTACACTGCATCTGGGCACCCGGACCGGTGCTCGCAAGCTGAGCCAGGACGCAGCGCATGCCCCCGCAACCGTGCCGATGGAGCCGCTAGGGACGCGCAACGGACGTCTGCAGCGCGAGCGCGAGCTGATCCTGAGCGTGCTGAGCTCGGTGCCGAGCCCGCGCGAGACACGCAAGTTCCTGAACAGCGTGCAGGCAAGCGAGACGATGCGCAGCCAGCGGCAGTTTGCCGAGCGGCAGGCGCAATTGACGGTCGAAAGGCCCCAAGGCAGTATGATTCATGGAGAGCTTCTGCAGCAGACGCGCATGGAGCCCGAGCTGACCACAGAGGTGCCTAGACGGCTGACAGCGGCGGTGTTTGTGGACGGACTGTCGGACCAGTATGCGTATGAGCGGGCGGGCAAGCTCCTTGCGCAGATCCAGCGGCTGGGTGTGACGCCGATTGTGCTGGTGGCCGATGAGGACGCGGACGGGTACCGGGACGTGATCAAACGGGTGCATCGGCTGGCGGATGCGATTGAGCGGGAGGCGGGGCGTGCACGGCCGCTGAACGAAGGCGTGTTTTACTCGAACCCATACACGGACTCGCAGCTGTCGGTGGACCCGGAGCTGATCGGCTCGGCAATTGCGCAGAACCAGATCCCGTTGATCTCGCCGCTGGTGGCCGACGCCAAGCTCCAGCTACAGGTCCTAGGCATCTCCAGTGCGGCGCCGGCCCTGGCCCGAGCCCTGGCATCATCGACGTCGGCGCATTCCCCGATGGCCGGCACGCGTGGTGATTTCTCGCTGCTGCTGGCGCGGCTGATATTCCTGGGCAGACACGACGGTGTGGACGCCAGAGGGTTCCAGCGGTTCGTCAATCTGGAAGCTGACTACGAGAAAGTCTACAGCGAGTGCCTGCAGAAAGACACTTTGGCGCTGATGCGCCAGTGCCTGGGGATCTTCCCGCCGACAGCCGCTGGCATTGTCGCGTCGGTGTACTCGGATCCAGCATTGGTCATGAAGGGCTTGATTTCCGAGAAGCCCGTCAGCGCACAGCACCGCAATGCCGCACGAAAGGTGAAGCTGACCGAGAGGAAAATGTCGGGCACGCCGCTGTATACGCCGCTGGCCAATTACCCGTTTGTCAAGATCGGCGAGGACCGTCCAGCGCCGGCAGCGGCTGCACCCAAGCGGCCAACGCAGTTTACTTTGCTGCGCCACGGCTTCCAAATCCAAAGCCACACCGACCTCTCCACATGTGATCTTCCGCGGCTCCGCCAGCTGCTGGAGGATTCGTTCAAGCGCACACTCAATGCCAGTGCATATTTCTCGCGCCTGCAGGAGCTCTCGCAGCATGGCGGGATCCGCATTATTGTGGCGGGCAACTACCAGGGCGCCGTAATAGTCACCAAGGAACCATTAGGGAACGGCAGGTATTTGGCGTACCTGGACAAGTTTGCTGTAGCGCCGACGGTGCAGGGGACGGGCATGGCGGATATTCTGTGGGCGCAGCTGCAGAGCGCCTGTCCCGAGTGCCTGTGGAGGTCGCGCAGCGATAATGGCGTTAATCCGTGGTATTTCGATCGCGCCCACGGCCATTTCCGCGCGCCTGTGCCCGACTCGGGCACCAGGTGGGTGTTTTTCTGGTACCAGCAGGAGACGCCGGCTATGGCCCCCGAGGAGATCCAGGCGGGCATTGAGGTGGCCGGTCGCATTCCAGCGAGCTTTGAATGATCAAGCCAGCCAATCAGTGGTCTACCAGATGAATAGGCTGGTCTATTTTAGGCGCTCTTTTGTTCACATTAATGAGAAGTATGCTGGAGCATCGCCTCTATTTTTTAGGTCGCATAGTGTTTGGACCTCTTGTCTCCAGTATTTCTCTTTCGGCACACAGCCCAGCCCACTAGCGTTTATTTTTCTTCTATATTGCTTTCTCATTTTTGAAAATGGCGACAGATGCAAGCACCAAGACAGGCGGTCCTGCAAAGAAATCACTGCGGTCCAAGCGTCTTATGCGGCCTGGACCAAACCCCACCACATCTGCGTCAAATGAGCCAACCACAAGCCAAGACAACGGCAGCAAGAGTGGTGAAAAGAAGGACGAGGAGGTCAAGCCAGACGCAGTGAAGGACGAGGAGGTCAAGATAGACAGCACCGATACCGCCGAGACCTCCGACGAAAGCAGGTCTCCGCCGGTTGAGGAGCCAAAGGAGGAGCCAAAGGAGGAGCCAGAGGAGCAGCCAAAGGAGGAGCCAAAAACGGAGCCCGTTGAGGAAGCGATAAAGCCAGAGAGCGAAGAAACGCCCGGAAATGCAGAGGCCGCAGATCAACCGCCTCATGTGCATGAAGCCGTGACAATAAACGAGCCCGCGCTGCCACCGATTGCCGAGTCGATCTCGCAGGAAAGCACCGAGGACTTTGTCGAGGCCAACGAGTCGTTAACAGAGACCACATCCAGCCAGGCCAAGACGCAGCCGGACGCAGTCAACGAGCAAGCGCCGCGGCCTACTGTTCCCTCGCCTACTGCATTCGGCCACACTACTGACCACGCAGATAAGAAGCACGAGCCTGTAAATCACAAGCTGAACCGGCTCTCGATCCCAGTCATCCCTGTGGCACACCCCGGGTCGCCGTCGGTGTTCGACAGTCCCCTGGAGGCCGTGGGCCACAATGGCGGCGTGCTGGGCCGCAGCGTCAGTGTGCGCGTGCCCGGCGGCAATACGGTTGGGCGCCGGCGCCCGTCGCTCAGTGGCCGATCCTCCTCCGGCAAGCGCCGGTCAATCATGCTGACGTCGTTCACGCCGCCGGTCATGGCCAACGCACTGTCTGCCGGCAGCACCGCGCGGTCCTCGGTGGACAGCCAGACTGAGTCCTTGGTTTCCGGAGACTCAAGCAGTGCGGTGGAGATCACCATTGGCGGGAAGCAGTTCCAGCGGTCGTCGGTATTGGAAAACGGCATGGCTAGGCGCAGCAACCGCGTATCGCCGGAATTGGCGAATGTAGGCGGTGCGATTCTGCTCCGGCCCAGTGGCGAAATAAATGCAGCGGCAGAGAAGAAGTTGTCGCTGCAGGGCATTGGAAGCAAGATTTCTAGTGTGGTTGGTGGCAAGACCAGCGCCGAGCAGCCGCCTAGTCCGCCGTCGTGGATGAAAGAGGTACAGCGGCGGAAGCGTGAGAAGGAGGAAGAGGAGCAGCAACAGCAGGAGCAGCAGCAGCAACAGCAGGAGCAGCAACAGCAGCAGCAGCAGCAGCAGCAAGCGGCAGACAAGGCGCGCGAGCAGGAAATCCTGGAGACTGTGGAGAAAGCTGAGAAAGAGGCTCAGAAAGAGGCTCAGAAAGAGGCTCAGAAAGAGGCTGAGGCTGTGGAGAACCTGGAGTCGGTGAAGCTGGACGAGGACACGCCGCTATCAATACTGGCCGAGAAGCCAATTGTGCCGTCCAAGTCAATGCCAGTCGCCGTGGACGCCGAGCAGCCGATTGCACAGAAGCCAGCACGCTCCATGTACCGCACGCTGTCGGCGTCGCTGGGCATGGGCAAGGATGACGCAAGCGCCTCCACGGCATCGTCAAGCCCGGCTGCCCTGGCAGACCGGCAGCGGTCGACATCGCAGACCAGCAGCACGTTCTCGCAGGCAGCTGGCAACAACGGGCTGTTTGCAGCCGTGACGTCGTTCTTTGGGCGGACCAGCAGCGTACAGCCGGTTATGGCGTCGCCACCGCTGGAGGACGACCAGGCAACGGTGGAGTTTCCGGCGATGCGCGCAAGCCAGTCGGTTAACGGCGAAGCGAAGGACGATGCCATGGACGAGCTGATGCGGCAGCTGGAGGCCCAGAACCAGCAGATCCTGAGCGACAACAAGGCGCGCGTGTTTGCACGTGAGGCCGGCTGCGAGCCGGCCGAGGACAGCATGGAGGACGAGACAGACGTTGATTGGGACTTCTGGGGCAATCTGATCAATGACTACGAGCGCGTGGCCAAGGCCGAGTCGCGCAAGTTGGCGCGCCTGGTGCATGTGGGGATTCCGCGGGCCATCCGCGGCACCGTGTGGCAGCTGATGACAGGCGCGCGCAACGACGCTTCGCTGGGCGACGCGTTCCGCGCGCTGGTGGACAAGGACGCGGACCCAAAGATCGAGAAGCTGATCCGCCATGACCTGGCGCGCACGTTCCCCAAGCACGCATATTTTAAGGACGCAGGCGGCGCAGGGCAGGAGGGTCTGTACAACGTCCTGCATGCGTATGCGCAGTACGACGCCGAGGTCGGGTACTGCCAGGGCCTGTCGTTTATTGTGGGCCCCTTGCTGCTGAACATGCCCGACGAGGAGGCTTTCTGCGTGCTGGTCAAGCTGATGTTCACATACGGCCTGCGCGGCCACTTCTTGCCCAGCATGGACGATCTGCAGCTGCGGCTGTTCCAGTTCGACAGTGTGTTTGTCGAGGCGCTGCCGTTGCTGAGCCGCCATTTCGCGCAGCAGGGCGTCGACTCGACCATGTTTGTTTCGCAGTGGCTGATGACTTTGTTCGCCTACCGCCTGCCAATGGATCTGACCATGCGTCTGTTTGACGTGGTGTTTGCCGAGGGTCTGGACTTTTTGCTGCGCGTCTCCATCGCCGTGCTGCAGCGCTCGCAGACCCGCCTTCTGAGTCTGCAGTTCGAGCCGATTCTGCAGTACCTGAACGAGGGCCCGCTGTTCGCCTTCTACGTGCACGCCTCCAAGGCGCAATTGGTAAGGGACGCCAACAAGATCACTGCCGTCACCCCCAAGGCCCTGCAGAAGCTGCGCAAGCGCTATATTGAGGAGGCCGAGCGCCGCCTGGAGGAGGAAGAGGAGGGCGCCAGACTGCGCCACGAGAACGAGGATTTGGCCAAAGAAAACAGCCATTTGCAGCAGATGCTGCAGCAGGTATCTTTGGAGCACAGCGATTTGGCCGGGCAACTGGCCGGACTGCAGCGCGAGGTGCAGGAGCGCCGGAGCCAGGAGACGAGGCTCGAGGAGATGGTCCAGAAGCTGGAGACCCGGCTGGCCGATGAGCGCGGGCGTGCCGAGACTGCGCTGCGGGAGGACATGGAGAGGCTGGCAGAGAAGAACCTGCAGCTGACCATGAAGAACCAGCAGCTGGAAGACAGCATGCAGGACATGGAGGAGGCATTGGTGCAGATCAAAGTTCTGTATGCTGAGAGCGAGAACCAGCGCGAGCTGCTGGCAAAGCGCTTCGAGGATCTGCGCCGGGCGCTGAAGTAAAATAGCCGAGGATTTATTTTCTTTTATACATAAGCTAGCTACAGCCGGCCAAGCATGCTCCTGTAGTGCCGCCGGGCGTTGAGGAAACGCCGGATATGCATGATGATAACGTCGAGGATAAAGATGATCATGCGTGCTGCTTTGTTTCTTTGCTGAAATAATAAGAGCTGAAAGGGCGGGGCTCTGAGAAGGGGCTCAGAAAGGCTTTTATACAGCTTCACCTGTATTTGTCACACAGCGGCACATGCCCAAAGTGTTTTTACACTACAAGTACACTTTTAGAAGTAAAGGCCCTACACCGGGATCGTCGACATGCTACTGTACCGCAGATGCCTGACCGGGTACTCCTCGACCACCGGGATAGCCGAGACCACCAAAAACACCTCCATCTCCCTGTCCATCTCGCCATGCACCACCAGCGTGCCCAGCTCGCTGTCCTTTTTCGAATACCTGACCACCTCCGCCAGCAGCCTACCAGTCGCCTTGTCCACGCACGTAAACGCCGTCCACGGCTGCTCCCTCGACACCACCGCCGGGTTCTTTGCCTCGCTATTCCTCGCCCACTTGAGCTGCAGGTCGCCCGGGTACGTGAAGCTGTACATGAACGGCAGCGGGTAAAGCGAGGTCAGTGTGATTTTCTGCGTATTCTCGCTTTCCTCGTAGGCCGGCGGCGGTGGGGGCGGCGAACTCTCGGTAGAGATGTATTCCAGGGGCTTGCTGTCCAATTGCGATGTCGTGCCGATATCGTCGTCATAATACGCCGGCCCGTCCACCGGCTCTGCCAGCTCCTCGTACATGGGCGCCAGGGACTCGGGCGGTGGCGGCGGCGGCGGCATCTCGATAGTGCGCGAGAACACGAGCTCGAACCCCTGCATGTTGCGGTGGCATGTCCACAGTAATTTGCCCGTAGCGTCGAGGAATTGCTGCACTGCCGGCGTCAGGCCCTTGACCTTTTTCGTGCAAATTACCTGCTGTGTGTCGGTGTCGACTGCCTGCACGCTGCGCGACAGCACCTGCGGGTACTTTAAATGGTAGTGTTTGCGCGCTGCCAGCGTCTCCTCGTACGTGGGCAGTATGTCGGCTGGCGGTGATTGCGACGGGGTGCTTCCAGAGGCACTCATTTCGTGCATTAAGAGTTAAAAAATTAGTGTAAGAAAGCAAATAAGAAAGGCGAGGTGGTTTCCGCATGTGCTGGTCAGCAGGAATGTGAGATATTCGCTCCACAGATTACCAGGTCCATGGCCCGGATATTTAAATGTGCTGCTTGCTTGCGTTAGCTACGGATTCAACTTACACGGCCAGCAATTTTTTATTAGAACAAGCCCTATTAACCGGTAACCCAGCTCGGCAATGTTTCTCCAGAGCCTGTTCATAATCCTATCCATCACCTGCAGCGCAACACAAATATTGGCAACCAGGTCCTTGCTTGGCGGCCGCGATGGCAGAATAACAAATGTGCCCAGCCCGATCTCCAGATGCAGCGTCGAAAACGCCTGCACACCATCGCCAAAATCCGCACCATACAAGCTGGCATAGACAAGGTTGCTCACAACCGTCGCTAGCTTGAAGGCTATTTCCAGGGTTATAATGGGAGCAACATATGTGTCCTCTAACTCATTTGCATCAATCACCTGGCCAACATATGGTAGCACCAGCCCTAATGTCCGCGGCTGTACCTGCTGCCCAACCGAAGCCAGCGACTTGGACGTAATCTGTGAGTCTCAATAGTGGGCTGTCTGGTATGCTAGCTCACAAGATAGTCATGCTGCTAAGTGGAAAGCATTCTGTGAATGCACCAGGAAACGCCACTCCAAACATTGTCCGGATCAAGATTATCGCAGGGCATGTTCATCTAGACACACTACAAGCAAAGCACATTAAGAGTATCCTCGAGCTGGAAAAAGGTCAGAGCTGTAGTCGGGATTTCGCCTATATGATTTTTGGTCGCAATACAAAGCCCTTAGAGTTTGTGACAGACAGGAAGGCGCATATCGAACACCTGTCTGACTACTGGTCCATGGGGCTGTTGACTCGATAATCAGCCTCGACGCCAGACCTCATTTGCCATCTCCTGTCCATACGGCGCTGCTGCTTCACAATGCTGCTGTTCTGGCTCTACTCAGCCTTTTGCCAATTCGACATACCCCCAGTCCATCAACAAACAGCCAGGGACAATATCAGAAGTTGCACAATGATCGTAGGATTCGCTCAGAGCCATTCATGAGTCATGAGTGGCTTCTTACCTGGGTCGGACCATGACCTGATTCCAATAGCGTGCTGACAATATCATGGCCGAGCAAATATCCTGTGTAAAACATGCAATGGCCCAAGCCGCCTCCTCTACGTCATTACGTGGTTAACTTATATGTCTTGCTGTTGAAGGAAACTCTGTTGTCCTCAAGCACTCGCTGGTGAAACTCTCCGTTGGGGTCACAGATATTTTTTCCCTAGCCACTATGACATTCGTGATCCTTTCGAGAGATTGCACTAATTCCTGAACACTTGGCTGATGCAGTTGTAGAAGACCGTCGGCAACGCGGTCTCAAGGTAGGTTTCCAACACTACTCCCATCATCCATTTTAACTCCAATCCACTCTGCTTGTCATTAGCTAGCACATTTCTCAATCCCCTCCCGAACATCCACTTCACTGCCTATTTCCTGTATGCTGCCTTTTGGTCCTCTGTCGTGACAGATTTTGGTAATTGACTAGGGAGGGTGTGGCAAAACGGGCTGGTTGAAAGAGGTAAACCATAGCCGGGCTCTAGTAAAGCACTAAAAGTTGAATAGATATGTTTGCTAATGGTCTGGTTTATATGGTACTGGAATGCTACTGATGTGCTAGCTGCAGGAATGCAATACTCAGACTGTTTTAGGAACCACATGTTGCATGATGTCCTTGCTCCACACCTACCTACCCTTTTATTTATCAGCGACTGCTGTCTGTGCCATTTCACAGATAGTTCCCCGTTTCCAGGTATAGTGTATACCCATTGTTTGATGCCACAATACAGGACACATTCGGGATGTGCGCAATATGCTGCGAAGCCACCCAAATTCGAGCAACACAGCTATAATGGACTGAACAGCATAAACAAGAGAAATCAAAGCCATTGTTACTCACAGAATCTCGCTCGCCAATTTCCGCTCACCAAGGCTGGGACCAAGGACAGACAGTTTTACATGTAGCTTCCTGCACAGCTGATGCCTGCTGGTTTGTTGTCAACAACGCCACCTGCACTGTGCAAACGAGGCATTTATTTTTATTCGACACTCCGCTGTTGACCTATTGTGTATGAGCAGGCGGCAAGCAAAATGCTAGCTACTGGCAGTCTGGTTTAGTTGCAATGCCTGCTCAATATAAATGCGGACTAAGTATGAGGCAAAAATACCTCAAAAATACCTCTTTCCTCCCTTTATTTCTTTCCGCCATGCTATTACACACTTTACTTTTGCTGGCCCTCTCTGCTGCTGCGCTGGCAAGGCGGGTTGTAGTTGACTGGGATGTCACGTATGTGTACATGATGCGTGATGGAGTCAATTACAAGCAGTCGATTGGCGTCAACGGTCAGTCTCCAATCCCACCTGTGTATGCAACTCGCGGCGACACCCTCATCCTCAACGTGCACAATTCGCTGAACGTAACTACGACGATCCATGCCCACGGCCTGTTCATGCGCGGCATGGCTTACATGGACGGGCCGGGAATGACCACCCAGTGCGGAATCCCGCCCGGTGAGTCATTCACGTACGAGTACCATCTCGAGCAGGAAGGCACCTTCTGGCTCCACGGCCACGACCACGACCAAAACGCTGACGGGCTGCGCACTGCACTCGTCATTTATGACAAGGAGCCGCCGTACAAGTACGATGCAGAGCATTTGTTCACCTTCGAGGACTGGTACAAGGAGCAGTTTGCCGAACGTGCAGCACTGACCACTGACCCAACCCAGCCATTCCCACCGCCGTCTGGCTACGGGTTTGGCCTTATTAACGGCTACAACGGCAACACCACGAAGCCGATCAGGTTTGAGCCAAAGAAGACTTACCGGATCCGCCTTATCAACATGTCCAGCACCGTGTGGTTCAAGTTCCGGATCCCCGGCCTCAAGCTGCGCATTATTGAGGTTGATGGGATCCTGAGTGACGAACATCCAGTTGATGGTGTGCAGCTGGCACCTGCCATGCGCTACTCGGTTCTGGTCACTGCACATGACTCGGACGAGTACAACTACTACTTCAAGATCAAGATGTATGCAGACTTCCTTGAGCCATCGCCGGGTGAGACCCCACGCTTTTACTCTGGCCTGATCGAATATAAGCAGGAGTCGCCCGTCAAGGAGTTCCCCGACGTCAATGATAGCACACTGACGTGGGTTGAAGATATAAAGCTGACAGCACTTGACAAACGGCCACCACTGCCAGTCGACCGCTCGCTGCGTCTGACGGTCGGCAACAACCTCATGTCCACAGGTCAGCACATGGACCACATCAACAATATCACATACTACGCGCCGCTGGTCCCCTCCCTGTTTACTGCAATGACCACTGGCGACTTGGCAATGAACCCCGAGGTCTACAATAACCGGACACATCCGGTCGTGCTAAAGCACAACGAGGTCATTGAACTTGAGGTGCACAACCCGAATCGTATTCCTCACCCTATGCATCTGCACGGCCATGCGTTCCAGGTCACCGAGTATGGCCCGTCGCTGGCGACGTTCCAGCCAGGCAGTACATTTTCTCCGCTTGTGCAGTCGCTTGTTGCTCCGATCCAGCGTGATGTCATGGAGATCCCACCAAACTCGTATATCAAGGTCAGGTTCCGCGCCGACAATCCGGGTGTCTGGCTGTACCACTGCCATGTCAATATTCACGGCAGCCCCGAGAGTCTGCGAATGCTCATGACATTTGTTGAAGCACCAGATGTTCTGCAGAAGACGCAGACGCTTCCCAAGAGACTTATTAGGCACTGTGAGATGAGCGGAATTAAGGCATCTGGAAATGCTGCTGGCAATGCTGGGCTTGATATGACAGGGCTGCCTCCTATTCCATATATGGTGGCCAGAAATCCTTAAGTATTCGTAGTCACAATATCATAAATAGATCCTTGGCATGGATTGATTTTTTAGCCACGGGAACAGCACACCCATGAGATGCTAATGCTTATTTAGGTGTGGCTACATGATCAATCGCTACCTTACCTGGATAGACAATACATACTAGTCTATGGATTACTTCTGGCTAAGCACTTTGTGGCAGTAGTTGCATCTGATACATCTTGTAGATATGTAACTGTGAAGGCTCTTGTGGATATATAAGCAGCGACCAAAGACCAATTTCCCAACACAGATCAAGCATCGGCACTCAGCAGCTACAATAACAAGCAACTTTGATTCCCATCTTCAACATGTTCAACACCTGCACCTCTCTTCTTGCACTCGTCGCTCTGGCAACATTTTCTCCGTTTGCCCAAGCGATCCCTGCCCCTGAGCCTATCAGTGTTCCGTCAGTCCAGGATCCTGCTGTGCTCCCGGCCAGCACTGGTCCTTCTCACCAGCCCGAACTTACTCGTCGCCAGTACGGATGCGGTTTTTGTGGAGGGTACGGCTGTGGTATCTGCGGCGGCTACGGTGGATATGGTGGATATGGTGGCTATGGCGGATATGGTGGCTATGGCGGATATGGTAGATATGGCGGATATGGCGGTTGGGGATTCCCGTTTGTGAGCTCATTCAACAGCGACTTCGATCGTGCCACCAACCGTGCCAACTTTAACGAGAACACGATGTATTCTAACAACATCAACGCCAACCAGGCCAACGACGCTGTCCATTCCAACACTAACAACCTTGTCTCCGGCTAATTCCAGAAACACATTCACTAGTCACCCTTCAGAGGATTTGCTCATGGCTAGATATCGCAAATACACTCTGTAGCTATGAATACATTCGTAAACCCTATCTGTATCGGCATGATGTGTGCATTTTGAGTCAGCTATTTTTACCACCTTTGATTGATGAGTGTCCCATTTAATATATCAAATGAGCACAAAATACCCAGGACACTAGTAGTGCTAGGCTTCCATGTGTTGTACCAGAGCCGATTCTGCTATATATTGAAACTAGGTTGCCAGTGGTGGCAGTTTACATTTTCACACCTGTTGTTATATGTTTGTGTGCGCTATCCAAAAAAGTGCCCAGGAAAACACAGCTGCCCATGCTAGCTGAGAGTGTAAACATGTAGAAAAGCCTGATCCGTGGCCATGGGGTTTATCCGCAAGAGTAGATATCCCCTTGCACATGCTATCCCCTTGTTCCAACTGCAACTGATTCACTATCATAAATATCATACTCGCCTTAATTCCATATATTTTGTAGTAAAGGGGCTTTCGTTGTCCAGGCTCTTTAGTCGTCTGCGCTCAGACAAGAGACAATGGTCTCTGTTTGGTGGACCATTCTCAGATATGATATGTACCTCCAAAAGTGACCGGTAAAGTGGGTTCAGCGGGCGGATCGCGATCTGATAAAGGGTGGCAGGATTATTTCGGCGACATTTAACGCGTCTCAGTGTGTAGGAAGTGTGACGAGCATCGAGAACAAAAATTTGCCAACTGACAACCCATCTGGCATTGATGACAGGTTTTAGTGCTGGTATAAATGTATCTGAGAATCAGTCTGCTGGAGGTCCGTCTCTGGCCCTTCTTATCATTGTAAATCCAGAAAGCACATCTAGCCATGCACTCAAAGTCGTGCGCTCAAATGAAGGCAGCCTGTAACCTGATCCTGTAGTCAACAATGCTGCAGACGGGGTACTAAATGTGGAGGCGGTAGTCCAGACGTAAACCATGTAAGGCTTACAACAAAGAAGCAGGATACTCTTAACATCACGACGCAGCTCTTGGGTAAAACCGCATGTCTTTTGTGACGAGGGCGTGGAGCCAGAGATATTTAAACCACATCAAGAATAACAGCTTGCTGATACTCAGCCCACAGGATACGCAAAGCGATACTACAATGGAGAATCAGGCTACAAATACATGGTTTGCTATCGATGGCACCTGGGGATGGCTGTATACCCATAGCACAGCGTTTGAAGGTAAGGTTGAAATGGGTCTTTTGCTCGGAAGCAGCCCTGGTTGTATCATGATTGAAGTCATTTCTGTGAACATCAGACTTGCGCTAAAGTTGCGAGATGCGGATAATGACGACGCGAGAATTGAAGGAGATAGTGCATGAAATCAGTACCTACGTGTACGCAACGGACCTGCAACGAACTGTTCTTCCACAGCTGTATAAATACAGGTTTATGGTAATCATGGGGCAGCTATACCTGGCGATGGCGCTGGAATTCATCGATGACGCCTATGTTTCTGATGGATTGGCAACAAGTCAGGCAAGTCTGTCTGCGAGGTTACCTCTTGAGGTCAAAGATGGCATTGGGTCTAAACCCACCATACTTCATGAAACTGGTATAGCACATAATGGCCCCCATCCATGGACTCTTCTGCTAGTAAGGGACTCGTCAGTGGCTAATGGTTATCGCGCTAAATTGATGGGGCTGTCATTCAGCAGGTTGCATGTCCCGCGAGGTTCGCGAAAGAGACGCTAGCAGATGGGATGCTGTGATCGAAGGCCGCTTCACAGGGACCTAGGAGTACCCTTGTAGGGTAAGAGGGCTGCAACTGTATTGTCTCCCACCCAACAGCCACTACCTGCATAGCTGTTTATATAAAGTCAAATACATCCATGGTGTTGTCGAACAAGCAGTGCAACATGCTTAATGCAAAGAGCCGCTTGAGGTGGTGGGCACTTTGCTCTCAAAGATCATGTCCCATCCACTTAGTCATGTCACCACACTTTGATGGTATTCAGCTCTTCCTCTGGTTAGCAATGCATCATGGCTGCTTTGGCCCCTTTCTCTGGCATCACGGTATTTGCGCAGCACACGCTGGAAGAAATCAGCGAGGCGAGGCTATTCAAAACAAATCCATGCATGCATGCAGATCCGCTTTCCTGCCTTGGTCAAGTAAAAATGGTTGCTGCTATAATTATGTCCTTTTTTTTGCGCAGCACCCAGTTCTCCCTTTGTTGACAGATATAAAATGCTGCAGCGCTCCCCCCTGACATAATCTCTTTATCCCTTCATCTCCAGTATTCCCTTTGCCTTGAATATCTCTACTCTTTTTTATAATGGCGATAAACCAGCCCTCGGCGCTCATGACTCTCCCCCTGCCTATCATCGAGCAGATAGCCATTCACACATCTGGCAGGATTCTAGATGGAATGCAAGTCGGCGATATATGCGACCCCCTGAAGTTCCTTTACAGCCACAGCCGCGAGTGGTACCAGGTTCTTCGCATGCTGTGTAGCCGCTGGGCCACTCTCCTGTTTACTGACCTTGACGTGGAAGACCAGCCGCTAGCCATCGGCGCGAATCTACAGGAGCTGGTTGATCTAAAGCAGCATGGGTACGTAAGACGGGTGCGGCTGAGGTTCAACTTGTATCAGCTGTGCCTGGACGAAACGGTTATCGTAAAGCTGCGCAAGTTCTTCAGTACAGCCGGTAGAATGTATAACGTCTGCGAGCTCGAAGTGTGGCCGTGGTGGCGACAGGTGCTAGCCAACAACAGCCCGCACAGCGAGGGTCTGCTGCCGGCAGAGTTTGACGATGCTATCCGAGGCAAAAACATATCCGACCTGATGTGCCTTGTGCGCGAATACATGCCGCGGGTGTCGAAAATGATGATGTACGGACTGGAGACGAAGTGGGCCAGCGTGCCCAGCTTGAAGCTCAGTGTGGATGCAATTGCGCAGCTGTCAAAGATCGTGCAATCGCCGCTCAAGCTCAGCACATATAAATACAGTATCAGCCGGCAGATTCTGGCGCAGACACAGTCATGTCTTAGGCATGTTAAGATCACAAAGCACACCAAGGGTCAGTGCCACGTTGACCTGATCCGCAACAACGCCCAGACGCTGGAAAGCATCTATATCGAGAAGGTAACGTTCCACGCCATGGAGAAGATTACATTGTGCCCAGGTTCATCGAACCAGACGCTTGTTTACCCACAGCTGAAGAGTCTGCGCATTATCGCCAGCTCGGGCAAACGCAGCGACAAGATACGCAAGTTTTTAATTAGCCCATTCCCAGAGCTTGAGGAGTTCGAGGTGAAAGGGCAGTTCCCGTTCACCAGTGCACTGTTTCTGAAGGAGAGCCGCAAGAGCCTTCGTGTGCTGAGGCTGGAGGTCGACGAGCCCTTGATGATAATGCTAGATGATCTGGGAACCGCCGAGCCGAATTTTTTCCCAAACCTGGAATGTATCTCCATGAGGCTCCCACTCCGTCATCGGTACTTGATGAGATATCTACGTGGGCCGCTGTTCACCAAGACAATGACGATAAGCAAAAGCCTGAAGGTGGCAAAACTGCATGATGTAATGTGGGTTAATCCTGATGTCTTGCTGGCGCCCAAATGCATTTGCACATCCTTGCAGGTTCTGGACATGACCCACACGTCTATCATGTTTAGCCATGCAGTTCAACTTCTTGGCTCACTGCCTAATGTGACGCGGGCAGGACTGTCACTATACAACGACGAAACACACGAGTCAATGAAGCTGCTGCCGGAAGAGTACATCGACGAGTGCCGCAAGACTTTGCAGGTGAGCAACAGCAGGCTCCGGAGTTTGGGCATCTTTGCTATGAAATTTCCGACGGTTCTCAAGGGCGGCGAGTACTTACTGCTGATGGCAGAGCTAATCCCAAGTCTGCAGCGTGTCTCCTTGCATCCAGAGAGCAAGAAGGAAAAGAACTACCGGACTATCTCTCATCTCCCAAAGCGGCTGAAGCGAAAGATATTCCAGGACTCGCGAGCTCATAATGTCGAATATTTGATTTCCAGTGAGTGGTAAATTATACCCTTTTAGATACATATATTAGAATTCATTCAAACTAAACCTCCTCGCTTCCCCGTGGGCTGCTATGATACGACGGCGGCTGGATTGGCATACATACCCCGGTGTATACAGGTTCGGGTGCTCTGACCACAATCCTGGTTGCCTGTGTTTCGGAATACGTCGGCAGCGGATATGGCGATATGTATAGACCATTATCTGCTGGCATATATTTGGGCAGTGGCTCAGAGCACCTAGATACATATCCTCCCATCTTGCGTCTACGGCGGCGGTGAGTGAAAACCAGCCAACTGATCAGGCCGACAAGAATCAGCGCCAGGCAGCTGACCCAGATCACATGGAACCAGTTTTTGTGCTGGTACCTGCAGAATCCATGATTGTCGCAGATCATGTCAGATCTCTTGAGCAGCGGCAAGGCGCCGTGGTCTGGCTGTATATTGTTGACTTTGAGCTTTTGCAGCATTTGCATCTGACCTGTTTTTGTTTTGGAGAGAAAAGAAAAAGTGAAGGCGGTTAAAGATTCGGCTAGCAAAATTTTCCCTAGCTGCTTTATGTGACCTGGCTTATAAATACTGCTGGCATTTAGCAATGCCCCTTGGGGAAGATATGAGGAGGGATTGAAAAGAGCCAGTGACAGGACAGAGTACAGAATGCAGGGTGCAGGGTGCAGGAGGGGCGGCGCTCCCATGCTATAATGGAGCAAGAAGCAGCTCTTTACTATGAATGCCTACTAAGATTGCCGCTTGCCCAGCGCATGAGCAATGGCTGCGAGCCACATCATGAAGCATATTTAGCAATATGGCATCCATGCCATTACATTGATTGCATCAAATGGGAGATGAAAAGAGGTGTGTGAGTACTTCAATTTCAAAAATATGTATTTCTGTTCTTGAAATTGCAAAACGAGAGGAGGGAACCTGCAATTCCTAGAAATTTCTCGTTGAACCGTAATTTTTCTCATTCCTGATACTCGGCTTACATGTAGAAGAGCAGAGAGCCAGCAAGCAGAGCCGAGCCGAGCGAGAGGGCGTTGGCAGTGGCGCCGTTGGTGACGGTGGAGGTGACAGTGACCTCATCGGAGCCAGCATTCTGGACCACCGTCGAGGCAGCAACGACCACAGGGGCGGCGTTCTGGTAGTACTGCGGGCCGAGGATAGTCGAGTAGACCTTCTGGTGGTCGGGGGCAGGCTGAGCGCCATTGGCGGCAACAACAGCAGCGGCGGCAAGAGCGACGACAGCGAAAGACTTCATGATGATTAGGTTGTATAAAAGGGCAGGGGCTAGTTTGCGAAATGAAGAAAAACAACTGTTTTTTGCTTGTTAGGCAGATCTGGCTATCAAGTAAATGGTTGATGTTGTGATGGTCAGGAACAATAGAACCCGCTGGGCATGGACCGGCGTTTATATACAGACTTTAGAGGATAGACCAGAATGCAAGAGTTTGTGGAAAGAGAGGGGGATGTGAAATATATTCAGTAAGCATGAAACAAGGCTGGGTTCATTTTCAGCAAATGCCTAGTGCTCTATCTCCCGTCTCGCCTCTTGCCGATCAAACACCACCAGCTAAACGGAAGCTATCCAAACCCGATGTATGGGAAGGGACTTCTAGCATGGCCCAGCCCAGGTACCTATGAACAAGCAGATGAAACGGATCGAGGTTCATTCCCCTTTGCATTACCTAGGTAATATTACAAATGCGCCTACGAATATCAATCGCACCTGATCCTCACACCCGCCTGGCTGGCCGGCTATTGGGCCAGTGGCCAATTGTTTTTTGCATTGACAGAGTTGTTTACATGCAGTATTACACACCAGTGAAGTAAAATAGGGGAGGAGCCTAGAACAAAAAGTGCCCGTGCTGGTCAGCTGGGGTCGATGAGTCCAGGAGGGCCCAGAGCTACTTTTTTCTTTTCTTACAGCCCAAATGTTTTGAAGAAATACAAAGTGTACATTTTTATTTTCTTCTCAGAATACCCTCCCTTGTACTTTATCGAACCCAGAAAACTGCACAAATGAAGGTTTTGTTCAAGCTTGGCGGCATAGTGCCCATTACGACTGAGGCAGTCCCGTTTATGACGGTTCTGACGGCTACGGTCGGATTCGGCGTGTACACCGGCGTGACCCGGCTTAAGGACAAACACTATATCCGGCTGGCGCCGCAGCACTGCTACAAGAACCCGTACGAGCCGGTCGGCAAGGATGCCAAGTAGCGTGTAAAAAAGGAAATCACTATCTTTCTAGGGATGTAACGAAACATTGCCCCATATCCCGAATAAATCTCATGCAAAGGTACTTGATGCTGCGCAGCACCAGGGTTTTTTTTTTTCTCTGGTGGGCAATTACCATATGTCATGTCTCAGGGTACTTTTATTTGCCAGATCCTGCGCATGCCTGGCGCCGGCCGCACAGCAGGCTATGGACAGAATTTAGCATATCCGAGCTGCCCGCAGTGCTCTCGCAAGGTCGCAGCGCAGGGACAGTGCAAGAACTGCGGCGCCACCGGCATCCAGTGGGTCTTCAAAATAGCCATGGCGATTTCACCAATCCACACAAATGCAATCTGGCATGCGACGGCGTTTGGCGGCACTGCCGAGCGTTGGTTCGGGTGCTCGGCCATGCAGTGGGTGGAGGGCGCCAAGGGCGACCAGGCAACTGTGGATAGGTTCTTTGCATTGCTGGAGGTGTTTGGCAGTGCATGGGCGAAGATGGGTGTAAGACGCGGGCGGCCAGGCAGTAGTGGGGGTGGGCAGGGGGTGATTACTAAGGCTAGTGGGGTTGTTGGCGCGGCAGTGTTTGGCCTGCCGATTACCGTGCTCTGGCAGATGGCGGACGGCAGCATGCCAGCAAGAGTACTGGAAGGCTCCAGTGCATGCGAAATTTACGAATCGGAAACTATCAGCGATAGTGATGAGACATATGATGCCGGCGCCTTACTCACGGCATGGCAGGCAGGCAAAGCGCCGTCGTGGGAGACAGCAGAGCCCTACGATATGGTGAGGGACTCGGAGATCGCTGCGGCCCTACAGGACATGTCGCAGCTATTCTCCGACGCTAGCACATATATGTCCGGGTCCCTGGCCGCATTCCAGTACGAGGAGAGCCTGCAGTACGAGCACCAAGACGAGCTGCTGAATCTGCATACCCCACAAAGACCTGTCCGAACGCCTGTGGGATATACGCCGCCGGACACACTGCTCCGGTGGCTCGAGATGCCGCCCTCATACCAAAGACCAAGCACAGAGCTGCCGGAGGTTTTGGCGCCCGAGACGCCGCCGACTCCAGTAAGAGCGACACGGAGTGTGGGTAAAAGAAGGCTGTTTGTCGGCGAGTCGCCGGTGCGCTTGAGGCCGACTAGAAGGGCTACTATGCGGGCTGCGTTTGAGAGTGTGCCTGAGACGCCCGTGAGCAGGGCAGAGAGCAGCGGGAATGTGTACTCGCGGTTGCGGCGGCGGCAGTACGCTATGGCGGCACCGCTAATGGTGCCTGAGACGCCGGTGGTAAAGCGCAGCAGGCCGGAAAAGTGAATATAATGTGCCTTTCTCCTTTTGGCAGCTGTCCCAAAACATGGATCTAGCTGGTTAGTCCAAAGTTTGGGGACAGATATAAGATATCTTTTGGTAGCAATTCGAATAGATTTTATCTCTCAAACCCCTCCCCACTTCCCATGTCAGACAGCACCAAGCCCGCGGAAAACGGCAATGGCCCGGCGGCCAAAAAGAGCCTGAGCGTGAACGACTATGTGCCCACAGGTATGGCATTGGAGGAATTCCACAAGCTGTCGCGCAACCAGCAGAAAAAAGTGATGCAGACCGAGCAATGGGCACTGCATGCAGACGAGTACAAGGAGAAGCAGCGGGAGAAGGCACGCGAGAGCCGCAAGCGCAAGCGCGCACGGCAGGCGGACGCTCGGCCCCAGGAAAAGGTGGAGCAGACGGAAAGCACAGTGCGGATAGTGCTGGACATGGACTTTGACGACAAGATGAACGACAAGGAGGTCAAGTCGATGTGCTCGCAGGTGATGCGCTGCTACGCGGTCAACCGGCAGGCCAAAAGGCGCGTCAACCTGCATATCACCAAACTGCATGGCCGCGGCAGCGAGCGGTTCGCGACTGCACTGAAGGACCACAAGATGTGGAGCAAGGAGCATATCACGTTTGACGACCGCGAGTATATCGACAGATTCCAGAAGGATGAGCTGGTGTATTTGACGGCGGACTCGGACAATGTGGTTGAGGAGCTGGATCAGAACACGGTGTATGTGGTGGGCGGGATTGTGGACAAGAACCGGTACCCGAAGCTGACGCTGGACAAGGCGCAGCAGCAGGGCATCAGACATGCAAGGCTGCCGATTGGCGAGTACGTGAAGATGTCGACGCGCAAGGTCATGACAGTGAACCAGATCTTCGAGATGCTGGTGAAGTTTGTCGAGACCGAGGACTGGAAGACGGCGTTCATGGAGACGATCCCGCAGCGCAAGTTCACCGAGGAAGATAAGACAAGTTGAAAAAATATATTGATCCTTTTTTTCTCATTGCTTTGGGTGGACGTCGGGCTGGGTCTGCACCATCTGGGCGTGGAGTGCGCGGGTCTCGTCGAGCTCGCGCAGGTTCTTTTCGCGCTGTGCTTTGCGCTCCTGGTCACGCAGTACGCCCTGGTACATGGACGCGCGCTCGAGCTCCTGGGCGCGATGCACAAAGTAGATGGTGCCAGTAGCGAATACGCACGAGCTGAGGAACGTCAGTTTGGCGGCCTTGGACATTTTCTGTTGTGAATTGTGAGGGAACGGGGGGTAAACGAATTCGAGAGAGAGAGAGAGGGCGTGAGGGTGGCGAGAGTACTGGATATGCTACCCTGGCGTGGGGAAGTCTCCTTGATGATGTTTATGGCAATCACGCCAGGACTCTGGCTGATTGTGATCAAGTTTTTAAAACGGAGGTTTGTTGGCAGCCTAGCTCGTTGGCACATGGGTGCATCTGTTCGTGGCCAAAAGGCAAGATATGCGGGAAGCATGGAGTCAAAGAAAAATGAAAGATGGTATTTCTGCTTTTGACGTGCAGGGCTTGTGCGCACGACTCCACAGACAAGATGGAAGCCAATGTCCATTTTACCGAAAAAGCTGCTCATACTTTTGAAACCCAGATCCATTTAAACGATGGGTGATCGAGATGGGGTTTAAGCGACTCGTTGCCAAAAGTCGAGGAAAAAAATTCAGGCGTGCTTTTTTATCCTTGTGTCCTGGTGTAATTTTTTTATTATTTGTATTATTGCTCAATTCGACCTCTAGACTAGTCCGAAATTCAACACAACTAGTTTCTTTTTTGCTGAAATGAACACTTGCAATGAGCAGGACGACGACAAAGACACAGGGGTGAGCACAGACGGGTCCCTGCAGCGACAGTTCCATAACCACGCAGGCGAGCGGTCGCGGCTCTGCACCGACCCGAGCTCGGAGCTATTCGACGAGAGCAACCCGCGGATCCAGCGGGACATCATCCGGCTAATCGCACAGTACCTTGACACGCAAGGGTATGCGGCAACCAAAGTGACATTGTACGACGAGGCGAACGTCAAGCAGCGGCAGGAGGGCGAGTACATCTCGGATGTGGTTCGGCTGCGGGCGGCGGTTCTGGACGGCGAGTGGGCGGAGGCCGAGCGGCTGTGCAGCGGCGCGCACTTGCAGGACAAGAAGCAGATTCTGTATAATGTGTACAAGCAGCGGTACCTGGAGCTGATTGACGACGGCGAGCCGCAAAAGGCGTTTGCCCTGCTGATGAAGCATCTGAAGGCATTGGAGGCGCAGCAGGCGTTTGCGGGCGAGTTCCGCGACCTGTGCTATCTCTTGACGGCCAAGTCGATAGCGGATGCGCCGGCGTTCCGTAACTGGGACGGGATAGCGTCGGCGCGCGAGCGGCTGGCCGAATACCTGCAGAGCATCCTGGAGTTTGAGATCACAGGGCGGGAGCGGCTGGCCATGCCAATGCAGCCGAACCGGCTCTTGCATCTGCTGCGGCAGGCGGTCGCGTACCAGATCGAGTCGTGCGAGTACCACGCCGAGTCGGTGCCCCAGGTGCCGACGCTCTTGGCGGACTATGCGCCCGAGACGGTGCCGAATTCGGCATACCGGCAGTTCGCCGGCCACCTGGGCAATGTCAAGTGTGCGGCGTGGGCGGGCGAGGCGGGCCGGTATCTGGCGTCGGGCTCCAGCGACAACACGGTCAGGGTATGGGACACGGACAGCGGCGAGTGCCGCGCAATCCTGAAGGGCCACGGGTCGCGCATCTGGGACGTGTGCGCGGACCGGCGCGGCGACCGAGTGTTCAGCGCATCGGGCGACGGCTCGGTGCGCGTGTGGGACATCCGGGATCTGGCCAAGCCGCAGTGCGTGGCGGTGGTGAATGGCGTGGGCGATGTGTACAGCGTGGGGCTGAATGCAGCGGAAACGCACGTGATCATGGCCGGCTACGACCGCGCGGTGCGCGTCTACGACCTGGCGGCGCAGCGCACGGTGCAGCGCCTGGTGGGCCACGAGCTGTCGGTGGCGTCGGCGACGACCAATGCCCTGGGCAATCTGGTGGTCTCGGGGTCCAAGGACCAGACGATCAAGTTCTGGGACACCCTGTCGGGCACGTGCGTGCGGACATTGCGCAGCCACCTGGGCGAGGTCACGTCGGTGGCAGCCAACATGTCGGGCACGCTGCTGCTGTCGTCCAGCAAGGACAACTCGAACCGCCTGTGGGACCTGCGGACGCTGAAGCGCCTGCGCCGGTACAAGGGCCACCAGAACACCAGCAAGAACTTTATCCGCGCCGGGTTCCTTGGCGAGTCGCTGGTGGTCGGCGGCAGCGAGGACGGCGTCGTGTATCTGTGGGACCGCGAGTCTGCCAGCGTCGTGCAGAGGCTCGAGGGCCATCGCGGCATCGTCTATGACGTCAAATGGAACCCCAGGCGCGGCATTCTGTGCAGTGCCAGCGATGACTGGACCGTGAAGACATGGCGCTTTGATCCGAGCACTCAGGCATAGATCCCCCTTTAGAGTGCTATTTATTTAGATTATTACGAGTTATCTTTACCGCCTTCATCGAGAGGGCCCGGGCAGCCGCTGCAATCCCTTCTCACGACCGGTAGTCGGCGTTAATCGACACGTAGTCGTGGCTCAGGTCGCACGTGTACATTCTCGCCATCTCGCTGCCCAGATTCAGCTCCACCTGCACCTTGACGTCCTCGAGCTTCAGGATCTCGGCCGCCCTGCCTTCATCCACCGGCAGCTGCGGCTCGCCCGCTTTCACCAGCTCCAGCGGGGTGGAGCCGTCGCCAGGCACGATCCGCATATCCACCTGCGTGGTATCCAGCGGCACCCCAGCGTAGCCAACTGCGCACAGAATTCTGCCCCAGTTGGCGTCCTGCCCGTAGAACGCAGTCTTCACCAGCGCCGAGGTCGCAATAGCCGCTGCCACCTGCTTGGCATCGCCAAAGGTCCGTGCGCCATTAACCTCGACGGTGATGAACTTGGTCGCGCCCTCGCCGTCCCTGACCACCAGAGGCGCCAGCTCGGCCATGAACTCGGCCAGCTGCTGCTGGAACTCGATGAACTCCTTCGAGTCTGCGTCCGAGATCAGCTCGCTGTTGCTGGCGCCATTGGCCAGAACCGCAATGGTGTCATTGGTGCTAGTGTCGCCGTCGATGGAGATGGCGTTGAAGGACCTGGCCACTGCATACGCCAACGCCTTGTCCAGCAGTGGCTGCGTCACCGCCGCATCCGTGCACACGGTGCCCAGCAATGTGGCCATGTTCGGGTGGATCATGCCCGCGCCCTTGGTGATCCCGGCCATGCGGATATTGCCGTGCGTGCGCGACAGCAGCTTCGGGAACGTATCCGTAGTCATATGCGCCACCGCCGCCTTCATCCAGTCATCATGCGAGCTGCCCAGCTCTTGCCGCGAGATGCCCTGGCAGATCTTGTCAATCGGCAGCTGCTGCCCGATCACGCCCGTCGACATTACCAGTGCCTTCGCTGCCTGCCCGTCCATCTGCCTGGCGCGCTCGCCGCCGGCCTCCGCCATGGCCAGCGCGTCCTTCAGGCCCTGCTTGCCCGTCACCGCATTGGCGCAGCCCGAGTTCACCACCACCACGCGCACGTCCGCGCTCCCCGCTTGGCGCGTGGAGTTCAGGAGCCCGCGGTCGTATTGCACCGGCGCCGCGCTGAACTGGTTGGTCGTGAACACCGCCGAGGCTATGGTCGGCCGGTCAGATAGAAGCATGGCCAGGTCGGGCTTGCCCGCCTTCTTGACGCCGCAGTGCGATCCGCCGGCGAAGAAGCCCTTGGGGTAGGTGCCCGTGCTGGGGATGAACCGCTGCTTGTTTGCCGGGAACTGCTTGGCGTCGGTGCTGAAACGGCGGGCGAGGCGCTGGATGTTCCGTGCTGACAACATGGTTATGAAAAGGATGGGTAAAAAGAAAAAAGCTGGTGGACGAAGAAGAAAGAGAGAGAAATGTCAGCCGTTTGCTTATCTACATATCTCATGCAAGGAGAGACTCCAGACTGAGTTTGAGGGGCAGGGAGTGACTCACCACTCTCCTGGATTTTATGCGTTTACATCGATTGATTCTTGGAAAAAAATTGCCCTGATATCTATTTCAGCCATTGTTCCCTACATTACACGCGGCGAGTCATGCGGCCGCGACGGGCTGTATGGCGAGCCCGGCGCCTCTCCCTGCCCCGCCTCCCCGCCGGGCGACGACATGTCAATCGCCAGCCGCCCCAGCACGCTGCGTCGCCAGTCCTCGGCCGTCGACGACGGCGGCTCCACATACAGAAACCCGCTCTGTTGCTTGCTGCTAGTTTCCGGCGACACATACCCGACCCCGCGGTTGCCAAAGTAATCAGCACTGCCATGCGACGATGAGCTCGAGCGCAGCGGCGGCGTCAGCGCTGCCGGCTTCACATCAAAGTACCCGGCACGCGATGTGGGCGCCGGCGTCTCGACCCCCAGAACACGCGGGGCTGTGCGCACGCTGGCGTAGTCGATCGTGCCGTGCTCGCCGATAAACGACATCTGCAGCGGGTTGCGCAGCCTCGGCACCTGCTCAGCCTCTCCTGCCTCAGCCTCAGCCATCTGCTGTGTCTCCTCCATTTCGGGCGTGGCCGCCGTATGTGTGGCCGGCTCGCTGCTGACCGTCTTTATTTCCTCGCTGTTTTGGCGGAACAGCGCGCCAATCAGCCCGCGCTTGGTCACGCCGATGGTGTTGGAGCGCTTGAGCGCCGACTCAGGCACCAGCATCGAGAGTCGGCTGCGGCTGGCCACCGAGCCGGAGCCGCTATATACGTCTATGCTGGCTCTGCCAGCGTCGCCCTCGGCCCGGTCCGCCTGCGCCATCATCACCGCCATCTCCTGCCACGCCCTCAGCATATGCGTCAAGTCACCACACGCTTCCTCGGCCACCCCGCGCGACCGGTTCCACTCGTACATGAGCCGCCCGTCCAGAATCCGCTCCAGTGCGCGTGGCCCGACCCCCAGCGCGCTCCACGCCAGTGCCTCGTGGCAGAACACAAACTGCCGGTTCGTCTGCACCATCGTCACCCGCAGCTCGCGGAACCGCATCACCACCATGAACACGAGGTCCTGCCGAAACTCCGACGGCGGCTCGTCCGTCCACGATTCCAGCGACTGGTGGCAGGCCGAACGCTCGATCTTTTCCGGTCCCAAGTCCGTCTCCTGCATGGCCAGGATCGTGTCGATGACGCAGAAGGCTCCGGTGCGCCCGCACCCGGCGCTGCAGTGGACGATCATCGGCACTACTGGAGCCGAATCGGCCTGACGCTCGCTCTCGGCCTGCGCGCGTCGCGCCAGTTGCCGCAGCCGCAGCACGCCCAGCGGGTTGTCGGGCACGCCGTGGTCGGGCCAGCCGACGTACTGGAGATGCGTCACATGCACCGTCGCCCCCGAGGACTCGCCCGGCCTGCTGACCGCGAACCGCCTAGCCACCACGCTGGAGTCGTCCGGGTGCTCCGCCTCCGCCTCCCACGTAACCATGATATCATCATACGTCACTGTCTCCCCGACCGTCTTTGGCCAGTAGTGGTGGCATTTGGCCCGGTTGCCCTCAAACTCCTTGGTCAGCATCACGATCACGCGCGAGTGGTGCTCCCACACCATCTTCCAGAAATCATTGACTGTGTCGGGCAACGGCCCCTGCGTGGCAATGTACAGCGGCCCGTCAAAGTACGATATGTAGCTGGCGTTGACGTAGTCGCTGGCTGCGCGCTTCTGCGGGCCCGGCGACGGCGGCTCCTCCATGACCGAGTCGCTGTCCAGCGAGGACGCCATCAGAGGCCTGCCTGTGCTTTCCGCCCGCACGCTGCTGCGCTTGGCTGCCGCCTGGCCCACCTGCCATTGCCGGTTCTCCGATGGCGTCGCCAGCGTGTTGATGCTCTGCGGCCTGACACTGCTCAGCTTCAGCTTGCTGTTGAGTTTCCGTGACGCCAGCATACCCACCGCATCCACGCCAGGCTGCCCCGCCAGCTTGCCCTCTGCCTCGCCATTATTGCTCTTGGCCGCCATGTAGCTGGTTAGCCGCGCTGCCAGCGTGTTGCCCGTGGTCACCGGCCGCTTCTGCATCAAATGCTGCATGTCGGCTGGCAGCCCGGCCGGCTGGCTGGCCTTGTTGGTGCTGCGCAGCTTGACCCGGTTGCCGTCGAATGGCCAGATGTTCGTGTACCGGTTCTTTGACCCGAGCTCCAGCCCTGCCGATATTGTGAACCGGTTTTCGTTCGTCACCATGCCATTGTTCGTAATCATCGACGACATGCGCTGTGCCTCCGACATATCCACCTTCTTGAACAGCTTGAATAAAAGCTGCGCGCCTGTCTGCGGATCCGCTGCCCTGCGCAGGTACTCGGGCAGTTTCTGCAGCTGCGCGTCGGTCGGGTTGGCCTGGCTGCTGGCGGAAAAGTCTGGCGGCAGCCGCATCGCCACAATCTCTGTCGGGTTGAACCCGCCGCCAGGCGTCTGCCGCATTTTGCGCAGAAGCGGGTGGTCGTGTGTGACGCACGATGCATTGGAGAGATCGATAACCGACGATGGGGTGTGGCCGGTCCCGGTATCGCACGACGCCTGGTGGATCTTTGAGTATCCGTCGAACCCGCCTAACGAGATTAATACAACCGCGTCGTTGGGGGGATTGGTTGTGTGAGTCGTTCATATGGAGATTAGCACATTGCGTATGTTTCGATCTGCACTAATGGGAATCATTTGGGGGAGGGAGCCATGCAGCTCGCTCGCCGCTCCAGCTCCCCAGAGAGCCTGACTCCAGAAACTACTCTTCAGAAAAGAACTTCACTCGCTTACCTTTGAGCACAAGCACCGGGCACGACTCGCCTGCCTCGCTCATAAACTTTTTCGCCAGCATGACCAGCGGCGACTCCTCGGACACTGTCTCCTCGGCCGTCCCCTCGCCATACAGCACCACCCACGGCCCGCCCTTCCACCCGGCCAGCCGGGCCTTCTGCTCCTCCGACAGCACAAGAATCCCCGAGATCTGCTCGACCGTCGACGACTTGCGCTTCAGCAGTGTTGTTGGCACCGACATGCTGACTGCCGTCGACACCCGCGACCTTGCGTACTGCGCTGCCCTGCGCACATCCACCACCAGCCCGGGCTCTGCGCGTGCCATGCGCTCGGCAAATTCTGCTGGCTCAATAAACGTGAGCCCAGCGACCTGCTCCCCCGCCTGCATCCTCGCCGCCTGCCTTGCAGTATCGCCAGACAGCCCCGCCAACGCAAAGGGCGTCGCCGGCGGCAGCTGCAAGCTCGACGTATCCGTCTCCTGGCTCGCTACCGAGGGCGTCGGCGGCACCATCCCATTGAATCCCGCATTGACCCGTAGCCCGCTGGCAGCCAGATTGCGCGACACCAGGTCCTTGCGCAGCGAATTGATCGTCCCCGACAGATCCTTGGGCGTCGCCACATCGGAGCCGGCCGAAACCGGGTCCTGCCCGACCCCGTTCAATGTCACATACCGGTTCTGCTGGTACCCGCGCCGCATCGGCCCGGGCGTCGCCGGCGTCTTCGCCGACCACGTCGTGTGCTGCCTGGCCGGATCCCCAAACGTCATCTGGCCCGTCCGCGGCGTCTGATCCCATGCTGACGACGAGGCGCTCGAGGGCCCGCTCAGATTCAGCTTCAGTCCGTTCGGCTTGCGCGCCCGCATGCGCTGCCCGAACGAGCTGCCCGAGCCTGTTGACGATGCGCTGCTCAGTCGGAATGGCCCCTCGGGGCTCTCCGCCGCCTTGCTGGGCGTCTCCGCCAGGGCTTCGTCCGGCGGCCCGTAGTATGAGGGTGCGCTTGCAAACGTCAAAGCAAAGCCTGTGTTGATGCCCGGCTGGCGCGGGGGCTGCTCCACTGGGTCGAAGCTGTCATGGCGCCTGCTGTCCGCAGTGCTGTCGCCCACGCTGTGCGACAAACTCGGGTCCATGCTTTTTTGGTTGAACACAGAGAACCTCTCTCCTGCTTAATGAGCTGAAATGGGGAGCCAGAAGAGAGCGCGTATATGCTGAAGAGAGAGAAAAGGAAAGAAGGTACGCTCAAGTAGCGAACAATAAAAAGGATGGGCTGCTGCGAAATTTGAAAGAGGCCCGATTGCCTGAAGCCAAAGAGAAATGCAAGAAAAACAAAAGAGTGTGTGGAAAGATAGCGGTGAGCAAAGGAAAAAGGGCAGGTGTGCCTGCAAAGGAGCTCGTTGAAAGAGGGGAGCTCTTGCCAGTCTGCGCACCGGCTGGTGGCACGTGATCAAGGGAAAGCTAGAGCCAGCTCGACCAAGCGCTGTGGCCATGACGATGCCATGATGTATTGAATAAACCTCTTTGCAGAGATGTGACCGCAGAACCACGGCACATGCTGGTGGAAATCAAAGGGATGAATGTTGGTCTACTAATGAAACATGCAAAGAAAAGGAAAACCAAATACAAAAAGTGATGAAAAACGACATACGATAATAATGTTAGTGAATGGTGAATGGTGGTTGGAAAGCACCTTGTGAAGTTCTAGCAGACTGCCATGGTGTTCAGCTACTCTGCGCCCTGCGCAGCTGCTCGGTGGCTCCAGCACTGAGAAGATCTGCATCATTGGCAACAACGACCATGCCGAACCCTTGCTGGATCCGCATCCTCGCGGTATCGCCGTCGGCGCAGTCAATGCCGAGCGGCACGTTGAGCTGCCCGGCTGCACGGACAATCCGGCCCAACGCCCCGCCCACCGGAATGCTGCCGGGGACTCTCTGGATCGGCTCCACCGGCATGGGCGATGCATGCCCGCTGGGCAGATTCTGCGGCCGCACAAACGCCGCGTCCACGCCCGGCACCGCCAGGATCTCGTGGATCCTGTCCACCGCCTCGGTGCTCTCGATCTGCGGGATCACCAGAACATCGCCCTCGTCAGGCCTCGACATGGGTGGCGACGACCGCCCTGCCTTGGCCACTCTCACGACTCCCCACAGCTGCTCGCCGCTGTGCACGCCGGTCACGATGACTCCATGTGCTCCCACATCCACTGCCAGTCGCACCACCTCCTCCGATGCCCCGACCGGGAGACGCAGGATTGCCGAGCACCGCTGCGTCGCCGTCACTGCCGCCACCATCTCGGCCACCACGCTGGCGTTGTGCGGCGGAAACCCGTCGATGTCTATCAGCGCCCAGTCGAACCCGAGCCGCGCCGCCAGCTGAGCCGTCACCGGGCTGGCGATGCTCAGCACCACGCCGCACCCAGGCACGCCCGACTGCAGCTTCGAGCGCAAAATGTTGCTATGCGCGGGCGTCTGCGACATTGGAGATGTGCTGTGGGTCGAGCGGAAGCTGGAAATCACTGCGTGGTGCCGCTTGTTGAACCCGTTGTTTGACGAGGCTGGCGAGGATCGCAGCCCCCAGCTGGTGCCGTACGGATGGAACCCATGAGAACTGCCCATTGGCGCAGAATGCGTGTGCGCTCCATGGCTTGGGGGTGCCTGGCTGATCGCCGGCAGATCCAACGGCCTAGGGTAGCGAAGGTTCGGCCGTGGCAGCGGTCTTGGCAGGCTGTGCATGTCACTGCTGTGAGTCATGCCCACTGCTGGTGGTTGAGACGGTGGTGGTGGTGGTGGTACGCTGGTGCTGCTGTATTGGGCAGCGGGTCGAGGACTCTGGTGCGGGTAGTGCTGTGGCCGCACTAGTGGCTGTGAGTACTGAGAATTGTCGTGCCCGACTGGCGGTATATTGGATGTGATTGCTGACGACAGTGGCGGCAGCGTCGGCAGCAGCGGTGCTGTGGTCGGCGACGGAATGAGACTCACTGGCCCCACATTTTGGAGCTCAGCCATAGAACTACAGCGACAGAACAGAAGCCCCCATGTTTTAGTCAGCATTCCATGGCCTGTTTTCGCTCCCCTGATCCATGGGATGACCGACCTGCGTGTGTGTGCGTGTGTTATTATCAGCAGAAGCTGTGGTAGATCCCAAAACCTCCCAGTCATCCACAAAATAAAAGAGCGAGATGACCGCCCGCTTTCATGACAAAGGAGGAGCAACCCCAAATATGGAAGGCAAGCCAGGCTACAAGAGGAACGGATCGTTTTCTCTGCCCAGTGGAGCACAAGCTAGCACATCATTGCTGCTGAATCACATTTTAGCACCAAGGGAAAAGCCCGTAAACCGGCTGCGATGGGTCTGCTCCTGCTTTTGGCAGGGGGCACAGAATCTGGATTTTCTGCCAGAGTGGAAAAAGCGCCAAGAGTGGAGTGGAAATGAAAACTCGGGACCGAGGGTTCCGGAGCCAGATCAAGCTTGGCACGCTCCGATGTAGATTCGAGCCAGCCATTGTCGCAGCTGCCAGCTCGCTTAGAAACTGTCCTCTCTACCTCGCCCCCCAAAAAAAGGACCGATGTCCGAACAGACACATCGTCCAAGCAGCATTGAAGCACCGAGATGGGTGGGGGCGAGGGCGAATAGGCCCGCATAAAACACGATATGCAAGCGTGCTGGCCACCATGCATCTGCACGAATTCCAAACAAAATCCCGACCTGCTTTTTTTTATCAAGCCTGTATCATTTTTTGTCGTTTCCGGCAAATCCTTCTTACCTTGTTATCTTGGCCTTCTTGACTTTGGACTCGGCCGACGCCGTCGATGCCGAGCTCGTTGATCTCGGCGAGTGGCAGAACCGCCGCTTCACCTCCTCGTCAACAAACCGGCACGTCGCCAGATGCCGCTGCATCAGGTCGCCGCGCGCCGGCAGCCGGTCCTTTTTGTACAGCGCCCGCCCGCTTTTTATGCACGCAATGCACCACACGAACCGGTGGCTGTGGTTGGCCATCTCGCCCGTGTCTTGGAAATGCGCCGAGATGCCGAGGCGCGGACGGCCTGGCTTGCGGACCGGCGGTTCGGTCTCGAGCTTCACGTAGATGGGCAGCTCGGCCTGGCGTCCGCGCATGTCGTCGTCGCTGTGGGACGGCATGGTATGTGGGGGCTTTTGGACGAGTATTGTGATATCCAGCGTGAAAGAAGGATAGAATGAAAATAACAGGAGGTATCAGGGAAGAGGAGGCAGCAGAGGCAAAATACAGAAAATAACCGGGCTTGGTACGTGCAAAAAAGGGAATGGCGAACAGTGAAGTGCTGCGAGCCTCTATAAATAGGGTCTGCTAGTCTAATAAGAAAAATGAGGTCAACTGGAGGAAGAAGGGGAGGAAAAAGCATGCGAATAAGGAACCGGGATTTCGTGGGCTGGGCTGCTCCTGTGCATTTATACTCTACTCCAAGGAAATGGATAATTAACGACAGAGAAAACCCGGGGGAATAAGAAAAAAGTGATCGGGTACATTGACGGGTGGTCAGGGGCCCGGGCCTTTGCACCCCCCTGGAGTCTATTTTTGGTCGGCCTTGACAGACAATATCTGAAGGAAGGCGCCTTCAGAGCCAGCCTGTCTCCCCAAAAAACCACTCTTTTACCCACCTGCTATTTTCTACAGCCAGGATGCACGCAATGTTTTCACTCCTCGATTGTCCACACACACCTGCTGTGTCCATTTTCTATTTTCCTTGCCCTTCTCTGCATGTACATGATCTTGGTGTGGGCTTGGCTCAAACGCTTTTATTTTTGGGGAAGGGGATGCTGTGGACGAGGGAGGGAGCGCACGCAAAACGATGGCTGGCTCAGTCGTTATTACGCAGCCACTCCATTCAGCGTGTATGTCTGCCATGTCCCATTGTCAGCAGCCCGCAATCGGGAAGAAAAGGCTGTGTGAAGGAGTAGGGGCGAGCTTCTCTATTCGGAACGCATTGTAGCTGCCGCTGATTTCCTCATACATGCACCACCACTCTGCATCCCCATGTCACGCCTGTCTGGTGATTGGCCCACGGGGCGATCATTGTCGCATCTGTTCAGGGCGACGAGCGAGAAACAGCCGGCGTGTGTCGACGCTGCATGTGTGAACACGAACGGCGAATGGGCATGACCTGGGCTGGGTTCGGGAATGACATCGGCTGGTTCGTCGTTGCGGCCAGCAAGCAGCTTTCCTCCACGATGTGCCGGCAGCCTGACCACCGCAGCGGAGTTGCAAATAAAGAAGGGGGCATGACCCGAGCTCTATGTCCATCACGCGTCCGTTCCCAGCCCACAGTGACCAACGGCGTCAAGCCTTGGCTTGGCGAGAGAGAGAAAATCACAGATGCAAAACAGCGCACGGGCTGCTGCGTAAAATAGAGGGGTTAAAAATGCACCCGCAATCACATGCAGCGTGCGTGACGAACACCAACGCAAGCTAACGCCCATTCTGTTTTTATTTTTTGGGATTCGCCGGCCCTCGCCCCGCTGTGCCGTATGCGGGCTGCGGCAGTTCCACGATCTTCGCCTGCCTTATTCGCACCTTCGGTGCAACAACCACGGCAGATTCATTATTTTGACATTCAAGCAACAACAAACACGGTATCCTCTACGTGTCCAGCCAATAGTCGCCCGGCGGGCCTGTATGCAATCGGAGTTGGGGGTGCGGGTTAAAAAGGCGATGTGCATTTTCCCTTCCTCAACAACACACGCCCTGGGTGGGGCAGGGGACTATGTGCGTGCGGCGATCCTGGGTGATTTCTGGGAATAGCCAGCGTGGTCGCCATAAGCCATGGGCTCGGAAATGATCGGCCCAGAGCCCCAGCAGACTAGAGTCAATGGCAGTAAATGAGCGCAATATATATTTTACATTACCCCCGAAAACGCCATTTACTCGTCCACGGCGCTCTCTTTCCACCCAGCCACCCTGCCCTTTCTGCATAAATTCATCCTTTTCATCCGGAAACTCGCTAACCGTGTTGCGCTCACTGATACCCGCCGTGCACCGCCTATCCACCCGGTCAATGGCGAGACAGGGATCCTGGCGGAATGCCTCAGGCGCAAGACAATCAGACGGAGCTGCAGAAACAATCCCAGGTAGGCTTTCTTTCCTTCCCGTTCCTCCCCCGATTGCCCGCAGCAGGAAACTTGCTGCCAGCTGCAACTGCGCAGACAAGAAACCTGAGCCGTTCCTCTCGCATCCCCCAATGGGCCTGCAACTGCCCGTTATCCACGCCCTTTCTGTGCGCTGATGTTGCTGCTCGCAATCGTGCATTGCCATTTATTTTTGGGGATGCCGGCAGAGGGGCAGCGCATGCAGCATGTATGGTGCGCCAATCCACTTCTCAGGAGACGCGCGGCACCCTTCAATCCTACTATCTTTCCTTTCTTGATTGTACTATGGATATTTGCTGCTGCTGTTGCTGATTCTAGCTGGCCACCTCTCGCCGCCAGTAGCATCTCTCTGCCACATCCTATTAGCCCAAACGGGGAGGGGTCATTGGCACCATGCTATTCATCAGCCAGCGCTGATCATAACTGCCTCGGAAATCTCCCTCTGGACATGCTTCGTGCTCAGCCAAACTGCTAGTTACAAAGTGGCACATTATCCTGTGGAAACTAAGCCTCGCCCTCAACCCTTGCTGCAGCTGCTGCGACTGCTGGCTCGGCTGGTTCGGCTGCGTAAACACCTGGCAGCAAAAGGTTTGGAGGCTTGTTGCGCTGCCCATTGCATACACAGACAATGTGTCCAATTGAGGGTACATTCACATTGCACTATTCCTACCCATTCATGGCCAGCACCCAATTATTCCTCAGCGATCATGATAATACGAGTTTCTACTGCGTCATTGCTTGTGAAACGTAACTCGCTTGTGTTCTAGCGGAACCATAAGCGGTCACACAATATTGCTATCTTTAAAAGTTGGGTCAACCTGGGTTCTTCATGCAGCGCCATCACACCAATCTGTTTAGCTTATATTGTACGCTCGTGTAAACATAATAACATGCTTCCAGCACTTGCTGGCGGCTCTGCTCCTGCCGACAATGTAGGCTTGGCAAACGGAAAAGGAAGTCGTAACTACATGCCCAAGCCATCCAGCCCGGACAATGCCAGAATGGATACGGCCAGCACAGGGAAAAACGCCAGCGTGAAGAAAAAGAAGAAGCCGAAAAAGGCAAAGAAGCGCAAAGGTGATCGCTCACCAGCAGATGTGTGGCTGCTGACACCGCTGAAGCACAACTGGACGGACAGACACTGGCACGACTTTGCCCAGAACGAGCGGGCCACGCCTTTTAAGGAACTACTTGTTTTGGATCTCAATGGCACGCTGCTGAAGCGCGCCCCTGTCAGCAAGACGCGCGCCGACGGACAGCGCGGCCGCCGAGGGTACCTGCGGCCGTACCTGCACGAGTTTCTGCGGTTTGCGCTGGACAACTTTGCTGTGATGGTATGGAGCTCAGCGCAGGCGCCAAGTGTTCATGATATGCTGGCAGTGGCCTTTGCCGGCATGGACAAGGAGCTGGTGCGTGTGTGGGACAGGAGGTTCTGCGAGATCGATGGCGGGTACTTTAAAAAGTCCCTGGCCATGAAGGATTTGCGAAAGATTACGGACGGATACACGCTGCAGGACTCGCCATTCCGCCGCATAATAAACAAGTTCGACAACGTCGGATACACCGGCATTGATGCTGCGTCCAAGGGCAAGTGGTCGCTGGACAACATTGTGCTTATCGACGATTCTGAGGAGAAGGTGTTGCAGCCCGATTGCCACCTGTTTATCAGCACGTACGAGGACCACAATAAGCCCGACAGCGAGCTGAAAAAGGTCACAGAATACCTGAAGGCGTATGCAGAGAACCGCACCAAGTACGGGTGCCTGGTGGCATATATGCAGCAGTGCCAGTGGTCCGAGTTCAAGGCCAATTCCAATGTGAGTTCTCACAATTCCCTCAGATCCGATGTGGTTGAGGACCCCGACAAGATCTGAATGTACCGCAGCCTATGCCAATCTAACAGACTTCTTTTTACTGCTATTGTTTAGTATGCGAGTGCCCAAGTAACCGTTACTGTTGACAGGCGGTTTCCGAATACCCACATACGATTTACGTAACACTTGCCATTGTGCCAACCAATATACTGGAATAGGATTAGCCAACGCCTATGTGGTTGAGAATGGCGTATAGATGTGTGAATGCCACAGCCATTAACCGCTAATTCAAATCTACTGAATATGTCTGAAACGGGGGCTTCACCGAAGATAAATGCCTACATGCCACCGCCTTGACAATCGTTTTGAGGTTGAATGTACGGGCGTGGGCCAATGGTATACACCATAGCCTGACCCAACATGCGCATTACGTGGTTGGTTGTTTGGAGATTAGATGCCATTTTGATCATTATTACGGTAATGACTGTGTGTGAATCTTGTGGTGGTGGTGGTGGTTGGGTGGCATGCAGGCTGACATGTCCGGGTGCGCATGCATCCGGAGTGCGTCATTATGGAGGTGCTGGCGGGTGTCTCAATCGTCCGCTGTGTGTCCAGCTGACCAGAAAGAAAGGGAACACCCGCTCATTCTCTAAAACTGTGAACAGCATCCGAAATCAGCCATACGCAAGCCGGGCTGGATTGTTGGAAGACCGCGTGGTGAGTGCGGTGTTTTTGGGAAAAAAGATATGCAGCTTGGTGATGTTGGGGAGGGATGTTTTGGACATTTCGCCTTGGGCATGATGCAGAGCTTTTTCCCCTGTTCCCTTGGCCAATGCAGCGATTACCGCTCCTCCCCACCAGCTCACGGCGAGACCGAGAGAGGGAAAAAGGCACACATATTGCACCACCACCAATAGGAGTGCCATGTATGAGATACATTAATTGACTGGCCATGTGGACTGGTGCATGAGCCAGCGGAAAATAGATGGTGCTGTTATCTCTTGCGGTATCGATTGATTGCCAGATAGGAAGCAGGTCTGTCACTCGCCAAGCCAATCACGGTTTTGGAGGGTGACAGATAATGGACTGCAAATTCACCGAGGAGTCTAGCTAGTCGTAGGGATACCAGTTACATTCATTTCTGAACAGCCGGTGCGCAAAGGGGGGCGGCCCTATTCATGAGCCGAGCACCGCCCAGGGATTTGCGGCCGGGTTGGGACTCTCGGAATGCACAAAAAGCTGGGCTGATTCCTCCTGCTCACGGACGAGCGAGGGGATCCACACCCTTGGCCGTCGCATGTGACCGACAGTCAGTATATACCACACAGTTATGTGCGTGGCATTCATGGTTGCGGAATACTGCGCGGCGGGACATGCCACCTGGGCCTGGCAATAGGTGCACCACTGCGGTACATCCACGTACACTGGTGTATTGTGCCTTTCGCCTCGTTGCAAAGGAACATGAGCCGCGGCAGATCCGATTCATGGTGCGCGGCCCATGTGGGATCCTCCGTTCATGGTGGAGGATCATTTTTTGGAAAATAAAAACTTTATGCTGCGGCACTATTTCCTACCTGTAACATCCGGGAGAACGAGGAGCGGCATCTGAAAGCTTATTCGAGCAGACAGCCGTTGCCACAGAGCAATTGGGGAGGGAGGCGGCGAAGGAGCGTGGAGCAAGAGATCGCCGCCTCGACAGTCCTGCGTGCCCCTCCCTTTTCGGCCAACAATAACGCGAAAATAAACAGGCCGAGTCCGAGCGTGCATGAATGTGAACGGTCCCTAACCGCACGCCCGCCTCCCATTTGCCAAGCCTAAGCCCCACGCCAGTGCTCCACGGGTTGGTTAGCCAAAGCGCATACACGATTGCCTGAGAACGAAAGATTCTGGGATACAGTGGGATTGTCCAAATAGCATGCAACTTCTTTCGAACACCCTGTTCCACCAGCACGAAATGAAACCGGCCTCCTGCGGCAAAGAAACAGCAGGTTCTTTGGGCAAAATGGGTGCGAAATGTGCCTGATGGACTGGTTTATGCGGATATCGACATGGCCAGCATTGACAATCCCTAACTTATTTTGCTAGAATCGTCTTGGTCAACTGCCTAACCCCCGCCATCACCACAACACAGACTGCAATCAATGTAGGTACTGCATTCGCAAGAACGGTATTTGAAAAAGGGTAATGCTGGAGAAGCGGTGACATGCACTTTCCTGGATGTGTCACTGGCAATCACCGAAGGTCTTCGATTTCAAACCCCGCTCACTATTTTTTTTCCTCCCAAAGCACACGCGTCTATCGCCAACTTTTTTTGCTTTAAATACCCTGTGCCTCCCAGATTCAGGGCACTCATCCGCGCTCTTCCCCCACCCTCCCCTTATTTATCTTCTTATCCATGGTCTAGGGTGTATATACTTTCTACAACGCGTTATTTTCTATCTGTTATCTCTCCGCCTTATTTTTCGGTTTAGCTCTCCGCAGTCGAGACGCGCGTTATTTTCGTGACTCCAGTAGGTTCGATAGGCCGCAAAAGATAATCACATCCACCAGTATCAACTGTGTGCAGAATTGCTGACGTCTACATGGACAAATCAGTTGTGTTCGCTGGTCACTCTCCTCTCTCAGCGCAGCACAGCACAGCACAGCGCCGCACAGCGCAGCACAGCACACCGCACCGCATCGCAGTGCTGCAGAAGCTGCCGAAAACAAACTTGTACCTCTGCTCCCCAAATTAGACCATCCCCTTTCTGCTCGTGTTTTTAATGGGTACCCTCTTGCCCGCTTCCCTTTTTTACTACGTAGGAATCCCCTTTTCTCGCCTGTTGCGCACTATTTCCTCCTTTTTGCATTTGTACCTATTGCCCAGGGTCATAAACCCCTGCTCAGCGAAACAGAAAACAAGCACCAATTTAAACAAAGGTAAGGACACCCAAAGGTGTGCCGGGCAGCGTACTATACGCGGTCCAGACGCCGAGCAGAGTCTCAGCAAGCCCCCCTCGCCTCCCGCTGCTGCTATTTTTAACCTTAACGGGGCCAGCATTACGCGTATAGCGCGGCAGGCTGTGCAGTCCTCTGTTCTCTGCCTGGGCGGCGAAGAGGGAAAAGGCGCGGGCTGGAGCGGTTTCCTGATTTGACCAGCATGCGCTTGCCTTCTCCCCGCAATGGCAGATGTGATAATGAACAAGGGGCGTTACTTTTTCTGGGCGTTTTGTCTGTGCACCATATTTCAAACTCCGCCTCAGTCTGTTCTGTGCAGCGCCTCTGTCTCCAGCGACCCGGCAAATAGCAGAGTACAGCGTCGCCTTGTCTTCCCGGAAGGGGATCTGTCTCTGTGCTTCGCGCAGCCCCTCCAAAAGTTACGTGCACTCCCTCCATGTTATTCCTATCCACGGGCTACGCCTATTTTCCGCCCAGCACGCCTGCACACCACAACCCCACCGCGTGAGCAGCGGAGCCTATTATGCACATACTGTTATAATAAGCAGTTCCTGCCATTGTGACCCACCCCACCTGTCTGCACCCGCACCCGCACCCTGTCTGATTGTCCCAGGGGCTTGCCGAGTGCCTCTCCTTCGGCGTAACCCGTTTCCCAGCAGGGTTGAGTGATTTTTGGGTCCCCTAGGATCAGCGGCTCCTGCTCCACTCTCCACTCTGTCTCTCTGGGATCTCCAGGCCACTCTCATTACTGGTCGCACCTTTTCAATTGTGGTATCAATCGTGGATTGATTGCCAAGGCCGAGAGAGCTACAGCTCTTGCCAGTCTTTCTCTGCCGCTCTATGCTGAAGGGGAGAGAGAGCCAATCACTGCGGTCTGTGGCCAGCTTCTGCATTTGCCAGCCTGGGCAAAAAGGAAGGGGCATTGTCTACAGGCAAGCGGGCAGGCGGGCAGGCGGGCAGGTAGCCAGGCAAGCAGGACCATGAAGCTTCTGGATCTCCTGCATTCTTTTTTAATAGCCACCAGGACTGCTTGCTCCATCTCCCACCTGCATTTCCGCTTGACGACGCAAGGCGCCAAAATGCACAGCATCCTCACGCTCCCACATTTAATCTGTGCCCAAACGTGCCAGCCTTGACGCCTCAGGAACTGGAGAGTGGCAGATCCCAATATGAACGAAAGGCAGCTGCTACTCTGCCCTCCCATTGCAACCGCGATTAGCTTTGGCGGCAGCCTGGTCATTCATTGACATTAACAAAAGCGGAAGGTGATGCACGCAAACCGGAAATCGCTCCAGGTCCTAACGCGCATTATGCAATAACCTCCCCCTGCCTTGCTCCTTCACTGACCTGTGGCCAGCGGCGGCGGCTTCCCTCAGCTCCAACCGCCTCAGACAATTCCCTTTCTAACCCCCACGCCCGTCCTCCCCCATTGTTGTTGTGTCCGTAAATCCTTCCCTTTTCCCGCCAACACTTCTGCCGCTCCACTCCTCCCCATTTCCTTTTGGTTATGCCGGATCAAAAGAAGCAGAATGCACGGCTGACGCTGGTCATGGATATGCACAGACACTACTCCCCCCTTCCGTTCGCATGACGGCTGTGCTCTCCGGGTCTCCTGGCGTCTTGGAGCACGGGCTGTCCAGTGATTCGCCCTTCTGCGCAGACGTGCGCCCTCCTCTCCTTTCTCTCTTCTGCCTCCCGTTAGCCTCCCGGCATATTTGTCTCTCTATCCTTTGCTTGTATATGCGGCTATATCGCATGCGTTGCCCCGAACGCGTCACGACACATATTCATTAATTGTTATTTCCTGTACAGACCCACCACCTGCCTACTCCTCAGACCTCTGCCTAATACCCTTCGTCTACTCCCCCTTTTCTTTGCGCAAATAGGTAAATATCGGGAACGGGCTCTATGCTCCGGAGCATTGCCTTACCGAGGCCTGTGATTCAATGTCACACGCACCGGCTACCTCTACTATCTGCTGTGTATCCGATTATGTCCCAAACCGAAGCCCCTCTACCACCTTATACTACATGGCTACTCCTCCTTCCCCTCTCCATCTCCCCCTCTTCTCAGCATGTTTGGTGCTGCTACTGCTTGTTTATATGTTTCCGGAATACGTGGCCTTGTAGGACAATCTCATACTCATCCTCTCCGCCGAGCTCCGGCTGGAGGCTTTTTCCTTATCGCCGCCGCGATATCGCCCCTCTGTCTTTGCTTTCTCGTTGTTGGTAGTGTGGGTATTTGCAACCTTTTTTATTTGTTGTATGAGCAGGCATGTCCCAGTTGCGTTGTGTTCGCATTCCCGCAGCAATTGTACTCGTTATTAGTGCCTTATATTTCCCAAATTAACCTCGTTCGGTTACAATTGCCAAAGAGCCCCCGCTCCACAATAACCGTCCGTCGAACTCTTGCTTGCCTTGTTTCCTGTGCTGCACATGGCTTTTGCGCTTTTTTTTCTTCAGAGCCTTTTTGGCATAACTCTTGCTCATTCGCGCACTTTTTTGGATGCACATTTGCTGTGCGCTCTTGCCTCTGCACTATTTTGCAGTGTCGTTGGGAGGAGGAGGATGTGTGACCAAGCGGGACTGCAACCCCACTTTCTGGCAAAGCTGCGTTTCCGAGAGCAAGCCCTCCTATTGTTTGCGATATTCGGGGTCTTCGTCAATGTGAAGTCGATTGTTTTTTGCCGATTTAAGGACACCAATTGGGGTGAAGCAACGAACAGGGGGAATCTAGTATGAAGGGCGAAGGGGGAGACCGGCCGCTGGGACAGTTTCCTTTGCCACTTGGGGCATGTGTTTGCTTGGATATTTTGTTTCTCTCTCCCCTCCCTTGCAGATGGCGGTAGAGTGCGCTTGTGTGTGCTGATGTATGACGTGCTTTGTTGGTATGTCGCCTCCTCTTTCTTTCCGCAACAAAACCATAGCCCATATCACCTAATATCCTATTTCCTTTTCCTTTGCTTTCCATCGGCTGCACTGTAGATTCTTATCACACATGTCAAGCGAACACATTGACCAGAGGACCTCTGCCAGCCCGGCTGTGGCATCCGTGGCAGAGGATACTGCCAAGAGTATACCGCATTCGCCAGCCCCTGATACCACCGACACAGCAACCACCGACACAACGCAGCGCAACATTGTTGTTCCCAAAACGGAGGGCAGATCCGACGACGAAGAGGCATATGCAAACTCCGACGACAATGCAGACGGCTCAGACCACAATTCAAACCACTCGCGCCATGCCAGCCAGGAAATGTCGCCCGAGCTTGCCGACGATAGATCGATGCCACCATATGGCGTTGTCGAAGGCGTCCATGGCCGGAGCCCAGGCAGTGAGCGGTCGGCCAGCATCAGCGTTCACCAGTCGGAGACGGCTTCGGGCGGGTCAGGTGGAGTGAACATCAGCGATGAGTCTCGTCAGCACCCGACATCCAGATGGCGGTCGGAGTCATCGTCGAGTCTTTCGCAGCAAGCGCAGTTCACATTCAGCAGTCCCATGCAGACGTCGGTGTCACTGCCGCATAGAACGCAGCCGCAGGATGGCCACCAGCAGCGCAAGCGGTACTCGACTGGAGGGGGCGGGCGGTACCACTATCCGTCGTCTTACCCAAACAGCGGCGAGCAGTCAGGCTCGGGAGACATGCCCTCGAAGTACTCTGGCGACCACCTGCGCCATCCCCAACATGGCAGTGGGCACGGCAACCAGGCCGAGGAGGATATCCGGATGTCGGAGTCGCCACCGCCCCACCACCAGCACTCACCAAACCGAGGCTCGTTCTCTGACCGCAGGCCGTCGGAGGATTCGACAGAGGTTTCGTTTAGCGAGCACAGCGGCAACCGGCCTGTGCCCGACCCTTACTATTCCCCCTCCCAGCATCATGGCCAGCGCAGCCAGCACCGCCACGACGGGCAGGCGCGGTCCCAGAGGCCGGCAGTACAGGTCATCCCTGGGATTCCAGCACCTGATGTCAGCGCAGTAACCATGCCGATCAACTCAATAGTAATGTACCATACGTCCTACAACTCGGGGCGTGGCGCAGTATGGCGGTTCTTCCAGGTCATCGAGCAGCGGGTGTCTGGCAACACCGATCGTGCCGAGTGCATGCTGTGCAAAAAGAAGATGCTGGGAAAGTCGGCGGACATGAAGAAGCATATCGTTCATTCGTGTCCGAGCCGCCACCTGATCCCTGAGGAGCTCGAGCCCGTGCTGGAGATTGTGCGTGGCGAGCTGGAAAACCCCAAGACGCGCGCCAAGCGGTCTATACCCAGTGGACCGGGCAGCGGCCGGTCGCCCAACGTCGGCCCGCAGCCAGCTGGCAAACTGCAGGTATCGACCAGCGGCCTGCACTCGGGAGCGTATTCGTCCCATCCCCACGGAGGATCAGTCAGCGCATACGATGCGGATCCGCATCGTGCCAAATTTGCAAAATACTCAAGGTACAGTATGCATATTTTCCCACCTGCATTCAAAAGGCAACATTCAAAAGGCAACATTCAAAAGGCAAAAAAGGCGCCACCCTTTCTGAATATTTGATCCAGCGAATAATTCTGCCAGGCTTGCATTGCCGGCGCATTCTGCAAAACATCGAAACCTAATTGATGGGCAAAAATAACCACTGTGAAGCCATTGTCTTGCTTCATGATATGCTGCAATTATTAAGCCCGTTATTCTTACTTCCTTCCTATTGCTAGGCACGACTCGCGGGCATCAAACAATAACGGCGGCGGGTATCCCATGAGCGCTGGTGTTGCAATGAGCTCACCGCCCGCTGGCGGCCAAGGTTCATATTCGGCGCACCCGTCGTCCCAGGCAGGCAGTATCCCTACTCCTCATCCGCACCCGATCTCCCATCAGCAACAAATGCAGCAGCAGCAGCACCACCACCACTCCCGCCAGCAGTCTCACCCGATACCGCTGCACACAGGCGATCAGCCAATTCGATCGCCTCCTCCTCCTTCCCAGCAAGGCCAGTCGTTCGGCCCACCAGGGCATGGCGGCCCAGCACGCATTGCGCCCAAGAGCGGAGGTGGTCCGCCGCCGTCTCAGCAGCAGTCGCATCAGGCTTCTTCTGGACACCCACCGCAGTATTATGCGCCAACCCAAGGTGGACCACCGCCGCCGTCTCAGCAGCTGCAGCAGTCGCGCGGACCGTCTGGATCAGGACGGCCACCCTCGCAGCAGGAGCAGCGACAGGTCATGTATTCACCCTCGGGCGGCCATACTCCGCCGCCACTGAACTCGGCACGGCTCAAGGCTCGCCTGCGTGACGGAGTGCCGGCGTTTGGCGTCTGGCTGAGTATTCCCAGCCCAGTCACTGCTCGTATGGTGGCTGCGCAGGGATTCGACTGGGCGTGCATTGATATGGAGCATTCGCCATTGAATCCCACGCTCATGGCCGAAATGGTTGCCGCTGTAGCCAGCACCGGGACATGTGCGCCGATCGTGCGGGTCCCGTCCCACTCGCCCGAGTACTTCAAGTGGGCATTGGATGCCGGCGCCCACGGGGTGATCGTGCCCATGGTGAACACTCGCGACGAGATGATCAAGGTCATTGGCCACTGCAAGTACCCGCCCGAGGGCCGGCGCTCATACGGTGCGTTTTATGCGCCGCAGTCATTCGGCATTCGTGGTCCTGGTGCCATGGGCGAATATGCCGAGCGCGCAAACCATGATATTCTGGTGATTCCGCAGATTGAGAGCGCCGAAGCAGTTAGCAATGTTGCCGATATTCTGTCGGTCAGCGGCATAGATGCGATATTTGTCGGGCCGTTTGATATGCAGGCGTCTCTGGGCATCCAGAGACCGGTGGAGGACTCGTATGATTCGCGGTTCTTGGCAGCGCAGTCGGCAGTCATACAGGCAGCCGAGGCGCGCAATATCCCACGTGGCATCTACACGTCGTCGGGAGCTGCAGCCAGATCAAAGCTGGGATCGCGCTACACTCTGCTGGTCGCTGCTAACGACCTGTCGTGCCTGATGAGGTCGACTTCTGAGAACCTTGGCCGCGCCAAGAGCGACCCGCGGGCATATCGCTAGCTGTACTGCGAAGCTAACAAGAAAACCGGGCTGGGAAGCACCGGTCGAAGGGGAACCCGGCCCTTGCTCCTCTGGCTAAACGAAAAAAAAAAACACTATATTTATCTTAACCACCCCTGCACCGTCACCGATATGTTGGTGGGCGGTGTGGGTATTTCTTATGTCTTTTACGAGAATTGTTGTCACATCGACATGTTAATTTTTATATCAAAACAGCCCATGCTTTTTGCCAACTTCTCTTACCACACAGATGCGCAGTTACTGGCTCTTTTGGTGCGGCTGCTCGCTTGCCGGCATTTTAGCTCGAATGGTCCGGAAAATAACAAACGTGCCAGCGAACAGGGCAGCCAGCGTCAGTGCCTGAATCATAGATACCTTGTCGGCGTGGGCAATCGGCATTCTCACCACAAGATCCGACTCGGGCGCAATCTCCAGCACACTGCCAGCACGAGCGAGCAGCTCAGGCAGCAGTGCTGGGCGGAACACCAGCCGTCCAAACAGTTTGTCCTTCACTGGTGCCTCAGCCTCAACATCTCTCTGGCAGACCACCAGCGAAATGGCTGGGAGCAGTGTCACATCTGTATGCGACTCTCCGTCTGGCTCTCCGTCGTAGCCAACCGTGCGGCCGTTGAAGGGCGCCAGGCGGTAGCGAGCGTGAATCGGGACCTCCACCTGCGTATTGGCGCTGACGCGGCTGACAGTCAAAATGCTGCCCCAGTTGGGCATGGCCTCGGCAGGCTTCTCAAGCTCCACAGGGCCAAACATGCGCGCGTCAAGCTTGGTATCGTAGATCTGATAGGGATCAAAGAAGTACGTCCTCGGCAGAGTCTGGACCAGTGTCAGGTTGCAGTTTGGCGGCATAGACTCGACGTGGCTTTCAATCCTTAGCGCCGGATGGAACGACCGGAACTCCCTGATCTTCTCGACCACATATCCGTCGCTGATATCATCAACAGTGCTCAGCTGTCTCGGCATGTCCATCACCTTTGCCTTTTTCTGGCCATGCTCCAGGACATGCACGCTGGGCCCCTGCATCCATGCAATCCTGGCCGTACTATTCTCGTGCTTGGACACCACAGCCGGGTCTTCTGACGGTGGCAGCATTGACAGCACCTGGACGTCAATCTGCACAAACCCATGCGACGTGCGGTGCAGCGTAATATCGATGCGATGCTGATCGAGCCAGGTGCGGCCAAGTCTGCTCACACGGGGGTCCACCAGCGTACGCAGATGGCTCTCGGGATCCAGGGCGTATCTGGCCAGGTTGAGCCTCTTCTGCTTGCCCGCAAAAGCCGCCAGTGCCTTGCTGTCAAAGGGAGCAAAGTAGTAGATGCTGTTAGAATGGACGTCAATGAACGCATCAGGACCCAGCTCCGCTTTCTCTTCAGGCCATTCCATCAGCGCCGCCATCCACTGGCGCATCTCTGCTTTCGCCGCCTCTAGCTGCTCGTCATACACTCCACGCACAGCGGTTGCCGATGCATGCATTCCACAGTGTTCGATTCCACGCTGCAGCATAAACGGCATCCTCGGCACGCTTGGCTTCTCACGGCACATCTCGGTGCTCAGCACAATGCGGGCTGTGGCCATCTCGCTCGGCCATTGCGGCAGGTCCAGCGAATCCAGGAGCGTCGTGAAGCCCCAGACATGCCATGCAGCACCCTGCGCACTGACAGTCCAGTGGTTTGCGTCCGGCGTGACGGCAATGGTATCAGAGAGCAACCAATGGGTCTCGTGCTCGAATCCGCCGGAACTTAGTGCAATGTCAGCGGGTGGTTGGCGCATGTTGGAGTAGGATAGGGCGGCGATGGGCGAAATTAGCACGGCCAGCCGTGTGATTTGGGTGTGTGATCGATAAAGGCGCATGACGTCAAAGAAGTAAACCAGAGGAGTGCGTGTGGGGAGAGAGAAAATTAGGCACGAAGCATTTATATTTCCCTCAAATAGAGCACGTCTTTTGTTTGTTTGCATGATGGGTGCTAGATGGAATATGGTTTGGTGCAGTGATTGAGCTGGTCACGGCACTTTTCGCCAGCAGAGCGGGTCTCAGGAGCCTTGGCTCAAGGGAGCACACAGTGCATCTGCAAACCTTGTCTCTCAGCACATTGGCCGAAAACACGCTGTCAGCGAGCATGTGGCTCGCCTTCTGAAGAACAGCGTGATGACATTGCTTGACAGCCTACAGCGTCGATCCTCCCCTCTGCATGACCGGGCTTGGCAGCTATGCGCTTCACAAAGGGAGATGCGGATAAGGCCATGGTGCTAATAGGATGGTTTCAGGTTTGTATTTAGGGAAGTCTGTTGAAGGTGCAGGTTGACTTTTTTGGACGGATCTTTGAGGGGTAGGACGAGCCATGTAGCCAGCGTCGTTGGGAAGGCTGATTTGGCGTAGCTGATTCGGACTTGATGGGCTCAGGCACCTTTTCCTCCTTGCCGCTGAACATGCGACGATTAATTGCAGTGGCCCTGACAATGAAAGGGCAGGATGTCGATGAACATGACCTTTGCCTCTCTTCTCTTTCCTGCTCCTTTTCGCCCTCCGCCCTTCGCCCTTCGCCCATTGCCCACTGCCCAAGCAGTGCCCAAGAGTAAGTGCGGCTCGCTGTCTGACAGACACTGTGCCACCCCCCAACATCGCTGTTTTCCCAGTGCGCATGAAGCTTGTGTCGGAGAAATTTGCGCTTCTGCCATGCCTTGTGTGATGCACCCAGCGCTCGGGCCCCCTTCTGGCTGTATGTTCCACGCATCTGAATAGTGCAATAGATGCGCAAGACAGCGGCTTTTGCGCCCGAGGCTGTGACGGCTTTCTGCCCCTTAGGAGCGCACTTCCAGGTCTGTGCGGAGCGCCCTCGGGGAGTGGCATCGTCGGACGGAGCTGCCGTAAATAACGCGTAGCCCTTGGCTAATGGGATTATTTGCAGAAAGCATTTTTCTGGAATAGTTGGGGAGGTTCAATCGCCCACTCGATGCTGTTACTCCCAATGGCGGCCGGGAGTGAGCAACAGCACGATCATCGCCCTCAGTTGCCGTGGCTCTATTTCGATCCTGCCCTTGGGGGTCGAGGCTGCCTGGCCTGAACAGAGGCAAACAAGCCTGCACGCTGCCAAAGCGTCTCCCGTATATGCTGCCTCGGGACCTGGGAAAAAAGCACCACGACTGATTTCTGCTCCACTCTTCTCTCCTTTGCTCGTAGAATAAGCAGCTGCAAAGATATTAGGCAAAAAATCAGCAACGTTTTTTTGCTGAAAAACGGAATCGGTGGCTTCAGCGACTCTTATCTAGTTTGCGCATACGGGATTTCTCCCTCATCTTTCACTCCTAGTATTTCCTTCTCTCCTCTATACCTGTTTCAGACCCACGGTTTCTTTGCGTTTAGGTTTCCCCTTCTTCTTCATAGCGCCGGGTTTGCCAGGGCAGTGTTCTGACCGAGCACTAGCATTATTTGTTTCTCTCCCTCCCTATTATTTTATTTCTCTGCGGGTGTCTTTGCCTGCTGAACACCTCCCTTTTTCCTTACTTTTTCTTCTAATTTCCCTTTCATTCCCCCTTCCCACACGCAGTCTGTTTTTAAAAAGCACTTCACGTAAGTTGGCCAGAGTGTGAGAACGCCCAGCACATGTTGGGATGAGTGTGCAATTGAGCAAAAAAGTTTTTCCTCCCCTTCCCGTTTCTCTAGGTCGTACAGTGAGGCAAGGACGTCTATGCGGAGTACTTTAACCTTGGCCGAGTTTTTGTCGAACGCGCCAACGCTGTTCGGCTCAGAGCTTGAGCCTGACGAGGAGGTGGATCCCGACATAGCAAACGGAATGCATAGCGGGGCCATCCGACGGTTCACGTTCCCGAACGGCGAAACGTTGTCGTGCGTGCGGTGGGACTCGCAGTACCATATCACGTCGACGGACATTATTCGCGCGCTTGTGCACCGCTTCGAGGGGATCATGCGGCCTGTGGTGAACATGAAGAAGTTTGAGGAGGGCGTGTTCAGCGATCTGAGGAGCCTAAAGCCCGGCACCGACGCACGGCTGGAGCTGCCCCGGTCAGAGTTCCTCGAGCTGCTGTACAAGCACCATTGCGTGCGGACGCAGAAGAAGCAAAAGGTGTTTTTCTGGGACTCGGTGCCACACGATTTGTTGTTCAGAGAGGCCCTGGAGCGCGATTTGAAGAGGGAGGCGATGGGCATTGAGCCAACGACCAAGGTCGACAAGAACACCGACCCGACGACGATGGTCAACATCGGTGGAGTCGACTTGCCGCTGACTGTGCCGCCGACGCTGGCTGTCCACTCAAGGCTGCCTATTGCGTCGTCGGCTGTGGCGGGCAGCAAGTCTGTCACTGCCAAGGTCTCAACAGCCACTGTGCGTATCTCTGCAGCACCTGTGCCAGCGCCCATGCCAGCAGAGACTGTTGCCAGCCACATCCAGAGTATGCCATTGGCCCCGACATCCACTGCTGGACATGCAGTCACCCAACATCAGCAGCAGCCACATATTCAGCCACAGCAGCACATAGATAGCAGCGGTAATGGGTTTTACAGCAACGATGTTGCGTCCTCGGCGTTGTCGCTGGCGTCGCTGGCGTCGCGCAGCTCACAGGGAGCGGCGGCTAATACCGGGTATCCGCGGAGCAACAGTGGGTTTGCAGACTCGACGGACATGCTGACATTTACCGCTGATGTCGACATGCGGCGGGCGTCGGATACATCAGTAGTGTCGATGGCCATGATGGTGCCTGGCGGGATTGGCAGTGACCAGGGTATTCAGCACCAGCAGCAACCGCAGCAGCAGCAACAACATCAGCAGCCACACTCGCTCACAGACGCCGGCCAGTTCCCATACACGCTTTTTAACACTGGTTCCAGCCAGCCCTCGCTGAGCGAGTACATCTCTGGTAAAAGCGCCCAGTCCACCAGTAGCCAGCACCGCGAGCTCGGTATACCGGCTGGCGTGGCACCGATACGTGACAGCTGGACAGGCGTTGATTTCAACGCGCTTCACAAGCAGGCGTCCGAGCTCAAGGCAAACTACGAGGAATACCAGCCAACACCGACGCCCTACCACTCGCCCAAGGACCCCGCCATTGACGACCCTGAAATACTGGCCCTGCTGAACTCGACCAACGCGATGCTGACGCAGGACAATGTTGGTGACTTTTCTGATATTCTCGAGCAACTGCTGGGCAGCAGCGGCCAGATCCGTGAGAGCAGCAACGGTGCTGGCGGAGGGTTTTCGTTGGACGCTTCGGCGCAGCAGCAGCAGATTCTGTGGGATCACCGTGGTGCCGCTAGCCAATCAGCAGCCGGAGCGCAGCAGCCTGCAGCAGCGATTCCGCCGTCGAGTGCTGGCATTGCACAGTCAGGTGGTGTTTTGGGCGATGATGTCGAAATGGCTGCTGGGAGCAGTCGCGCGGCATCGGCGATACTAGACTCGATGGTGTCCTCGCCGTCGGTTGCAAACTCATCTAGCGCTATGTCGCCGCACGATACGCCCGGCCAGGCTGCCTTCAGCCGAGGCGTTGGCAGCAGCAGCAGTACTGGGCTGCATGGGATGGTAGCGGGCGATACGTCCTCCAACTCTGCATTCAATGCGATGCTGTCGATGGAGGAAATTAACGATATTCTTGCATCCAACGGCATGGCTGCATCGCGACCGCCTCCGTCGATCAGCGGGTCCAGCATGGCGTCAGCCAGCGGCAACGAGCAGCAGCAGAAACAGCCAAGCAGGCCATCGGCTGGAGCTGCCGGATTTAGCCAGGCTGCCGAAATGCAGTCACTGATTCCTATGTTTGGATTGGCCGATGCCGAAATGGCCGAGCACACCGGCAGCGGCAGCAGCGCAAACAATGGGTACCAGGCAGGTAGCAATAATGCTAGCGGGGTGCAGTCAATCGACGTGGTCAAGCAGCTCTGGGAGCGCCAGAAGGCCACCACGCGCTCCACGCGCTTCTCGCGCTTCCATCCATACCTGAAGACCATGCACCGTATTGCCCACCGCGACACGCCCTCAATCATCAACCGGGTGCCCAGCACCGCCGACCCGTCGGTTGCTGCGGCAGCAGTAGGCGCAATGGCGGCATTCGTGGCCAATCGCCAGCAAGCGTATGCACCCACTCAGACACAGCCGCAGCAGCCGCACCAAAACATGTCGCTGGCTGCATCTTCTACCGCTAGCAATAGCCTGCTAGCATTTGACACCACTGATAGCGGTGCCCTTCAGGGGTTCGATTTCGGAAAGCCAGCGCTGCCGAGCAGTAGCAGCGAGAGCCAGCAGGCAGCGCAGCCCGCCTGCACCAAGGTAGCCCCGGCGGCCAAGAAAGAAACCAACGGAAAGCCGGCCAAGCCAGCAGGCAAAAGCCGGCGTAGCAGCCGCAACGAGGCCGGCAACGATTGCCGCCGGTTCCCATGCACGTTTGCTGGCTGCACAAAGCTGTTCAAGCGCCAGGAGCACCTGAAGCGGCACTTCCGCACCCACACTGGCGAGCGGCCGTACAAGTGTCCGGCCCCCGACTGCGGCAAGGTATTTGCCCGCATGGACAACCTCAACCAGCACGTCCGCACCCATGTCAACCGCAAGACGGCCCATCGCCGCTCCAGCAAGTCTGCCGGCGACAATGCACTGGCGCAGCTGACCGACATGGCAGGCATGGATGTGGGTGACGAGGAGATGCAGTCGGCATTCAGCGGGTTCGTTGACGGGCTGACCGGCAATGCCATCGACGGGACTGTCAGTAGCGAGATGCTACAGCAGGCCTCGAATGGGCGGTCGATGCGGATAGCCATGCCGACCGAGAATGCCGGTGCTGGCCCACAGCCGCTGCAGTCGCCGCTGATGGAAAACAACGAGGTGGCCAGGCTGCGCAAAATGTCAAAGAACAACCGGCTGCGCAACAACGCGTCGGCGGTCAACACGCCCTCTGTGCCCATCCCCAGCAGCCGCCCGGATGACCAAATATCGCCGTTCTTCACCAACCAGGTGTCCAACTACATGGACCTGCAGCCAATGAACACTCCTATCGTGGACTCCCACGGCGGGCTGCCACGCACTGTGTCTACCGAGACTACCTCTGGAATCAACACCGCCTGGCTGGCATCGTTCCTGTCACAGAGTCAGCAGCAGCAGGGCGGGGGCGTGGGGTTTACGTGGAATGGAAATGGAAGCAGCATGAATTCTGTGTCCCTCAAGCGACGGCTTGATGAGAATGGCGAGCAGATACAGGGCGGGAGCGTGGGGTTTACGTGGAATGGAGACGGGAGCAGCGTGAATTCTGTGTCTCTCAAGCGACGGCTTGATGAGAACGGCGAGCAGATGCAGGAGCCGGACAGGCAAGGTAGCCCCAGCAAGATTGTGCGCGCGACCGCCGTGGCGAAAACCACACAGCCAACTCTTATATAATATCCTTTATCCCCTCTACATGTCTGTCTCCTTTTCTTTGTGTCAGTTCTGTCTTATTGCTTTGGTCTACTTATCCAGATATATATTGTTCTGTCGTCCATGCCTATCTAGAAATCGAACTATTGACATATGCAGTGCATCGTGATTAAGAGGTAAGCTGCCATGGACAAACACATGTGCTGCATGCCTGCGTTGTTGCACAACCACCGGTCCCGCTCCCTGCCACCACCTCCGCAGTCGTCATAAGGCGGGTGCCCTCTGTAGTCGGATCTATGGCCAAAGTCGTCGTTGTCCCTCCAAGCAGCGGCAAATCCAGCGAATGAAATGAGTATCGAAACGCAAATTACAGCACGGAACCACATGATATTCTATTTTCAATTCTTAAAGGCAACGAAGCTGCTGAGAGGGCTAGATTATATCTATGTTGGAATTTCAAGCACGAAGGTGGCTCGATGGAGCTATATACTGGGAGAAGCTCCGCAGGCACATATAACAATGCTCCTTCAATCTGCTGCCACGCCGATATCTGCGTGAGATACCATATATCTTTCTGCAACTTCCAGCCTACTAGTCTACTGTCTACAAGCTCCTTTAATCAACTGTCGAAAGCACTAGCCTCAAGGCTCCTCTCGCTGCTGGCCATGCGGGATGGGACAGTGGTACTGGAGGGCGGCATCGAGCTGCACTATGTCTGCAGAAGTAATCCCGATTACACAATCAAATTCCTGATTTGGTCTGCGATTGCGGCTCCAAAGCTGCGGTTCGGGGCTGGGCTACAACTGCGTCAGGCGCTAATACCGCAGTAGTCTTCAAACTGCTCGCTTTCCGTTTTTAAATTTGTATAAATCGCCTCTTGCAAAATGTCTTCGCGTGCTGTCAAGAAACTGCTTCGGGAGCGCGGGTACGACGACCTGGCAGAGACCACGGCGCGCATTGAGCGGCGTGCCCAGCAGCTCCAAGAGAACAACAACGACGACGAGAGCGGCTCGGAGGATGAGTCGCCAGCCACCGGCGAGCCAGTCAATCCATTTGATCTGCTCAACGATGCTGCAGCGTCTGAGGAAGAGGAGGAGGAAGAGGAGGACGTGGAGCAACCAGAGATACCTGTAGTCGAGGAGAAGCCTGTCACGAAACAGACCAAAAAGAAGGGCAAGAAGGGCAAGAAAAGCAAGGGCAAGGCCAAGAAATCCGCTGGCAAAGATATGGCCGACATGTCGATTGAGGAGTTCGAGGCGCAGCTGGCTGCAATTGGTACAGCCCTTCCCGATGCCCATGCCAGCGGCGGCAACAGCGACACAGGCAGCCGCAAGCACTTGACCGGAGGCGTAGGTCTAACGGCAGAGCAGCAGAAGAACCGTGCTCTGCTGACTGCCGAAGCCCGGCACCTGGATGCTGAAGCTGAGATCAAGCGGCTGTTTGGATCCGTGGCTGTGCGTGATGCAGGCAAGCGCAAGGTGCCGCAGAGCCGGCTGCCCAGGCGACTTGCACTGTCGCATCCAAAGATGGCGTGGCCGCCGATGCGTACTGACCCAGGTGTTGAGATGGAGGTGCTGGACCGCGAGACTGCCGATGCTGAAATGCAGGAGATCATGGACGGCGACCGGACTGGCGGAGTGTGGTTCGGCATCACGCACAGCGCACGGTTCCGCACGATCCAGCTCGAGTTCCTCAGCTGTGTAATGACACACAACGCCGATGGCGTAGCGGCGCTTGTGTACCAGCACCCGTACCATGTCGATGCGCTGCTGCAGCTGAGTGAGATTATCAAGCAGACTGGCGGCGATTTCGGCGAAGCCGCAGAGCTGGTTGAGCGTGCCCTGTATGCGTTTGAGACTGGATTTGCGACCAAGTTCAGCGCCACCAACGGCTTGTGCCGGCTGGATTTCAGAAAGATCGAGTCACGGTCGCTGTTTCTGGCAGTATTCCGCAACATGCAGTTTATGGCCAGGCGCGGGTGCTGGAGGACTGTTTTCGAGTTCAACAAGGTGCTTCTGTCGCTGGACCCGCAACAGGATCCGCTGGGCGCACTGCTGACGCTGGATTTCCATGCGCTGAAGGCAAAGCAGTTCGAGTATGTGAGGTCGTTTGTGAGCAACTGGACATTATCGCCGGTGGATCTGCCAAACTGGGCGTTCTCTCGGGCACTGGCCGAGTTTATGTTTGAGAACTCGCGTGCCGGGAAGACAGCAGCTACTCAGGGCGAGCGCAAGCAGAGCCTGGAGATGCTGGTCGCTGCGATCCTGCGGTTCCCAACGGTAGTGCCAATGCTGTGGAGCAAGGCCAACATCGATGTGGACCCGGTGATTCTGACCCACCCGTACTTCCAAGAGACTACGGTTCCCGATGAGTCAGCCATGACACATATGCAGCTGATGGTGACGCTGTTTGTCGAGCGCAATTTCCCGCTGTATCGCACCCCCGAGGTCACGCGGTGGTTGCAAGAGGGTCTGCTGCTGGCTCTCGAGCGCATCACCAACGATGAGCTTGGCATGCAAAAGGACTTGAAGCGGGATGAGGATATTGCCAAGCGCAAGGAGTTCCGCAAAAAGCTCTGCACTTATAATGTGCCCGAGAATATCTGCCGCCACGTGCTGGTCGCCGACATGGAGGCGCTGAAGAGTGCGCTGCCAGAGGAGATCCGCAATATGGAAACATTTGCGTTCGACCCCCTGCCGCCCCAGAACAATATCAATATTTATGACGAGATTCTGGGTGATCGCGGGATGGGCGGTGTGGTGATGCCGGGTGGCTTGGATATCGAGGACCTGGAGTTGGCTGAGGATGGTGGACTGGGCGCCATTGGGAGGCTGGTAGAGCGGTTAAGGCAGCAGCTAGGGCTGGGCGCGGGTGGCGGCGAGGATCCAGGCACCAGTGATGAAGAGGACTTCATAGATGCATTAGGGCTGGAGGACGAGGAGGAGCTGATGAATGCCTTGGCTATGGCTGACGAGGCGGATCGGAACAGACCTAACGGCGCGGATGGACCTGATGGCCCGAATGGCCAGGATGAGGAAACAGGGCAATAGCAATGTCGTTTGGTTTACCGCACATAGCTTTAGAAATACATTCCTTGTGGCCATCAGAACATTGCCATGAAGCATGGTATCTTGCCAGTGTTTTCAGGGTGTGTGTATTTGCAGTAGCTGTAGTTGATAAACTCGCTGTCTTGTGATGCACATCACCATGGCTAACCAAACCATGAAACCAGTCTATAGCTATACATACAAGTGCAGATGATTGTATTATAGCTTGTCAAAACAAACCGTGTATGGCAAGAGTGATATAGGCAATGAATATGCCTGTACCGAATGCCTTCTTGGTGGGACTCGTGTTTCTTCATGGATGCCAGCAAGCACAACTTGCCATCTAGCGTGGTCATCTTCTATGCTGCTCTTGGATGGATTTGTAGTGCTGGATGCCAGATCCACCATTGTAGAGGTATACCTGTCAAGACTCGACAGGTCCTTTACCACCAGAATACTGTACGCACGCGGATCACTATGCACTATTCCACACTCATGGACCAAAATACATGGCGCATAATGCTGTGCTTGACTGGCGTAGGGAATTTCCCAATCACGTCTTTGCCAACTGTCGACATACCAATAGCAGGCAATGCATCATGGATGTACTCCAGGGCCATCGCCAGATACAGCATCCTTTCGATAGCCATTAGCCCAAACTTTTACAATCTTGGCAGGACCGTTCCTTGCAGGTCACCTACGCATATATAGCTTCTTGTTTCGTGCACCATTTTGCACAGAGTGTCATCACCCATGTCCACATGGCACAGCTTCAAGACGAGATGCTGGTTGTCTTTCCAGGCTTCAATGACAAATCCACTGCGGCGGTATTCGAGGTAGCGTTTCAGCTTGAAGTGTCCACTTAGCGGGCACCAGTGTCTAGAGACCCATGGTCAGCCGTGGGGTATGGAAGTATCTGTCATTGGGTTTGCGGCCTGCATACCTATCTTCTGCATCAGCATCGGCCTGCTTGCTGTCATTGAGTGGTAGCAATTTGTTGACCTTGCGGATAGAGGACTCGACACCTCGATACGCATTGTGGATCGCCTGCTGAGAAGCCCTGACTGCTTGCTGTGCCACTGCCTGGACCTGCAGCTCAAGCTGAATCGAGGCGTCGCGGTCCTGTTCCTATTTAACCAGTGACTCTTTGCACTTGTCATCGAGGCTGTCAAGCTCACTCTGCAACTTCTCAGAGTTTGTGTCGAACAGCAGACAGGAGAAGAGATTCTTCTGACTCGCACTGAAGCACTCGTACTCAAGCTAGCACAACCCAGCTGTCTCTGTAGTGCGACCCACAGAGACCAGCTCAGAGGTACTGTTCATGCACTCAAGCTTCTGGAGATGGACAATGCCACAGTACACCCCTGCCAGAGCAATAATTATATCACTCTTTATCACATCGCGATCCGCCCGCTGAACCCACTTTGCCACGTACCTTTAGAGATATATCTCATATCTAGCAGGGAATGGTCCATCAAACAGAGACCATTGTCTCTTGTCTGAGCGCAGACGACTAAAGAGCCTGGACAACGAAAGCCCCTTTACTACAAAATATATGGAATTAAGGCGAGTATGATATTTATGATAGTGAAACAGTTGCAGTTGGAACAAGGGGATAGCATGTGCAAGGGGATATCTACTCTTGCGGATAAACCCCATGGCCACGGATAAGGCTTTTCTACATGTTTACACTCTCAGCTAGCATGGGCAGCTGTGTTTTCCTGGGCACTTTTTTGGATAGCGCACACAAACATATAACAACAGGTGTGAAAATGTAAACTGCCACCACTGGCAACCTAGTTTCAATATATAGCAGAGTCGGCTCTGGTACAACACATGGAAGCCTAGCACTACTAGTGTCCTGGGTATTTTGTGCTCATTTGATATATTAAATGCGACACTCATCAATCAAAGGTGGTAAAAATAGCTGACTCAAAATGCACACATCATGCCGATACAGCTAGGGTTTACGAATATGTTCATAGCTACAGAGTGTATTTGCGATATCCAGCCATGAGCAAATCCTCTGAAGGGTGACTAGTGAATGTGTTTCTGGAATTAGCCAGAGACAAGGTTGTTGGTGTTGGAATGGACAGCGTCGTTGGCCTGGTTGGCGTTGATGTTGTTAGAGTACATCGTGTTCTCGTTAAAGTTGGCACGGTTGGTGGCACGATCGAAGTCGCTGTTGAATGAGCTCACAAACGGGAATCCCCAACCGCCATATCTGCCATATCCGCCATATCTGCCATAGCCACCATATCCACCATATCCACCGTAGCCGCCGCAGATACCACAGCCGTACCCTCCACAAAAACCGCATCCGTACTGGCGACGAGTAAGCTCGGGCTGGTGAGAAGGACCAGTGCTGGCCGGGAGCACAGCAGGATCCTGGACTGACGGAACACTGATAGGCTCAGGGGCAGGGATCGCTTGGGCAGAAGGAGAAAATGTTGCCAGAGCGACGAGTGCAAGAAGAGAGGTGCAGGTGTTGAACATGTTGAAAATGGGAATCGAAGTTGCTTGTTGTTGTAGCTGCTGAGTGCCGATGCTTGATCTGTGTTGGGAAATTGGTCTTTGGTCGCTGCTTATATATCCACAAGAGCCTTCACAGTTACATATCTACAAGATGTATCAGATGCAACTACTGCCACAAAGTGCTTAGCCAGAAGTAATCCATAGACCAGTATGTATTGTCTATCCAGGTAAGGTAGCGATTGATCATGTAGCCACACCTAAATAAGCATTAGCATCTCATGGGTGTGCTGTTCCCGTGGCTAAAAAATCAATCCATGCCAAGGATCTATTTATGATATTGTGACTACGAATACTTAAGGATTTCTGGCCACCATATATGGAATAGGAGGCAGCCCTGTCATATTAAGCCCAGCATTGCCAGCAGCATTGCCAGATGCCTTAATTCCGCTCATCTCACAGTGCCTAATAAGTCTCTTGGGAAGCGTCTGCGTCTTCTGCAGAACATCTGGTGCTTCAACAAATGTCATGAGCATCCGCAGACTCTCGGGGCTGCCGTGAATATTGACATGGCAGTGGTACAGCCAGACACCCGGATTGTCGGCGCGGAACCTGACCTTGATATACGAGTTTGGTGGGATCTCCATGACATCACGCCGGATCGGAGCAACAAGCGACTGCACAAGCGGAGAAAATGTACTGCCTGGCTGGAACGTCGCCAGCGACGGGCCATACTCGGTGACCTGGAACGCATGGCCGTGCAGATGCATAGGGTGGGGAAGTCTGTTCGGGTTATGCACTTCAAGTTCAATGACCTCGTTGTGCTTCAGCACGACCGGATGTGTCCGGTTATTGTAGACCTCGGGGTTCATTGCCAAGTCGCCAGTGGTCATTGCAGTAAACAGGGAGGGGACCAGTGGCGCGTAGTATGTGATATTGTTGATGTGGTTCATGTGCTGACCTGTGGACATGAGGTTGTTGCCGACCGTCAGACGCAGCGAGCGGTCGACTGGCAGTGGTGGCTGTTTGTCAAGTGCTGCCAGCTTTATATCTTCAACCCACGTCAGTGTGCTATCATCGACGTCGGGGAACTCCTTGACTGGCGACTCCTGCTTATATTCGATCAGGCCAGAGTAAAAGCGTGGGGTCTCACCTGGTGATGGCTTAATGAAGTCCGCGTACAGCTTGATCTTGAAGTAGTAGTTGTACTCGTCCGAGTCATGTGCAGTGACCAGAACCGAGTAGCGCATGGCAGGTGCCAGCTGCACACCATCAACTGGATGTTCGTCACTCAGGATCCCATCAACCTCAATAATGCGTAGCTTGAGGCCGGGGATCCGGAACTTGAACCACACGGTGCTGGACATGTTGATAAGGCGGATCCGGTAAGTCTTCTTTGGCTCAAACCTGATCGGCTTCGTGGTGTTGCCGTTGTAGCCGTTAATAAGGCCAAACCCGTAGCCAGACGGCGGTGGGAATGGCTGGGTTGGGTCAGTGGTCAGTGCTGCACGTTCGGCAAACTGCTCCTTGTACCAGTCCTCGAAGGTGAACAAATGCTCTGCATCGTACTTGTACGGCGGCTCCTTGTCATAAATGACGAGTGCAGTGCGCAGCCCGTCAGCGTTTTGATCGTGGTCGTGGCCGTGGAGCCAGAAGGTGCCTTCCTGCTCGAGATGGTACTTGTACGTGAATGACTCACCGGGCGGGATTCCGCACTGGGTGGTCATTCTCGGTCCGTCCATGTAAGCCATGCCGCGCATGAACAGGCCGTGGGCATGGATCGTCGTAGTTACGTTCAGCGAATTGTGCACGTTGAGGATGAGGGTGTCGCCGCGAGTTGCATACACAGGCGGGATTGGAGACCGACCGTTGACGCCAATCGACTGCTTGTAATTGACTCCATCACGCATCATGTACACATATGTGACATCCCAGTCAACTACAACCCGCCTTGCCAGCGCAGCGGTAGAGGAGACCAGCAAAAGTAAAGTGTGTAGTAGCATGGTGGAAAGAAATAAAGGGAGGAAAGAGGTATTTTTGAGGTATTCTTGCTTCATGCTTGGTCCACATTTATATTGAGCAAGCATTGCAACTAAACCAGACTGCCAGTAGCTAGCCTTTTGCTTGCCGTCTGTTCATACATAATAGGTCAACAGCGGAGTGTCGAATAAAAATAAATGCCTCGTTTTCACAGTGCAGGTGGCGCCGTTGACAACAAACCGGCAGGCATCTGCTGTGCAGGAAGCTACATGTAAAACTATCTGTCTGTAAAGGGGTAAAAATTGATGATTTCTCAACAACGGCACCGTCTGAAGTGGCCATTTTATAGCCACTTCAAAAGGGTGTCATAGAAACAATGAACTAGAGGGAAAGGAGAAAGAAGGTCTTAGCGGACAGGAGATTAATTGTCATGACACCTACGGGGAATTGTAGAAGCAGGTGCTAGTAATTGACGATATCTCCTGATCTGGAATGAAGAATACGTCGATCACGTAACGTCGATGGGGAAACTGGTGTTCGACACCACACCTCCTTCCTTCCTTCATAGTGCATATCTTATACGTTCAATATATGTCGTGGAAAGGTGCTTGGAGAGTAAACGTATTCCAGGTAGCTGCAAGAGCCTGTCTATCCAAGTGTATCGTATCCGAGACACAACGTATTATATCTACTTCATGCTGCATCTCGAGTTCCATCCAGCCACTTGTCGACTATCTCGCATCAGTGGTGTTTGCCTTACTTATAAATCTCAAGCATTATGAAGTCATACTTGTTGCGACATGATAGATTTTGTCAACACTTGAAAACCAGTTCCATGGCTGGAGCTGTATCAATAACCATCAGTGTACAAAATCAGTTCAAGGGCAGGTAATGCACAGCAGTGCAGAGGGGTCTATTACAGTCTGCATGCCTTTGGCATGTGCTTGTGCATCGGCTACTTTTCAACCCCCTGTTCTATTGTGCTCTGCCCTGTCAGTCTGTGTCCTTAAGGAGACGACCTTTACAAAACGGCAATCGGGAACCTGGGTATGATTCTGATTCAGAAAAACGATTTTCGCCTTCACAGTGCTGCACGATATGCAGATTTCACAACAAACACGCGGAGGACACAGGGGCGCACTGCTTTGGATACCGGTCACATCTCCACATGAAGGAAGTCGATCCTGCTAGTAGCAAACGTGCTACTGAGGTGGCCCAACAATCAGCCATCTGAAGCACAGACAATGCAGAGACCTACACATGATTCGTAACAGCAAGACTACAGTAGCGTAGGCGGGACAGGTGCACTGCACATGTATACAAGGCATTGTCACTTTTTTCGCCGCACAACATCACTGCCTCTCTTTATAGATGATGGCCCCTCTCGTCCCTTCACAGCGGCTCCACTCTTCCAATCTTGGCTAGATGTGTTTGTTGACAGTGACGGGTCCTTTTTGGAGGGAGTGAGAGGGAGTGAGAGGGACTTCCAGAGGCTGTCAATCTCACCCAACACGATCTCGGTCCTCGTACGCTGCAGGTCTCTTGGAACGCGATCGGTCCGGCCAGCACTGGGGCACCAAGCTGCCATTAACCTGGTATTTTAAAAATAGCCGCCGGTGGTGTGCTGGGTTAGAGTCAGGCTTGGCCGTAGGCTGGCTTGGAGCACAATGGGAGAGGCGTAGAAAGAAGATATTTCGCAATTCTTTGCAAGGAAGCACGCGGATTGGCCTCGCTGCACTCTCCAGCTATGGAGTGCGGGTGCCTGACAACATCATCACGCAGCAAAAAGAAAAGTGATGTAATTCCGTGATGTGGAGCCTCGTGGTGGGAGAGAGCGGTCATGCTGGTAAAAGTCTGTAGAACGGGCTGCCGGCCAGGCAATGAATAAAACCTGCTTGGCGTAGCGTTCAAGGAAGGGATGGGAAACTAGCCAGCGCACGCGGGCGGCGGCTCATGGGCTTGCTCCAATGAAAAATTGCAGACGATGGCCCAGAGTCTGGAGAAGAGGAAGAAAAAAGTATTCTCGGTTTTGCAGCTGAGGCCAAGCAAAGCGAGTGTTTTCCTCCCCCTCGACGTATATTCGCCCTTGCTTTTCTTTCCCTCGACGTCTGCTTTTAATACTCACTTGGTTAATTAGTGGGTCGGTCTGTGAGAGAACGACGCACATCTCGAAGCCCCGCACTGTTGTCTAAATTTCCCACTGGTTATTTCCAACTGTCAGTTTTTCGTTTTGAAACCTCTTCTTTCTGTCAACGCGCTGTCCTCTATTTTTCCACCTATTTCCAGCTATTTTTTTCCCCGGCCACGGGAGAGCCTTTCCTTCTTGTTTAAAGGGAGGTATACCGATTATTTGCGAGGTCTGCACACGACTCCCACCCAGAATCCATGGCGAGCGAGGCCGCGCACGCGAGCAGCAGCGAGTCAGGCTTGCTGACAACACCCCCGAAATGCTGGGGGTGTAACAAGCCCATCGACGGTGGCAGCGCAATTCAATTCGCCGATGGCGTCTGGCACATTGACTGGTAAGCAGAAGACGCGAAGCACAGCAGCGCCATTGATTGCCGCACTGTCTTTCCTTTTATGGCGCAGAGAACACCAACTAACTGGTACTGGAATCTGGTTCTTTTTGTAGCTTCCAATGCACAACCTGCAACAAAGTAATCGAGTTCGACTCGAACCTGCTGTTCCTGGCGGACGGAAAGCCGATCTGTCCCGAGTGCTCGTACTGCTGCAGCCTGTGCAAGAAGCCGATATTCGACGAGGCCATTGTGACGGTAGAGGGCACATACCACTCAGAGTGCTTCCGATGCACCAACTGCAAACAGCGGATCCAAGGAAAATCATTTGCAAAGACTAGCCAGGGCGTGATATACTGCGTAAACTGTTATGCGGAGCGACGCGAGAAGAAGAAGGCTGCGCGACGACGCCGTGAGCATCAGGTCATGGAGGAGAAGGCGCTGCCATCGCTGCCGCCAGACTCAGGCACTGAAATCGGGCGCTCCCCTGTTTTGGCCAGTGGCCGGGAGGGCCAGCTTTCTCCGAGCACCCTGCCAAGCAATAGTAGCGCGCCAGTGATCGGGGGTTCCAGACCAGGAAGCTCCGCTCAGCCGGTGGGCGAGGCAGCGAGGCAGTCAGCGGTGCTGGACGATAGCGGTAGGTCTAGTACGTCGGCGCAGCAGACCCGTCGCAGACTGCCGCCGCCTGGCAACGCCTCCGCCAGTGCCCAGCCGTTACCAGCCGCCAGCGGAAAGCCAAAGCAGGGGCTGGCAACGTCGAGCTCGACAGACTTTACTGGCACTTCGTCTACCTCACCCAGCTACCAGCACCACGCCAGCAGCGCGCCAACCTCGCCGACAGCCACCGATAATGCAGCAAACACGCACGGGCTGCCGCCTGTTCCGACGTCGCCTCCGCTAGATGCCAACTTTGATGCCGGTCTCGAGTGGACAGAGGATATTGACGAGCTGGAGCGCAAGTTTGTGCGCTTCTCCATGCGTGCCGGAGCGCAGCCTGGAGCCAGCGGGCTGGCCAACGGGTTACGTGAGCCAGCAGCCGATGATGGCCGCCGCCATGCGCAGCAGGACTTGGCCCAGCGCATGCGCGCCATGAGCAACTCCAAGGGACCCAGCGGCGTGATCCCGCTGGGCCTGCGGTCCCGCGAGGGAAGCCCCACAGACACGCAGCCTGGTGACTCGTTGAGCCAGCAGCAGCAGCAGCGCCAGACCGAGGGAGGCACAGAATGGCTGCAGCACGCTGATGTGGCACAGCTGAAGGAAGAGCTGCTGGTCAACTACGGGCAGCTGTGCCGCATGGAGGCGAGCTACCAGAAGCTGCGGGATCTGTACGCGACAGTGGTGAACCAGCTACTGGAGACGCGCCAGGTGCTGCAGCAGGAGCGGTCCAAGAAGAACGAATACGAGGGGATTCTGCGAAAGTACTATGGGTGGGTTGACAGCAACCCGTCGCCGTCATTCAACAACGACAGTACGTTGGCGCGTAGCCCGGGCGGCAGCAGTTCAGCCCAGCAGCAACCGCAGCAGCAGCAGCAGCAGCAGCAGCGGGGATCGGCCGTGCAGGAGGCAAAGGGTGCAAATGGCGGTAGTGCGCGGGCGCAGAGCCGTCATCATCATCAGCAGCGTGATGGCCCGCCGCCCAGCATCGGCCGCACATTGAGCATCCGGCGCCAAAAGCAAGCAGCAGCAGCAGCAGCCAGCAAGCAGGCAGGCGACGGAAACGAGTCAGGCTCGGATGTTGACGACGCCATCATCACCACCATGCCGCAGAAGGCCACTAAGCGCTTCCTTTGGCCATTCGGGGGGTCTGGCAGCGGCCACCACGTCGCAGGCGACGATGGCAGACACGACTCAATGGACTCGGAAGCGACGGCTGCGGGCACATCGACGAGCCCGACGGCCGGCCGCAAGAGCCTCGACTCGGGCACCACAGTGGGCTCGCGGCAGCACTACTTCCAGCCCAGCAACACGTTCCGGCCTGGCAAGTGCGAGCGCTGCCTGGAGAAGATCTGGACGTTCGCCAACAACACAGTCAAGTGCAAGTACTGCAACGTCATATGCCACCACCGCTGCGTCGCCGATTTCCCCGCGAACTGCCCAGGCTTTGACCGCAGCGGGCGCTCTGCTGGTGGCCACCACTCGCACCACGGCTCGGCTGTCAACAGCATGCCGGCGTTTGACCCCAATGCGCCATTCCAGCCAGATAAGATGTTTGGGCGCAGCCTGATCGAGCAGGCGCGCAGCGAGGACGCACATGTACCGTGGATTGTGCGGGCGGCAATCGGATTCATTGAGGAGCAAGGGCTGACGATGGAGGGCGTGTACCGGAAATCCGGGTCGACAATGGATATCCGAGCGATCCAGATGAACGTGACGCAGATCTCGGTTGCCACCAACGGCAAGTTTGCAGGCACGCCGCCGATAGCCTCGGCTGACGCGGACGTCACCAGCGTCACGTCGGTTCTGAAGCAGTATTTCCGCGAGCTGCCCGACCCTTTGCTGACGTTCGAGACATACCACTTGTGGGTGCAGGCAGCGGGCATTGGCAGCGACGAGGAAAAGGTGCGCGTGTATCGGACGATCAGCGATTCGATGCCGCACGAGCACTCGGAGACGCTAAAGTACCTGATGCTGCATCTAAAGCGGATTGCCGAGTACCAGCAGGACAACAAGATGACGCCGAACAACCTGTCGGTGGTGTTCGCGCCCAACATCCTGCATATGCCCAAGAGCAATGTGTTTGAGGAGATGAAAAACATGGGCGGCATCAACCAGACGGTGCGGTTCCTGATCCAGCACGCCAACGACATCTGGGGCGATCAGCACTATGCGCAGTACTCGGGGCGCAAGGACAGCCAGGATAATGGGCAGGACGCGTCGTCGCCGAGCTCGCCTGCGGTGGGCAGTGGAGTAGAGCCTATGCCGATTGTGTCTCCTGCAGGCACTGCAGAGCAGGGGGATTTGAATATGTCGCACAGTATGCCATCGTCGCCAGCGTTCCTGGAGGATGCGGGCGGGGTGCAGCATTCTGTGCGGCAGCAGCATGCAGCACATGATATGTCTGAGCGGTTCATGGCGTCGCACCATCACAGCCCGATGTATCATAAGGCGAGTCTGGATATTCCGCGCGACAGCAATAGCAAGTTTTAAAGCCCCCACCCCACAAAAGTAATCAGTTGTATCCGTTTTAATTGTCTTTTCTATGTGCACGCTACACAATAAATGCTACAAAGAGCAGATCAGCTTAGCGCTGCAGTATTCATCATAGCACAGCGTGTGTTTGTGCAGATCGAAATGTATGGCGGAAGCGAAAATGCATATGGAGCTTGTCCACATATGGAGCAGGGATGTGTGAGTCGGTTGAAGGTGGAGCTGCGCTGCGACAAGGCAGGCATGTGGGAAAGCATGGTCAGAGCACGTGGTACAGACCAGAAACCCATAGTCCAATCGATAGTAAACGCAGGTATTTGATTTAGGGGTGACAGCAAGCCGCCCCTTGCAAAAATCCTCCCCCCCCCCCACATACTCCTCATATCCCATTTGTACACTTTCTGTATCATCATTATGGACACAACAAACCCGAGCACGCCAGCAGCCACACCATCGGACGCGCATCGCGCCTCAACGCCCGACCGGCTGATCTCGCGGTCGGACATCCAGAGCGAAAAGTCGCTGGCCGAGTTCCTGGTGCAAATGGACAGCTACGAGCCCATCATCCCGGATGCCCTGACCGACTACTATTTAGCGCAGGCGGGATTTGAATGCGACGACGTCAGGATTAAGCGGGTTCTGGCGTTGGCGACGCAAAAGTTCATTGCGGATGTGGCGGCCGATGCGTTCCAGTATAATCGCATTCGGCAGCAAGGGAGCAAGGAAAAGAAGTTCCAGCAGAAGGACCGTAGGACGGTTTTGACGATCGAGGATCTGACGGCGGCGTTGTCGGAGTACGGCGTTAACATCAAGAAACCAGAGTACTACTCGTAGAAAACAAGGAGGGTTTTAAAAATGGCTACATGCATAATGATTAAGAAACGAGAGAGAGAGAAGCGGTTTTTTAGTTAGAGCGGTGAGAACGGCGGGAGTGACCCGAACTGCTGGAAACCGCCTGGCGACGTCAGTCTTAGGGGCGCAGCCGGGTCTGCCTGCGACTGGGCGGCGGAGTGGCTCTGGTTGGCCATATTGACGTCGTCGGTCGAGGCTGTGCGGTGCTGGCGGCTGGTACTCTGGTGGCGCGGCGGGGCGAGCTGGCTCGAATTCAGGATCTTCTCCGGGTACAGGGGTGTGCTCGACGACGAGCCGTCGCGCGAGGGCGAAAACAGCTCAGCCAGGGATCCCAGGCTCGCCAGACCCGACATGCCCTGCATGCCCTGCATGCCCTGCATACCAAATATCACCGACTGGGCATCTGACGGCAGCACTGGCGGCGGCGTGGCAGCAGGCGGCGAGCCAAACAGTCCCGACAGCAAATCCACCGACGGTGCATTGGAAAGCGACGCACCCGGGCTGCTGAACCACGACTCGCTCTGGCCGACTGGCGGCAGCTGCGGCTGCTCCAGGAATGCCAGGCCCGACAGGCCCAGATCCGGCATTGCCTGGTCCATCGCCAGAGCCGTAGGCATCTGCGGGAACGCCAGCGACATAGTAGGCGGGAAAGCCGGCGGACGCGACGCCGTCATGGCAGCGCTCTGGCGCCGCAAATCAGTAGCCTCGATGGTCTGCAGCTGCGCGCGTATATGCTTGGCCATGATGAAGTGGAAGGCAAAGTACTTGCCCAGGCGGTCCAGACACCGCACGTGCTCCTTGACGCAGTTGACGCTATATTGGCGCTCGGTCGAGTCGCGTGGGGTGCAGGCTACTGCGCCCACATGCACCACGCCTGCCATGAACACTGCAAAGCCAAAGGTCACAATGTGGTAGCGCACATCCAGCGCCCGCGCCAGCGCCAAAAGCTCCGTCATGCTGCAGGCCGCCGTCAGACACTGCTGCTGCGCCAGCTGCCGCCACTGCTGGTCGGCCTCTTGCGGCTGGTCGCGCCTGTCATACCCGCCCAGCCCGCCCGCCGACTCCACCCGCACCAGATCCACGCGCGGCTGGTGCAGTGCGATGATGGCCGCGTGGTAGTGGCAGTGGACAAACATCTTGGCTGCAAAGGCCTGCGGCGCCGCGCGGATCTCGTCGCGGGCCACTGTCGGCTTGATCTGCATGCTGTCGGGCAGCCCGTGGTACCATGCGACCATCTCGGCGTGCAGCGCCGCGTACTCGGGACTGAACTGAGCCGACTCCGGATGGCGGTTGCCGTTGAGCCGAGCCACGCGCACCAAAAGCAGCGCCAGCTGTGCCACGTACGCGCTGACGTTGGGCGGGCGCGACCGCGGCGCATCCGAGGCCGCACGCGAGCTGCTGTCGTCGGTCCGTGGCCCGTCATCGTCAAGCATGCTGGGGTCGTCGAAGGGCTCGGCCACGTGGATGTCCTGGATGGTGATTGGCGGGGGCTCGCCGCTGGCGAAGCTGGCCAGGGCCTCGAGCAGCAGCGTGGTCCAGAAGGCGCGCCTGGCCGACTCGATCCCCGGAGCACTCATCATCGACGCGCCCGGCATGCGACCCGGCGCATCGACCTTCTGCAGCGACATCTGCGTGGCCATGCGCATTGCCAGCCCCGAAAAGTACCATCCACGGTTGGCCACCGGCAGCCCCACCGCATACACCGCCAGGTTGTTCAACGTCAGCATGTTCTCGACGCAATCGCGTTCCAAGACGTCCATCATGAGCCCGCGCGTCACGCGCTCAAAAAAGTCATATCCAGCCAGGTATGCTGGCTCGCGCTTGACCCGCGCGTCATCCGATAGACGGCTCGCCACCGCCAGAACCGACAAAAGGAACGGCTCGCTCACCTGCGCCCGCTGCAGCCGCTCGCGGTACAGCTCCGCCGGGTGCATGCCGGTTTCCGCCGGATGCGAGTACTCGAAATACACCCCGATCAGGTGGCTGATCAGATCCCGCGACACATTCAGCCCGCGCGCATGCTCTGTCCCTGCCAGATGCAGGCTGCCGTCGCTTTCCTTTGCCACCTCCGGCTGCTCGCGCGGCGACGGGCCCGCGGACATGGTAGGCGTCTGTGCCGGCGTTATGCCCGAGGCGCGAATCGTCACGCTCCGCAGCTGGTCCACTAATGCCGATATCTGCGTCTGCAGCCTCAGCATCTCCATCATTGGCTGGCCCGTCGACGACTGCTGCGGCAGCTCCAGCGCCTCGGTCTCGCGCACCCTTTCGCGCATCAAATGGCTGGTGCTGGTGATGCCCTCCTGCCCCGAGTGCTCGTCAGACGACACCAGCGACGCCTGCCGCTTGCTGCGCCTACTGCTCTCCTCCTTGGTGCCATTCGCCGAATCCCCGTCGGCCTTCTGTGCCGCACGCCGCGGCTTCTTGCGCGGCCCCACCGGCGAGTATATGCACTCGAGGCTGCTTTTCTGGCAGCTCTCGCACACCGGCTTCGCCCCGTTGCACCGGATCTTCTTCTTGCGGCAGGAATTGCAGCTCAGCATCAGGCGCACCGGCGCCGCTGATGCCAATGCGCTGGGAAAATACCCAGACCCGACCGACGCCTCTCTGATCGTGTAGTTTTGCTGGTACGGTGCTGACGCCCCCGTACGCTCGCTGCCCCCGCCGGACATTGCTGTTTGTATTTCTGTCTGGGTTTCAATTAGGGCTAGACCCCTCCGAGGAATGTGCAGCAGTAAGGGAATATATAAAAGGCTTCTTTACAATAATATTGGTCTAAGGAACACAGCAACGATTTTTTACTACGGGGATGCGAAGAGTGGAGAGAGAAATGGGAGAAGCAGAACCGGCCCCCGCCAATCACGTCAAAAACAGATAAGTCTCTCCCTGTCCGTAAGCACAATTAATTCCACCCCCCATCAGATTTCGCGCTCCCCCGCTAGTAAAACTTTTCCACCCCTCCTCGCCGGGAACTACGCACCAGGGGCACTTACAGATCGCCCCCGGACAATACAGCAGCCAGCCATTTTGCTAGCAAGCAAATTGCGCATTTTTATATTGAAACACATGCTGCTTGGGGGAGGCTGGGTTCAAAGCAATAGCTTTTCTTGTTGCACTTATGTTGCACAACATGCAGTGGCAGAATTCCCACCACACATCCTCGCCGAGCAAAAATCTTTGATCGTGCATTCTTGCTCTCCCACAAAATGCACACGCGAGGAATTGGCTCCCCTCCGAAACATCTGGGGGAGAGAGCCTGTGTGGGCAAAGTGCTTTTCGTTCAGCCTATGATCTGCTCTCCGCTTCACTATAGCACATTGCCGTTTGGGCGCCATTGTCGCTATCTGTTTGAGAAAACAAAAGGAAGCTTGGAATCAGATTGCGGTGTCTGCGCCCCCACGTCCCCTTATCTGACCTTCCCCCACCCTTAGTTGCAGCCATGCGGATCACTTGCTGTTTTGGTGTTGGCTAGCATAGTGCGAAAAACGGGACTATGTGACGCTGATCATGGTGGCTCTTTATATATTTTTTGCAGTTGACTTTTTGCTGCAAGCACTAACGAAGATTCCAACCGAATGTTCGCAGTTAGCTGACTTGCAATACATGCATGCTCGCTGTTATTTATTTGGGCTGGCAATACAGGCTATTATAAACTATATGCAACCTCTGCTGCATGCCAGGTACACACGCTGTATTATTCCTCCTGCAGATTTGATTTCTGTCAATTTGGCCATGGCCTATGGCAGACTTTTGGTTGAATTCTAGAACCAAGAGGCATGTTGGGCGCCAACTCAAATTACCATCAGACAACCACACCGATCCAGGCCCGTGCTGGCAGCCCCACCCGCAGCCGATGCCAATATGACGGATCCCAAGTTTGTCGATGAAGATGCTATCGACTATGTACAGGTGCACACAGGTTTTCTGAACAAGAAGCCAATTGCCATGGAGGAGATCAATGAGTTTGTGGCCGGCATCGGCCTAAACAAAATATTGCTGATTCTCGAGTGTGGCAGCGTTATCTTCGGATGCATGTGCGAGGTATCATGGCCGATGCGCTTCCTAGACAAAATCAGCTGGTTGCGGGTGCATACTTTTTGCGCGGGCCACCTTGAGTCCGAGTTTCTGCTACCGGTGCAGATTCTCGTGGACTTGCTGGCACACCCGCAGTGTAACCAGGCAATCTTTGATAAGCACAGGGCACAGGCGTATTTGCATGCGTCGCTGCTCGTGCCTTTGGGTACTGACAGCCATGCTTTTTAGCTTTTCATTTCTTCATTCTCTTTCATCTGCAACTTTCCCATATGCTATTTCGAATTTTTAATATTAAAGTAACTCAGACATACACCACAATCCACATATAAATCTCTCAAGGTATCAATGCACGTATCAATAAAGCGTGTTATTGTGTAATCTGTTGCTTCATTTGCCCAATTTCGTTTCTGATTGATTGTCCTCCACTACTATATCCGGATTTAGGTATATCTAATCTAGTTTATAGCCATTTTATATTAGTTTTGGTTATCACGATGCGGGGCATGGTTACTTGTGGAATTGCTGATGGCCATGATAAAGAGAGACAGCACTGATGAGGCTTCGAGAGATAAAGTTGTTAATGGTAGGTAAAGGCAGTACAGTTACCTGGGCATCAAGTGGCTTGATATGTCCCTATAATTATTGTCCCATGGATGACCGCGGTAGCCGTATTGAAAATTGCGCTATTGTCTACTTGTAGAGTATGCAGGTTTCTGTCTACAGCACTTATCACCTACGACCATTGCTCAGAGACTTCGGATTACGTTTCGAGGTATCCATGGTAAGCGTAGGGAGTGAAATGGAGCCTGAGTAGCCACTGCTTTTATCAGGAGTGCTAATAGGTGAAGTCTGTGGGAAGCTGTTGTTAGAGACTGTGACGTATGAGACGCCAGTGCGGGCTAGGACGCAAGTTGTCACTGTGCTGACCATGCTGTAAGTAATTTGCATGATAATAGCAGGTCAACACGTCTGATTGATCGCCATACTGTGGGAAAGCGATCCCAGATCAGAATATATTGTTAGCTGACCAGCCTTTGCGGTGCTGGTAGTAACAAATGAAACTATTAAACTGCATTTGCTATCTGAGAGGGAAAAAAGACACTCCAGTCTACCTGGCATGACCTGCGATGGCTTAGTGGAGTGATGGGCGATTGAAGCGATTGGAATCAATGGAGGCGGGCCATTCGTATAATTTTCATTTCTCTAAATAACAAATTGTTCTCCAAGCTTGCACAATAGCAGGCTATAAAAAAGCCGGACACTCTGTTGCTTCTCTTCTCTGCTCGTATCTCACCATTTTACTACTTTTGTATTCCCATTGAGCCCGAAAGCTGTGTGAACTATGCCTGACGCAGAAGACAGCGGGCAGAAGACTTCGACCTCGCTCACCAGCCAGCCAGTACTTATCAAGGACCCAAAATCGCGGGACAGCGCACAAAGCAAATCCCACAGCCTAGCCTTCAATACCCAATACCACCCTCCGCCGCCATCAGGCTACACCTGCAAAATCTGCAATATCGGCGGTCACTGGATTCAGAGCTGCCCAGACAGACATCGTAAGGCACAGTCCAAGAAGTTTGATAAACAAGACTGCTGGTTCTGTTTGCCCCGTTCCCAGGCCGACCAGAACTTGGTTGTTGCTATCGCTGAAAAGACATACCTTGCATTGGCCAAGGGCCCGCTGGTCATCGGCCCAGAAAGCGTACCAAATGGCGAGCCGGTTGCGTGGGAGCAAGGGCAGGTTAGTCCGATTCCTGGCGGCGGCCATGTCATGATATTGCCTATAAAGCATACGCCCAGCATGCGCGCCATCTTATCCATCGATAAGCAGACCGTGATGAAGGACGAAATCAAGAAGTGGACGCAGTCGCTGACTGATTTGTATGCCGACTATGGCTGCGTGCCGCTAATTTACGAGGTCTACCGCTATTTACCACGCCAGCATGCTGCGATGCATTTTATTCCTTTGCCCAAATCCAAGGTCGACAAGGTCTGGTCGTCTCTGGTGGCTATGGCCCGCGAGAGCCATCTGCATATCCAGAGCCACTACCCGCGCAGCAACAGGTCAGGCTATGTGTGGGTAAACACGCCTACTCTCGATGATAACTATGCATGCCTTGAAATTCCTACTTGGGATAGACACTTCAGTTTGCAGTTCGGACGGCAGCTGGCTGCCCGCATCCTTGGGATCCATGGCAGATATGACTGGAGGGCATGCACGGCTCCCAGCGACCAGGAGGCTCGCCAGCAGGATGCATTTAAAGAGGTATTTGCAAAGTACGACCCTGTAAGCAAGAACTGCTAGTAGTGTTGTCACCTTCATCTACCGCAAAATTTTACTCTCCATTGATCTTTCGAACTTCCGTCTAAGCAAGCCATTTCGTACAAACTGAAAATAATCTCAAGGAAAAGCACAGTTGCATAATGCTAGTGTGTACTTTTACTCCTGCAAATCAGGCCAGAAGATGAACTTGTACAACAAAAACGTGTTGTAGGTCCAAAGCACACGGTGGGTGGTGTAGGGCAAAAAAAAAATAAGAAACGAGTAGCAAAAGATACCTTATATATGATTATGTGTATAACTTTCGTGTAGCACAGATTCCGAATAAGTGTTAACTTGGGGAATGAGTGGTTATCGAGTATATGGAACAAGATAACTTCTCCAAAAATGACTGAGGGGAAGAAGGAAAGCTGGTCGTCTGTCTGGGCCTTTGTACGTATGCGTTTCGGCCTTGTCTATGGTGGCGCAGGGGGACTCCGGACCCCGAATGTCAACAATAAGCTGTCAAGTGATGGTATCTTAATCCAGAAATATGCGAGCGTTGTGAGTGTATCAGCAATAGAAAGTGGCTGAGTCAAGGAATATATATTGATAAAGAAAGCCAAAGAGAAGTAGGAAGGGAGAGGCGAGCGAAAAGGTTTTATACCATCGCTCAGGTGGCACAGCCAAAAAGAAGAGGAAGAAAGAAAAAGAACAACAGGATGAAAAACTATGTGGTTCACAGTAATCGGATCTTGAAATTCTAACAGATAATGCAGTCATCCTCGTCATCGTCATCGTCATCGTCATCGTCCTCACTATCACCCTTGTGCTTTGACTTGCCATTGTCATTACCCACGTGCTTGGAATGACTGTGCTGTTTGCCTCGCTTGTTCTTAGAGCGTGTCTTCTTTGCATCTCCCAACCCAGCGGATCCATTTCTTGCCACAGATCCCTTGCCATGGGCTGCTGATCTGCCATTGCAGCCACAGGTGCTCTGCTGCTGGTTATCCGCGGCGTTGTTTGCGTTCGGCGTGTTCGACATGACTGAGGTTCTAGAAAAAGGAGGTAGCTTTGTGTAAATTGCAAGATCTAGCGGCGTCTCGAAGAAAGTGTATCAGACGTGTAAAGCAAAAAGTGGTGTGGTAGGAGCCTGCTAGGAAACCGAAGCATTTTGTAGTTGCGAGAGAAGAGAAAGGGAGGCAAAAACGTTTTTAGAAGTAAGCTTCTATTTTTGGCACGCTGGGACCTGCCCTGTAACACCCGCGGTAACAGCCTCAGCATTTGTCAGGAAAGAAATAATCAAGCGCCAAATTGCGGAGGTTGCGGCCTTGTACCGGCTCCAGACGATTGCCAGAATCACTTTATTTGCTGACATCAACTTTTGCAGCCTGCTGCAAGCTATATGCGCTTCTTGATTATTACACACGATGCCATGGCTATGCACAGCCATTCAAGCAAGGCCCTCTGAGACAGCTGGCTACAGATCCCCAGCACTCAGCTCTCGTTCAACCCGGACAGTGAGGACAAGCCTGACAATAACCTTGCCTTTCATCCCGTTTAGCCCTACCTTCTTACTCTCCCGATGCCACCCGCTCTTAGCTTCCGTATTAGTGGCTCTACTTGTCACCACTGCGCTTCAAATTAGAAGTTCATAGCCACACCTGTTGACCTTGGATATGAATGGTTATCGGGCACGTATGGAAAGCTAGCAGTCTGTCTGAGACTTTATACATGTGCATCTCCGCCATGCCCATGGTAGCGCAGAGGGACTCCAGACCCCGAATGCCAGCAGCACAAGCACTCAAGTCCAATGTGTTGACATTCGGACAACGCCATGCCCTTCGTCACCATGTGCAGATCCAAATCCCTACCTGTATAAACACTGTGGGCCAGAACGGCCCCATCCCCCCTTTTTCTCCTCAGCAAAACTTCCAGTTATATTCATTCCATAAAGCTCATAACTACTGGACTCTTTGAAGGTTAACAACTTGTTCTCTTGTTTAGCTTGCTTTCTCGTGTAACTACGATCAAGCTACCAACCGCGGGCTTCTCGCATGAATATAATACAGCACTGAACTGGGCGATGCTAAACGGGAAGTTCTCTGGAAAGGGCACGTCTATGGCACTGGAGAGATGGAAGGAGGATATGAACGATATGTTTGAAGAGTTATGTGTCGTGGATGACAGGGACAAGTCTGGACTCGCCAATGCAACGATGCCAGCCGAGCTACTTGACGCTTGATCCTCATACAGAACGAGGTGCAGTGCGGGGACCACAGCAGGAGAATTGAAATCGCCGAACTCGTTCTCTGCGCTCCAAGAGTACCTGGAATCGCGCTATGAAGTTTCGGTCGACATAGTGGTTGCACTGCAGGAACTTCGGAATCTGGTGTTTGTCGAAGGCACGGACACGATGATTTCAATGCTCGTTTTGACCACCCAGCACGGCAGGCGGGCATCAGGGGTGATGCTCTGCTAGCAAACAATTACATCCTATACTTGCTGATTGCTATGCGAACACCGGCCATGTGCAGCTCAGACAAGACGCCTGTCAGTCTTAAAGCAGGCAGCACTGTGCGAGTTGCAGTTCATATGCCAGTTCAATAACAACAACGGTAGTCATACAACAGGACTGAACGCTGAGGCATCAAAGAGACCCACACGGTCGCTTATATAGTCACCCAGCAGCTCGGGGGAACACGTGCCGAGTAAACTAGTTGTGGCCTAGATCTAACATACATCATTTAGTCTATGAACCGTCAGCAGCAGCCGCCTTAGTCTCAATAACGAATGAGTTGTTGTCCTGTGTATTGTCGTACATAGGAGGGAGGTCGTCATCTGCAAACCCAGTTCCACCAATGTTGAGTCTATCTGGCCGCAGGTTGTTGTCTTCCGAAAACGGGTTCAGGTCACGCTGGTGCTTGTGCTTCTTCCACTTTTTATACCACAGCAGCACAAGAACTGCAATGAGAAGTGTCGCAAGCGGAGTGGCAACACCTACAGCAATGGCTATCGATTTTGGAAGCCCGGGCTTCTTATCCGACACTGAGGGTGTTGGACTTGAAGAGTCAGTTTCTACCAATGTATTACCAGAACCTTCCTCAGCTGAATCAGATGGTTCCGACTCTGACTCAGAGAATTAGCTGCCTTGGCGTATTTTAAACCCAATAATAAGCAAAGCATACAAAGGCACAGGCCTGAGCTGCACGTAGCATATACGCACGTTTGTGTGTACATGCCACGATAAAGCATGTTCACTGGGCACTTCCAGGAAAGCCTTTGCGCCAGTGAAAACACTCCAGGATGGCCGTACGTGTCAATCATGCTGGTGACCACTTTGGTCTGCGACCAGATCCGTATGCCATCATCGTCCAAGCGGTCCATAAATAGGTTTCTACCAAACTGTGGAAGGCAGCCAAAAGAAATGAATTTGGCAGGGTGCTTTGTTGGATATCAGCTGCAAACATGTGCGGTATATCAGCCTTAACATATGCTTCAGAATGCATCTTGAATACCACCGAACATGTCGGTTTTGCAGCTGTCTCATGACACAATTCAAGTTCGTGGTTGGTATAGATAAACCAGAGCAAAAGTGTGGAAAAGATCTCTAGCAGGGCAGATCCATTTGAGGATTGGTAAATAATGTTGTAGACAGGCTGTCCACAGCACGCGCCAAGCAATTACTCAGCACAAACATTCGCTACATTGAGGTTTCGCTCATCTGAAGTTGCCTATTGCCAGGCTGCCGGGCTGATCTTGTACCCGCATATCACGCATGGAAATCCAGAACAACGATCTATGGATCAGGCAGGTGCCGCTATCAATATGCGGTTGCTGTGTCAGTAATTGAAATACGTTCCGGAAAACAAGTGGTATGCATGGTACAGAGCATTGGCAAGGCTACTGCTGGGATGACTAACCAAGTACAGAGTTCCACTGCGTTGTCTCCGGAATAGTCTACTAGCACAAATAGTGGATTGAGCTTTTTGTCAATACCAGCCTCCGATGCCCTATGTCAGTAAATAAGGGGTGCAATTACACTGAGGTCCTAGCCAGGACCCATCCCCTTCCAAACAACTACGCCTCACTCAGATGGTAGAGTGAAAAGTTACAGCGCCAGTGAAGCCGCTCTTACAGCCCACTGGTTTGAATGACCAGACCCCGCCTCTGACCACTGCCACATGAGCCATCAGCCATGCATGTTTTTCTACTACTGTCCTGTCCAGAATGTTCTTTTTCCCATCATGAAAGAACATCGATGGCGGCGGGACCTGCGCCAGGGCGGGAAAACAGTGCATGCTCGGCGTTTTCCCCGTGTCAGGAAACCGGCAAATGATAGCGTCACAGGTACTTACGGTAAGGTACTCGCCTGCTCCCAATCCAGACCGTGCGCACTAGCCGGAGTGTGCGACAATTACACAGTGCAAATCATCTGCGTCACCTGGGCTGGCGGCTTGGGTTCTGCACGTCATTCGCTGCGTTCGGAATTTTTTTGACAGCAATCTATTCTCGAAGCGTGTACCTTGCCAGTGATTGCGGCCTGCAGCCAACTGCAATGCGCCGTCCACTCGCCTATTTGGGGCGAGTGCAGCTTCTTTGCTTTCTGCTTGCTATATGCAGCTGGTCGCATCTGGCCTGGCTGCGCGTCCATTGGCCAGCAGTGTCGCTAGCATGCTCTTCGTCCCTCAACATTCGCCTTTCAGACAGGTCGCACACTATTCTGCAATGCGCTACGAGATTGGCATGGCAGGCCAGAAAGCTCTGCTATTCTTTGCATTGCAGTACTGGGAAGGTACACAGGTTGGCCTGCTGAATGGGGGGAGCGGGTTTTTGCTAGCCCTGAGCAATAACAGGACATCGTATAAAAGACGTGCACCCCACCACTGGTGAGGTCCTCATTCAAACATCGCTTGGCATTTTCTCCGCTAGTTTTTACTCTTTTCTGTGAGCCAAATAATAGGCCGCCCCCTCATACAAAAAGTTCTTGGTAGAGCCTGTCCCCTGAAACACCCGTTGCAAAGCTACTATCCCCTCAGAAACACATCATCAGAGCTGCCATTATGCTCCTCAGAAAGAATATCAGCCCGCTACTGGCACTCGCCGCCATCAGCCTGGTATCCCTGCATACTGCTGCCGCAGCTACGGCTGCACCGCGCCAGCTTTTGCTTCGTCATTCTGTTGGTGACCACGACCACGACCACGACCATCACGATGAGACCGACTGCTATGCGTCAGGCGTTGACGACTGGAACTCTGGCATGCACATTGCTGCCATCTTTATCATCCTTGCCGGCGGCGGCCTGGGCTCGATGCTGCCCGTCATCAGCCACTACATGCCCGGCCTGCGCGTCTCACCGAGCATCCTGACCCTGGGCAAGTTCCTGGGAACCGGCGTCATCATTTCGACCGCGCTCATCCACATGCTGCCGGCCGGTTCGGACAGCCTCGGTAACCCGTGCGTCGGCAGCCGCATGGGCAACTACAGCGGCTGGCCGGGCGTGCTGGTGATCATGGCCATCTTTGCTATGCATCTGATGGAGTTCCTGCTGTCCAACCACGCGATGGAGGGTCACTCACACAGCCACGGGCTTCCGGACGATCTAGCCAACTCTGCAGAGCCCGAGACAATGAACCTTGAGTCACAGACCTTGGCGCAACAGCACCGCGACTACAACGACAGCTCCAACGCTACTACCATCAGCGACGCTGATCGGAAGCTTGACGTTGTGCTGCCAGTACGCACCTCCATTGGTTTTGACGGTGTGGATAACAACGCTAACTGCGATGCAGTAGCCGTCCACACGCACCACAATCACGTCCATGGCCTGTCATTTATCCAAGATAGCGACTCTGTCAAGGCACGCAAACTTCGCATTTCCACCTACATCCTCGAGCTCGGTATTTGCCTGCACTCGGTCATCATTGGCGTCACTCTGTCAGTGACAGTGGGCTCTGAGTTTAAGACCCTGCTTATCGCCATTGCATTCCATCAGTTCTGCGAAGGTCTGGCGCTGGGCAGTCGTCTGGCACAGATAAAATACGCTCGCCACTCGTTCATCCGTGCCTTTATCAGCGCTGCCATGTTCATGCTCATTACCCCCATCGGCATGTGCATCGGTATCGGTGTCCGCTACTCGTACGCACCCAACTCGCCTTCGTCGCTGATCACCATGGGCGTGCTCGACTGCCTCTCAGCAGGCATCCTGATCTACAGCGGCCTGGTCAATCTGCTTGCTGAAGAGTTTGGCACCCTCGAGTTCCGCAGCTACAAGCGGGGCATGAAGGCTGCTTGCTTCATTGCCATGTTTGTGGGCGCAGCCATCATGGCAGTAATTGGCAAGTGGGCCTAAACACGCTGCTGGGCTGGCAGTGTCCCTTGAATATAATTATTCCATTCTATTGCTCTTTAACAATTTTAATAATCCAAACATATCATTGCCAGATGTGCAAAGATCCATCGATATACGCTTGAGACATGCGGTTTAGCCATTGCGTTGTTGTGATCACGTGTAAAATATCATATTTAATCACTGAGTGATGATCAGAGCAGTATTAGCTCCTGTTCGCGTTTCTGGCATTTTTCGCGTTGCAGTCGCGTAGAGCGCTCTTTTCAGGAACTACACTTTACTTTTACGCTTTCTAATTAGCAGCGCCCTTCACAATGGAGAACGGAGCCTCAGCAGCAGAGCAGAGCGTAGCAGCACTTATGGATGTTGTGGATGAGACGCAGCCCGAAACCACAGACTCTGGCGATGCACTGGGACTAGGTACCTCAACGCTAGGCGCAGCGATCCAGAGCACAAACCAGAGGCTGTTTGACCCGCTAGCACAGATGATGGACTCGGACGCAGATTCAGAAAGCGATGATGAGCCGCTGCCGAAGCCTGCGGCTCTACCCAGTGCTCCAGAGAGCAGGCTGCAGCTGGAGTCCTCGCTGCTGGGCACTGCAGCCAAGGCACCGGAGCGATCGTCCAGCAATCAGCAGCAGCATGTCGAAGACGAGTCTCAGGAACTGGGCGCCACTATGAAGCCAGCACCGGTTGTACCCAAGCTGGAGTTTAAGCAGACGGACTTTGCGCTCCGCAAGCAGAGTATCGTTGCGCGGCTAACGGCCAAGGGTGCAATTTCATCGCGGCGTGCCGTGACTGACGACTCGGACGGGAGCTCAAGCGATAGTGACGAGGAGCTGAGTGCAAATGCCAGGATGGAGATGGACGACTCAGAGTCCGAGCCTGAGCTAGGCGAGACCAAAAAGAAGCAGAAGGAGCCTAAGAAGCCCAAAGCAGGTTCAATTGATAGCTCCCCGCCGAAACAGCGGGCAGCATCCAAGGCAGCGATATTGAAAATGCACCAGGAGACCGAGCGCCTAGTTCGCGAAACCCAGGTGCATATCGACCCGACAGAGTTCACCAAGCGCCTGCAGCTCTCAGACTTTTTCACCCGCTTCGACTCTGAAAAGGCGGACGCGGCTTCACGCAAGCAGCGCAAACAAGACGCATTGGAGAGCAAGCAGAGGCTGCGGTTCTCGGCCGACTCGGATGACGAAGTCGAGATCGAGATCGTGGGACCCAAGCAGCAGATACTAGCACACGGCGCACGCAGCTCGCGCCTGTTTGCCTGCGCGCAGAAGAAAAAGGAGGAGGAAAAGAAGGAGCAGGACAGGCTGGCGACTATTTTGCGGTACGGGTCGCAGCCCATGCATGTGTCGGGGGCATTGCCTGCGGCCAAGAAGGCCGACGGGCCGCTTGCACTGCGGTCACTGAATAGCGCTCTGCTCGAGGCTGTGCATAAACAAGACATGGGGCGTAAGCGCAAGGACAAGAGGCATGGCGAGGACAGCTCGCAGGTCATTGAAGATGATGAGGATGAAGATATGGCGATGGAGGACAATGGTGTGGAAATCGGCGACGAAGATGTGGCAATGGAGGAGGACAGTGGGTCTGATGCTGACGGGTCACAGTCGAGAACTGGCTCGCGCAAAGTGGTTATATCTGACGACGAGGATGATGCGGTTGAGGAAAGCAAGCCCATTGGCGTTTCCAAGCCTAAGCCTGCGGAATACCCTCAGAGCAAGGCCAAGTTCCTAGGAATGTTCAAGATGCCAGCAAAGAAGCCGGCAGCGCCTCCAGCGGCCAAGCCTGAGGAGGCGCGTGTCGAGAGTTCGCCAACATCCGATGACCCGCAGGTTCTGCCATCGCAGGATCTGTCATATATTTTCTCCGGAGACCATGGGATGCATACCGACACTCAGGACTCGCTGCTTTTGACACCCAGTGCCGGGACGCAGCAGGCAGCACAACAGACCACGCAACCGACAACACAGCTGACGCAGCAAGGAACACAGCCGACACAGTTGTTCCAGCAGTCGATGGATCCGCTCGGCCTGCTTAACAGCTCACTGCTGGCTGGCGACTCGCAAATGTCGGTGGGGATCCCGGCTCTGGGCGATGGTATGCCAACACAGATGACGCAGTCGCTGCAGCCAACGATTCCAGACCGCGAGGATTCGCAGAGTTCAGACATCCCAACGCTGGTCCGACAGGCGTTGCAACTGGAGCTGTCTGATGATGACGGGGATGACAGGCCAGAAACGGCAGCCGAAGCATCACTCGCACGGGCTGAAGAGCCAGGAGACCAACATCCAGGGATAGCCAACGAGTCCGACGGATCCCAGCCACGTCCCCGTGGTCGCCTGTTGCAGCGCCGCGCACAGCTCGACGAGAAGAAAAAGAAGAGGATGGGCAGGCTCGAGAGATCCGAGTTCCTTGAGGACGAGGCCGAGGAGGGCGAGAGCTCTGATTCTGACAATGATGGCCAGCGCACGATCCGGCACCGCAAGTTCGACTGGGGCAATGATTCCCAGGCCAACATACCTTCGGACTCCGAGAACGAGTTCCACGAGCTGGACAGCGACGAAGAAGCCGAACAGCTGCTGGCCGACCCCTTGATCAACAACGAGGACATGTCTGATGAAGAGGGTGACGAGGCGATCCGTGAGCTGCATCGGCAGCGGGCCATGGAAGACGACGAGAAGGCGATCCAGGAGCTTGCCAAGGATATCGCCACAGGCAATTTAAGGAATCGTGGTCGCGCACGCAACCTCTTGGGTCTCGATGAGGAGGACTACAACGACCGACAGTCGAGGCAGGAGCGTATGGAGGAGCGCGCACGGCTCAGAAGAAAGCTCATGGCGAAGGAGATCCACGACACGAATCTGGCTGCTATTGCAAAGAACCCAGAGACTGCGGCATTTGCCAACGCTGCACTGATGCGGCCACCCACACAGTCCACTAGAGGCAACTCGTCTCAGGCACCAGCCGGTGACGACGACGGCGACGGTGACGATGAGGACGATCTGCTGAATGATGAGATGCTGGATCTCGAGGAGGAAATCGACGAGAACTCGGTAGCTGCTGCTGTTCAGCAGCAGTTATCAAGACCGCGCATGCGCGTCGAGAGCGACGATGACGACAATGGGTCTTCAGACAACGACAGCAGCAAACAGGGCAGCATGGGCGTGCGACTAGCGGACGGGAGTGGGTTCTCGACACGGATGAACAGCTCGCAGACCAGCTCGAACGGCCTGGTCGGACTGGCCGATGATGGCCTTGACACGCCATTATCTGTGGAGAGCCTGATTGTGCGGCGCAAGACATTGAACAGCAAGTCGACGCTGTTGCCGCCGGGTCCTGGCTCGCTTCTCAAGCGGCCTGGTGCTTCGCTGCTCCAGTCGCCGATGGCCAAGCGGTACAATGCAATGAAAAAGTAGGAGTGGATTTGCAGTTTTTTTTCGTTGAGGACTGATAGACTAGTTTGAAACCTATGGCAGCAGGTGGTGACTTGGAAAGGGGAGGTGGGGCACGAGAGCTTAGGCTAGATACACATAACAGAAGACAGGGACGCGGTTACAGGATGCGGACGACCAGCTCCGGGTTGAGCGCAGTCAGAACGCCGGCCAGCTGGTCGATGTTGTCGTGGTCCTCGCGGTTGATGGAGCGGAACGCCAGCTCCTCGAGATCCGGGAACAGGCCCAGGAACTCGGTGAAGTCGGCCGAGTGCAAATCCGGGTGGTATCCAGTAATGGTGGCCGACAGCAACGAGTGGTTCTTGCCGGCAAACGCCTCCTTGAACTTCTTCTTCTCCTCTTCCCATCCGCTGCCCTCCAGGTTGTGGGCGACGTTCGGGTTGAACCTTCCCGTGTCGATGTGCAGGTTGTTGGGCTTACCGGCAGCTGGGCTCTTTGCCCCAGCAGCGCTGGGTGGCAAGGCAAACTGGTCAGGCAGCTGGAACTCGAGCTGCTCGACACCCGGCATAAACGCCAGGATCTTGAGCACCGACACAAAGTCCATCTGGATGCACGGCACAGCAAACAGCTTGAGGTCGGGGCGGGCAGCCAAGGGCGGCTTGGCCATGGCCAGGGCAATCTGGTCGCCGAGCGCATACGGCTTCTTGCCCTTGAGTCTCAGCATCGAGCGCACCTCAAAGTGCCGCAGCGACTGCAGCTGCGTGGCCAGCTTGACCAAGGTCGCAGCGCTCAGGCCGTCCGGGTACTCCTCGCCAGCCTCGAATCCGGGCGCAGGCAGAATGGCCAGGATCTCCAGGTTGGGCATAAACTTGAGCAGTAGTGGCGCATGGTGGTCGCTGAAGAACGGCAGCTGCAGGCGCTTGAGCGCAGTCCACCGCGAGTCCCACAGCTGGCCAAACTTCTCGCCCATCGGCAGCGTGTTGTCCAGCGCCGGCGAGTGCTCGATGATCAGACTGGTCAGGTCGGGGAAGCGGGCGGCGGAAATCGGCAAGCCCGTCAGCTCGTCGTACAGCGACGCCATCTTCAAGTGCAGGTGCTGCAGCCCTTTGCCGAGCTCCAGGCGGCCAGGCGAGTACTGCAGCTGGGTGGTTGGCAGCCCCAATGCATTCCGGTCAATGCAGTTCAGAATCGCCCGGATGTGCTTCAGGCGGCAGTTGACAATTGTCAGGGTGCGTGGCGCCAGCACAGGCGTGGCCAGCGCCAGCGTCAGGTACTTGTACTTTGTGTAGGTCTCGGCCTTATTCATCGAGTCCATCGACATCACCACGTGCTCCAGGTACCGGCACCGGTGCTCGTAGAACTGCTGCACGGCGGGCGTCGGCGACAGCAGCTCGGGCACCTGCGCGATGATGTCAGTCGCCTGGTTGCGCTCCTGCACGGTCTTGAGCTTGTGGATTGAAAACACCTCCAGCCGCGCCGGCAGCATCTGCCACACGCGGTAGTCGACAAGGTTCGGGAACATGTCCGACTCGCACAGGATCTTGTGCCAGGAGATGCTGAACCGGTTCGGCTCCGGCTCCCACGTGCTGTACTCGAGCGACACATGCGTCACTGCCGGCCACCCGAGGTTCAGGCACGCCGTGATATCCGCGCCATACGGCGACTCGACTGGCAGATTCCACACCGACAGCATGGTGATGTGCTCGCGGTACAGCTCGTGCTGCTGCCGCACCGAGTTGAACCCGCCAAAGTTCATCCAGTAGCCGACTTCGAATACCGGCACGCAGTTCTCGACGAAGATTTCGGGCACCGGCGGCAGGCTCGCGATGTCCTTGGCTACATTGAACGACAGGTTCTTGTCGCGCAGTAGCGAGGTGTGCCGGAACAGCCGCGCCTGCACCTGCGACCCTTCGTCCTGCTTGCCGGGCCCGTCCTCTTGCGGCGATGGCATCACGTAGCTGACACGGGTGGCCCGGTCTGGCACCTGGCTGTTTCCTGCCTGCTGCTGCTGCTGCTCCTGCTGCTGATTAGCAGTCTCGTAGGTATACTCATCTGGCGCCGCGGGCATGGCGTAGGTGGAGGCCTGTGGATACTCGGACATGATTTATATATACGTAGCCACCCAGAGATGTGGATATGGATAAAGGCTGAGGGAAATAATAGTAGAGAAAAAGTGAGCAGCGGAGGCAAAAGGGACAAGCTGCCGGGTCTACCTCTTGAATAAATATTGCCCCGCCGCGCAGAAGCAAGAATACAAAAACGGGGGCTGTCAGCGACGCGAGGTGCAGAAAAATCAGCACGAAATGCGCTGTTGTTTTTCTGTTCTTTAGCGTGACAATCGAGGTCGACACTTGCAGGGACATGCATGTCAGCAATGTATTTTTAGCCCACCGCCTTTTAAACCGCGATAGCTACACTGAGAGATTAGCCCAGAACCAGGCCATATCAATAATAGCTTGAGCAGCCTGCAGGCTCACAGCCGGCGGGGGCTACCGACTGCCGACTGCTCTTTGCTGGCCAGCACCGAGCTGCGCGACCTCTGCGGCGTAGCCGCCAGCGACTGAGCGCCAGGAATGCGCATGGCGACGTTGGTCTCAACAGGCGCATCAGTCAGATACAGCCTCAGCTTCTCGTCGGGTACCTCGAGGTGCGACATCTGCTCGCTCATCTCGACAGCTGCCAGGCGCACCATGTACTCCAGCAGGCTCAAGATGCACTTCCGCCACTCTTGCGCCAGGAATTCGACTGGCCGCGCCAGGTCTGCATACTCCAAGTCCTGCGACCCCACTATTGGGCCGCTGTTTACATCAGCACCTGCCCCAATGCTGCAAGATGACTCGAGAGCATCGCCTAGGGCGTCGATCTTTTCCGATGACGACGCTGGCGACGGCTCGGCAGAGTCGTCCTCAGAGTCGCTGTCGCTCTCCGAGCCGTCAGGTGCATCGTCGGCCTCGTCCAGCACCTCCAGCGCGTACCACTTGTCAACCTGCGACTCTCGGATGGTCTGTGCGTCTTCTTCGCCTTCGTCGCTCTCACCATCGTAATTTCTGCCTGCTCCGGTCTGGAAATGCACCACCAGCACTGGCGAGTTCGACTCCTCGATGTTGAGCAGCGAGCCCGCCGACGTATAGTGCATGTTGGCAATGCTGTCCAGTCGCATGCGCATGACTCGCCCGGGCTTCACCGTGCTGCCCGCCGCCAGAGTAACCTTGTCACTGGCTTCCTCGTCCTCGTGGTACCTGCCGTCATTCAGATCCTCAATGATCCGCAGCTCGTACTGCAGTGCATCAGCCGCCTCCTTATCATCGGCCGGCACCCGCCACAGCTCCGCCTGGCACTTTGCGTATTCCTCCTTCCACGTGAAGTCGTTCCGTGTCTTTGGTCTCACAGAGCCCACAAACAGGCTATACAGCCTCAGTGAAAACGGCTCACCCACCAGCACCTCCTTCTTCGCCCTGTTCGCCTCAAACCGGCCCGTCGTCCGGGACAACAGTACTGATGCCTGCATCAGCCGCCCCGGTGACACGCCTGCTGGCATCGCTCCGCCCAAGTGCGCTCCCTGATGTCGTCAGCGCCAAATTCAGCAGCGGTACAGCTTCCTCAATCTTAGCCAGCAAGCTATTCAAGTCACTCGTGATGCTCTGACCTTAGCTCCGCCCGCTTTGCTCCTGCCGCTTCCAGCCTTTCTAGCTTTTCGCTAAACTTCACAATATCCCGCCGCAGCCCATGCGTCAGCTGCAAAACGCTCGTCATCGTCGAGTGCCCGCGCGCTGCGATGATCTCGATCAGGTCGATGGCTGGCGTCACAATGCGCAGCTTGGAGGCAAAGCGGGAGCGTAGTTGATCCAGCTCGGATGGCCCCTTGGAGGAGAGCTCTGGCAGGCTCTTGACGTATTCGGTGACGCGCTTCATAGCGATCGAACTGGCAGCACCGAATGCTGCCTTGCCGACCAGCTTGACGGTTTGCATGGCAAGGCTGGAAAAGAGTTCGTCCATTTGAGGGTGGCTGAATTGGGGTGTTAGAGTACAGGAAAATGTCGTGCATTAGGACAACAAGGACCGAAGCGGCTGCATCGCGAACCAGCACCAGCCGGCTTGTCGTAAACAAAGCAGATGCTGTGATCAAAATCACTCTGGGTGCGGCTCAAATCTATCACGCCTTTGTTGCTTTCGCGTTGCTTGTGTCTCTAGCCCCTGCTTCCTATTTTTGCTTTTTCATTTACGTTCCAATGGCTACCAGCCGCGCAATTACCGAGGCGGTAGAGCAGCTGCTAGACAGCGACCTGTGCGACTCTGCGCTGCAGCTGGCCGAGCTTGAATGCACGCCGCGCCTGGCCGACCCTACTCTGCCAATAGCCGAGCGGCTGCAGTTGCTCGATACTCTCAGCAAAAGCCAGCAAAGCAACAGGCACTATCGCCGTGCGCTAATGACCCTAACAAAGTTTGTCTCTGGCCCCGCCCGTGCCCAACTGTCCCGCGACCAGCTCGAAGGCGTGGCGCGCGACATCGCCAATATCCGCTGGCAGCTGAAGGAGTACGACATGTGCCTTGCGCAGCTGCGTCAGATCCCCACAAAGCACAGGCGTGTGCAAGACATTGCACGGATGGCAAAATGTGCGGCACTGGTGAATAGCCCGGATGCTGCAGACCTGCACGAAGCGCTGCTGGAAGCCCAGCCGAATGCTGTCGAGGCGTATGCATATCTGAATTCGGCGAGGGGGACTGCTGAGCGGCCAACACCATATATAGGCCGATGGCAATGCGTACCATGATGTGAAGAGCCTGACGGTTGCAAACAGCCTGGTTGCAAGGCTTGCCTATGCGGAGGCGATCAAGGAGTTCCAAAAGATGCTGAGGAGACACCGGGACTCAGCACCGCTCCTGGCGCAGCAGGCAACCTGCCACTATATGCTGAACGATGTGAGGAAGGCGCGGGACACTGTACGAGAAGGCGCTGCTGGTGGATCCATCGCTGATGCTCGAGATGGGAACATATTCAGACCTGCTGCAGTCGTGCGACCAAGACGCATACTCCGTGTACCAGCTTGGCACCGAGTTGCTCAAGACCGACGAGACACGGCCCGAGGGCTGGGTGGCCATGGCGCGGTATCTGATGATGGCTGGCCAAATGCAGGAGGCGCTGGCAATTGTGTGGAAGGCGCAGACGCTGGCTCCCGATTCAGCCGATGCATTCTACGCCGAAGGAGCCATCCAAATGGCATCGGAGTGCCCCGAAGAAGCTGCCGAGGCGTATCTGAAAGCACACAGCCTGAGGCGCAGTGCTCTGACATACCGCGGTATAATGGATGCGTATTTGCAGTGTGGGCGGTACAAGGACGCGTTTGTTGTCGCCAAGGAAGCGGCAGAGCTGATGCCGAACCATGCAGGCACCCTGGCCATGATCGGTCGAGTCCTGTCACACAGCCCCGAGAGCTACGACAGGGCTGTTGCTCTGCTGAAGTCGGCGCTTCAGATTGACCGGCGGTGTGCCGGATGCTGTCGAAGCGCTAGCATCGCTGTACGGGTCGACTGGGCAGCACTCCGAAGCCATTGCCATGATGGAAAAGTTTCTGCCCGAGAACGAGTCCGACGCACTGTACACAGTGTACGCCGACATCCTGACGCTGGCCAACGAGCTGCCGAGAGCAGCAGGAAACCTATGCGGTGGCACTGGATATGAATCCAAACAACGAACGAGCACGGATTGGGCTAGATCGTGTGGACCGCTTGATGCATCCAGATACAGAGAGGACCCAAGAGGAGCTTGATGATGAGATTGGCGAGCCGATCGACGAGCCTTTGCCGCCGAGCGACCAGGACGATATGATGCTGGCCATGATGCGCGAGGAGCAGGGCTCGCCACTCGGCCGCAGTTTTACCGATAGCGATGTGCTGTAGCCGGTGCACCCCATATGTCTGTGAGTGGCCACTACAGAGGGCATTGCTTACGCTTGTAATATATGATGGAGATGGCTTCGACATTTCGTCTTGCTGCTACTTATAATGCCAGAGCCATATCTTTACCAATACCATATCTCGGATAATGCTATTCAGACGCAGTGCCTGGCCATGCGGCTCGCCCGAGGAAGATGGCAATTTTTACAAGTCTGTCAAATGGTCGCCCGATGGGACATCGCTGGCCGCGCATGCCGAGGACAACGCATTACACATATACAACGTCTGCGATATAGTGGATAGCATTGCGCAGGGCAGCGTCTCGGCAGATACAGAGTGCCGACAGATATCGCCAGCCTGCTGCAATCCCACATGCCGAACGCTTCATTGATTTCTCGTGGTACCCATACATGCACCACGCCACACCGTCTACCTGCTGCCTTGTGGAATCAACACGCGACCACCCACTGCACTTGCGCGACACCAACTACGGGTCTGTACGCGCACACTACGCGGCCTACGACTCGAAGGAGGTTCTAATGACCGCCAACTGCACACTTATTCTCGCCTGACGGTAGCCGCATATACGCCGGATATCAAAGGAGCATCGGGAGTGTTTGATACTCAACGCGCCGGATTGCCCATCTCCCTGGATAGCACCTCTCCAACACGACGCAGCAAAGACGGGGTGCGCGGGATAATCTCCTGCCTTGCCTTTTCGCCGACGTCGCAAGTGCTTGCATGCGGGTCGTTCAGCGGCCAGATAAGTCCTGCGCTCTGCAGACTCCACCTACAGCTTCTGTATGGCCTGTGCCAGCTGAATATGCCGGTCCAGGGTGTTGCCCATCTGCAGTGGTCGCCTAACGGCATGCTTTTGTGGGCAGCGCCGCGGCAGTCACGACATATTGTTGCCTGGGACGTGCGGGATTTGCGTGGGCCCGTACGCAGTCGTTGAACGCCCGGCAACGACACAGCAGAGGATGGCGTTTGACTTTGACAGCCATGGGCAGGTTCCTTGTTGCCTGGACAGATGGATGGCTCGCTGGCATTCCATGACATATGTGGGCTGGACAGCGCCGAGGACAGAGGCGTGGCAAGGGTTCCTGGCCCATGACGACTTGGTTGCTGGGGTTGCATGCCATCCGCACTACGCACTGCTGGCGACAGGCTGCGGGCCAGCGCAGGTTTTCCGACTATGGTGACGACGAGGCTGCGGCGGCGGGGCGTAGCGTGTGCTCGCCCAGCCTCAAACTTTGGTCGCTGGGCGCCCAGTATTTTGAGCGCGAAATCCAGGCTTAAAATATTTTCCAGCTAGACTCTCTCCTCTCGTTCTCGTTTCTCGTTTGTTACTATAGCTCCCTCCTTTACATTCTGCTCCTTGCAAGACTTGCAGCCCTCATTTCGTCGCAATTATGACCGTGGAAAGCGTTACAGAGGTACAGAGAAGGATGCCAGCAAAGCCCCTGTCTTCGCAGCTCTCTAGACAGCCAAGGGCGCATACTGGAGTCGCACAGTAACACGCTGGTTGAAATTTGCATGCATTTCACAGGTCGCTAAGAGCCAGCTTTCGCCCTGTAGCCAATGCCTCCAAATGACCTGACGCGGCTTAGCCAGTTCATGGCCGACTGCATGAGCATAGGTGCCTTGAAGGTAAGACAGCGACATTCTGTTGTTTTCCAGCAGCCCCTGCTAGTCACAGGGTCAGCTGAGAGACCAAGCACTGGCAGCTTATTGCGGTGTATTTTGTCTGCTTGTAGGGCTTTGCACATTTTACAATGTATATTCGCAGCCGTGAGGAGGTCATAATGCGTATCTACCGCCGCGATGGAGTGTCCAAGCAGACTAAACCGCCAGTCTCGAGCCTAACCATATGCGATTACGTGTAAGTGCATGCCAGGCATGAGCTGCGTGATATGCGGTGGCACTGAATGCCTACCCTGATAGCAAAACCCTAATGCCTATCCTATCCCGGAAAACTCTAATTGTAGCGACAAGATCCAGGCCACCGATGAGACAAAGCAAATGTGAGTTGCCCCAGGCACATTGGGTGCTGCATGAGCTGCATGAACCTATCCCCTCCCAAAATGAGATGCATGCATTTGCGTGCAAGTCAATATCCCGCAACAATGTGTTTTTGCTCAATGTGCTCACCCACAGGGGATGTATCTGTAGGATGAATGAGGCCAAGAAAGACATGGAGCAGCCGTTTGACATGTCAGACAAGAACCTCGAAGGACGATAAGGACGGGATCAGCTTCATGCTTGCCGGTTACCCGCGGTACCGGTGTCCGTATGTCTGGCCCAAGACGGACCACGAATCGCTCCTACATACTGGCCGCAACCAGCGCCTGGGGCGCGACCTGCCGCTGAAGATGGAGACTGGTTGAGACGTGGCGGGTGTTTGACATCCGGCCCTGGGATATTTTGGTAGAGCTCATAGTTACTGCGGTGAACCCACCCCCGGAGAACCCGTTCCTGGTAGGACCACGACTACTTCGATGCACTGCCAATCGAGGAACGTGTGGTAGTGACTGGCGCGATGCTGGAGTTCCAGCGCCGGATCTACCTGAGACACTACTACTTCAGCAACATGGTGTTGGATGACATCAAGAAGCTGCAGCATAGGCACTTCCGCGACATCAACACACTGCGCGAGTACCAAGCAGTCCTATGTCATTCCGTGAAACAAAGTCGTGAGCTAATAGCGGCGCACATGTCTAATACACTGTTGTTATTACATTTGTTCCCAAAAGTGTGGCGATGTAAATGATCTGTGGTATTTACTCCTGGATGCCTTTGACAGCAAACGACAAAGATACCCCATCGATTAAATGGTTCATTCCTGTCACTGTTCCCTCGACAGCTTGCTGCCGCTGCACGCTCAAGTTCGTTTCTGCAACCATGCAGTGCATGTTGCAAGACGCTTCCATATGTGACAGCGTTCTGTTTATCAGAAGTGGATCGTGGCGTCATGCTGCGGAGTGGCAATCAGCTTTGAGATCATACTCTGCAGCTCAGCACTGCTCATCTGGCTCAGATCCAGTCGCACCGGCTTTGGTGAACACACGGTCCGTGAGCATGGTGGGGTCCTTCTCGTTGGCATTGTCGACTTCATCCACACGGTTGGACAAAAAACTTGACAACAACTGCTCTGACCATTCGAAATTGTGCCGATTTTGCTGCTTGCTGTGGCCGCTGCTGTTGTTGCGAGCTATCAGCCACGGCCGACTCAACGCCAGAGACAAGGACCATGGAGGAGCATATCGATATCGGCTGCTGGAATTGACACTGTTGCTAGATGTGTTCGAGGCGGATTGTTGGTTAGGCGCTTTGGTGACTGAGTGATCCCAGCGTCTGGAAGTTGCTCCTGAGACATTCGAGGACGAGCATCGTATGCTGTTCGAAGTGTCATTCAACTGTTGCAGATGGGCAAAGCGAGATCGTAGGTTCGCCCAACCGCTCTATTTGGCCCAGCAACCTCTGCACTCCACTGAATTTGTAACCGGATGGTTGGTTGCTGGCCTGTGATACGGGTTGCTCATTGCTCATCTCTGTAGCATGCTTAGGCGCAGGGTCAATGACGATACCCTCAGATTCAGGGTGCGCTGGTCCTGGCTATGCCATGGCTCTACGCTAAACTGCCTAGCTGCGTTTCCAGTGTTCCACATCTGGTGACTTGCGCCGTTGTAGGAGTCGAGCAAGAATTGGCGCGGCGGGCCCATCGACGCATCAACCGACATTCTTCTGAAATCCATGTCTCTCGACTGTTGGCTGCTGCTGGTGTGGATCCCCGACAAGTGCATTGACCATCGAAATCGCCGGTCCATTTGCCCGGGGATTGGCCTGCTCCAACGTCCGGTAATGGTCGCTCTCAACCATCTTGAGATCTGGTGGGCTATAGGTGGTCTGTTTGATCACGTCATTGAAGAACCCGTGCAGCTTGCTGTACGTATACGTGAACCCCACATATGAAGCTGCAACGAGGCACGATCCATGGGTCTGGGTCGTTCTCGTGCTCAATCAGCAGCTCCGAGTCGCCATCCTCGCTGGTACCGCTGGACTTGTTGGCTGTCAGCAGCCGCTGCTTCTTGCGCAGGTTAAACACGTGGTGCAGCACTGTGATAGTAGCGCTATTAAAATGGTAGTACTGGTCAGCCGCAACAAGCATCTTCAGGTGGACTTCAAGGTCGCGCCTCGACTGCTCGGCAATCGCGCTATCGTCGCACAATGCTGCATTGACATGGATGGAAGGCTCCTTGAACAGACCAGATTCCAACATGCGGGCCCCAATACTCAGCAGACAAAGACTCCATTGCCCAGCGAATAACGTCAGCTTGCTTATGTGCTGCCTCAATGCACACCGCTTTGGCTCGCTGAATCATCTCTGGGACTGATCTTTTCATAGGTATATGACGGCAGTTCGGAGCGATACAGGATGATCTTGGCACCGTAGTACATGATGTGCAGGTCAAAGTAAATTGAGTAGATGTTAGTTGTGCCACTAGCACCGTCGCCCAGGTTTGCGTAGCCGCTGAGCAGCCATTCCGTGCGCGGCGGGAACTCCAAGTACGGAACGAAGCGCCCGCGGATGGACTCCAGCTCCTTGTCGAGTGCATCGAAAGTGGCGCGGCGGGACAGATCCGATGGGCGCACAGGTCTCCTTCTGCGATTCGCAAACTCGGCAATGCGTCCGCCAATCCGGTACATCTCAACGACCATCCACCAGTAGTCGGGGATTTGTGCAGGCAGCTCGTTCTCATCTGGAATTATGCCCATTATCCAGTTGTAGTCGCGGCTCGGCAGATTGACTACGATGTCGTCGTCGTGCACGGTTGCTGGCCGTGATGCGACGATCACCGACACTCGCTCTCCACAATAAACATACCACCATAGCCTCCGGCGCCATTCAGCTTCAGCCCAGCAGCGCGAGCTGCCGTTCGAGTTCTCGTTAAAATCCTCCTCATCAATTAAATGCAGGCGGCATCTCTGGGCAAGCCGTGTAGCCATCCCTATAATTTGAACCCCCGAGCTGAAAAGGACATTAGCAGATTGCACCATATGCAAGATGGCGAGGCATTATAAAGCGCATATATGAAGATACGATTGACAAAGCTGTAATAGCAGCCAGATGCCTTCTACTGTCACCATTGTTGGTCACGAACAGAAGCTGCATAGTTGATATTGGCTGTCATGGCGCAAAATGTGCAGTTTTTTTAGAGACAGATGTTGCACCAAGACATGAGCACTGCACACGACACGATGAAAACATGTTAGCTTGCTTGCTCGTCTTAATGTTAGCGCTACCATTGAGATAGTAGTATTTTGCTTACCATTGTATGTCCATGCCGATTCGCCACGTCCACAACCCCACTCATATGTCGATAGCATCATAAGACATTCAACCACATTAGGGCTAGGTCGATCGACCAGGCCGGAGATGAGCTCGGCCGATCGCTCGGCAAAAGCACGGCCCGCATTGTATTTGGGCGAGCACACGAATTCAGGGCGACTGCTGAAACGCGCCCCCAGAGCAATGATTGCACAGATGGTAAATTCAGGTAGCTCTCCCGAGCGAAAGCGTTCAATTTGCAGCCTCATTGTGGTCGGGGGCGCCATCGGCGTGACTTGCTTGACCACAAACCCTATCATCTCCTCAATGATGTCTGGCGAAGGCAGCTTGAGAGCTGGGCGTTGGCTGCATAGCTCGTGCGGAATTCTCTGATCGACGGGCAGGTAAATTTGCGCACTATTCTGGACGAGGGGCGAAGTGCAGCCCTGTGTCACATCCATTGCCAAGCTGGTAGGGAGAATCCGCTCGATGAGCGGCTGCAGAATCCGCTCCATACACTCGATGCGCTGCTCCAGGTTGCCAACAGCACTGCGACGTCTGCGTCTCTTGCGGACCAGTGGGCTGTAGTGGCAAGCCAGCCTCATATTCTTGCACTGCCAGCACAAGGGCTTCGTGCTATCGCACTTTATTTTCTTGCGCCGGCAGCTGTCACATGCTTGCAGTAAGCGCTGCTGCTTGCGGGATTCAGTGTCGTCATGCTCATCCATCTTGTCGCTGCCATTATCAATAACACTCTCGCTGTACTGCTGCCTAATGTCAGCGTCTGGGTCCTCGGACGAGATCATGAGCGACGATGGTGTGATTTTGCGACTGGCCATTTGTATTCGTTCACGCAGTGGACTGGCTTGTCGTTTCAACCGTAACAAAATGGCAAAAAAATATTAAGAAGAGTATGCAGAATGTGTAGCGATAATGTGTGATAACGTATGCTTTTGCTGGGCTAAGAGAAAGAACGAGAGAAGGAAAGCGCTACTGGCAGAGTGGACAGCATGTCTCGTAGAAAAAGTGGATAAAGATTGGTTGATATGGACCAAGGGGGAAAGGGAAAACGCATGCCCCGGATCGCCAGAGTGACGCTGCCGAAGCTTCTTTGGCACGTCGCTAGATCCCATGCAATAAAGCCCGCACGGCCAAAGATAACATATTGCTTTTGCTCCATATTCAGATTGTGGATTTGTTTGATTCCGCCAATCCCAGGCGCCGGCACCAGTAGCGATGCTGAGGTCAAACCCTTGGGCCAGTGGAACGGCGATGGACGCTCTGGCTACGTTGCCGATAATGGACGGTCAGGCACCTGGGCTGCATCGAACCAACGATGCGACATTGCGCCTAGCTAGGACATGGCCATATAGCAAATTTCTGTCGCTTTCTCCCTCGCTCTTTTGTCCCTTGTTTTATTAGGATCCTCCCAAATGCTTCCAGCCTTTCCAAAAAAAAGCACCTACACCAACTAGAGGAAAAGTATACTTGAGTATGTGCTAACAGTGTAGCTTGCCAGACAGTGGAACTCCAGCGTAAAGGCAGCTATGACGAGACTACACCTTGTCCTGATATCACTCCCTGGTTACTATGTGGGCATCCGCTAGGAAATGTCGGCGCATATCACACAGTCGCTAGTCTTCGTTGCTGAGTCTCTGCATTATTCCACATGCCTGTGACCTAAATATTTTCATTGGAATACTTTCTCATCTCGAATAACATTTGCGCTAACCTGATATATCCTGGCAACACTGCGGAAGGGCACCCCAGCCGTGCTTGGGTGGCACACACAAGTCAACACATATACTGCAATACATGAAATGAAAAATCAAGGAGATGGCTAATATATCGGAGTAGCAAGGGCTTGGGACAACAGGGGATAACATGACAGCCTTCCAAAAAAAGCATATCATTGAGACTGTTTCACACAGAATCCAAAATCACAGCTGGTAGGAACAAAAAGCAAGTGCACTGTTTGACACAACGTGCACATCTAACCTAGCTCACATTTAGAGCATATTTAAAAGAGAAGGGAAAAGGAATAGAAAGACAAAGAAAGTAGGACGGAGGGGGACACGTAGACAACCCTTTTTATGTACCACTGACATGTCCCTTGGCACCCTCTGCATTCTCCAGTCAATAAGAGCCAGCGAAATGTGGGGTTTGGCCACACTACTTACGGCAGTGCCCCCTAGAGGGCAGCTTCAGCTCAACTGCGGACATAATTGATGGTAAAATCCTAATGCACTGCAACTTGTGCATTCATTGTTCATGTTCGTTCATGGAACTGTATTTGGAAAAATAGGGTGCTTGCCAGTGCTGCAGATCAACTCATCTGTCAGTTACTCCTGGACTATTGGAATGGGCTGAGCCACCCAGAAATGCAATTGGCTCTCGAGAAAGCCCGTACTGTTTCGCATACTGTAGAGCCTCCCTGTCCTCCCTTGTCTATGTGCAAAGCGCACTTTCGCCTACGTCGTGACAGAGCACTCTCGCAGATAGACATGGGTTGACAGCACATGCCAAATTGGCACAACAGCACCAGTTGGAGCCATTGTTCTGCCAAGCGCTTGGCAGCTGAGAGGCTCCCGAAATGGGAATATCTGCGGGATACTTTATCTGCCCGCATGAATATCCAGACCAAGCAGAGTAGCCATGCAAATAGCTACAATATATATCTCCACTATGCTGCCAACCATCACGTATCATTCAACAGTCCAGGGTCAGGATGCAGAGTTATATATGGAAACTGGTTAATAAAATTGGAAATGAAATGAAGAAAATGTCAACAAGATCGAGGCAATTGCAGTATAAGACATACAGAATGAAAGAGAGTTCTAAGAGCAATGGAAATAAATGATTAATGGTGAGTGTCATTCTTGCTGGCAGTGGTAGACGAGCCATTGGGAAGGAGTTGCATCTCAGTGCCGGCGCTCGCCAAATGCTGCTGCTGCTGTCCTCCAGAGACGCTTCCGCAACACTGAAAGCCGGCTGCAAAGTAGTGGCGTATGCTGTGGCATTCTGAGTTACTGAGGTTGACGTTGCTTCGTGCTGTGGCGACGTCATCAGCTGCGAGATCATAGTCTGCAACTCGGAGCTGCTCATATGGCTCAGCTCTTGCTGTGCAGAAGTTGCCGACACGCTCGATGTTTGCACGCCAGATGTCTGGTGACTGATACAGCCAAGTCCGCTCATCTGGTTTGCCAGCGCTGCCGACAGCCATTGCTCCGAGACCGCTGAATGCTGCTGCTGTTGCTGCTGCTGCTGCTGCTGCTGAGAATGGTCTGTCATGATCGAAGCCAGTCTGGAACTGCTGAGATACATGGCTGTTTTCGACCGATCTGTTATCAGACCCAAGCTGGCTAGCCATCGTCCCAATGCTGGCGGCAAAGCTACTGAGGAATCCATTCACGTCGCTAGCTGGAATCGTTCCGCTGTTGACTGCATTCATGGCAGCAGCTACAGCAGCTGCAGAGGGCGTGCCAGACGCATCATCGATTGTCTGGTTCATGTTGCTGGGCCCAGACACTGCGTTGATAAGCTGAGCGCTATGTGCGCTGTTTGAGTTGCTGCTGAGCTGTTGGAGAAGCACAACACGGGAGCGCAGCTCTTCCAGCCGCTGCAACTGTTCAAGTTGCTGCTGTGTACCTCCGGTTTTGCCATTGGATTGCGCAGACTGTGCAGCAGCGGTAGCATTCAGGCTTCCGCTACTAGCAGACTTGCGGCCACGTCCACTGCTCTTACGCTTTACTGACGTGGTCCGCCGTCCTTGCTGCTGTTGCTGCTGTTGCTGCTGAGGAGCTGCAGAATTAGCAGCGTCGCTGGCGGAATTGAACATTGCACTCGACGGTCGCTTATTGGTCAGCGACGATGCTAGTGCGTTGCCCATCTCGACGTCTTGGTTAGCAGAGGGGGCTGTAGCCAGGTTGTCGGGACTGGATACCATGACGTGGCTCCCCCCGGGAGCGCCACTGGTTGTCGCATTCGGGTCAATAAATTGGCCAACGTGACCAGATCCTGCAGTAAACTGCCCTGCGGCGTTTCCAGTGTTCCACATCTGGTGACTTGCGTCAATGGGCCCGCCGCGCCAATTCTCGTTCGACTCCCACAACGGCGACATCAACCGACATTCTTCTGAAATCCACGTCTCTCGACTGTGGCTGCTGCTGGAGTGGATCTCCAACAAGTGCATTGACCATCGAAATCGCCGGTCCATTTGCCCGGGGATTGGCCTGCTCCAACGTCCGGTAATGGTCGCTCTCAACCATCTTGAGATCTGGTGGACTATAGGTGGTCTGTTTGATCGCATCGTTCAGGAACCCGTGCAGCTTGCTGTACGTATACGTGAATCCCAAGTATGAGCTGCAACGAGGCACGATCCATGGGTCCGGGTCGTTCTCGTGCTCAATCAGCAGCTCCGAGTCGCCATCCTCGCTGATACCGCTGGACCTTGTTGGCTGTCAGCAGCCGCTGTTTCTTGCGCAGGTTAAACACATGGTGCAGCATCGTGATCATCGCCATGTTGAAATGATAGAACTGGTCGGCAGCCACATGCATCTTCAGGTGGACTTCAAGGTCGCGCCTCGACTGCTCGGCAATCGCGCTATCGTCGCACAATGCCGCATTGACATGGATGGAGGCTCCTTGAAGCGACCAGATTCCTATTTTTGGGTCCCAGTACTCGACAGGAACCGACTCCATTGCCCAGCGAATAACGTCAGCTTGCTTATGCGCTGCCTCAATGCACACCGCTTTGGCTCGCTGAATCATCTCGGGGCTGATCTTTTCGTAGGCGTATGACGGCATTTCGGAGCGATACAGGATGATCTTGGCACCGTAGTACATGATGTGTAGATTGAAGTAAATTGCGCAGATGTTGGTCATTCCGTTAGTACCGTCGCCCAGGTTTGCGTAGCCGCTGAGCAGCCATTCCGTACGCGGCGGGAACTCCAAGTACGGAATGAAGCGCCCGCGGATGGACTCCAGCTCCTTGTCGAGTGCATCGAAAGTGGCGCGGCGGGACAGATCCGACGGACGCACAGGTCTCCTTCTGCGATTCGCAAACTCGGCAATGCGCCCGCCAATCCGGTACATCTCAATGGCCATCCACCAGCAGTCGGGGATGCGCGTGGAGAATTGGTTTGGCACCCATGTCTCCTCCATGTTGATATGTGCAGGCTGCTTGTCCTCGTCCGGGATTGTGCCCATTATCCAGTCGTGGTCGTGGCTAGGTAGATTTACCACGCAGTCGTCGTCGTGCACGGTTGCTGGCCGCGATGCCACGACAATGGAGATGCGGTCGCTGCAGTACACGTGCCACCACAGCCGTCGGCGCCATTCTGTATCAGCCCAGCTGCGCGAGTTGCTGCTGGCGTTCTCGTTAAAGTCTTCTTCGTCTACCAGATGCAGGCGGCATCGCTGGGCGAGTCGCGTCGCCATGCCTAAGGCGTTGGGTAAAAATGGGTGTAAATCGTGTGCTTGGCGGAGAATACCACTTGGAAAACACGGGGATTGGCTGGTAGCCCGCATTATTGCATCAGGTAGGAGGATGCCGGAGTAGTCTGGAAAATCGTGACAGGTGGAGGTTTTCAGTTCTGCCAGATGTGCCCGTAAGCTCCGCGGGAGGTAGCAGCAGACATGCAGCAAGGGGTGGTGGTACCTCCCGGTACAACCAAACTGCCGGCCAGGCTGCTTTTCTCGACACAAGGCAACAAGTGCACAACCGCAAATCGCTGGCTCCCTATCTCTCTTGTGCCTGAGCACCATGCATGCACTTTCTCTCCTCTTCCGCGACAGCAAGCGACATGCAGCAAACAAGTTTTACCACGCCAGTCATCTGACAATCGCTGCAATGAAGCAGACGACAACCAATTGGCCAAATATAGAAAAAGAACACACATCTGCTGTCGTTTCCGATGCACTTCGTCCATGCAATCGTTTGTAGTGCATCGAGTAGCAGGATGAGCGTCACGAAAGAGCCAGCTGCGTGCATGGGGATGCTGCTGTCTGTCTGCCACATCCAATCCAACGGAGGCATTTCTCCCGCTGCGGTGTTTGAGATATCTTCTGCCGTCCCAAGCAGAACACAGCTTTGCTGGCCAGAGACTTTCTGGAATGAAGTACCAGGCGACCCAGCTTGCAGATGCAGTCTTGTCGGCCTGCCTTCGTCTTTGCAAATGTATCCGCAAGGTTGGCCAATGCACAATCATATGTCAAAAACCACTTACCAGTGTAGGTCCACGCTGATTCGCCCCGGCCACAGCCCCATTCGTAAAACGACAGCATAATCAGGCACTCGACGACGTCTGGATCTGGCCTGTCAACGAGACCGGAGATGAGCTCGGCCGAGCGCTTTGCGTACTCGCGCCCCGCGTTGTATTTGGGCGTACACATGAACTCTGGGCGGTTGCTGAAGCGCGCTGCCAGCGCAATGATCGCGCAAATGGTAAACTCTGGGAGCTGCCCCGAGTGGAATCGCTTGAGCTGGCGCACCCACGAGACCGGCGGAGCCATCGGCGTGATCCGCGTGATCGCAATCTCCATCATCTCCTCGATAATGTGCGGCGGCGGCAGCTGGAACGCCGGGTGGATAGTCACCGGCGGCTGCAGGCCAAACGACGGCTGGCGGTAGTACGGCTCGCGCGGAATACCCTGGGCGCCAGGCTGTGGAATGTATATCTGCTGCTGCGGCTGGATGAACGGAGCAAAGCCCGGCGCAAACTGGTTCTGGATTGGGCCCACGACCGGGTCTGTCGGCGACAGGCGCTCGACCAGCGGCTGCAGCATCTGCTCCATCGACTCGAGCCGCTCCTCTAGCTTCTCAATGATGCTTCGACGGACACGCTTCTTGCGCACCAGCGGGCTGTAGTGGCAGGCAAGCTTCATGCGGGTGCAGTGCGAGCACGAGGGCTTGGACCCGTCGCACTTTACCTTCTTGCGTCGGCAGTTGTCGCAGGCCCGCATCAGGCGCGGCTGCTTGTTGGCCTCGTTGTCGTCTTGCTCGTCGGCGTCGCCGGTGTTCTTGTCCTGATCATCGTTGTCGTTGTCGTCCTCAATATCGTTGTCGTCATCGTCGTTGTCGTTGTCGTTGTCGTTGTCGTTGTCAGCTACACTCTCGCTGTACCGCCGCGAGTCACCGACGTGCGGGTCCTCGGACGAGGCTTTTGATGACGACGAAGCGGCTTTATGGCTGGCCACCTGCATTGTTTATAGTGCCAAGAACTCGAGTTTTTGTTTGCTGGCAGCGTGCGTGATATTAATAAAAAGGGTGGCTCGATAGGCGGCAGTAGAATAATCGCGCTTCGGAAGAGATAGGGAGGGAGGCGAGCACAAGATAATGGTAGTCGGGCCGAAGAGTGCACGAGTAGCGAGCAGTAGGGACAATGGGGTAAAAAGGTGCTCACAAGGACAGGTGTTCTATAAGGAGAGTAGGGGTGAGCTGAGCAAGAGCAAAACGAGAGGAGTGAGGAGGAATCCGGGCTGGCTAACGATCTTTTTGAGCCAAGTGCGATTTCATTTCCAGCGAATAAAAGGAAACCATTGGCTTTCTCCGTCGCTGTGGCCAGCGCGCGGGACGAGCGCACACAAAGAAACGAGCAAATCCCCTGGTCGGATTCGAGTGCCTTCTTCGTCCATGTCAATCCGCAAGCGTGACTGGCCATTCCGCACCACCCAAGCTAAAAGGACATTCTTCCGGCTGTGGCCTGGATCCCTGGCTCGGAGCCTGCGATTCGCCCTGCTGCCACACACAAAGCGCTGGACTGTGGTCATCTCGGCTGGCTTGGGTGGTGCGCAGCTCTCTCTTGTGCGACTGGGCGGGAGGGAAAGCAGTGGGGATGGCCCACTGAAGCCTAAACGAGTGACGTGTACCGCACGCGCACCTGGAAGCGCCGGTAGCTAGATCAGGAACTACAGGCTCGTGTGATAAATTATAGCCCGCAGCAGGGAGTTTTTCCGAAATGCGCCAGCCCAGAATCCAGGTCCTTTGCCCCCCTGATCCCGGCCTGTATTGACGTGCGCAGCCAAGCAAAGCGGGGGTGGAGAGGGGCGGCTGGGCATTTAAGCGAACGATCCCCGACGCAGCCAGAGACAGCTGGGCCGCAGCCAGCGCTATGCCTTATTCGGCATACACGCACCGGTGCTGAAGCAATTGCGAATTTCTTGTTCAAATATGGCTGTCAATTTCGCAGGCGCCAGAACGCAGAGTACGAGAAAGCGTATCCGCAAGCATGGCCAATACGCCATCTCCCGCTTTCAGCAGCGCCAGTGTTTTTCAACAACAAACCGATGAAAAGGCGGTGAAAAGAACGGGAAAACGAGGCGTGTAGACTGCTGTCGCGCTGAGCATTCAACAGAGCATCTTGGAGCGCCACCGTCCCCCTTGAGAAAGTATTCGTACCACGCCTCCTGCTTTCGAGGCACTTTATTTCATTTTCGCCTGCAAATGCAGCTTTTTGCGTGGAGAAGCAACCGAGTTCCAGCGCACACCCCCATCCCCCTCCCCATTCACCAACCAAGACATTCTACTATTCTTCCTCTTCTCTCCGTCCCCCTCTCCTTCCCTCCCGTCCGTCCTCGCTGTTTCTTCTCCGCTCTATTCTCCTACTCAGCATTTTGCTCCTTCTATTCTATCAATATCATTCTTCAGCCCACCAAACACCGGGTCTTTGATTTCCCACACTGAAAAAGTTAGCGTTGGTCTGCAATCACCAAGGTTACTCCCCTGCAACGCTTTTTCTTCATTGACATCGAGGGAGCGCGCGCTTGGCGATATACAATACCGGCCCCCTCTCCCCCTTTTCATTCAGCGCCCTCGTGCGGTATATACCCGCAGACTGAGAATATCGCATATAGCTTTATTTTTCTCTCCTGCGTCGCATCTCTCCCCTCTCTCGTTCTTCGACTGCTAGCAATCTCTTATTCCCTAAAATATCCATTTCGTGAACAGCGCCATTCTCGATATTTTCTGGACTCCGTGCGAGCCACTTCCATCTCCCGCATCTTTCATTTCCTAAGAGCCCCTTTTTAGAAACGGCAAGAGCCAATTAAAGGCAGGCCCAACCCAGACATCGTGCATACATAGCCCGCCATATATACTCCACGACTTTTTTTCTTTTGTTCCAGCGAGCAGCAGACAGGTGTGCCACATCACTCCCTCTTTCGCTTTTTTACTTTTCTCCATACCCATTTTTATTCTTATCCACCCGCCTATCCATCTCCTCTCACTTGCTCTTTTATATACAATGCAGTACCCGAACGGCGTCCCCCTGCCGGGTGCATCGCCCCATGGAGACAGCGCCGGTCAGCAGCAGTTGCCGCCCAACGAAGGCCGCACGCCGCCAGTCGCACCATTGGCGAGCAAGAAGAAGCGGCTGACGCAAGCTTGTCAGCATTGCAGGTAAGTCCGACTAGGTGGTGCCTAGAAGCCAGTACCAACGCCATGAACGGGGCAGGGGGAATGTGCGCACCGGTGTGGAGCGGCGAAAATCTGGCAATGCTCTGCCATTCACTTGATTTTCCTTGCGCAGAGCGAGGCGACGATGCAGCCCATTTTTGCATGCCCGGCGCTCTCTCCCGCCCTCATGTCACTAGACACACACTCCACATTGTCTTTTCTCACACAGACAACAACAACAACAACAACAGCAGCAGCAGCAACAGCAGCGCTTCCCCGCGTCGCCCTGTCAGTTTGCACAAATGCAATTTATGCATGAAAGGCAGGGCCAATTGCCCAAAGCCCCCCATAGTGGCAAAATGGCTTGGACAGTTGCAAATCCTCCAGCCGGCGTCGCTTGCGCCTCACTAATTCTCCAAACGCTTGCCATTCGATTCTAGGAAGAAGAAGATAAAGTGCGACGGAGTCAGGCCATCGTGCAAAAACTGCTCAAAAGGGAACCTCCCGTGTACATATGTGCCGTCGGTGCGCCGTCGTGGTCGCAATGGAGCAATGCGCGTGTCCATGATGCCCTCGTTCTCCACCGGCCCCTACGATCGTCCGGCAATGCAGGCACCACATATGGTGTCCGGCCAGCTCATGGCGACAGGCCTGACCACTGCCCCACTGCAGCTCCAGCAGCAGCAAGCACATCAGCAACAGCCCCAGCAGCAGCTCCAGCATAGCCAGCCGCCGATGTCGATGGGCCATATGCAGTCCTCTATGGGATCGCACCCGCAGCCTCACATCAATGCCCTGGGATCCAACTTCATGACCGGCGGGCCAGCCTCGCTGCATCTGAAGCGTGATCCTGGATTCGGCCACGATCCAATGGAGGAGGCCATGTATGACCCGTACAAGCAGGCGTATGAGCACAGCTCGCACTTTATGCTGCCTGTCAATTCGTTCCGGTTCCCGACATTCACGCCGCCAAATCCGCCAAGCATGGGAAGCGGTGCTCATGCGGGGCCCAGCAACCGCAACCTCGGCGGCATCGGTGGGCAAGGGGGCTCCCAGCGGACGCCCAGTAATGGCTCCAGTAACCCGCACAACATACCCTACGGTGGCCCAGCCAGTGCCAGTAGCAGCAGTAGCGGCAATAACCGCCCAATACAGCAACGTTCGGCGCAGGTTGGCGGGCAGTTTGGCACGCTCGACCTTTCCCAGCCGAGCGCCGGTGTTCCGTCGAACTTTGACCCGGCCTCAATTGCCCAGGATCTGTCATCAGCGTATGTGTCAATGATTGCTGGGTTCCCGACACAGCAGCCACAGCAGCAGCTGGTGGCGCCACCGTCGCTGTCAAGCACTCCAAAGTCAGCCAATGCGCTGGGAAAGAGCGCCAGCCATACGCCGGCCCCCTCCAGCGCCGACCTGGCCAACAACCCGCGCAGCAGCGCGCAACTGCGTGAGCTGCGCCAAAAGATCCGTGAAATCATTTCCAGCGTCTGGGCAGGCACCGAGTGCGGCAAATCGGCTGGCATGGCGGGCGTGGCCATGGATATCGACGACTCTGGGCTTTCCGACGACAACACCAACAAAAACAAGCAAGCAGCCGCATCGCCGGTCTCCGATGCGTCCAACCCACTGGCCAGCACCAGCCCATCCGGTCGACAAGTCGATGGACGAGCACCTGCTTAAAATCTACTTTGAGCTGGTGCACCACCAGCTGCCGATAATCCCGACAGAGGAGTTTTATGCCAAATACCAGGGCGGCCAAGGCGCCGACGCTTCTGGTGTGTGCAATGTGCGCAGGCCGCATCGGTGTTTCTGAACCGCATCGAGGACGAGCGCAAGGCAGTGTATTCACTGTACTCGCAAAAGGTGCGCGAGCTGTTCCACGATGCGTGCTTCAAGCCCAGCCTGGAGGTTGTGCAGACCGCGCTGATCATGACGCTGTGCGAGTACCGGCAAGGGAGCCTGCAGCGCGCTTGGGTATACCTGTGTAAGTTGTCCAATATGTGGTTTCTGGGAATTTTTCCCTGTCCCTGCATGCAATTTTGCCATTCTTCCTGGTTCTCAAGGGCACTGAGCCCACACCCCCTCCCTGTTTGTTTTACCCGCTCTTCATTTCACCTGCCTACTTCTTTCCATTGCGCTCCTGGGCTTGTATTTGCCAATACTGCTGCTCCCTCCTCTCCTCATTCTTTGCTGTGGGCCACACTCATTATTTGCCGTGTCAGCCATATATGTTGTGTATTGCATGAATGGGAGCGACATCAAATGGACATTGCGGCCCCCACACATGTACAATTGGCTCTTGTCTTATTGGGCGGGCTCCAGCGCCCAGCTGATGCGCCTGGCTAACCAAGAGGGACAATTGCGAAGGCAGGCAAAGCTGGCAGCGAGGGAAGGAAGGAGAGGTTTGCTCTCTTGCATGCGTCCCGCTGCATTCAAAGGCGCGTCACCTGTCTCCAAGTTTTCTGCTGCGTAGATGGCAGGCGAGAGGGCCACTTGCAGTTTTGCGCAGCAGAAAAGGGCGTGTGTACAGGCCACCGATCAGTATCACCTTTGGAATGATGCTGGGCGATAATTTCCTGGCATTGGAACGGTGTCATATACCGCAACGCATGCGCTAATTGCCCCTGTATATTTCTCCTGATGATGTCTGCCGAATAAGCCCGTGCCCACCCACCAGCACCTTTGCATGGTGCGCCGAGTAGAAGACTCCTCACATGATAGCCTCTGCACATTGACCACAGCGCCAAGGCGTATAGTGAGGGAAAGTAGGGCGGGCGTGGCTTCCCCATTCGCAAATCAAAGTGCCCGCATGTGCTGCTCTCACTCTCCATCTGCTGGCTGCCTACAATGTCTGCGCTGCCCCATGTTCGCCCCTATGTGTGCCAGCGAAGAGCGCTCCACTGCCACCCAAAGTAGCAAGAAAAGCCCACACACAATCGCCTGCCCCCTTTCAGCAGCCCAGCGCTTGTTGTCGAAAGCAAAATAGCAGCTGCACATGAATTCCACTCACACTCGCAGTTGTTCCGATTGTTCAGCTATAGCCCCGCCCCCAAATTCAGCTATTCAGTTGCTAAAAATAATCCACGCATGTCCATACTAAAATGCTGTGTACACTGTAGCCATGGGGTTCCGCCTCGCGATTGCGATGGGGTACCACCACCTCGACATGAAGATGCGGGATGGACCAGGACCCCAAGCCAACAGACGACATTCCTCATCGCGAGACATGTCGCCGCGCCTTCTGGGGCGCGTTTTTGCTTGACCAGGTACACGGCAATTGGCGGCGGAAAGCCGCTCGGCATAAACGATGACGATATTTCGGTGCTTCTGCCCCTGCGTGACCAGGACTGGCAGCTCGGAATTAGCCAGGCGCCCGCCATGTCGTCGCTCGAGTTCTTCCGCCCACTCCACGTAGGGAGAAAAAAGCGGCGAGTCAGCCTTGAGCAGTAGTGGCAACGTTGGCCAGCAGCAGCAGCAGCAGCACCAATCCTAGCGTGCTGCTGTCGGCGAAGACGACTGTCACTGCAACGTCCATCAGCGGATAATCGGCCAGCTAGCCCAAAGGGCAAGATCGACGGGGGCGAGGCACGTGCCAGCAGCAGTCGATCACTGACTCCTCTGGCGGCACCAGCTGCTGGGTGGGACGGCAGGGCAGCCGACCTCAGCAGCCTCGGCCATTTTGTCAAGCTGATGACGGTTGTGGGGCAGATCGCCCAGTACATCAACGGCGCCAAGACTAGCGGGTCTAGCAGAAGGCGTCGCTAATGTGGCTACCGGTGGTGCCTTGGATAAGGGCGACCGGCCAAGCACCGCCCTATGCAACGCTGGATGCAGCACTGCTAAAGTGGAAGGAGGAGCTGCCACCGGAGCTCTCGTATAGCGAGATCCACGCTGCCGATACCGAGCCTGAGCGGGCAGTGTTTGTGGCCAGCATGCACACCATCTACCTTGGCGCCGTCATTATGCTGAATCGTGAGAACATGAGCCTCTTGCGTGACTTGCCTGGCCAGTTTGACGTGTCGACAAACCTCGCAATCCGGTCGCTGGAGCGGTGCCGTGTTGCCGCAATGGAGCTGGTCGAGATCTCCCGCCAGCTTTGCTCGCTGCCGTCTTCAATGACCAATGCCCTGGTGCCGTGGGCGCTGTTCCAGGCGGGCACACTGCTGATTCACTTCATGATTGCAGGAAACTCTCCGCAGGCACAGGAGGAGGCGCGGACCGCAATTCTGTCGCTAGATTCTGCGCTGCGCGACGAGCTGACACGGTACTGGAGTGTGTCGGCCAAGTACCACCTGGTGCTGAGCAATATGGTCAAGGCATGGGAGCGTACGCGCCAAGCGACACCGTCTACTGTGCCTGCATCGTTTGCAGAGGCCAGGTCAATGAGCGACCAGCATAGCGCCATGATGGCTGTGCAGATGGCAGATGCCGTTGCAAATGCAGATGCAGATGCAGATGCCTGTCCAGTTCAATAACATCGCTTCCCAGCCACAGCAGCCGCAGCCACAGTCCGCAGGCGTCGTTTGCGACGATTGATGAAGGCCGTATTCCGGATCTCAGCAGCAGATCAGCCCGCAGCAGCAGCGGCAGCAGCCACCGGCCCCTCCCCAAAATCCAAGTGCCACAAACCCAGGGCCCGCCAAACAAACTGCAGGACCAGAGCGGGACTCCCAGTTTCATGTTCACTCCTGACACTGCCCAGGACTCGATAAACACGCTCAATGCGTTCCTGTCGCAGCTGTCTGCTGAGCAGGCTATGCAGATTGCCGAGGGCTTCCAGGCGTACTCGCTGCAGGGCTCAAACCGCCAGCTGACTGCGGCTGTGAGCAGCACCATTCAGTGCCCAAGGAATGAGCACCACGCAGATGGCTAACGAGTCTCTTCTGACAGCCACGCCAACGCACTCTACGGTGATGGTGAGTGCCGTATCGGGGATTCCGCCACACATGGCGATGCTTGGCCAGGAGCGGCTGCAGAATCGGCGCGGATCTATCCCAATATCGAGCACCAGCGATCTATTTATTGCTCCTGGGGGCTGCACCCATGCTGGCATCGTCGTCAGTTAGCTCGTCGCTGCAAACTGGCCATGAGACGACGGGAATCGCGGGTGACTTGGATCCGATGCTTTTCAATCCGATGACACCGTTCTTGCAGGAGCTGCAGCTGTTCAATACTCCATTGAGCGTTGGACAGGGGCCGCATCAGCAGCACCAGCATCAGCAGCAGCCGCACTCGCAGCCTCCTCCTTCTACATAGCCACACCCATTAAAAAGAGCCTCCACCCTCCAGCACCACACCTTATCCGCACGACCACCTTCACATCTCTTCACCATCATCACCAAGACATTTCTTTCCCTGTCTGTTTCTTCTTTTTGCACATTCATCTCTGTAGCATTCATTTGATGTGTGTTGCATACGAGTCACCATTTATTTATTTGTTCAAGCACATTTAATGTATTTTGTTACCACCTTGCATATGGAATGTTGGCAACAAGAGTTTGGACATGACCCCGATTAACGAAATTGTCAAGCTTACGGCGTGGAATGCACTTCCCCAGCGATGTGATCGTCTCCAACCTGCCATTACAGTAAATGCCTGGATCCCTTCTAGCTTAGTTATGCGACCAACATCCAGGATGGACAGCAGCTGCTCCGTCCCATCTAGATTGCAGTTTTGATGCCTTTTTGCCAGGTCAGGGCCGTAGCAGCCATTACTCTGGCCAAAGTGCAGCACCAACATCATCGATGCAGCTGAGCCTGTACTTGCCCAATGTAACCTAGGTACTATCTAGTGATGTTCTGATGATCTAAGCAAGGCAGTGACCTTGGACCAGTGGTTGTAGAAAAAGGGCCTGGTGCAGACCAAGTTCAAGGAGGAGGGCACATAGTATAGCAGTAGTTCATACCAGTTAAATGCTCTGACGGATGTGCTTTTGAACAGCCTGTGCTGTGTTTTGGGTATGATACACTTAGGATAGACAGCCTCCTGCTGCTGTTGGGAATACATTTATTCCCTAAGCACCTCTCTACGAATGCATATGGAATAAATGAAATATGTATATAAAAAAGGAAAGGAGAAGCTATCTGGTGAAAGGGGATGGGTATTCTATCTAAGTAGTGGTGCTGGTTACCTAGAATAATATGAATTAGTCATCATAGCCTAAGGGTCTTAATCTATAAGTTCCTGAAAATATATGGATTTTAGAAATATATAGCTAATAGTAGAAGTACTAGAATAAGTAACAACATTTAAAATCTAGAGTAAAACAATTCTTATTTAGGTCCTATCAACTATTAGAAGATGCAATAGATAGCTGGGTTTGCCTACTACTACTGTACTAAGGTCCAACCATTCTGGAAGTAATTCATAGATAAGAAAGTTTAAAGAAACTAAAAATACTTTAATTAGAATAACTAAATAATAAATAATATATCATATTACTACTATCTATTGAAATTATTATAATCTAAATTAATTGCAGTAATATCTAAAAATGTAATTAGCAACTATACTAGCTAACAAATAATAATACTACAAGGGTGCTTCCTATAAAGCCTCTTTCAAGCATCCTAAAAAAATTTTCAGTTGATTTCTTATAACCTAGCCTATATCTTAACTAGAAACATACTAATTATATATCAACAGAAATTTTTTAGGAATGCTAATAAGGGGCTTTATAGAAGCATCCAAATAGTATAATGAATTAATAATTTTTGAATAGCAGATAAGCATATATTAAGTGGTTTAGTAACCTCTAAATAGCCATCTACTGATAGTATATAATAGATATACTCCTCATTACAGATTAGGAAGTATTACCTAGTTGCTATCTCCTACTTCTATAATTTACTATAGGTTTTATGCTGATTAATTTCCTACTTACAAAAATATTCTATCCCCTTTCTCCATTAGTTCCTTATTTCTTTGACACACTGTTGAAGTGGCTATAAAATAGTTACTTTAGATAGTGCCATTATTTAAAAATCATCATACATTTACCCCTTTATAGTAACTATTAATATATATATATATATAAACTGCTATATCACTTGCTATAGACAAGACAGTTATTGTAGTTCATAATATGCTTTATGCTGGCTAAGCAGATTCTGATAACACTGGAGGAAGGGGATGCTCTTAAGGTCACATAACTGATAGCTACTACCTTTTGAGCTAGCTGAGGAGCATGTGATGCCATCTCTGTTCGACACCATGACTAAGAGCCGCTGCATTGGACAATGCGGCGGGCGAATCACAGCCAAGGTTATGGCTAGTATGTCTGGTGGCTTCAGTTCAGAGCCTGTGTTCAGCTTCACTTGGTTGAAACTATTAGGTAGCAGCGTAGCCGAGTTAACAGCAGTCCGAAACTGGCTATGAAGGGTTGCAGCATGACAAGGCCATACTAGAAGGGCTGAAGCGCCTGCCAGACTCCCCCGATGATGACGCCCGAGGCGCACACCATCTCTGGAGCATCGATCAATGGTCGTTTTCGGCATGGGGTATGCTGATGAAGCTGATTTTGATCAAATCAGGCGATCGTACCTCCCAAACCGTGTAATTTCAATCAAGCTTTTGCTGAATTTTCGTGCGTTTTGCGTTGCGTCATTAGCGCGCTCAGTGCTCGTCTCGCCAAAATGCATGCTTTTCGTTTTGCAGTTTCGAGCTTGCTTCCTCTTTTTGTCTAATTCCCTGCACATCGCAGCAGTGCTCTCTTTTCCTTCACTACCACATACACATATTTCCTGAACTCAAGGGGCGGTGGCTCGTTCAATATACTATTTCCCTTTTTGTAAAACCCACAGTGCACGGGCTTTCTGCCAGTATTTTACACGTCTAGGTAGGTACGTGACGCTCTGGTAACCATCGCTGCTCGTCTGAAAATCAGCGATATAGTGGAGGCAGGTGGCAATGACGAAAGCCACTGCTGTAGTCTATTGAACAGCAGCGCACGTATAGTCGGGAGCACTGTATTTGTAAGCTAACGCTGTGCTTTCCTTAATTCCTTTTTCTACATTTGTAGTCACAAAAACAGAGCGAGAAAAAGCAGCAGCCATCGTTTTCTAAACAGTCAGGGACGAGTGCTCCTTTCGCATTTATTCTATATTTCATTCGCCATTCGCACGTTCTTCTAAATGACTAAAATCAAGAAGCAACATCACAAGCGGCTGAATTTCCCTGCGCAGGAAATCCAGCAGCTACGCGAAGCACTGGAGAATGATCCGGTGGACACACTGGCAGCGACGCTTCAGGCGTATCACGAGTGGCGATTCGTGCGTGGCGACATGTACCACTGGATCAAGGTGCTGAACAGGTTCGACGGAATTCTTGCAGACGTCTGCAGCAAGTACAATCTGAGCGTGCCACAGGCGCAGGCGTTTGACTCGGGGACGCAGTCGCTGCTTGTCGCCATTCTGTCATTCTCCTGCCAACTGTTGGAGAACTGCATCAACAGAAACCTGTACAGCTCAACGGACCGTCTTGATCTGTTGCTCAATACCAGCGACCACGCAGTGCTCGAGTGCACGCTGCGCATTTTGGTGCGTACGGCACAGCGCTGGAGCTACCAGCGCGACTTGAAGACAAGCATGTTCTCGATGAGCAGCCGGCTGACGACCATTGCTGATTCGTGGCATGCTAAGAACGATATTGCGCCGTTTATCGGTAGTGGGTCGCCCGAGAGCCTGGCGTCGCACACAAACGAATTCCGGCTGCTGGCGCAGGAGCAACACACAGAGCTACTACAGAAACATGCGGGCATCGTCCATTACCAGTTTTTCCGCACAGCTGAGGAAGCGCGCAAACTCGATGCTCTAAAGCCGCAGCCGCAGGTGGTCACGGCAGCAGCAGCAGCAGCAGGTGCAGAGGCTGGTGTGGGGGATTCAGCAGGACCCGATCTGCGCCGTAAGCCTTCCAGTGGCCATCGCAAGACACCAGGCTGGCAAAAAGGCAGCCAGCGTCAGTGGCCGAGCGGCATCAGTGGAGGCAGAGGGCCTGGTGTGCATTGACGTGCCGGTGCGGGAGCTGAACGTGGACCCTAGCCTGCCGGTTGTCGAGCAGATGACGCGCATATTCGACATGCTGGTGGAGCGGTTCAAGGTGCCGGCGTTGTACCACTTTGAGCTGCGGTTCCGCATCTACGTGGCGCTGGCAATGGCCACCGGAGACTGCTCGCTGCGGTACTCGCTGCTGCGGTCGCGTATCTATGCAGCGACAATCTTCACCTCGCTTCTGAATGACCAGGAGTTCAAGAACCTGTTCCTATCGCGTGAGCCCAACTACACCTGCGACATCATTGGTATTCTGCAGCCTGAGGTCAACGCTCCGCTCAGCGTGCAGACAGCGGTGCTCACTGGCCTGGAGGGCGTGATGCGGCAGCGTGGTGAGGTCTCAGGTGCCTATGCGGCGCTGAACGCGTCAGCAAACCACGGGGTGCTGATGTTTATACTGCGCAAGGCCTTCGCTCACCCGCACGAGCGGCCAGCGTTCCCGCAGGACTTTATGAATGCCCTATTCAACTTCATCACCAGCATGGTCGGCAGCATGAATGGCGGCCAGCTTCTGGTATCAGCTGGGATTGTGCCGGTGTTTGTCTCGGCGCTCAAGCACGACCATCCGCTGCAGCGGCGTAGCGTCGGCCGTGTAGCCAAGCTGCTCGACTCACTGATCACTTCGGCAAACAGTGCTTTCACAGCCTTTTGCTCGGCAAACGGGGTTGCGACTTTGGTGCAGCGGATGCACAGCGAGGTCGCCAGCGCCGTGGGTATCAGCGATGCCAGCCCCGAGATAGCCAGCGATCAGTCGTGTCCAGTTGAGCTTTCCCAGTACCCAAATTATCCAGAGCAGGTGTACCGGCGGCGCGAGCTGCTTGCAGCAGAGCACACGGTGCTGCTGAAGGAGCTGTTCAAGTTTATGTCGCGCATGCTGCAGCAGACCAGCCATCAGGACCGCCTGCGCAATCTCATCGAGACCTCGCTGCCCCAGACCCTAGTCGCGGTTCTGTCTCACCCAGTTGTGTTCGGCAACAACGTGTACGGACAGAGTGTGCTGATCAGCGCTACGTTGGTGCACAACGAGCCCACTAGTCTACCGGTCATTCAAGAGGCCAACTTGCCGCAGACGTTCTTTGCGCGGCTTGAGAAGCACATCCCATACAGCGGCGACGTGATCCAGTATATCCCAACCGCCATTGGTGCATTTTGCCTGAACGATGTCGGCATGGAGCAGTTCAAGCAGTCGTCAATCATCGAGCGGCTGCTGGAGATTTTCTCGGAGACCGACTTTGCGCGGGTTCTGCAGGAGGGCGACATTCCAGGCACGCTGGGGTCGGCGCTGGACGAGCTGATGCGGCATTTCCCGTCGATCAAGGGCAGCGTCATGGACCAGGTCATCATCATGCTGAAGCAGGTTGTCAAGGTCGGCGAAGCAGGCTCCCCGCTGCAGTCCATCGATCCCGGCAACACGTTCCTGCTGCAGTCTGCCAAGGAAGAAGATGTCAAAATGTACCTCGAGGACTACTACGCCATGATGCTAGGAATCGGCGACGACGTTTTTGGAAGGGCTGCTGGAGCAGCGCACCCAGGGAGAGCTCTTCATGGAGCGCGGCGGCTGGGACCTGGTGGTTCGTGCCCTTCGGTCGCCGCTGCTGCCGTTTGACTTTGTGAAGTCTCGGGCGTACCGGTCACTCAACGGGCTGTCGTCAACGTTGCTTGACACGACGCATGAGGCGGTGTTCAAGTCGCTATTCGTGCAACTCAAGGACTGCCTGCAGCTGCCCCTGATTGTCAACGATGTCGACTATGAGCATATGGAGCCGGCTGGGTACATGGCATTGACGAATCCGACGGGCCTGTCAGAGGAGGAGCTGAAGGCTGTGCACACGCGGATCCACAACACGATCAGTGTCACGAGCGTCACTGCGCTGATCACGTACCTGATCAACGGGTCGGGCGGCGGCTCTCTAGCACGCAGCCTGCATGCGTCGACTGACTTTATCTCCGAGGACGATCTCGTGTGGATTCTGGGGGAGGTCTGTCGCTGCTACTGCGACAGCGTGCGCAAGGCAGTGGCAATTGCGCATGAAACTGCTGCTTTCGCCGAGAGCGACGACGAGAAGAAGACCAAAAGTAGCGAGGATGATGCATCGCGCATGGACGTCGACAGCGAGAAGCCTGCCCCCCCAGGCATCGAGCCGTTTGTCAAGAGCAACTACTTGAATCTGTCCGAGACCGCGATCGCCTTTACGATCAACGCTGCCGACTTTATCGAGTGCATGTCCAACAGCCTCAGCGTCACGCTGGGAGGTGCATCGTCTCAGCCCAAGCTGGGCAACCCGCTTGCGCACGAGCTGAACGATTTCGTCAACAACCTCCTCGATGTTTGCGAGTCTGCCGAACACACAGTAGCAGGTGCGCAGCTTGTTGACCAGAGCATGGCGACGGTGATGAAAACGCTGGTGTTTGTGCGGCACCGGGTCTACCTAAAGCTGCGGATCTTTTTGCAGTTCGTCGAGTCGCAGAGGCTGGGCAAGTTCTGCACGCTTCTCGAGACGATGTGGGGGTGGGCCGAGTCTCTGCCGCCTGCGCCTGTTTCGGAAACCAATGCAGGCAGTGTTCCCCCGCCAGCCAAGGCTGACCCGCAGGCCAAGCTGCGCCACGTGCTGGACAACATCATTGAGAGCATGCTGTCGATTCTGAGCTTCATTGCCGATGGCGAGCCGCTGACTGAGTGTCCTGATATCGCTGCACTGGTCCGCGAACACACCAACCAGCAGACATGGTTCCGGCCCTCCGAAGTTCTGGTACATGTGCGCACCAAGGTGCTGTCGACGCTGTCGACGCTGTGGCAGTCGGCGCTGCTGATCAGGGGGTCGGCCAACATTGCGCAGGCGTTCACGGCCTGCTTGGGCCCGATTCTCAGTGCTCAGCATGAGCAGCAGACGTCACCCTTGGCGGCGAGTTCGGCTGCAGGTTCTCAGCTTAGTTTCCGACCTGGTCTGCCCAACTATCTGGATAGGCGTCGGCTTGGGCAGACACCGGACAGCATGCCGGCGGTGCATTCGCCGCTGCCGCTGACTACGCCGCTGCTGTCACGCACTATTGGCGGCATAGAGCGTGCCTCGCCGCTATCGCAGTCGAATATGCCGTTCCTCACTCCCCACCCGGCGTCCTCGCAGCCGCATACTGTGGTGGCGAACCCAGAGCGCGTCGAGGATTTGGTGACTATGGGGTTCTCGCGAGAGGATGCGGAGGCAGCGTTGCGTCGGAACCTGAACAGTTTGGCCCGTGCTGCCAACGACCTCTTGTCGCGCGGGGCTGAGGCCGGGGCTGAGGCCGGGGCCGAGGCTGATGACCAGGATGTAGGTGAAGGCACAGGGACGGCAAGGGGAAGCGCCAATACCAGCGTTGAGGAGGCGGGCGAGGGAGTGTCGGAGCCGCGCGAGGAGCAGCCACAACCCGAGCCTGAAACCGCGGCGCCCGAGCCGGAGCCAATGGCAGTCGATGCTGTCTCTGCTGAGCCTTCAGGTGAGGCAGAGACAGCACTTGTAGCTGAGCCCGCAGCGGGTGAAGAGCAGCCTGCACCGACTGTGCAAAGTATCGAGCCATTTAACAACGACAGGTGGCGATCCAAGCGCGAGGCAGATGAGGGTGCTGACCGCGAGTTCCTGAAGGAGCTGCGCGAGTCGATGCGCGACAGTATTGGTCCGCGTGCGATCGAGCTCTTGGGCGAGTTTGCTGACCAGGCGGTCGTGCGGCTGCGCGGTATCCTCGAGCTTGTGATGCGCAAGAACGAGTCTAGCACCATTGTGCATATGCTGCTCAATGCCCTCACACCACTGCTCGATCAGGTGAATGCCGAGAGCAGCGATGAGGTTTCATCTCTGGATAAGCAGCTGGCTGCGCACGCTCACCTGTGGGCAGTCCTGGTTAGCAACCCTGCCATGTTGGATGAGATGTACCCGCAGATTGGCAAGCTTGCTGGCCACCTGATCAGGGCCCTGGATGTGGCAAGTCAGCGCAAGGGCCGGTCTCCTGTGTGGCTAACTGCAGTGGTGCTGCTCACCGAGCTGCTGCTGCAGCATGACGACGAGCCGCAGAATGTCAAGCTGGAGACAAAGGAGGACTTCCAGCGCATTGCGAAGCGCGGGCTGACCAAATTGCCACCGTCATCGGCGCCTATTGAGCCGATTGGCACGCCGGCGACGGGCAGCAGCGGGGGCTCTAACGTGCGTGAAGTCGTGGCAGAGCCGCTGTCCACTTCGCCAGAGGAGTCGGCAGTCAGCATGGCTGGCGAGCAGGCGTCGTCGAGCACGTCTGCCAAGCCTACTGGCGACACCGAGTCGAAGGAGCCAGCTGCTGTGCGTAAGCCAATCTTTGACAGTGCCAGCAGGCTGGAGCTGCAGCGTCTAAGCGCGCAGTTTTTCTCCCAGCCGATGCCCGCCTACGCTCCGCCGGACCTAAATGCGTTGCTGCGTCTGATTGTGATTCTGACTCGCGAGCCCGAGTTTGCAACCAGGTTCTTCGAGGACGGTCATTTGGCATGCGTTACGCGGGCCATGCGTACTATAGCACCCGGTGATCTGCCCAGCATTGCGGCCACCGTCAGCAAGGATGCCACGCCCTTGGTGTTTGTCAACGCCATCATGTCTGTGTCCAAGGAGCAGACCTGCGAGCTGCGGCAGGAGCGGACCCTGGTCATGCATGTGCTAAGACACACGGTCGAGTCGCGGCCGGTACTGAAGCAGGTGATGGAGAATCTGATCCACGGATGGTTCGAGAGCCCACAGTTTTCGTCGACGGACGCCTAGCGCTTATGTGCGTGGCACGCTGGCATATGCCTTACGCAACCCACATGTGTACAACGAGGTATCTGCCGAGCGCTGCTATCTGCCGCACTACTCGGAGGACATGCGGGTCAACTGGATGGCGCTGGCGTGGCGTGCTGAGAAGCTGATTGATGAGGACGAGATCGACAAGTACGAGGCTAGCCCACTGGTGGACGGATGACGGCACTGTGGTCGAAGGAAAACTCTGCAAAATCCGGCAATGCAAAGGCGAAGTCTGCTGAGTTTGAAAAGTTCTTGGAGGACAAAAAATCGCAGCCGCCGTTCGCAGCCGTACACCTTGGATGCTGAGTCAGAGCAGGCTGGCGTGCAGTGTGGCCGAGTTCCTGGCGTCTGAGATTCTCATACTCCGACCTGCAGCCATCCCGCTTCCATCGGCTCTCGATATGCAGGCGGCCGCCAAGCCTGTGCGCTCTGCAGCCACTGCGGCGTCTGGATCGGCGGTCTCGACGGCCGAGGATTACTCGCCTGACACGATCGCGTACCGGTGCTTCCTGATCCAGTGCCTGGCCGAAATGGTCGCGTCCTTCCCGTTCACCCTGCAAGCAATATTTGTGGCACGAACCAGCCACCTTTTGTCAGCCCAGATGCCCCGCACAAAGGACTCATCTAAGGGCAAGATGCGTGCCTCGACGACAGCCCCGGCCTCCGCTGGTGCTTCGGCTGAGAACTCGGCGCAGCAGCCGGCGCTGCGTGTGCGGTCGCCGCTGATCAGTCATCTTGTGCACGACCTAGTTGTGCGGGAGGCGCTCAACAGCATCAAGCCAACAAAGCCGCGCGCGCGTGCTGATTTGTCTGCCACGGGCACCGAGGAGGAGCAGGCGCTGGCTATCACCAACCAGCAGATCACAGCCAAGCGTGGGCAGCTGTCACGGTGTGTGACGTTCTGGGCCACGGCATTGCTGAGCACGATCTGTGTCCGGCACCACGAGGGCTGGACCACGACTACCTGCGCCAACCCGCGTGTGGCGGGCAATGACGATTTCACAGTCGAGTCCCTTCGTGGCAACTACGACGCAGCACTGTCTGCTGCGCGGCAGCTGGTGCTGGACCATATTGTGCGCGCCTTCCGCGAATGCCTGTCAATGCGTATGACGGGCATTGGCGGGGCAGATGTTGTCTATGCTCGTCTGACATCCTTGGCCCAGCTCACATACAAGCTGGTCATTGCGCGCTCAATCAACCACGGGGTTCCTGGAAGCGCTCGCACGTCTGGCACGAATAGCAACGGCGAGAGTGTTAGCTTTGAGCGCGAGAGCGCCAATGCGCTGAAGAAGATGATTCTGGAGCGTGGCATTCCTCGACCTGCTGACTGCTGCCAGCAGCCGGCTGAATCTCAATTACCCACAGAGCCGCGAGATGCTCAACAACTTCCTGCGGCCCATCGAGCTCCTTTCCAAGGCAGCGGTCAAGATCAGTCGCGAGGCAGTGCTGACTGCCTGGGAGCAGTCGGGCCAGGAGAAGATGCCATCGAATGCCGATCAGCGTGGGTTTGCAGTCGACATGTTCTATGACGAGGATGTGCACAATGGCAGCGCCGCCACCGACGCCGACGACGACGTGCCGCCTGATCTGTACCAGAACTCGGCGCTCGGGCTGTACCAAAATCAGCGCACAGGTGGCCACGACCCCAATGCCGACTATGACGATGAGCTGATGGAGGAGGGCTTTGACGAGGACATGTACGATGAAGGCGACTCGTCTGTCAGCGACATTGACACCGAGGATGAGGAGATGGTCGATGACATTGTGCTTGACCAGAGCATCACCGACGAGGTCCATGACGTCGGTGGCAACAGCGATCTGGACATGGAGATGGACACGATCATGCGTGAGGGTGGGGATGACGAGGATGACGATGACGACGGCGACATCGACGACGACGATGATAACGGCAGCATTGACAGCGACGACATTGATGAAATCATTGACGGTGATATTGACGAGAGTGCTGTTACTCCTGGCGAAGCCATTGGTCTGGCGCTTGAAGACGACGAGGGCGGGTTGTTTGGCAGCGAGTTTGATGCCGAGATTGTTGAGACCGACATTGACGATCTTGAGGACGACGACCCTGATGGTCACCACCACCACCATCACCACCACCATCATCACCACCACCATCCACCATCATGACGGCGATGATGACGACGGCTGGGAAAGTAATTTGTCAGAGGGCGAGCTTGAGGACTTGGCCGAAATTCATCGTCTGATGCGCCACCAAAGCGGCCATCGTCACCGGGGTGCTGTTGTTGGCGGCCGTGGACGCACACTTGGCGAGAATTTGATGTCTATCGTCAACAGCAGCAACATCGAAGAGTTTGAGCATGCGCTTGAGCACCATGACGACGATGACCATGACGGGGATGATCGCATGGAAGGACACGGTGCGATTGGTGCACAGCCTTTCATTGGCGACACGCTGAACCTCGACGCCAGGGCCGACCTCGGTGGCGCCAGCGGCGGGGATGGCAACGGCAGCAGCAGCTCGGGCTCCAGTGGTTCTGGCAACGACGACGACGAGGACGGCGATGAGGACGATGAGGACGAAGATGCAGACTCTTTCCTCGACGACCTCCCCAACACGTTTGAGATCACGATGGAGTCGATTGACGGACAGCCGCTGCCTTCTGGTGTGGCCAACAGCACGGATTTCGCCAACTTTTTGTCGCGCACGATCCGTGGGCATCTGGCAAACAACCGCGACCTGGCCAACGACCCCATCGAGGGGCTGATGCAGATAGGCAGCGGGGTGTCGAATCTGGCGCGGTCGCTAGGAAGCCTGGGAGCTGCTAGCAGCGGAGGATTGGGCCCGGGTCATCTGTTCCCGCCACTTGGATCCAGCCTGCTTGATATGCCGTTCCCGCGGCTGACGTCGCTGGGCCGTGCGAATCATGGGGGTGGTGCGCTGGGCGGTGCTACCGGACACAACATGAGCCACCCAATGATAGATCCCGGCGAGCGTACGGACCGTATGGCTGGGGCAGACCGCGGGCTGCAGGCGCGTGCAGACCGTATCACACGCAACATGATGGGAGGTCCACTGCGCACAGCGCCTGACGATGTGTACAACCTGGGCCAGCGGCTGACGTCGCAGCTGTCCCAGATGCTGTCGAGCGGACGGCGCCCAGTCCATAGTGACCCGCGGATTCTAGGCGCCAGCAACCAGCCGGTGCCATCGGCTCTGGCTGAGGAGGACTCTGCGGCAGCCAAGGACGACACAGTGGTTAATGCGCTTGGTGACACCAGCTCGAAGCTAGTCTGCGCACTGCAAGAGCTGATGCAGCTGAGCCGCGCAATCGCAGCAATCGAGGGATACACTCCGCAGAGCACGATCGAGCGGTGGCAAGAGGAGGCGCGGATGCTGCTCAGCGGGCCCGCATCTGGGCTGACGCCGCGGCTTATGAACGCCCTGCTGAACAGGCTGATACCCGAGGCCATCCAGCAGAACCTGCTGCGGCGCAGGTACCAGATTGAGATTGCGCGCAGGGACAATATAATCGACCGCCGACGCATGGAGCGCGAGGATGCGGATCGCAAGCGGAGAGAGGAGGAGGCGCGTGCGGCAGAGGAGCTGCGGCTGGAGGAGCAGGCCAAGCGGGCCGAGGAGCAGGCGGAGGAGGAGCGGGAGATGGAGGCCAAAGATGAGGCGGAGGTTCCGGCAAAGGGTACCGACACCATGTCGTTGGATGAGCCGGCAGAGCAGCAGGAGTCGGGCCAGGCGGCAGAACAGCAGCAGCCTGAGCCCGCGAGCGAGCCGGTGTTTGTCACAGTCAACGGACAGCGCGTGGACATCACCGATACTGGAATTGACCCAGAGTTCCTGCTGGCCCTCCCCGACGATCTGCGTATGGAGGTGATTGAGGACCGTCGCGAGGAGATGAACGCGGAGAGTCGCAACAACAGCACCGGCGCTGCTGGCGCTAGCGGAGGGGCTGCGGGTGGCGCTGCATCTGCTGGTGGCAATGAGGAAAACGATGGGATCAGCCAAGAATTCCTGGATGCTTTGCCGCCTGAGATCCGCCAGGAGGTGCTGGACCAGCAGCGGCTGCAGCGGCAGCTGTATGAGCGCGAGGAGCTCATGCGGCAGCGGATGACGCGCACGCCGCAGGCAGCTGGCGAGGGAGGCAGTGAGCGCGGTGGTGGCTCGTCATCGGCAGCCACACCGGCGAGCCAGCACCCGGCCACGGCAGCAGCTCTGGCACGGGTCGGCCTCAGCACTGGTTCTCGAGGATCGCGGTTCCGTGTGCAGCACCTGGACTCGCTGGCACGGCTTGGGCGCAGCGGCAATGCGTCCAGCAGCCACGCAGAGCCGTCGGGCGAAGCACAGCGTTTGCGTGAGCGACGCCGCAAGAAGATAGCGGCGCGGGACATCACAGTGCAGCTGCTGGGCAAGCCCGAGCTGGCGGCGCTGACGAGGTTCATTTTCCTGCCGAACCACGGGCTGTCAAACACACTGATCATGAAGGTCATGCAGTACCTGTGCGAGAACGGTGCTACCCGGGCGCAGTTTATCCAGCTGATGCTGTCGATTTTAGGTGGCTGTGCGCTGACACTGGCCGATGTTGACAAGGTCATTCAGTTGGCGATCATGTCGGGCTCAGAAGCTGGTGCTGCCGAGGCACCGAGCGGCCGGACGCTGCCGCGCACAGGCAGCACCATCAGCGAGCACCAGCCAGCCGGTGGAACCTCCTCAGCGGTGCTGGGGACCCCGGCCGTGGCCCAGTTCACAGCCGGTCTGGTGCAGCAGCAGAACCCCGAGTATGCGTTCCCGCTTGGTGATCTGCATGCGGACGTACCGGCATATGTGCCTGCCCAGCGGTGTCTCGATATGCTGCACAGTCTTGCAGCGCATAACCCGCGGGCGTCGATGCACTTTTTGGTCGAGCATCCGCTGACGGCCAAGGTAGCAGTTGCAGGGGACGAGGAGAGCCGGTTCCCACTGGTTCATCTGCTGCTGCTGCTGGAGAAGCCGCTGTTCTACAGCCACGGCAACACGGTGACGGAGCTGCTGATGCAGCTGCTGGCCACAATCACGAAGCCGCTGGGCAGCATGGTTAAGCGGCAGCAACAGCAACAGCAACAGCAACAGCAACAGCAACAGCAACAGCAACAGCAACAGCAACAGCAACAGCAGCAGCAGCAGCAGCAGCAGGACGAGTCACACGAGTCAGGCAGCAAGAAGCCGGCATGCCTACCGCTGCCGGTGATCCCTGCACATGCGCTGCGGGCCATCGTCAATGTGCTGGCGGCGGGCGAGTGTACATCGCGCACGTTCCAGCACACGCTGAGCCTGATCCAGAACCTGTCGCATATGCCTGGCGTGCTGTCTGAGATCATCAGCGAGCTGATCACCCGGGCCTCCTTGCTCTCGTCCAGCGTATGCGAGGATATCGGCCAGCTGCTGCCGCTGCTGCAGTCTTTGGCGCCGCCAGACAACTCTGACGAGCACGAGAACGACAGCACCAGCAACACACCGGCGCGCACGCGCACGCCAACAGACGCGACAGCAGAGCTCCTGGACAAGGTCCGCGACACCACTCTGGCAAAGTTCTCGCCGGCATCGTCGCACCAGTCGCGGCTGCTGCGGCTGCTGATGGCCCTCGACTACATCTCCACGACGCTGTCCTAAGCGTCTCGAGGGCAGCTTGGAGACAGGAGGCCAAGCCCGCAGCGGCGGCTGGCAGCGAGGCAATGGACGTGGACTCGAAGCTCGCGCGGTCCAAGCAGTGGGCGCTGATCCGCGGTCCCAGCTTCCAGCCGCTGTGGGCAGCAACCAGCGAGTGCCTGAAGTGCACGGCGAGCTCGACGGACCTGGCGCATGTGGCGACTGTGCTGCTGCCGCTGATTGAGAGCTTTATGGTTGTGTTCAAGCCGATTGTCGGCGAGAAGCCCATAGCGGCATCGGCATCGGCATCGGCATCGGCATCGGCATCGGCATCGGCATCGGCATCGGCATCGGCATCGGCATCGACATCGGCCACCGAAGCCGCAGCTTCCAATTCGGATGATGCCGGGTTCCAGGCGTTCACCGAGCAGCACAAGAAGATCCTGAACACGCTTGTGCGTAGCAACCCGGGGCTTCTGAGCGGCTCGTTTTCGCTGCTGGTCCACAACCCGCACGTGCTGGACTTTGACAACAAGCGGTCGTATTTCTACCAGCGGCTGCACGACGACTCGGCGTCGAACCCCGGAGCGCGACGCAACACCAGCTCGCGTCCCATGCCGTCGGACGGCACTCAATCTGAACGTGCGTCGCGACAACGTGTTTGAGGACTCGTTCCACCAGTTCGCCGGCAAGTCGGGCGACGAGATCAAGCGCGGGCGGCTGCACGTCAAGTTCCATGACGAGGAGGGTGTTGATGCTGGCGGAGTCAGTCGCGAGTGGTTCCAGGCCCTGGCCCGCCAGATGTTCAATCCCGACTACGCCATGTTCAAGCCGTCGGCGTCGGGCCGAGTGACGTACCAGCCGAACCCGCAGAGCTGGGCGAACCCCGAGCACCTGCTGTACTTCAAGTTTGTCGGGCGCATCATCGGCAAGGCGATTGTGGACCAGCGGGTGCTGGATGCGTACTTTACGCGGTCGTTCTACAAGCACATTCTGGGACGCAAGGTCGACTACCGCGACATGGAGGCCATTGACCCGAGCTACTACCAGTCGCTGGAGTGGATTCTGCAGAACGACATCACCGACGTCGTCGAGGAGACGTTCAGCATGGAGGTCGACAACTTTGGCCAGCAGGAGATCATCGACCTGATCCCCGACGGGCAGGACGTGCTGGTGACGGAGGCCAACAAGGCCGAGTACGTGCGGCTGGTGACCGAGCAGCGCCTGTCGCGGGCCATCAAGGACCAGATTGCCGCGTTCCTGACCGGCTTCCACGACCTGATCCCGCAGGACCTGATCCAGATATTCAACGAGCAGGAGCTCGAGCTGCTGATCAGCGGCATGCCCGACATCGACGTCGACGACTGGCGCAACAACACCGACTACCACGGCGGGTACAGCGCCAGCTCTGCGCAGATCCAGTGGTTCTGGCGCGCCGTGCGCTCGTTTGACCAGGAGGAGCGGGCCAAGCTGCTGCAGTTTGTGACCGGCACCAGCAAGGTGCCGCTGGAGGGCTTCACGCATCTGCAGGGCAGCCAGGGCGTGCAAAAGTTCCAGGTCCACAAGGACTTTGGCTCGCCGACGCGCCTGCCCACCGCACACACATGCTTCAACCAGCTCGACCTGCCCATGTACGACTGCTTCGAGACCCTCAAGGCCAATCTGCTGGTGGCCATCTCCGAGTGCAGCACGGGCTTTGGCTTTGTGTAAGCAAGTTGCTGTTTCTTCCCCTTTTCCATTGAAATTCACAGTATATTTAGTTTCTTCGTAATGCCGTCCGAGTTCTCCGAATTGCCGACGCTCAGCGAGCTGGCCGAGCGCGCCCGCGCGCCGTCGATTGAAATGACGCAGCGCACCTGCCTGAACATGTCGCAGTTCCGGGCGCACATGAGGCTGTTGCGCAAGGTCGACGACAACATCATCCTGCGGCTCAACAACACCAACACGGCGTCCGACCAGGAGTGCCTGGCGTTCTTCCGTATCTTGCAGACCGCGTTCATGCGGCGAGCCCAGGACATCGCCATGTGCGCTGGCGAGGTCGACAGGGCCGTCCAGGCCAAGGAGGCCGAGCAGCAGCACGCGGGCAAGCGGAGATCCGAGCTGTTTGCTCTGCGGGCCCAGGCCGCCTGGGTCGCGAGCGAGCGCTCGGTCGAGGACATCGTGCGGCAGCGCAGCCTGGACGTGTTCAAGGCGCGGTGCCAGTTCTTTGAGCTGCCGAGCGAGTTTGTAGACTTCCTGGATCAGACATCGAAATAAAAACAAAAGAAAAAGCCTGCTTACAAAAACTGCCGCAGCACATCGGTCAGCGTGATTACTGCAACCGGCCGCTCGCCCTCGTCCACCAGCCAGGCCCGGCGGCTGTTCATCCGCAGCAGCCCGGCCATGACCTGCCCCAGCGTGAACCGCTCGCTGACGATATACAGGCTGGCCATCGGCAGGTGCATGCCGAACATGAACGCCAGGATGGGCTTGCCCAGCAGTCCGATCTTGTCTTCGGCCAGGGCACGCATGGCCGTGCCCGCCGCCTCGGTGACCAGCCTTCCCTCGTAGTCGACCACCGGCAGGGCGCTGGTGTGGATGTCGCGCAGCCGCTTCAGTCCGGTAAGGGCCGAGTCGCGGATAGTCAGGAAGGGCTCCAGCAGCTCGCCGCTGGATACCGAGCCGCCCAGCCTGGCCAGCGGCGAGGCCACTGCGGCGGCCGACATGTCGAGCTGCGCTCCGACCAGGTGGTTGTGCGCCTGGATGAACATTACCACGTCGTACTGCGTGAGCCCGCACACGCCCGACTCGCACTCGCCTTCGTCGAAGCTGCTGCGCCGGCTGCCCAGGTACCCGGTCTCCTCCGGCTCATGCGCTGTGTCGGGGACACTCTGCTGCTGCTGCTCGGCGAATACATTGCTGACCAGAACCCGGTGCTGCCCGTGGTTGGTGAACAGCGTGAGGAGGTCCTCCAGGGATGCATCGGCGCTGATGACCTTTGCTGCGTGCTTGCGTGAACGCAACACCTGCTCGATTGAGTCCTGCAGCACTGTGGGCTTGCCTGACGCCCTTCCCGACAGCAGCTGGAACTGCACTTCGTCCTCGAGACCCTACGGCAAGAAGCAGAATAAGCGCGAGCGTGCTTCCCTAGATCGCTGCACGTCACATGTCGGGGGAAGGGCATTCTACAATGGGCTTAGCGGTGGTGCGCATCGGCCGCCTCCTGCATTGCGGTCACACGCACTGCAGCCGACAAAGCGCGGGCATACAGCATCCCCCTGCCAGAAAAAATCCTCCGACGGAGCTGGATTTTTTTTTCCCACCCTCTCTGTCCAGAGGCACTTACCGGAGCCAGCGTAATGTAGTCGCGCAGATCGTAGAGAGAAACGATGTCAATGAATGCGTACCGCCCGTCGGCCCCCTTGCTGCGCTCAAACACCGGCAGAGACACAATATCATGGGCGTACATCAGCGACAGGGCATCCTGCACCGTGTTGCCCTCGCTCACCGTGTAGTGGAGCGTCGGCGTGCCGCGGGACTTGAGGACGTCGCGGACTGTGTATGCTTCGAGCGCCTGGGCCTTCATTGGTGCAAGGAGAGATAGTACAAGAGGAGTATGTGTTGCGAGAAATAGATACTATGTGATAAAAAAAGAAAAGAGCGGAGGAGGAATATGACGACGAAGGGCGGGAAGGGACTGGGCAGGCCTGGCTGGATATAGCAATCGTGGAGTGGGGGCAGGGAAATCGGAGGCTACTGGCACAAGGCCTCCCCAGAGAAATAATAGCTGGCATGCCAGCGAGCGCTTGTGACGCCATGTCGGCTCTATGGCACAAGCGAGAACGTACCACAGACGATGTTTCTGTAGGGTTTCTGAAATGTCGTCAGCTCCGTCGAATAATATGCAATCTGTGCCATCCATCAGGTATTGCGCACAGTTCAAATATTCCAGCAATTACTAATCCCCCCCCCCACCGCGCTTATTCTCTCCACACACTACTGCGGGTTTCGTTCCTTTTGCTCGCATGCTGCGCTCGCTGCTATCCATTAGCCATTCCTGTGGCGCCTTGCGCAATCGCCAGCTGTGCCGCGGCCTGGCCACCGGCGTCGTGTACATCCGCCACCTCCCCAGCACCACTGCTCTCGCAGACCTGGAGGACACAGCCAAACAGCACGGATCAGTCTACGGGGTCTGGAGGTCGTCCGACAATGATGGCGCCAGCGACAAGAAACGCCCGGCAGCGATCCGCATGGTGACCGAGAAGGTGCCCAGAGACATTGCCGAGATCGCGCGGCTGCCCACGCCCACTGCCGAGGAAGTGGAGCGGATCACTGATGCCGTCAATAGCGTTGTGGCGGAATTCAGACGCATGTACCGGATCGACGCTGTGGCGGTTCTGCGCGACCACGGCATGTTCCAGAGCGCATCCAGAAGGATCGCCGACAGCAGACATGGCACAGGCGACTTTGATGTGCTGACCACGAACAGGCCGCGATACACGCGCGGCATGATCGACGGGTACCGACGGGGATTCGTCGAGGCAGCAAGGCAAAGCGAGCAGGCGCAGGGCCTGGCTGCGTGCACGGAGAAGGGCAGCGACCAGCTGGCGTCGCTGGTCGAGTACTTTGAGCACAGACACTACCATGGATCGTAAATAGAGCTTGTATTGCGTCTAATTAAATGTCCCACCCACATAGAGCTACTAGCAGCTACTAGCTTGATGGCGCCAGGAGACGGTCGGACGAGACACGCCGGGTCTCGGCTGCTGCCATCCGCTCCTCGTCCTCCGATGCAGGCGCATGCATGCCGTACGCAAGCACGCACGACAGACACGAGCAGCATAGGCACATCGCCGACAGGGCAATAAACACAGGCACAAAGACGACTGCCAGGCGCACAGCCAGCGGGGCACTCAGCCGCCACGCCAGCAGGGCAATGAACGAGTACACAAACGAGCTCACCACCAGGAACACCGCTGTCAGGCCGTAGACGATACCATTTTCATTCTGCGCAATCTCCTGCATCGCCCATGCTGCGCAGCTGCCCCTTCAGCAGACACAGAGTAACGAGTGACCGGATTGCCGGCAGATATGACGGCACAAATACCGCAGCCCAGCTCCATGCCAGACACTTGTCGAGCTTCAGGATTATAAGCAGTGCCTGGGCAGCGCGTATCGCAATCCACCAGTAGTTGTCGAGAGCCAGCACCAGGAAGGCGCTGATTTCGATTCCGCCGGTCTCGCCAAACTTCAAAACATTGGCCATCAGCTTTACCGTCAGCACCATCGAGTGGATGCCCTCGATGGCCAGCCACGGCGACGCTACCATCAGCGCTGTCCACTGCACCCATCCGTCCAGACGCAGTACCAGGGCAACATGGAACAATACCAGAAGGCTGACGTACACAACCGGAAGCCAGCTGCGCCATTCCCTGCAGCTGTGCCTCCATGGCCTTGCGCATGTGTCTCAGCCGCCTGCGTCGCCCCCTCCGCCGATCCGCCGGTCCCGCTGCCTCTGGTCCTGGCGATCCAGCAGCGCCGTTGCCTCGTCAGCGCACCCGGGCTGCTGGTCCGTTGCTCGAACTTGCATCACCATGGTCCCACGCATCGGAGGCGGGGCTGCTGGCTTCCTGGATCTCCTGTCGTCATCGGCCCTGGTGGCTTCAGTCTCAATTTTCAGACAATAAGCCCAACAAACCGATACCAAAACCAGCCCGTCGATTGTCCATAGGGGCATAAACACCGCCGAGAACGGCCATGGCCTCTGCATATCGACGCGCCGTGCCAGCAGTGCAAAAAACACGATCAGCAACATGGCCACCAGCGCCGATACAAACGCAAGTGCGCTCAGCAGGTTGCTGACATGCGGGTCCAGGATCTCGCCGCCCATGCGGCCAGCCATCTGGATGCCCAGATCGCCGTACCGGTCGTAGATGCGGCGCATTCGCTCGTCGGACAGGATATCGTAGGCGTGCTGGATCGACACAAACCGCTGGGACGTGGTGGGGCTGCGGTCCGGGTGGTATTGCAGGGCGAGGCGGCGGTAGGCGCGTTTGATCTCGCCGGGAGTCGCGGCGGTGTCAACGCCCAGGATTACATAGAGGCTGCCGGGGTCGCTAGGTGTGTCGGTCGTTAGTGTGCGCTCGGAGGCGCGGTCAGAAAAGGGTCGGGTCATGAATAGAGCGGAGATAATCGTGATATAGTAGAAAGAGAGTAGCAGTGCTGGCAGAAAACAGAAAGCCAGGAGACGGATGCAAGGATGAAAGAGAAAGCAAGGCAGCCCTCGCAGCCAAAACCGGCAAGGGTTCCTGGCCTCCGTTTTACCCGGATCGCATGTCTTTTTGCCAAGCGGCCAGTGTGGCGTCATCACGTGTCCTGGCTGATCGATTATCCAGTATCAGATTACTGCGCAAAACGCCAAGACTTTTCCTCCCAACCATATGGCTCGCCGTGAATAAGCAGCAGGGAATGCACGTCCGTAGCAACGCATGGCAAACGACAAGGCTCTGGGCGTATATACGGGCAGGCAATTGTTCCCGGGCGAGTGCATGTATCACGCAAGTGGGGTTTACATGGCAGGAGCCCAAAAACGATCTGCAGGCGTGTCATGCAAGAAAAGGCGGCGGATGTGCTGGCTGTAGTCACACCTCTGCTCCCTCGCGCGGCATCTCAATGGCCGAGCTCTTCCGCCCCTAAAGGGACCTCCAAAAAGCCCTCCCCGGTCAATCTGTTTCCTCGGAAAGCGACGTTTCCTCCGCACTCTGTCCTTCCCCTCTTTTTTTCGCTACTTTGAAGTTTTTTTTTTTCTCCCACACCGTTTATTCCTTTACTCCGGCCAATTAGTCAGTGTCCCGCAGGTCATACATTTACACAGATTTTTCACAATGTCGGCAGACTCGAACCATGTGGCTGCGGGTGGCTCGCTAGGTGCGCCAGTCCAGAGAAGAGATAAGGACAACACCAGCACAGTAAATGGCAGGCTGTTTTACAATTCGCCTCCGCCCCAGCACAACCACAGCAATACAGCGACGTCGTCACGGCACTCCTCCACACCAGCCGACGACCACACGCCCAGCACCACCAACGGCAGCACAGCACCGCCCCGCTACCTCCGGGCATGTGACAACTGCCGACGCCGGAAAGTCAAATGTGACGGCACCAAGCCCTCATGTGCGCACTGCCAGCGGGTGGGGGCATCGTGTCATTATAGCATCAAGCCCAAGTCGCGGCGGACATGGAAGTGTCTTGAGACACCCGTGGTGCCTACGGACCCGGGCAGCGGCCTTGGGGGGCACGATAGGACGCAGGACGACTTGACATCGAGGCTGCTGGCGCGCGTCGAGACCATGGAGCGGCTGCTGCTGCAGCGGAACAGTGTGAGCTCGCCCCGACTCGCCGGCCCAAGCAGTGGCTCTGTTGGGATGGGACTCGCTGTATCGGTGGCAGGCAACATAGACGAACAGCGGCAGGGCAAGCAGGGCTTCATGATCGGCGGGCCGTCTTCGGGGAAGAGAATGTCGGAGAGCGAGGGCATAAGCCTGTTTGGTACTAGCGGTGAGCTCGGCGAGAACACGGCTGGCGCTGGTGCCGAGCGGTACCTGTGCCCTACCCTGCCGTCGATAGAGATCATGAGCGAGCTAATCGACACATTCTTCGCCATCAACGACATACTGGTGATGATGGTCAACGAGAAGGCATTCCGGAAGCAGTTTGCAGCCGGCACAATGTCGCCGCTGCTGCTGTATGCGACGCTGGCGTCGGCCGCGCGACACTCGAACAGCCCGGCAGTGCGCACAGACCCGCCCCACATGGCATCCATCCCATTCATGAACAAGGCCAAGACGCTGATTGCCGACGCCATCGACGAGCCGTCGCTGGGCAACGCGCAGGGGCTGATGGTGATGTGCTTGATGAGCTTCGCTATGGGGCAGGAGAACTCGTCGACATCGTACAAGGCGCTGACGTTCAACATGTGTATTCTGCTGGGCTACAACCAGCTCGACAGCGTTGAGGGCCCGGTGCGGCATACGCACGAGTGCGGCGAGCCGATGGTGCCCCAGGCTGCGCTGCCCATGGATTCCATGGAGCGGGAGGCGGCGAGACGTGTGTGGTGGACGGTCTTCTCGATTCGAAAACTACGCGTCGGTGTGCATGGGCATGGCGCCGTCGGTGCAGGCCGAGTCGTGCAACCTGCATCTGCCTGGCAGCGACTACGAGTGGAGGCACAGGCAGCCCCGAGCCATGTGCTGATGGGTCGCCCAAGGCCAAGCGCCTGCGCGAGTCGGAGAGCCCGATCAACCAGCTGACGGCTTATCCATGCGCAGCTCACGATCATCTTCTCCAAGGTCGCCTGCCTGGTGACGCGCTCGGGCTCCGACATCGAAGACGCGCTGGCCGAGTTTAGCGAGCTCAACTCGGTCCTGCAGCGGTGGTACGAAAGCCTGCCCAAGGAGCTGCGGCTGTCGAGTGTCAGCTCGGCGATATTTGGCCAGACCAACCCGTTCGAGTACTACCAGGTATGTGTGCTGCACATGCGGTTCTACGCGACTGTGATCCAGCTAAACCACGCGATTCCCGAGTTCACCGACGACCCGGCCATCATCGAGCCGGGCCAGCGCAAGTGCGTGATAGCGGCATCGCGCATCAGCGACATGCTGCGGTCGTCGTTTGATATCCCCGTCAATGCGCGAGACATGAACTGGTACATGTGCGTGTTCCGCGCCGCACACATCCACATCTACCGCCTGCTCTCGCGCGACCCAGAGTCGATCTCCAGAGCCAAGCAGGACCTGGCGGTGCACCGGAAGCATTTGCGCGAGGGCGGGGCCCTGTGGCGGATCTGCTACAAGCTGCTGAGCCGGCTCGACGACATGGAGCAGATGGTCATGCTGCTGCCTGCGCAGATCCCGGTGCAGGACCTGGTCAAGCTGAAGCGCCTCACCAAGAAGGGGCGGTCGCAGCTGGTGAACATGCAGCTGGACTCGCTGATCAAGCCCGACCTGTTCCAGGCCGCGATGCAGGAAAACGACGATGTGCCATTGCTCGCTCGCAAGGAGATCATTGCCCAGACGCAGCACCCGGCCAGTGCATCGGTGCTGTCGGGTGTGCTGCAGTCCGCAGTTCCCGTCGTCAAGCAGCATGCTGGCTGGCTCCGTCGGCTCCGTCACCACCACCGTCGGCAGCCCTGGCAGCGCGGGTGGCAGTCTGCCGCCGCAGCAGCAGCGGCAGCAGCGGCAGCAGCAGACGTTCTCGCCAAATGCCGCCGGCGGTGGCCCCCAGGACAGCGCAGAAATGCAGCGCCGGATCAGCGTCCTGCATGACGGCTTAAATAGCACGCAGCCGGCGTCCATGCCAGTGTCGCAGGCGCCGATCGTGCCACCTGCGCCTATCGCGCTGCATCCCGCCAACGTCCAGCCGATCAACACCAACCTGGTGATCGACAACAATATGGCCGAAACCCTTGTCAACTACTTTTACATGGTGGCCAGCTCGCAGAACCAGCGGAGCAGCAGCTCGACTGAGCGCACCGGCTCGGTGTCGTCGACCAGCGGGCCTGCGCTGCCGACGATTGGCGCGGCGATGGTCAGCCAGCAAGGCGGCGCGCTGCCCGACCTGGCGTCGCTGACGTCGCCGCAGTCGTTCCTGAGCCTAAAGGATCAGCAGCCGCAGATGGGGTCTGTGCAGCAGAGCCCACAGCAGCTGTTCTCGAATGTGTACGATCCGGCAACCATGCAAAAGTTCCCTGATGACAACGGCTCCTTTGTCTGATTTTTCTGCCTTTTACATTCGTATCAACAAACGCTTTATCAGTTTACAGCGATTGCCAGATTTCGCCCACTGCTATATCAGCAATGGCCATCAGGAGATGCATGTTAAATTGAATTGTTTGTTTCCTTCCCCTGCTCCACTGCCAGCATCATAGTCACGTTGCCCAATTCACTGTCGTGCGTGCGGAATGCACGACCTGCGTAAATTGGCAAGCACAGGCTGAGCGGTGCCTTCTATTTTTCATTTAGCGCGCCATTTGAGGCGGGCTTGCCTTCACGGGTCCTTTGTCTTTGCTAGCTTCACCACCGGGCGTCCTACCGCACCTGCCCTCCACCGGTCTACGTTACCAGCCGGCGAGCGCGAACGAAAACAAGGACCACTGGGCTGCCCGAAAAGCTATCCTTCCACCGTTCTCGCCCCAAAAAAATTTGCTCTGGCCTTGGCGCTAAAGGTAGGAAAATAGGGCAAGATTTGGATTGTCCCTCCGTCCCCTCCAGCGTCTACAGCAAATAATTACATGGTGCTTCCCAGATTATTTGTTTGCTGACCCTCTTGCCGCGCACGTAGAGAACCTTCGGTTTCCCTGTGCCCCTTTTCCACTGCCGCCTATTGCCCTATTCGATAAAGAGGCCGGTGCTGGCGACTAATCACGCATTCGTACTATCCTCTTCTTCTCTCCTTCCCCTGCGCATTTTTATATACCCTCCCCTTCTTTTTGTGTTTTGCCTAAACCCTCCCTTGCGGCGTATATTTTTCTATTCTTCACGTTTTTTACATTTCAGACTTACCCTTTTCCCCTGTATTCCCAATTTGTACTTTTCCTTTCAACAACACCAGCGACTAGCGTGTGCAGGGCCAAGCAGACGCTAGCAACATACGCCTCAACCATGACATCATCGGCCAAGGCAAAGGTGGACGAGGTGCTGTCGCAGTTTCTTGACGATGACCCCGATGCAGCCGCCGACCTGCCGCTGCTCAAAACGTGTGTGATGTGCCGCAACCGCAAGGCAAGTACCCACCGCAAAAATACTGAGAGGGATTGCGGTCCTCCCCCCGGACCCGCCACTACTGCCTCATGTACACACGCCTTTACCGCCCCCTGTGCCATTGTGGGGTCTGCTGAGAGCGCAATACCACTAACAATAAGACTTGTGTGATAGGTCAAATGCGGCGGAGAGAAACCCTCTTGTCTGAACTGCATCAAGCACCACTGCGAATGCATGTACCGCCCGTCCGTGCGGCACCTGCGTGGCCGGCAAAGGGAAATCTCCGAGGGCTCGCCCTCAGCGCCCAAGAAGCCCAAATCCATGGCATCGCCATTAGCCAGCTCCGCGGCCCTGCCAAAGCTGCCCGGGTATGTCCCTAGCAACGTCATCAAGTCTGCACCGATCGTCGACACATTGTCCAGATCGCAGCTGATGCAGCCGCTGCTGTCAGAGCCTGCCCGGTCTGTTTCCGTGTTCGCCCAGCTGCCAGTCACCCAGACCATGGACGCCAAGCGCTCCTTCGACACCATGCTGGACCTCAACAGCTACGGCTCCATTGCACGGACGATCTCGCCGTTCTCGCTCAGCGACTCCAGCGACCCCCAGGCCGCGGGCAGCAATAGATGGCGGACATTGCCGCCGCTATCAGGAGCCAGCATGCCGCCAGTCCCCTCGAATGCAGAGAGTTCAAGCGAGAGTGCGCTGAGCATCCACGACATCTTGGGTGCGCCGCCGCCGCCGCTGGCAATTCCAAAGCACACAGACGCTGCCAATGGGCTGGGTGATCGCGCAACCGGACCGCAGCAGCTCATTCGCCGGCAGTATTTCGAGTCTGGGATCGCCATCGATGAGCGGGAGTCCGTCATTCCAAGGCGTCGACCCCAAACAGCTGGAAGCCGCCCTGCCCATGCCCATTCCCGACACCCTGGACAACATCCTGAAGGCATATTTCAAGTACCAGTTTCCGAGCGCCGGCATTGTCCTCGAGGAGTTTTTCTGGTACCGGTACCGCCGCAACATGCTCACGCCGCTGATTATCTACGCCATGCTGGCCATTGCCGCCTGGAACTTGGCGTCGGAGGACAAATGCGAAAAGTACGGCAACATGCACGAGATGTTTTACAGACAGGCGAAGCAGTTCGTAGAGGACGCCATGGACGAAGCCCATCTGCGCAGTGTCCAGGGGCTGCTTGTCTTGGCCAACTACGAGACATTGGTTGGACGCTGGGGCAGCATGTGGAACCACACGACCATGGCGCGCAGGCTCGCAGAGGGCGTCATTTTCCGGGACACAGGACTTCCCTTGGCCAGGCGTGCAGCACAGCGAATTCGACTTTGAGTTCCAGCGCGTGCAGCGCGCGTACTGGCACTCTCTCATCAACGACATCTGGTCATCTGTCCTGATGGACAAGCAAATTGGCGGCATCCTGATTCGCCTGCCGGAGCCGCCCTCCTACGACTTCACGTACCGCAATGTCAGGCTCCTGCACAGCGACGAGGCTCCAGGGTACCGCGTTGCAATGGGTCCTGACGCGCTGACAGACCCGCGGTGGGGAAACACGGCAGCCCTTGGCGAGCTGTTTCTGCTGGTTGGCGAAGTGAACAACAAGGTGTACCTGTTTTGTGCATGCAAACCAGGCGCCCTCGTTTAAATCCTTCATTGACTTTGAGATGCGCTTGACGAGCTGGTATTTGAAGCTGCCGCAGAACGTGCGGCTTGACGACTCGACGATTGCCAGATTCACAGCAACGGCACAGCGTGCAGATCTCGGCGAGATCATCTCGACGCACATGATGTGGAACTTTGCGCGCCTAATGCTGATGAAAATGGGGCTGGTTCTGTCGCTCAAGGAGGACCCGTCGACGCTGCGGAACATCTACGGATACGAAAGGCGTTCTATAATACGGACTCGCGCGCGCTGCAGTTCTACCAGTCGTCGATGCCCATTTTGACGCCGGATCGCGCCGCTTCATACGACGAGTGGCTGTTCCATTTTTGCCGCTGCATGAGTCTGCAGTCGGTGCAGAATATCGTCAATCTTTTGCGACTTGGCGAGACACACGGTGTGCACCCAGGCCACTTTGGCGCGAGTATCAATCTGCCCATGGTCCATGTTGTCTCTGTAAGCCTCGGACTAGTGCACTCGCCTGATCCGCAGGTTGTACGCATTGCTGTCGAGCACCTGACGACCGTCATCCGCACCCTGCTTCGGCTTAAGCACTGGTTCAACACGGCACATCTGCTGCTGCATCTGTTCCTGGCGATGCAGGACCCCCAGCTTGTTTTGCCCCGCTGCTCATACACGTCTGCAGAAGACACCCAGATTCGCGATGCCACTGATACAATCCGTGTATACAAGGCCATCGAGGTTACTTGCCCGTTCCCGCCCTCGCACCTGATAACTGAGCTCATGCGCCGCCTCAACATAACATTCGAGGAATTTGTCAAGGAAACCATCCGCGCGGTCCGTGTGTCATCGCCTACAAAGAGCCGCATTGACCCGTGCATCTCCCCACTGCTGCGGCATCTTCCAGAAGCCTCGCACCTGGCCATGATCGGCCAGGACCAGGAGCCCGAGTGGTTCAGGTATGCCCCTTCGTATTTACGATCCGCATGGAAGCGACTAGGGCGCACATACACAAACGGTGCAAAGAGAGAAGGCGAGTCCTCTGCATCGTCAACGCATGGTACAAATAGCAGGAAAGAAAAGACGCAGCAGGAGATGAGCGCTAGCGACTCTACTACGGTTGGTTCAACAACGCTGGGAAACGGGTCGTCGAGCCACAGCTCGGAACCACCGCAGTCGTCGACCACATCGTAGACCGGCTTTTCAACTCTAATGTCTGACGGGCCTTTAGCAATTAGTTGCACATCAATTGTACAGTTTGTCCTCTTCGCCATTCAATGTCGTATTACATAATCTGCTGTCTACCTTCTGAGATACTATGCTGAGACGGAGTTGTTTACACCATTGGCGCAATCTGATGGTACAGCCGTTGTACATGCAGCAGGTGCCTGTTAGGAAATCTGCAGACTAAGTCGAGTAGGATGTGCCTCTCAGCATCACTCAGAACAGTTCGAGTTTGTCGCAAGTACCAGTACTTTGTTTTCGACAACCTCGAACTGTCTGAGCATAGACACTCCCATGCCCAAACACAGCAATCTACAACAGCAGCGTCTATCATTACCCGGCAGCACTGCTCTCAGCCTTGGAAGCTGCCTCTATGTTTGTGGATTCAATCGCTGCTACTACGTTGATATGATTGTTCACTGACTCGATGCCCTCCCACAACTCCATCTTAGACTACATTACATTTGCGCGAGTGTCTCTGTACTTGCCATACAGTTTTATCCAGAGTAGTCGCTTGCTAGCAACATCATGCCCACCAATGAACTGAGATTGTATTTGGTGATGAGAAGTCTGTGGTAATGAGACTAAGCAGATGCTTCTGAGTTGAAGGGAAAGGAGAAGAAGCAGCTACGAGTCGTGCGCGCAACGCACTTTTTCCTGAATCTTCCCCCATTCACTAAATAGGTTGCTGTTTCTAGCTAATTGACACTTTATCCAACAGCCTTTGCCCGTTATCCAACCCTGCTAATTATGAACACTACAGAGTAGAAATTGCTCTACAGGCTGCTATTTGCGAAATGTCATCCCTATGTCGTGATGTATGAACTTTGTACATTCTGGCCTGCGATTGGCACTGAATCTATGGCCGCTGAACTCTGCAAATCATATATCTGGAAATCGGATTGCCAAATCGCAATGTATCCATTTGACTGTTTCTGAATCGGCTGCGGATCACAATTCTAGATGGAATACTATGCTAGAGGGTTATACACTTTATAACCTAGTGAGGAGCAGGGCTGAAGCACCTAAGGATGTATATCGGAGGAATATGAAAGAGTGCTGGAAAAGCACAAAGCAGGGAATAGTAGAAAGTGAAGCGACAAATAGTCCTATCCCAGGACCAGATAGCGTGGCTACTGAAAGGGGAATAGATAATAATGAGATGAGTAAAATTGGTCTAATTTTGATATATTGAATGTATGAAATATGCTATATGAAGGAAGGAAGGAAGAATCGTCAGATGAAAGAGCGGGTGCCTATCTAAGTAGTGGCGCTAGTCGCCTAGAATAGTATGAATGGACACTGTGGCTTAAGGGTCTTGATCAATGGGTTCTCGAAATCTTGTGGATATCGAACCACAAGAACAATGCTATTCGCATTATTAGGGTTCTATTCACTGTATAGCAGATGCATTTTCGGAGTATCGCTATTATAAAATGAGCTGTCGCAATGAAACCAGGCAGGACTTGGTTGAAACCCGTGGACGCTATTGTTTTGTTGAAGGCTAGATTAAGGGGAGATAGGTAGCAATGCGTGTGTCATACAGCTCACTTCCATATTTATGCCATTTCACTTGTTGGCAACAGGCGAGTTGTGAGTGATGGCATGAACCACAAACATTTATCAGTGATGAAGGGTGACAAACATGAATCGCTTGAAAATGCACTGCATTAACCTGCCATTGCGATTTAACATAACAGTGATACATTGTCATTTTAGTTTATAGGTTAAATTCTTAGCAGGAGCTACATGTACAGAGGGACTTTAGTCTGCAGGCATTTAATCTAAGTGGCTGTTCTATATCACTGCATATTAAACATAGTAAATAACCAAAAAGCTAAGATTATGATATCAACATTAATTCAAGGTTGTAGCTAATCAGTCATTCACCTAGAACATAGGAAATAGCACTCAAGAAGTTAATGGTCCTTGGAGCCAAATGTGCTTCTCAAATCACCATATAACTACAACGTAATATCAGCACATTTCATACTTGACAATTGCCAGCAGCTTTGCCTAAAACCGCATCGGATACAAACCAGCCCTTTACCACCATCATTAGTCGAGGATATGAATAAATAACATTCATTGAGTAGAAAAAGTGAATGACGGTGGATGGATGTGTACCTACAATGGCTTAAAATATCGACTGTATTCAGAACCACACCTGGAGGTCATAAGTGGAGTCTAATAGACCCAGCATTCCTATTTTTGGGTAGCAGGCCATATATTTCGCTGACACCATTTGCACCACCTGTCAACCAGTGCATGCTTGTCGGTACTTGTTGAAAACACCAAAAGCCTGCTTCTGTGTGCATGCACTGCCTACGTACAGAAGCATACTAGGAGACCCATTATCAATAGGGGAGAGTTGGCAATTCAATCCCTCGACTGCCTTGCTTAGAAGCAGGAAATTTGAGGTGCACTGTGGTAATCTAGGAGATAGAGGGTTAATGGGTATATATTGAAAAGCAAATTTCTCAAAAATAGAGCCGAGGGAAGAAGAAAAGTTGATGGTCTACCTGGGCCATTGCATGTATGCGTTTCGGCCATGTCCATGGCGGCGCAGGGGGACTCCCGACCCCGAGTGTCAACACGCTGGATGAGCATAAGCATATTTTGTCAGGACTATCGCTGCATGCTCACTCACTGACTTGTGAATCTACGAGGGGCCTGAAATCTGTGTGTGCCATCCACCGAACTGACCCCGATATCTGCAATATCTATTGCTCAAATAGATGACAAAGCAGTTAACGCGTATTACTCAGCACGTCCATCTACTTCGGGGCCGATTCAACGGATTATATTTGTGACCTTTGATATGTTCAGTCCGAAGTCCGAGAGGTGATGTTCTGTGCATGCGACGTGCAGGAGGATCGACGAATTCCGTGGCCATAGCTACTCTTTAGCGCAGTTTTCCCAACAGATACGTACTCGCGCACTTGGTTCCAGAGGGTTCCTCTTCATTATGGAGGAAACTGCCGCTCGGGACAAAAGGTGGCAAAAGTTCTGCAGATTCCGGACTCACGGAGTACATGTTGTGAGGGATATACCAATAAGGCGAAAAGTACAAAAAGCGGACTATCGCAATAGCGTGTAGTTTTGCTTTTGAAGTCATCCATGTAGAAAAATATATTTCCTTTCATCCACCTTGCGTTCTAAACCAGGTAATACTAATCAATTTCTCACAACACATCGTCTATTCCACAATGCCGCATACGAAGTAGTGACAGTGACACATCAGCATCCGTGGTCGACCAAACCATCCGCCAAATGAATAGTAGCGCTGTCATGGATGAGAGCTTTGATATTAACGAAAAGATATTGGAAAGCATGGCTGAATCCCAGGATAATATTGCAGACGAAAAAGGAAACATGTCCACTTCGGAATCAGGCTTGGGCTCCACGCAGCCAGTGGCTAAATGGTGGGAGAGCAAGTCATATGAAGATCAGCCCTGTCGACAGCAAGCATGGCTGGTTCGTTGTCATCTCAGGCTGTCTGATGATGATGTTCTCTATGGGTTGCGTGAATAGCTACGGGTCATACCAGACATACTATCACGCGCACCAGTTTCCAGAGGAACCAACGTCAACCTTGGCATGGATCGGTACCCTGCAGTTTGCCGTAATGAATGCAGTTGGAATTCCAGCAGGGATTCTGTGCGAGCGGGTGGACTCGCGGCTAGTCTCCTTTGTTGGCGGGGTCATCATGGGGGTCTCCTTCATCATTGCGTCGTTCTGTGATACCGCTGTTTGGAAGCTAATGCTGACTCAGGGGATTGTCTTTTCGATTGGTGCCTCGCTGGTGTTCATCCCGGCTGTGTCGTTCCCTTCGCAGTGGTTTGTGAAATACCGGCCGCTCGCAGTAGGAATCGTTCGTTGCTGGCAGCGGTATTGGCGGCCTGTGGTTAACGCCAGCCACAAATAGCATGATCGACAGGCTGGGCTCTGGCTGGGCGCTGCGCATTTCTGGCATCATCATCATTGCGGTCTGCTCGGTGTGCAGCATCTTTATGCGCAATCGCCTCAAGCTGGAGTCGCGCGAAAAGGTTGTTGACTTTAGCGTGCTGCATGATGTGAGATTCTTGTTCATCTTTGCAGGCGCCATCTTCTCGACTACGGGCTATTTCACACCGTTCTTTGATATGCCCATGTATGCTTTCAAAGTCGTCGATATGGATGCGTCCCTGGCCAAAAATCTGGTCACCATCATCAACGCTGCATCGACTGCTGGCCGTGTGGTGACTGGGCAGATTGCGGTGATCGTGGGCAACATCAACGCGCTTCTTGTATGCATGTTTGTCGCCGCTCTGAGCCTGCTGGTGCTGTGGCTGCCGTTTGAGGCCACAGGAACCACTTTAGCTTGCAGCATCATTTACGGGTTCTTTTGCGGAGGCTTCATCAGCCTGCTGCCGGTTATTATTGCCGACCTCTGGGGCGTCAGTCGTATAGCGACAATCATCGGTTTGCTCTACATTGCCACATTCATGGGCACTATGATCGGTGCTCCGTCGTCAAGCGCAATCCTGGACAATATCGGTCATGGCACGAACTTCCGTCCGACGATTGCCTTCTCTGGGTGCTTTATGGCGGCTTCATTCCTAGCGTTCTGTGGCCTGCGCATTGCCACAAACAGAAAGCTGCTGAAGAAGGTGTGATGTTTTACACGATGCTACCGTGCACTACAGCTTTTCTAGAACTGATTTGATGACTTTAGAATGCGCGCAATAAGCGGCCAGTGAGCAAACAATTGGAAGTCTGGGTTGTCAGCACATCTTTTACCTATATATAAGATTTTATAGTCCAAAAAGTGTCCGACCGTTCGCTAGAGCCTTCTTATTAGTTAAACAAAAAACTCCTATGCTTCAACACAAATTTGGGTGACTTGCTCTGTAAACTCCTTTTGATCTTGTGTGGCATCTGACCTCATCAGTGAAACCAGGGTGACAAGCTGGTATTGTAGTGGTCACTGGTTTCCACTAGATACCTCCATTGGTTCAGCACAAGAGCTGCTCTCATTGTCGGTCGGCCTGATAACTTCCATGGCATCATCATGTTGGTCATCACTGGCTGCGCAACACTCCTAGGATATTTATCTATGAGCACCTATTGAATGAGGCCATATAGCTCTTCTAGCAGTCATGCAATATTTGTGGATATATTTTATAAATTAATTTGTCTCATGAACATGCGCAAGCAGTAGTATTTGGGCCACAATGGACCCAGTCTGTATAGACTGACTCAAGAGACTGTATCAGTGCTAAGGGCCCCAAGAACTATGCAAGCCAGATCATTTTTAATAGAAAGTTCTTAATGCTATGCATCTGCAATACAGCAAAACTGAACAGCATCATTTCTCTTCTTACTTTGCCTATTGAGTTTCTCAAATGAATATTACCCGCAGCACTACTGCCATAAAGACATCACTTGGTGGTATTGGCTTCCGTGATTCTATGTTGCCCCGCCTAGAGCAATTTGTATACAGTGTCAATATCATCAAAGAGCATACATACATGCTTGCATGATGGATATTACTCCATCAACTAGCTGACGATGATGCCTTTGACCCTGCAACATTTGTGAATAAGGGGGCTTTCGTTCTATTTATTTATTTATCTATCATAACATGAAGGCAAATCCACTTGCTGCTATCAGAATTAGATTTTCCTCATTTCATTGTTCTATTTTCTCTTTATATTTTGCTACCCAGTCCAATACTGGACCGGATCCTTCTTGTCTTCCTTCTATATTTTTTCTACTTGCTTAGTGCCTTTCTGCACTCTCTCACACTTTCCCAATATATCTATCTTCGGGTGTTCCAGCCCGCTCTACAATTTTACTTGTATCGCTTGTAATCTTCTGACAGCTGCTGCATCGGCGGCAGCAGCAGACACTGTTGCAGCACTTAACAATGCATATGCACCAGCACCCCCAGTCTGTGCACACGACCCGGTCCAAGGGGTTACACAATCTGTGTGGGATGTGTGGGGCCGGGTTGCAGATCTAACATCAAAGCCATTTAAGGTGCATGGTGATAGAAAATTCCACGGAATGGTGACAACAGATGGTGTAATGATATGCATTCTGTTACAAGACAAGGTATCCAAGGCTGATGCTGCAGTAGGTGCTGATGCTGCGGGAGGCGATGCTGCGGGAGGCGATTCTGTGGGAGGCAATACTATAGCTGACTGTTGCTATATCCACCAGATCCCACAGCCTGAGCTGCAGAATCTGAAAGGCGCTGTGTATTCATCGATCCAGGTCGGGGCGATTTGCTATACATGATGCACGAAAATAGCAGCAATGGGAAAGAGGGTGAAAAAAATGCTCTACCGCTACGCACGGCAGCAGCGCAATAAGGAGCTCAAGCTGCGCCACTATGACAGGATTCGTCAGGCTACAAAAGATCAAGTCCCAGAAGATGCTGTCCGCAGAGCAGAGGCAGAGCTTTCCAAGCACTGCTGCCGGACCCTTAGCCCAGCAAAATTCCGTGCCTACGTTGCTGCCCGTGCATCTGTGCGGTGTGTCCTAGCACCGTTTTATGCAAACACGGTGACAACACGAATGTTACTAGAGCAGCAGCCAACTAAGTCAAACAAGCAGCACCAAAGGCGCTGGAAGGCCCATCCAGGTGTCAGTACCAGTCCCAAGGTGTACCCGCTTCACCGCAAGCTGCGCCTTGATTCATTCATGAACCAGGCCCGTGCAGACCACAGGCTTGCCGCAAAACTCCGGAGCAAGTTTGGAGCAAGTTCGGTCCAGATCCAGTGGTGATCATGGGCAATTGGAGTGCGCCAATGGCCCGATACCATGCGCTGATTCATGGCAAGGGATGGCGCGACAAGTTCAAGCACCATGGCTTTGAAGTCTATCTGATCGACGAATTCCGGACATCGTCGATGTGCCCGTTCTGCTGCGAAAAGTCACTGCAGACATTCCGGCATGTTCCCAACCCGCGGCCCTACCAGAGATCGAAGAACTCAACTGTGAAGTGCCATGTCCTTCTCCGCTGTACAAGCGAGTCATGTAAGCGGGCCATGGCACAATACAGGCGGGCCTATTCGTCTCAGCTCTTGAACCGCGATCTCGCAGCAGTTCTAAACTTCAGACTCATTTTCCAGTCACTCTGTGATTCAGGCAGTATTCCTGAACGGTTCCGTCGCTCTACGGCTATTGCTGCCAATGCTTCTGGCACCACCCCTGCAACAAAGAGGCCGCGCAAGAGGCGTGCAGCAGCAGGCGATTCTGTTGCCAGCAGCAGCGAGCCAGCGCTGAAGCGCCTGCGCTGAGCAGGCCATCAAGACAGGAGATGTCCATGATCGACATTGCACCAACAACCATCCGACACGTTCAAATGACCGGTTCGCCGTGATGCCCTTATCGATGTGTCAACCCATGCTGACTAGCAGCCGAGCTCGCATCGCAAGCAGAGTAATTATAGTACGATAAATTATGGAAAATGGGTCAGCATTAGGGTTAGAGAGTAGAGGAAATTGGTAGTTGGGTGGTGGTGGTAGTGAGGAAGTAGGGATGAAGCAGTCAGTATGACATTTTGTGAGGACACGAAGAGGCAGGAGGGCAGTGAAGGACGACGACGGTGTGTTTGAAGTGACGCGAGTGCAGCTAGGAACAGAGGTAAAGAGGCAGATGACGCAGGAGGAAGAGGTGACAACGAGTGAGTAGCAGAGCAGACTGACCTGGCAGACGCTGTGGACATGAGGGAGCAGACGATTCAGTAGCGCAGATTATGCTGGCAGACCCAGCGACGACACCAAGAGGCTAGAAACGGCTAGCGGATCAAGGTATCGCGAAAAGAGTGCAATAATGACACTGCAGACCAAACTCGGGAGAAGAAACGGAGAGGAAAAATGTGCAATGACAAGATGGAGGGGGAGGCATACGATGGCGTCGGCACGCCCATGCAAGCCGCTTGTGTGATTTTTCCCTTGTTTGTGACAACTTTTTAATCAGGTGAACAGAATGCACAACCAGATCAGCAGGCAACTAAGGCTTGTGTGCTTGCAGCGTGTTCTTTGGTGACATGGCTACCCCACTAGCGGCGTCAGCATAGGCCATGAGATGTCGGCTTTCTAGTCGACAGCCCACTGGGCCACTTGGATGTGCGACCGATAGATATGTCTTCAGGGTACCAGATAGCAAAAGAAATTCCAGTTAGCGCTCGTCATTTTCTGCCATTTTCTGCCATTTTCTGTTACATCTGGTTTTTACATATCAATTTCCATATCCTCGCCTATACAGACATCTGCGGCGGGCTGTCGCCACTTTTAGTTACAACATCGATATGTATCAGTGATAGCCATGTGCACAAGTGTGATCTGTGTTGTGGTCGAGCTTGTTGCTGGCAGAGACTTTCTGTGCAATATGTCGCATCTGCACAGCGAGCAGTGGGTATGCCCATTTGGTAATCCTAGCGTCTAGCCGTGCAGCACCGGTGGTGGAGGCTCTAGGAAACCTCTGCCTATCTGCCTACCTGGTTGACAAGGTATCACGCGTGGGCGTCTCCATTTGCGCTGGAGTACTTGGGAGCATTTTCTCCGCATCACGAAATAGCCCTAGCCATCTCCACCCACGTCATCGAGCAAACTGGCTGGGCATGGCTTTTTCTCCCTATTTTCGTCAACGCTTCTGCATTTTACTCGTGCATTCGCAGTTTTTGCATTAAAGCTGGCTTCATTTTCAAACATTTATTCCTTTCTTGTTCTTGCTGCCACAAAAGAATGTCAGATGGAATGTCGACACCACCACGCACAGGGAAGGGAGCTCCAGTACCAGTTAAGCATGTGCGACGGCCGGCGCGCACCTTCGGGCCGTCGACAGCGAGGTCCGAGTCGCCGCTAACACGAATGGCTGACCTCTTTGCGGAGCCAGTGAACGGAGCAAAACACACGCGGTCACAGTCCACCCAGCTCAACGTGCCTGCTGGTAGCCCGGCACAGACGCGCCCTCGGCGACTCTCTGAAGCAGTAGGTGGCAGCGCATGGCGCAGCACGGCCGGCAATGGCTCGCCGTCGCTGCAAGCCCAGTTGGCAGGAGGCAGAGGCGAGGCTAACGGGCGTAGTCGGCGGGCAAGCAATGCAAGCTCGACTGGCGCAGGCGAGACCGCAGCCCTGAACTGCCCAATATGTGGGGTAATGGCGCCTAGCCTGTTTGCCCTGAATGTGCACCTGGACGACACTCACTTTGCTGGCGACGGCAGCGGCGGAGGGATGGGTGGCGGCGCTGGAAGCACCGCGCTGCGAGAGCACGAGGCGAGTGGCACTGGGCAAAATGGGCAGGTAAAGTCGCGGTATGCGTCGCAGGACGATTTGGATGAAGTGAAAGGCGCTATTCTGGGGTTCTTCCGAGGTGCTGGTCGTGCCGTCAAGGGGCTCAGTGGCACACAGACCCAGGAGTCGCCCAGTTCTAATGCCAGTGACATGGGCGACGATCGCCAGATCCCATCGGCAGGGACCGAGCAGACAGCTGTGAGCCAAGGGCGCTGGCACGCTGGGCAGAGCGATGGAGCCGATCGAGGGCAGGTGACAAAGGCACACTGGCAGCAGTACAAGTCGGGCGATCGCTGCAATGTACCAGCATGCACACTGGTGCTGACATCACAAACCGGTCATGTCAACTGCCGCAAGTGTGGTCGGCTGATGTGCAGCCAGCATTGCAACTACCGGCTGAATCTGGCGCCGACTGCCCAGCCATCGGCGCGCGGCACTGCGTGCAGAGTGTGTGAGGAGTGCTACCAGCGCGCGACGCAGAGCCAGAGTGGACCATCGCGCAACCACACAGCGGCATTTGTGCATCTGCGGCGAAAAGTTGTCAACGTGGCACTGCTGGAGGGAAACCGGATGGAGAAGCGGCTGGAAAAGCTGTCGCTGGTATACGCAGCAACAGATACAGGCGGATCAGCGCCATCGTCGCTGCTGCGTTCAAAGTCGCTGCAGACGGCTGAGCAGGAGGTGGTTGTGTGGGAGGATGATGCCCATGTCCATTCATGCCCGCTCTGCCAAAAGTCATTTGGGCGGCTGGCGTCTCGGCGGCACCATTGCCGGCTGTGCGGGCGGGTGGTGTGCGGGCGGCCCAGCTGCTTGGTGCAGCTGGCGATTCCGCTGGCGAACCCCGACGGGTCTGGCTTCTCGCAGGAGCGGTTTGCCAACGTCAAGGCGTGTAAGGACTGCGAGCACATTGTGCTGCGGCATCGCGACCGGACTGCGCGGACAAGCCAGGCGCCAACAGTTCTGGCACAGCTTTACACGAAAATCGGCCAGTACATGGAGCAGGTCGAGGAGGTGCTGCCGACATTCAACGCCTTGGCGCTTCGTTTGGGCAGTGCTGGGACTGCAGGGAGCCCCGACTTGCCGCGGGCAGCGCGGATCCGTCGGCAGCTGACGGCGTCGTTCAATGATCTGGACAAGATCTCAAAGCGGATTGCGCAGCTGCCGGCACAAACGGCCACGGACCAGCGGTTGCATGTGGCGATTCGACGGTCGGTCGCGCAGTACCTGCAGCTGCACATGTTTCCGCTGACCATGCTGCCAAAGCCCGACCACAAGGCCAGTGCAAAGCCAGAGCGAGCGCCGCGCGCACCCACGCCGCTGCGGCAGTCGACCAGTGTTGCAGAGGCCTCGGAGGATGGCGATGCGACGCAGAGCAAGGACACGCTGGCAGCAGCGCCGCCATCGGTGTCTCCTACACCGTCGATTCCGTCAAGCATCTCGACGCTGAACATAGAGGCAGACGTGCCGCTGGCGGCCAAGAGCCCGGGGGTGTCGGCCAAGTCGATTGTCAGCAATGTCACCAGCGTGGGCGGTGCGGTGGTGGGCGGGACAGTCACTGGGATCTCGTCGCTTTTGTCGTTCGTCACGCCGGGGACGCCCAAGCAGAGGAACAAGTCGAGCGGCGGGCTGCCGTCGCAGGATGAGCTGATTGCGCAGGCACTGGCCAGGGACCCCGAGCGGGAGCAGCGGGTGGTGGACATGGGGCATGACGAAAAGCTGACAACGCTGTCGGTGCTGCGCGACCAGCGCGAACGAGTCAAGGGGTATATTAGAGAAGCACAGCGCGAGCGGCGACTCGAGGACGCCGTGTCGCTGCAGACATCACTGAGCGATCTCGAGGTCGAGCTCTCGCTAATTGAGCGTAACTTGTGAGGTAGGAGACTGCACGTTATATTTCAAAGTGGCTGGGAAAAAGTAAATAAAGCGAAAGAGCGCAGACAGCGTAGCCTAACTCCATCGGCAGTGGGTAGCTACAAGAGATGTCGAGTTGCTGCAGAACATGTGACATATGAGGAGGTATCCAGGGCAAGTAAAAGCCGGCGTAGAGAAGCTGCGAGGCGAAAAATGCGAGTTGGCCAGGCAGAGCATGGGTTTACTCCTGCTTGGGGTTGGCGGCCGCAGGAGCCGGGGACGCGGCAGCGACCTTGTTGAGCTTGGCCTGGATGAAGGGCTTCAGCGAACCGTGGTACAGCTTCTCGGCGCCCTACATGAGGTGGGGGATGTGGAGTTGGTTCAGCATGATGGGCATGGGGTGTGGTGTTGATGGATCATATGACACATAGCATGGGCTGGGCACGGGGAGTGGAGCAAACGCAATTCGTCAATCGTTTCATTCAGGCATGCAGCTGTTGCCTGCAGACACAGGCATGGCTGTTGTTTCTTTCTACTTACGCGAGTGTTGGGCAGCATCAGCCAGCCGAGGAAGGCGAGCTTGAGGACGTAGAAGAAGGGGATCCAGTAGAGGATAAAGCCGGTGAAGTACTCGGCGACGTTGAAGAAGCCAAAGATAACCCTACAAAACGCAGAGCGAGATTAGTGCTGGCAAGTTTGCATCTGGGTCTCTGGGCCGTCAGGAACCGCTGTTCGCCCATCCCATCAGCAAAACCCCGCTGGGCTCAACAAGGAGCACGCGATCATGGAATTGATGGCGGGTTTTAGCCGAATACGTACCAGTATGTAAGCCACTGGGCGTCGTCCTCCTTGCCCGGGGACTCAATCGCGTTCATCGACTGGTAGGCTACCGAAAGAAAAGAGCCCGTGTGAAGGCATGCAAATATTAGAAACTGAGTGTCTCAGAAAAAGCGTACTGCTATGAATAAAAACTCCGACACTGTAGGGCCGTCCATGAAGGCGGGGACGCTACTTACCAGCAAAGCCAAAGCCAAACAGGTTGACCAGCAGAGGAGCGCCGATGTTGAACAGAATCAGCAGCACGGAGACAGCGCCGACGCCGATGGCGCCGTAGGCCTTGCGCACACCGGTCTTCTCCTGGAAGCACCGGGCGGCGGGCACGTTGTCGAGGGCCTTGTCGATGACATCGACGTACTGGTCGTGGAGCTTCTGAACCTGTTCCATTGCTGGCGAATTTGAGTAAAGATGAGGTTGCTGCAAAAGCGAAAAAACCCAGGTATAGGGAAGAAGTGAGAAAAAATAGGTTGGGAGGGAGAGAAAAGAAGACAAACGTCATCGGAGAACGGCAGCGGCTTTAAGCAGGCATCAGGGAGAGAGAAAATTTTCATGCTTGGCGAAAGTGGGTGGTTTGTCACACTGCCAAAAACGGAAGTAGTACGCGTGAAAGCCGGCTGCATCGCCGCCCGGCATGTTGGGGGAGAGATTGGGCGTTGCATTAGTTGGTGTATTGAAATAAAACAGTGGGCCGGTGGTCAGTGCTTGGGCGTGGTTACCGCTGCGGTTGCAGACCGGGTCAGGCGCTCGATATGGCGCTCGGAGACCTTGACGTTGATGGCAGCGCTGATCAGCGCGTCGGCGTCAACCAGCGACGGCGGGATGTGCAGCAGGAAGCCCAGCTGCTCGGTGATTGTCGGGCAGGCGTCCAGCAGATAGTCGCTGGCGAGATCCATGATGGCCAGGGCAATGCGGAACAGCGCCTTCGGGCCACGATACAGGAACCAGTCCCACACGCGCAGCGCCGACTGCCACGGCAGCGACAGCGTGAAGATGGTCATGAACCACGGCGTGGCATACATCAGCGCATCGCAGCCCTGCGCAGCCAGGTGCTCGTACAGCTGCGGGCAGCGCTCACGCAGCAGCGACTCGAAGACAGCCGTGTGGATGCGCAGCCCGCCTAGATCCGGCTCGTAGTACCTGGGGATGTAGTTGCTGATGGTCGCAGCCAGCGCCCAGAAGGCCCGCTCCTCAGACATGCCCACTATCAGGAACAGCCCCACCAGACGGCCCATGCCCTGGCAGTATCCGACCTTGGCGTTGTGGTGTGCATATGCCCGCAGGATGCGCCGCAGCTGGCGCTGGCCAGCACCGTCGGCGTCGGCAAACATCACGTGGTCGGGATAGCACCGCGGGACATCGCGCTCAATGACATCGTAGATGGGCAAGTCGCCCATGGCCAGCAGCGCTGCGTAGTGGTGCGGCTTCTCGAGCCGCGGCGCACCCGAGAGCAGATAGTAGATCTGGCTGCGGAGCCGCATCGGCAGACCCGCCTGGACCAGCTGCTTGATCTTGCGCGACCCGCGCATGGTGCTGGCATCCAGCGTCCGCAGCAGCGCCCCCCACTTGGCCTCGGCCGACTCTCTGCTGTCGCCCAGCCCGTGCGGCAGGCTGCGCTGGTGCCGCAGCTGCGTCCCGCGGCTCGGCCGCTGCGCCCGCCACGCATTGTACTGCTGCGTGTACTCGGACTCGCGGCCGTCGTCGCCCTCAAACTCCATGAACCCATCGGCATCCACATGCTTGACCTGCTTGCGTCGCTCGGCCTTGAGCTGGTGCAGTCCGTTGGGATCCAGATCCACTTGAGCCCCACTGCCCTCGACGTCAAACAGGTTGCTGGCCAATGCGTCGCTGTTGTCAAACATGGGCACCTTGCCGGCAACTCGCAGCGCAATGCGGCTCAGTCCAGCTCGCATCAGCAGCCGTGTGGCAATCTGCCGCGACTGCTGCGTCGTCGAGTGCTGCTGGTGCTGACGGTCTTGGTGGCTCGGTGGAATGTGGACATGGTGGCCCTGGTTCTGCTGCACTGCGCCTGGTGCTGCCCGCTTCGTCCCATGCGTGACCGACGAGAACTGTGATGTCATTGATAGCCGCCGCGCCTGTGTCTGTGCTGAATGTACATTTGAATGCACTGATGCCCGTCGCGGGTTGGCCGAGATTTCCGCCGATACCCGAGGCTCCGCCATGCTGCTGCGTCGGCTGCCTTGCTTGCGCACGGAGAGCTGTGCAAACGCATCGGAAATCCGCGAGGACCGCCGGCTGGAGCGCTGTTTCACGCCGTCCTTGTCGGCCTCCTCTTTCTTCTCCTCCTCCTCGTCTTCGGCGGGTGCTTGCACAATGCCTTCCTGCTGCCGGCTATTATCGCTGCGCTGAGGAGTACTGGCTGTCAGTCTGTCAGTCGGCGAATCCGGGGCATGCTCAAGTCGCGGCTGCACCGGCGGCAGCGGCTCCGACGGGAATCCCACCCGGGTGCTGCTCATGCCAACGCTACTGTTGTCACCAATGCTACTCTTGACAGACCGGCTTGGGCCGCGGCTCACTGGCGCTGACCTTGATCCCACCGGACCGCCGGCGTGCTGTGTGGGAATCGGCGGCATTGGTGGCAGCTCCCGGGCCGGCGCGCCTGATACCAGGTCCTTCTGCGTCGATGGGATTGGAATGAACGTCGACACTGTTGGGCCTGCCATTGGACTAGCAAAAACCTCGCGCGATGCGACCACATTGCATCCACGCCGCTGCCGCAGCGTCTGATTATCCGGCCGCTCCTGCGGCACAGTCACCGCCGATGGCCCCTCAATAGCCAGGGTCTCGTCCTCTTCTCCGTCATTGATCTGCTGGATTGCGTGCGAGTAAAACAGCGCATTCTCCAGCGTCTGCGAGTAGCTGTTATCCGACTCCGCCTTGCCATAGTAGCTCGATGTCGCTCCACGCCCTGCTGCCACGCCAGGGTTGAGCATGTTTGCGCTGTCGCTGCTCTGCAGCCCGCGGCTGCCTCGCCACGAGTTGATTCGGTCTTTGTGGTGTTGCGGGCCTGGCTTATGCGATAGTCGCTGTGAATGCCGCAAGTCGCCCGCCGCCATAGAGTGCGTGCTGCCTTCGTCAATGGGTAAATAGTCGTAATAGCTGTCGAGCAGTTCCACGTAGTCAATATCGCTCATTCTCTCCTCGCTCGACGGAAAGCGTGTCGCGGTGGCGGATGCTGGCATGCTCCTGCTCTGCCGCAGAGCTTCGGGATATTCGCCGTCAAGCTGCAGTGAAGACAGCACGGGGGGTGATGCGGTCTGGCCTGCTCGCCCCCATCTGCTGCCATGAGGCGCTGATTACTATCTGCATTGCCGTCCAGCATTGTGCCGGCGTGGTGCTCTCCGTCAGCAGTAGCCATGGAATCAGCATACTGCATGTCGTTGCTGTCCTCAGCAACGTTGTTGTGCCTGCTGGTCCACCCGTCTGCACCGCCGCCGTCCAGCATAGCAGTGCTGTTTACTGCGTCCGTCTCTGTCGCGCTGTCTCCTAATGATGCCGCCGGCGAGTAGTATTCCATTGTCGGTGTGCTCTGCAGCGAATCCGTTTTGTGCGCCTGTGCTGCTGCTGATGGTACTATGGCGCCTGTTGCGCTCTGCTGCTGCTGTCGCTTGCGGCCACCGGCCCGCGTAGCTTTGCTGGTCTGAGGTTTGTTTTTGTTTTTGTTTACCGAATCGCCAGCGAGCGACTCCTGCTCCGGTTCGCTGCAGCTGCTGTGCTGTGCAAGCTGCCTTGGCAGCCCATCGTCCCCACTGCTGATTATTGACCTGCTGTGAAGGGGTGTCCTCGCTGCGCCAAAGTCTCCACGACTCGTAGCTGCAGACTCTGGCACCTTTGTGAACATGGAGTCACTCGACGACTTTGCAATTGTGCTGTTGTCGGTCATAGAGTCTCTGGTCGCGCTGGTTGCCTGTCCAATACTGGCGTCGTTGGCAGCCGGAAAAGGTGAATGGGAAATGCTGCTCAATTGGGGAGGCGTCGTTAGCGAACGGGGTGGACAGGAAGAAGAAATCTGCGCTTCCCCACTGCCAATGCTGATACCGGCAGTTCCTGTGTGCTGCTTGTGTGCGCTCTGCAGCTGGCCATTGGCCGCTCGCGCCGACATCTCTGCCATGCTTTGCGGCGCTTGAGCTCTACTGCCGCCGGGACCACTCGGTTCTGCTGTAGCAGCAGCAGCAGCAGCAGCAGCAGCAGCAGCAGCGGCGGCAGCTGGTCGGACCAGACGCAACCGTCCTGACCGCCGCTGGCTCGCTGAGAGCGATGCGGCGACAGCTGGAGGCTGCAGCTGCTGCTGCTGCCGTGGCGAGTTGGCGAACTGGCCGCTGTTCATCGTTGTGCTGTAGTACAGGCTGGAGTTACACCGGGGAAGCGGGAGCGAGAGGGAGAAAATAGGTAATATCAGGGAGAGCAAAAGTATATGTCGCGGGAGGCGCGGAGGGGGAAGGGGAGAGGGAGAGCGAGGCAACAACAGCAAAACTAATAGGGAAAGAAAGCGATATAATACTAGGGCTGGGCGCGGTTCGTCCCCGATCGGCCTACGTGCCAGAGCCAGCCCTTTATACAAAGCTGCAGACCCTCTCCCGCTCTGTCGTAATTGGGCTGGGAGCGCGTGTGGGCCCAAAAGCTCTAACCAGGCTGGAAAAGAGGGCGCACGCTAAATTGGGCGCCGAGCTTTGACGCAAATCCTTGCGATTCACTGCAGACGCTGTTGTTGTGATTGTTGCCGGACCAGCGAGTAAGCGGTCTTGGGCCACAGCCCGCGCTCCCAGCCCCAGCGATCTGCGCAGTGCGAGCCGGCGCGCAGGCCGAGGGCCCACGCTTAACGGGGGCTGCTGCCGAGCCCACTGTGCATGGCCGGCCATTTCGCCTGGGTGTATATTTAGCACCCCCGCCGGTCCCTGCACGCGCCATTCCCGCAGGTGCGAAAATACAATCTAAATATACACGTCGGACAGGTCGCCTTGCGCAGGTCGAGTGTATAACGTAAACTTTTGTTGATGGTGAAAAAAAACTGAAAAAAGCTTCTTCGTCACAGATAGATTTGCCTGACATCCTTTGCGCCAAACGGCTCGCTGCACGACGGGCACTTGCGCTGCCGAGTCTCGATGCGCGAGTCGATGCATTCCTTGCAAAACACATGCATGCAGCGCAGCAGGACATGCGACTTGAAGTGTGTCTGGCATGTCGGGCACTTGAGCAGCGCCTTGTAGTCGGCGCACATCTGCGCCAGCCCGCTCTGGTCGGTGATCTTCTCGGCCTCGCTGACGCGCTTGCTGGCCAGCTCCAGGGCCTCCTCGGCGCGCCGCCGCTCGTGCTCAGCCCGCGACAGGCTGTCTGTCCGCTCGTCCAGCATCTGCGTCGCGACGCGGTGCTTCTCCTCGAGCGCCCGCACCTGCTCCTCGAGCTCCTGTGTCCGCCGCTGGGACTCCTGCAGATTGGTCTGGCAGCCCTGCCATGCCAGCGTCGCCTGCTGTGTCTCGGCGCTGGCCAGCGACAGCTCCTGCGCCATGGCCCGGTCGCGCTCCTCGATGGTCTTGATGTGCTCCAGCTGCTTTTGGTTCTGGTGCCGCAGGGCCTGGTTGGCCTGCTTCTGCGCCTCGCGGTCCTTGTTGAGCCCGATAAACTTCTCTTCGTACTTGCACTTCTCGGCCACCACACGCGAGATGTGCTGCTCCTTGCTGGCCAGCTCCCAGACCTTGCTGGTGTTCTGCTTCTCCAGCTTGGTGAACGAGTCGCAGATCGTCTGCAGCTCGCGCTCCATCATCTCCGACGTGCGCTGCAGGCTGTCGCGCTGCAGGATCATCTCGTCGACCTGCCTCTGCTTCTGCGCCAGCTCGCCGGCCTTGTCAGGCAGCTCTGCCAGCATCTGGCCGTGCTCGTCGACGCATGCCCCGCCCAGAATCGATTCGTACTTGGCCAGCCGCTTCTGCAGCGAGTCCGCAGTCTCCTGCGCCCGCGTCAGATCGGCTGCAAGCTGGCTTGCGTCAGGCTGCGAGCTTGCGGCGAGCTGTGCGGACAGCTGCTTTTCACGCCGCAGCGCCTGGTCCAGCTTGGCCCGCAGCTCGTCGGCGACGGCCGTGGTTTTGCTCAGCTCCTCATCCGTATACGTCTCAAACGCGCTGCGGTCGCCCTTGAGCACCGCAATGCACGCCAGCAGACGCTTGTTCTCCGAGATCAGCGAGTTCATCCGCTCACGGCGTACGTCTGACAGGAGCTTCAGCTCAGTGCTCTTCTGGTCCTCCACCGTGTCCTGGGCGCGGCGCGACTCGAGCTCGCGCTGGACCTGGTCGCGGTGGTTGCGCACACGCACGAGGTCGGTCTGCAGCCGCTGCAGCTCGGCTTCCAGAATCTGGCGCTGGGAGTTGGCCGCGGCCTGCAGCGACATGTCAAACTCTGTCCGCGACGATTTGAGCTCCGCCACCTCTTTGAACAGCCTGTCGACTTCGGCCTGCAGACGTAGCGACTCTGCATTGTAGTATTCGCGGCTGGCCTCCGCTTGCTTGAACAGTGAGGTTTCAGCTATAATGTGGTCGGGGATGTTGGAGATTTGTAGCCGCAGCGCATCAAGTTGCTTCTGAATCTCGGCGTTTTCGCGAACCTTTTCCTCAATCTCAGACAGGCGGCGCTCGGCAAGCTCGCGGTAGTCGGTTTTGTCGTTGGCTTCCTGTGGCTGCTGTGGCTGTTGCAGCTGCTGTTGCTGCTGTGCTGTTTGCTGCTGTGCTGGGCTGCCTGCTGCAGACGGGCTGCCGGCGCGCGAGTAAACTGCGCCGTTGGCAATCGCTGTTGTGTTCGGAGGACTCGGCCCGGGATGAGTCGCCCTTGGCTGGTGAGGCGGGTCCGGACGCGTGGCTATGCGGGCTGCTGCCACTGTTTTGCTGATGCGGCTGGGTCTCCACGTCGAGTGCTTGCACTGTTGGACAGACCGAGCGGTCGAGTTTCTTTAGCGCCCGCCGTAGCTCGGTCTGGCTGGCTTCAAGCTGCTCTCGTTCCTCAGCAATTTGCCGAGAGAATTGGGCCACTTGGGAGCGAAGGTCAGCTACCTCTTTCTCGCTGGTGCGCATACGCGACAGACGCTCGATCGCCGACTGCCAGTCAACAGGGGACGTGCTCTTGCTTTCAAGCTGGCGTAAAATTGTCTGCACGGCCCTATTGAAGCGCTGCAAGCTGGTTTGTACGACATCGGACTTTTCAACAGCAGAGTTGCTGTCAGCCGTGGCCATGCCATCGTCTGCTGTCTCGGCGATTTTGGTCGGCAGCAGCATGCCGAGCCACGAGTCCACTGCTGACGGGTGTGCAGAGGACAGGCTGCCATCGCTGGTGTCGCTGTTGATGATTGTGTCAAGCTGGGCGACAGCCTGGTCCCACGCATGGCATAGCCGGCCTATCCGCATCGTCCACTGCTCCTGGCGGCGTTCGAGATCGCTAGCGCGCTGCTGAGATCTGCGGGCATCGCGCTTGTACTCTTGCATCTGCCGCCAAATGGCCTCCTTTTGAAACTCAGCGAATCGAGTCCTACAGAAGCAGCGTGTGCCAGCAATCGAGAACACTGGCGATGATTAGCAATATGCAACCGGTCATGCTTATACCCACTTGCCGCGCGCGCCCTCCCGCAGAGCAGGCTGTTCTTTTCAGGCACATCAAGCACGCAGGCCTTTGATACTTTACCAGGTCGAGCATTTGTGCATTCTCGTCAAATTCGGCCGATAGGGCTTGGAAGTCGGTCTCCTTTGACGTATGGCGCTTCTTTGCGAGCGTTGCTTGGGGCTGGCCCTCCAAGTCCCGACTCTCGTCCGACCGCCTCTTCCGTTCGGTCATCATTAGGTCAAACGGGCGGTGAGAAATGACTTGTGTAGGCTTGTGGTCGTGGTGTGTGTGAACCAAATGCGTTTGCGTGGCGGGATTAGAAGCAAATGCTGCGTATGGCAGGTCTGCGCTTGCTGGCAAGGCCAAGGTAAAAAAGCTAGGGGGCTGACGAAATAGAAACAGGAGCGGCTCGCGCGTTTGCTGGTGATATTGCCTTGCGGCCTATACGACGAGCACCAGGGAGAGAACGCGTAGAGGTAGCTTTTTATTATAGGCTGCTCCTAGAGAGGGACAGAATAAAGAAAAAAAGGCTGTACAGGAGGGAAGGTCGGGGAGAGCAAAATGGGAATTTGGGAGACAGAATAAAAAGTTAGTCGATGCCGGAAGAGAGGAGAAAAATGCGCGAGGCGAGTCGTGCCGTGTTGGAAAAAAAATTGTTTCAAAGACTGCCAGAAAAACACACACAGAACCGCTGGCCAATCACGGGCGGTGCCCATGACCGCCAGCTTACTGACATAGACTTTTGGCTGATTCCGCCAGCACGCTCTTTTTCGTCTCTGCGACTCAAGATTTTTCTGATACAGGTAAAGCATGCAAATTGTCGCGCTCCGGCGGGAATGCACCCAGCGCTGAGCACAGCTGTAGGCACTAACTCGCACCCGATTTGAATGCGTAGACTCATTTCCACACAGCGGCACAAAAATAAACATGGACGGCAGCAGGGCACTCGAGAGCTACGGCAACGACGGATCGTGGGCCGTGACCCGCTTCTTCAAGGAGGAGATCTTTAACCCGCAGATGCTCGCTGCCAACCTGGGCGTCGCATACGGCGTCGGCGTGTTTGCGGGAGCCGTGTACTTTTTGGAGAACTTTGGCGAGCTCCTTGTTCAGTAGATTTTTGAATAAAGTCGATTTCATAAGCCAACGGTTTATCTGGGCTAAATGCGTCTACTGGTTCTTGCACTGGGGGGGCTCCGACGCCTCCTTGGCAGACCGGCTGAGGGCGTCCTCGTCGTCGTCGTCGTCCTCGTCGTCGTCATCCTCGTCGTCGTCCTCGTCGTCGTAGTAGTCGTCGAGGTCCTCGTCGTCGTACTCCTCGTCGTCGAGTCCCTCGTACTCGAGGGCCTTGCCGGTGAACCAGTCGATGGCGTTGGGGATGATCTTCTCCTTGAACTCCTCGGCCAGCTCGTAGTCGAGCTCGATGCGGTCGCGGGTCTCCTCGGCCAGCTCCGAGTCGTCGTCGACCTCGGGCTCCTCGATGGTGGCAAAGAACGAGAAGAAGGTCTCGGCAGGCACGGTCTTCTTGACAACGCGCGTGCGGTTGGTGGCCTTGTGGCGCTGCTTCTTGGTCTCGATGGTGACGCTCAGGTCGTGCTCAGGCTTCCACTTGATCTCGGTGCCCACGGCGCTGCCAAACTGCAGGTTGCCGCTGACATCGGACTGCTCGTAGTAGTAGACCTTGCTCAGGACCTCGTTCTCGAAGAACGGGTTCTCGGCAAAGACAAAGTCCAGGCGGAAACCGGGCTTGTCCTCGAGATACGCCATGCGCACGTCGCGCAGGAACTTGACGGCCTCCTCGTCGCGCTCGGTGATCAGCTCGCTGAGCTGCGGGTGCTGGCCCAGGGCCGTCAGCCAGAAGTCGGGAATGCCGCTGGGGGTCTCCTCGTCGTCGTCCTCGTTGACCTCCTGGATGCCCGACTCGGGCTCCTCGTCGCCCTTCTCCTCGGCAGCAATCGCGGCGCCCTGGGCCTTCTCCTCATCGGTGGGCTCAGTCGAGCCGCTGATGATCTCGGTACGGCGCGCGTATAGCGGCGCATACAGCTTCTGGTACTTCTTCTCGAGCTCGAGGATCTCGAGGTGCAGCTTGGCGTCAATCTCGGTGTGCTGCTTCTGCAGATAACGCAGGCTGTCCACGCGCGCACGCACCTCCTTCGGCAGAGACTCGACGTAGCCCGACGAGGCGCCAATGAGGTTGCCCAGGCGGCCCTGCAGCATGCTCAGCAGCGCTGCGTTCTGCACCGGGGTGATATCGTCACCACCGGCGGCGGCAGCAGCGGCGGCAGCAGCGGCGATGGGCGCGTTGAAAATGGGGGTGTTCTGGGGAGTGGGCGCAGTGTCGACGTGCTTCTCGCCGTCGTTCTTGATGTCAACTGCCTTGTTGTCCGACATTTTTCAACTGGAACTGAAACTGGGGTTGAGGTCTTCAAATTACTCGGAATCGCTGGTTCGATGGGGGCGAAGCAGGCACGGAGGCTGGGGCCGAGATGGTGAATGGGAAAAGTGAAAAAGTCCTTACAAAAAGGGGCGAGCAAAGAAAAAGAAAAGTGCGCGGTCACATCGGCAGGTGGGCTCGCCAGCCAGCGGGCCTTTGTTTATGCTGGGTGTTTCCTAGCCTGCGTGCGCTAAAACGTCAACGCTGTCGTTTTTGTGTGGGCTGGGCCAAGCAAATTTTTTTTATTTTAATCAAATCGATCAGCTGCTGGGCCAGGTGCCGCTGGGCCTAGTGCTGCTTGTCCGACCCGGCGCTGCCGCCATCCGACACGGGGGCCGGCGCCGGCTTGACGTCCCAGATGGGCTTGTCTGACTTTGAGTTCTCGATTATCTGCGCCATGATGGCGTCGTGCTGCGCTCGCCGCTTCTCCTTGTTGCGCTCGTACTCTGCGCGCAGCTCGGGGCTCATGCGCTTCAGGATCTTCTCCTCATCAGGCACAATCGTGTACCGCAGCAGCACTGCAACACCCATGATGCTGCCAACAGCCAACAGACCACGACGGAAAGACATTTCGATATTTATGTTAGGCACGCAGAGATGTAGATAAGGACAAAGCCGCGCCAGGCACAACCACGGGAAAATCTGCGGTTTTGATTGCGCACGCTCTGGCTGGCGGTTGTGGTTGGGCACTATTTCCGACGCCGCGTGTCCTCCTCGACGATGACCTGCAGATGGAGGCGCACCGGCCGTCCCAGGGCCTTGGAGATGTTGACGTTGGCCGAGCGACTTATCCCCAGAATGACGCTGCCGCCCGCACCGGTCAGAATCTTGGCTTCGCCCTTCGACGACACCACCAGCTCCTGGCTGATCACCAGCGCCTTGCGCTCAACTGCAGCTGGCTCACCCTCGCCGGCCACGTACTTGGGCGGAATCGGCACCTCCTCCCAGCCAACATTGCGCTGCTTGACCACGTACGGCAGGTGGCCCTCCAGACGCGCAAACCACTCGGCGCGGATCAGCTCCTCGACGCGCATCAGATCCGACATGTCGCTGCTGACATCAGCCGGAACCAGCCAGTCTCCGGCCTTGGTGCTCGCCAGCAGAATCTGCTTGAGCTCCTCGACGTTGGTGTCGCCCAGCGCCGATATGAAGACTGGGCCAGCGACAAAGTGGCTGTACTGGGCCATATACTCGCGAACCTTCTCGCCCAGCTTGTCGTTGTCTTGCACCAGATCGATTTTGTTGACAACCAGAATGGCCGGTGTTTTCGAATTCGTGCCCAGCTGTGCAAACAGGTACTTCTCCACGGCGTCTGTTTTCTCGGTCAGCTTGAACGCATCCAGCAACACAATCAGATAGTCCGCCTCGGCAATAGTAGTCCAGGGCGAAGTCACCACTGACCGCGACACCCGCCGCAGCGCCTGACGGCTCACAACGCCAGGCGTATCCAGAAACAGCAGCTGCCTGTTGTCGACCGTTGTGCTGGCCATGATCCTTGTGCGTGTGGTCTGCGGGCGCGCCGAAACGATCGAGACCCGCGAGTTGGTGAGACGATTTATCAGCGTCGACTTGCCCGCGTTAGCAGCTCCGATAATGACAAACTTGCCGACCTCGGCGTCGACCGGCTGCTCGATTTTGCCAAACACCTTGGGCATGGCCACCATTGGATCAGCGGCCTTCATTGCTGGCTGGAACTGGTGGCCTGCGGCATGGGCGACTTGCTGTTGTTGCAGCTTAGACTTTTGCTGCCACCTTTGATGTTCTTGCTGCTGCTGCTGCTGCTGCTGCTGCTGCTGCTCCTTGGAGGATCCAGATTGCGATTCCTTTGCCAGTTTTGCTTTTGCTGGCCGCGACTCGTTGAGCACCTGGCGCACCTTGGTCAAGTACCCCGGGGCCCAGGAGCTGGTGTGAAAACGGGCTGCTGCCGCCGGCTGTGCCCTTGAAACTGCCCGTGCCAGCATTCTCGTGTTTATCAGCGATGTGTATGTGTGTGCAACAAAAAAGCAAGCGCGGGGGAGACGAGCAAGAGAGTCAAACCTTTGGTCAGCAGAAAGGCCTGTTGGCAGTAGCCCATGTCGAGTGATTCGCTTTTGGCGGCTATTGAGGGTTGGAAAATTTTTAAACGCGGTCTTGTGTTTTCTGTCCGAAAAAGTTGCTTCTCTGCTCCGCTTTAGACCCCGATTTGAAACTTACTTGCACCTCACATTTACTTCTCCTTCTAAACCCCTTTTGGCTTTGCACCACAGTGACAAACATGTCTTCCCGTCGCCGTACTGAAGAAAACTTTGCAGGAAGCAGCTCTGGGTGGGACATGCCGAGACGCACGCGAGTACCGTCGATGCCAGTGTCGCGGGAGCGGGAACGGGAGCGGTCACGTCACCGCCTAGAGCAGCAGCGTCTCGATGCACATCGACGCCAGTGGATGCAGATGGCCATGGCCGAGCATGGGCTATCGGTGTCTAATGAATCACTGGCCCTTGCAGCGTCCGACTTTGATCGCATCATGCGCCGAACAATGAACACAGCCACCCCTCTGGATGGCAGCAGCAACGGCAGCAGCTCGCAGCAGTCACAGAACGTCCGCAGTCTGCCTCCACTGGCACACCTGGTGCAGGCAGCGTCTGGCAACTTTGCTACTGGCCCAGCCAGCTCGCGGCGGTCACGGATAGAACCAGCAAACATCCAGAATGGCTGGGAAGTCGTGTCTGCGGGTCCCATCGACAATGGAGCAGATCGCCCCCGAGCGCGCAGACGGCTGAGCAGCTCTGGTAGAGCTGGCGCATCATCGGCAGCAGCCACCAGCAGCAGTACCGCGCGCAGCGGCTCGCCACGTCGTCCGCTGCTGCTCCGCCCATCCACACCGCCTCTGCCACCCACGTCGTACCAGAGCATGCCGCAGCTTTCAAGTGCCACATATGCAAACCCAGAAATGACAGACAGCAGTGTACGCACTCGTGGAGCCAATGTGGATAGTCAGAACGCGGCTGAGGACGAATTTGACGAGGACGACGGATCGGAGCTGCGGTTGCCATTTATCTCGGGCGACGGTCGGGTATTGCTGTTCGGAAGCGAGGGCGACGATGACCACGACGATGACGACGATGAAGATGGCGATGACGATGACGACGACCTCAACGATAGCGAATATGCTGGTGGTAGTGTTAGTGCGTCGGGTGCTTTCGGCTCTAGTTTTGGAGGCACTGGGTTTCCGTCATGGGAGGACTTCACATCCTCTTTCAACGTGCTTGGCGAGCCGCAAGATGACTTTGACGACTGGTTCCTATCTAGCATGCGCGGGAGCGTCAGCAACGTGGGTGCTTCGCGGTCATTTGGCCGGGAGAGTGCAGTTTTAATGCCGCTTGGAGATGCGGCTGAAGCACTACCGGAATCACGCAGAATGGGCACTACCGCTGCACTAGGCGCAAAGGGCAGGCAGCCACCCACCAGTGTCAATGTGAAGCAGGAGTGGAACCGCCGTGCGGCATGGAAGCCATACATCTACCAGGAGCCGGTGCCCAACCAGAACAGCCTGTATATGTTCGGCTCTGTACCGCAAGTCAAGCCTCTGGACATGCTAACACGGGCCTGCGAGTCGTCACGCATGTTCTCGATCTCGCCTGATGCCCGTGTGCTGAGCTTTGACTGTACCAACGCAGACGACATGGGCCGTGGCAGCGTTGACAACATCCTGTCTGACGACCGTTCCTTCTTCATCACCAGCCGTGCCAATAATGTCAACCTGGAGTTCTCGTTCCTGTCCGACAACGGCACTCCACACCGTAACCACTGTGCCATCGAACGCATCCGCATTTGCTCGCCAAAGAACAGGTATGCATGCACCGAACTGCTGGTGCTGGCATCCAGTCGCCGGTGTGATCTGAAGGAGCTTGCGCAATACAACGACTACACCTTCGCAATGTACGAAAAGCTGGCAAAGCGCATCGGGCGACGCGGTGTCAAAGCGGTTGATGCCAATGGACCAGTACCAATCGCCTATTTCTGGCTGACGTACGAGGAAAACTTTGATCAGCTGCAGGTTCTGCCGTTCAGCAAGACTTGCAAGTATGTGTATGTCAAGATGATCCGTGGCCACATGCCCGACCAGAGATCCATGGCCATCCGCCTCATTGAGTTCCACGGCTGGGCAGGGGCACGGGCCTTTTCTGAAGTTGCTGTGTGCTGAGCACCATTCACACCAATGTTCATAAAAATATATTCGCGGCTGCAGCTGCTCACTTAAACGTACGGAGCATTCGCTATCCACTTGTTGATCATGTCGAGCGAGTTCACGGGCTGGTCGTACGGAACCATGTGTCCGGCACCAAACACGCGCAGGAATGTGAAGTTCCCATGTGTGCGCACCTCGCCAGCACCCACACCGTCCACCGACCATAGCTCATCGCCGGCAGCGTTGAATGATTCCTTTCCAGGCCACTCGAGCTCCATCGACCACGCCTTGTTGCCGTACCAGTTGCATACGAAATCGGCATCGCCAGCATAGATAAGCACGCGGATGTTGTCGGCAAGAAGCGGCGGGATGTAATGGTGGAAGGGCTTGACCAGATCGCCGTTGAGTGAGAATCCATAGTTCACCTTCTCGGAGCATGACTCAAATTTCTTGACCTCCGCTCCAAGCGCCTTCTGCACACTAGCATCGTTCAGGTAGTTGTCGATATCCGTCATGATTGGGTAACACATGTCACCGCTCTTGCAGTCAAGGCGCACGTCATAGGGGTTCTTTCCCGCTTCATAGTACTTTTCCTCAATATGATCGAGGCAGTACATCATAGCAGGCACACATGTCAGAGTTGTGCTCCACGCATAACATGCCTTGATCAGTCGGGCGCATGTTGGGTAGGCTGCATCCATTGCGTCGCAGCTCTTCTGGTCCAGAACAGGCGGATAGGTTGAATTGCAAGCCATCTTCGAGTAGTACTTGTTTTGCACCAGCGAGTCAACGATGCCGTTTCCGATCCCAATAGAAGCCAGCGGCAGCACAATCTGCTCCTCCTCACTCACGGAAAGAAGGCTCAGCGACCGCTTGTTCTCCAGCTCCTTATTCGCCTCATGGATTGCCTTTGCCACAGCTGGGACATAGTGGCCGCCGTATGACTCGCCAAAAACATGGAGCTCGCTGTTGGCATACTCGGGGAAGCTTTTGTAGAACAGCTGGAGCAAAGCGTTGACGTCCTTTCCGGCCGCAATAGAGTTGAACACGTCTGAGCCGTACGAGAAGCCAACATTGGTGGGCTGGTCAAGGAAGATGATGTGCGCACGATCGTTCCAACTAAACGGATTGTGGTCTGTGCCGTTGCCACCCTCACTGACACGGCACGGGCCAAGCTCCATCAGCAGACCGGTGAACGAACTGCAGCCAGGGCCACCGTTGAGCCACAAAATGAGCGGCGCATCTTCGCGCTTGACCTTGCGCGCTTCAAAGAACCAGAAGAAAAAGTGCTTGTCCTCGGCGGTGTCGAGGTACCCGCTGTACTGGTTGACGCTGGTATCACATAGACCCGGGTTCTTCACGCGCAGTCGATAGTTGGGGATCGCATCCATTGTGGACACTGTTGTCCACTGGCTCATGTCTACCATCGCTGGATTAGCCACACGGCCAGACGCCTTAGATGCTGCGGCGCCGTGATGGTGCTGGTTGAAAACATGCTGGTGAGACGGCGCAGCAGTGCATGCGGTGGCTAGGAGAAGCGCAGTGCTTAATAAAAGACGAGTTATATTGACCATACCACGAATAAGTACCTAGAAAGACAACTGTCCAAAGTAAAGATGAGTGTGGTTCAGAAAGTCTTGGCGGCTGACCAAGAGTTGTTGTGGGCAATGAGTGATCGGCTCAAACACCATGGATTATCTGCTTATACGCCGCTGTTCCCACTTTCAAACCGGTTTGTACATCATGGTACTGTCAAGCAAACGCTTTCGGCTGATGTTGAACCTGTGAGAAAAAAAAAGATGATTGTCATTTTGCGTATGAACGGGAATGGGCCAATACTTGTGAAAGATAGTATTGCACGTGATTGGCAACCAGGGTATTTGTCACACCACACAATGCGGCCATATCCATGGTGGTTAAGAAAGAATCTACTATAGTACTGTTGCGCGCCCGATGCGGCTGTCCCTGACATCGACATGTCAGCCGAATCAGGTGACAGAAATCCAGGCGCCAACGAGACCCCCGCTACAGCCTACGATATGGAGGTAGAGTCTAGCCTCTGATAAGTTGCACAAATGGCAGTATTAAAAACTCCCCTGCGCAACTCGTCTATTCCCTTTTCTCTCTTTTCTTCAGTATTAAATATACATTTAAAAACCCCTACACAGTCGACCGACACAACAGTACATTCATCATATACATTGAGTGGCAAAACTGAGTCACAAAAATGATGTTCATCAAAAAAAAAACTTGATTAATATCTCAGATCAATCTGCAATACTCTTGGTAAAATTAATTCATAATCTATGCTATGCCCAACTCTAGCTCATATAGTTTCATACATACCACTCATCTATTCATTGAGAAATTGGCTTTTTAAAAATATTTTTTATGACATAGGAGATTAGTCAGAAGTAGTTAGCTATTTAATAATTATTAATATTTTTATTACTTTCTTGTTCCGATGCCAAATATGGTGTTTCTATGAAACCCCCTTCAGCATCCTAAAAAATTTCAGTTGATACACAATTAATATGCTTCTACTGAGATAGAGGCTGCGTCCCGAGAAATCAACTGAAATTTTTCAGGATGCCGAAGGGGGTTTCGGAGAAGCGTCTTTTCTTATATTTTTGTTTATTAGTTAATCTAGTTGCTAAAATCTTTTTGGCCATCACTAAACATTCTGATTTTTAAAATATTTTTCAACTACTAGTAATTGATTTGTTATTTAATACTTGGTTATTCTGATACAAGATATTAAGTTTCTTTAAACTTTCTTATTTGTGAATGGCCTCCATAGGTATGTAATCAAGGTATGTTTTATATCATCATATATACACTGATCCGTATGTCACATCCCCTTCTACTAAGGAAGCAATAGCCTTAGCTGTATAGAGATACACTACTCTAAACTCAGAATCTACTTTTTCTGATTATCTTAGAATCTAGGTTTCTTCCTAATATTCAATGAATAGAGTATATTCACAGAATAGAGTATGGAGGTCATTCACAATCACTAAACTAAGTAAAAAATAATTAGAAATTGTAAAACTTTTTGTTCTTTTGTTTTTTTTGAACTTCTCCGAAACCCCCTTCGGCATCCTGAAAAATTTCAGTTGATACACAATTAATATGCTTCTACTGAGATACAGGCTGGGTCACAAGAAATCAACTGAAATTTTTCAGGATGCCGAAGGGGGTTTCGGAGAAGCGTCTGTTCTTATATTTTTATTTATTAGTTAATCTAGTTGCTAAAATCTTTTTGGCCATCACTAAACATTCTGATTTTTAAAATATTTTTCAACTACTAGTAATTGATTTGTTATTTAATACTTGGTTATTCTGATACAAGATATTAAGTTTCTTTAAACTTTCTTATTTGTGAATGGCCTCCTTAAGAGTACATCTTAACTCCCTTTTGGGACTTGAGTTAAAGAATAGAGATAATATGCCTGATATATCTGATGCAAGATATACTAGTAATGGCATTGAACAGCAAGGATTTGTTCAGCAATCTGATATCTTTATGGATTCATGTGTTGTTGAGATTCCTGACTCATATACTCTAATGGATCAACTTCACAATATTACTCCTTTTGATAGATTGCATAGAGTATTTGGTGATGGTTATAGTTTTAAATACATAAGATGCAGCACAAGTGTGACAAATGGTAATGTCTCTGTGTATAAAGTATCTGCTCCAAATGTTGCAATAGCTGATCCTGCACTAACTGATATCTTTCTTAGGATGCATCAAGAACATGTATTTCTTCAAAACTATGATATTACTATGGATTGTCTAAATATTTCTTCTAGAGCTATTGTTAAGGAATTTCTTCTTGATAATGGAATCAGTAGCAAAGATATTCTTGATGATGAAAATAAAGTTGGAGCAAACTGTATTAGCTGGTTTACTGAAGAAGATGAGATAAGAATAAGGAACAAGTTGTATAATAAATTTGTTCAACTCTTAGAAAGTGGTGAAGTTCGCAATCAACTTACTTCTAAGCTATCAGAGCTAGTGATGCCAACTTCTCAACAGTTTGGTGAAACACTTGTTGCTTGTAGGAATGAAGGATTAATGAGACTTGAGCTTACTGTTCACTCTCCTGAGTTGAAGGAAGTAGAATGGAACACAAACTTAATTGTCAATACTCTTGAGTTTCTTCATAACTGCAGGACATTTGCAACATCTTATGAAAAGCAATGGATGGCACTAGTTGATCAGATTCATAACAAACATACATTGTGTATTTACTTCCATAAAGAACATTCTCTTGGTTACTGCCATTGGTTCAATAAAACAACTAAGGAGATCAGTCAGAAATGGTTAGCTATTTAATAATTATTAATATTTTTTATTGTTTTCTTGTTCAGATGCCAAATATGGTGCTTCTACGAAACCCCCTTCGGCATCCTGAAAAATTTCAGTTGATTTCTCGGGACGCAGCCTGTATCTCAGTAGAAGCATATTAATTGTGTATCAACTGAAATTTTTCAGGATGCCGAAGGGGGTTTCGTAGAAGCACCATATTTGGCATCTTTGTTTGTTTGTTAATCTAGTTGCTAGAATCTTTTTGGCCATTGCTAAACATTCTGTTTTTTAAAATATTTATCTACTGTTAGTAATTGATTTCTTATTTGTTAATTGGTTATTCTGTTAACAGATATTTAGTTTCTTTAAACTTTTATATTTATGAATGGCCTCCTTAAGAGTACATCTTAACTCCCTTTTGGGACTTGAGTTGAAGAATAGAGATAATATGCCTGATATATCTGATGCAAGATATACTAGTAATGGCATTGAACAGCAAGGATTTATTCAGCATTCTGATATGGAGGCCATTCACAAATATAAATAGTTAAAGAAACTAAATAACTATTATCAGAATAACCAATTAACAAATAAGAAATCAATTACTAGCAGTAGATAAATATTTTAAAATACAGAATGTTTAGTAGTGGCCAAAAAGATTCTAGCAACTAGATTAACAAATAAACAAAGATGCCAAATATGGTGCTTCTACGAAACCCCCTTCGGCATCCTGAAAAATTTCAGTTGATTTCTTGGGACACAGCCTCTATCTCAGTAGAAGCATATTAATTGTGTATCAACTGAAATTTTTCAGGATGCCGAAGGGGGTTTCGTAGAAGCACCATATTTGGCATCAGAACAAGAAAACAATAAAAATATTAATAATTATGAAATAGCTAACCAATTCTGACTGATCTCCTATCTTTATGGATTCATGTGTTGTTGAGATACCTGAATCATATGCTCTTATAGATCAGATTAACAATATTACTCCTTTTGATAGATTGCATAGAGTTTTTGGTGATGGATACAGATTTAAGTATATGAAGTGCATGGTAAGTGTGAGAAATGGTAAAGTCTCTGTTTACAAAGTATCTGCTCCAAATGTTGCAATAGCTGATCCTGCACTAACTGATATCTTTCTTAGGATGCATCAGGAACATGTATTTCTTCTAAACTATGATATTACAATGGATTGTCTAAACATATCTTCTAGGGCTGTGATTAAGGAATTTCTTCTTGATACTGGAATCAGTAGCAATGATATTCTTGATGATGAAGATAAAGTTGGAGCAAACTGTATTAGCTGGTTTACTGATGAAGATGAAATAAGAATTAGGAACAAGTTGTACAATAAATTTGTTCAACTTCTAGAAAGTGGTGAGGTTCGCAATCAACTTACTTCTAAGCTATCAGAGCTAGTAATGCCAACTTCTCAGCAATTTGGTGAAACACTTGTTGCTTGTAGGAATGAAGGATTAATGAGGCTTGAGCTTACTGTTCACTCTCCTGAGTTGAAAGAAGTAGAATGGAACACAAACTTAATTGCTAGTACACTGGAGTTTCTTAGTGATTGTAGGACATTTGCAACATCTTATGAAAAGCAATGGATGGCACTAGTTGATCAGATTCATAACAAACATACATTGTGTATTTACTTTCATAAAGAACATGCTCTTGCTTACTGCCATTGGTTCAATAGGATAACTAAGAAGAAACAAGGAATAGCTAAAAAGTTGAAAGAGAATGAAGATATGATGACTGTTGTTTCTAATCTTACATTTAATGGACACCCAACTCTTCTTCTTACATATGCTACCAGTAGTGGTCCTCTTGAATCTGAAGTTGTTCTGAGAAGAGATATCACAAACATCACTATTGTTCCTAGTCAGAAAAATTCTTTCTGGCCTGTTGTTTCAAGAGAAAGGCAACAACACACATTTGCTGAAATGGGACTTGTTAACTATCGTGGAATGCATATTGATTGGTTAACAGCTCAGCAAGCAAGAGAGAAAGTTTGTCTCTCAACTCTCTCAAGTATTAGTGAGGATACCGATGACCTAGGAATAGATAATCTTATTGCTGATATTAGCAACATTGAACTTGATGATCTAGAACCCACATATATAAGAGAAAATACTGATCTTAGGCCAGCTAGATATAAAGTTGCTTATAACATACTTCATGTTGGAGATGAGTTCCTAGTTAGTCATTATTTCTTATATACTTTTAGAGGGTTGCTATTCTATTATCTAGATATCTATATGATTCACAATGAAGTAGTTAGCAGTACTCACACTCATATCAAAATACAAGCAAGTAGTCCATTTGGAGAATATATTGCTTCTATTATTGGTGAACCAAGTCAAGAAGTGGTACTTAAAGTAACTAGAATTCATAATCGTATTATCCATACTGAGAGGATCTAGTTTTAAAATGGGCAGTTAGCAACCATTACCTCCATATCTGCACAACTGTAGTTGCATACATCAAACACATGCTTAATACTAACACCCCTATCTTCTGAAACATTCCTGATCCAAGCTCTGATATATACTGTTAATTTTCTGCTCATATTGAAATTTTTGCTAAGTAGTTGGACTAGCTTTTCTCTCTCTTCCTCATCTAGCTCAGCAAGTCGAGTGTTGAAGAATTTGTAGAATGGGCCCATTGCAATAAATGACAACTTTTAAATTTATGAGTGCCTCACAATGATGAATCATCAATTACAAGAACTCAGAGAAAAGGAGTATCACAAACTGTACACAAACAAATGGAAGTTTCTGAATGATGACTGGGTAATTCTAAAACATACAAAATATCACAGAAGTGAAGTTCGTGAAGTAAGAGAAATTAAACTAATAAAGGACACACTTCTTAAACATCTAGGGATGATTCCTGTTTTCTTCTTTCTGAATGTTTTGTTTGGTTGCACTCATTATCCATGTCCTTATAGAAGTGTAGAGAAAGGACTGCTCATCATATACCAACTTGTAGAAGGATTGTCTATCAATGAAATGGAAAGATTCATTCCTAGGAGTAGCTATCAAGCTATTCACAATATGTTCTATATTTCTGAAATGAAAGATTTGAATAAGAAGCTAACATACTATCTGCAAACAATGTTTTCAACTCCAGAACTACGAGTCTTTGCAGCAAAGATACAGAATCCTCAAGGGTTTAAACATGTAACACTAATGTTAGATGGCCATGACTCCAGAGCACTACACAATGGAGCATATAAACCAGATCTCTATTCATTCAAATTGAAAAAATCAGGATATCGCACACAACTATGCATTGATGTGAATGGAATGGTTCTACTTGTTTCACCAACTGAAGACTGTAGAGATCACCCAGACTCAAGAATGATTAAGAACATGGGGTTGCTGAAGAATATATCACCTATTGATTGCATTGTGCTTGATGGTGGCTATCCACAAAGTATTTTGGAAGAGATGACTGAGGAAGAAGAGCAGGATACTTTTGGACTGCATAACTTTTGTTTACCAGTAAGAAAGCAGAGAGGAACAGGCTTATCAGAAACAGAAGCTGAATACAATTCCCATCTTGGATCATTCCGTTCAATGGTAGAAAATACATTTGGAGAACTAGGCAATACATTCAAAAGGCTGTCAAACAGGGAGATTGTTAGAGTAAAGAATAGGAATGTTTACAATGTGCAAATGAAGTTATGCTGCTTACTCTATAATATGAAGAAGATACTAGCAAACAGTGATGTACATATTGATCATCATCACTCACTCTGGGTTATGAGCAACTTTGATTACCCTGATACACATGATAAGTCAACACAAGTAGAACCAATACATACTTTGCCCCAAAAAGCAGAGTTAGAAGCATCTATTGTTGAAATTCAAAATCGATTCCTTCAATCTAAAATTGATGATACATATGATTGCTTGGTGCATATTGATTAATTACAGATGGAGTATTAATGACTTGATGACTTGAATTTGATGTTTTAAAATGGCACAGTTTGATTCTTTCTAAAAATGATTCTATATATATTTGCTTGGTGCATATCTATTAATTACAGATGGGATTCTAACAACTTGATGAATTTATTATGATTTTTTAAAATGGCATAGTTTGATTCTTTTTAAAATTGATGATATATATGATTACTTGGTATTAGATAAATAGTTATAAATAGGATGATAACGACTTGATGACTTGAACATGATGTTTTAAAATGGAACCTTTTGATTAAATCTAATTCTATAAGGAGATCAGTCAGAAATGGTTAGCTATTTAATAATTATTAATATTTTTATTGTTTTCTTGTTCAGATGCCAAATATGGTGCTTCTACGAAACCCCCTTCGGCATCCTGAAAAATTTCAGTTGATACACAATTAATATGCTTCTACTGAGATACAGGCTGCGTCCCGAGAAATCAACTGAAATTTTTCAGGATGCCGAAGGGGGTTTCGTAGAAGCACCATATTTGGCATCTTTGTTTGTTTGTTAATCTAGTTGCTAGAATCTTTTTGGCCATTGCTAAACATTCTGTTTTTTAAAATATTTATCTACTGTTAGTAATTGATTTCTTATTTGTTAATTGGTTATTCTGTTAACAGATATTTAGTTTCTTTAAACTTTTATATTTATGAATGGCCTCCATTATAATAAATGACAACTTTTAAATTTATTAGTACATCGCACAGATGAATCATCAATTACAAGAACTCAGAGAAAAGGAATATCATAAGCTCTACACAAATAAGTGGAAATTTCTGAATGATGACTGGGTAGTTCTTAAGCATACAAAATATCACAGAAGTGAAGTTCGTGAAGTAAGAGAAATCAAACTTATAAAAGATACACTTCTTAAACATCTAGGGATGATTCCTGTTTTCTTCTTTCTGAATGTTTTGTTTGGCTGCACTCATTATCCATGTCCTTACAGAAGTATAGAAAAAGGATTGCTTATCTTATACCAACTTGTAGAAGGATTGTCAATCAATGAAATGGAAAGATTCCTTCCAAGAAGTAGCTATCAAGTTATTCACAATATGTTCTACATTTCAGAAATGCAAGATTTGAATAAGAAGCTGATATTCTATCTGCAAACAATGTTTTCTACTCCAGAGCTACGACTACTTGCAGCAAAGATGCAGAATCCTCATGGGTTTAAACATGTAACACTAATGTTAGATGGCCATGACTCAAGAGCACTACATAATGGAGCATACAAACCAGGACTTTATTCCTTCAAGTTGAAGAAATCAGGATATCGTACACAAGTTTGCATTGATATAAATGGAATGGTTCTACTTGTTTCACCAACAGAAGACTGTAGAGATAATCCAGATTCAAGAATGATTAAAAACATGGGATTATTAAAGAGGATATCCCCTATAGATTGTATTGTGCTTGATGGTGGCTATCCACAGAGTGTTCTTCAAGAGATGACAGAAGAAGAAGAGCAGGAGGACTTTGGAATGCATAACTTTTGTTTGCCAATTAGAAAGCAGAGAGGGGTAAACTTACTAGAAGCAGAAGTAGAGTACAATTCCCATCTTGGATCATTCCGTTCAATGGTAGAAAACACATTTGGAGAACTAGGAACAACATTCAAAAGGTTGTCAAATAAGGAGATTGTTCGAGTAAAGAATAAGAATGTTTACAATGTGCAAATGAAACTGTGCTGTGTATTATATAATATGAAGAAAATACTAGCAAACAGTGATGTGCAAGTAGAACATCATCATACTCTCTGGGTTATGACAAACTTTGACTATCCTGAATCACACAATGAAAGATCAACACAAATGGAACCAACATATACTTTACCTCAAAAGGTTGAGTTTGAAGCATCAATGGTTGAACTACAAAATAGATTTCTACAATCTAAAATTGATGACAACTATGACTGCTTTGTAGATATGGGGTAACAACAGATATGATGCTAGCTACTTGATTTTAAAATAGCTAGTTCTTATCAATATTGTTCAATATGGAGGGTATTCACAACTGCTAAATTTGTAAAAGATAGTTAGAACTTTTAAAACTTTATTATCTAATGCACATTCTACTCCTTCTCTTGTAATTCTTATAATTGATTGTTCATGGGTGGTAAGATAAGATAGACAACTCTGGTTCATTATCAATTTTAGAAAATGCCATCATTCCATAATTTCCTTAAGAAACATATAGCTGATCTGAGTACTGAAGAAAGAGATATGCTAACTTTAGTGCTTATCCATGACTTTAACATGAGTGCTGGCTTAGCATTCCAAGTGCATAATTGGATCCAACTTAGTGGAACTTTTTATGAGATAAAGGTTGAACATATATATGAAGTGTGTCAAAATTCTCATAGATATATGGAGTGGATGGTAGCATATAATATGTTTTAAAATGGTAGTTATATAACTATGACCATTCTGTAGCCCTCACTTACAACTCTTAGATATATTTGTTGGTGTATTATTCCTTTCTATAGAGTAATTGCTTTTCTAAAAGAACTATCATCTGGTATCTAAATATGAGTTGGCTGTATATCTCTCCTATTAATATGAATATCTAAATAGTAGTAGGAATGTCCTCTGAATATACAGAGTGCATAATATATAACTACAAAACCATTACTAAAATAGAGAACAATATGAGCAACTCTTTACTAAAGGCTTAAGATCTAGATTCTCATATAAATATTGCCCTTATTTCATCTAGTATGGCATCTTCAATCACTGTTGTTAGTGCATTGATCTTTTGTTCACCTATAGAAACTACACCTCAGACATTTCTTATAGACAAATCATATTATTTGCTTATTTGAGTATTTTCTGTCTGGGGGTCATTCCTGGACTTGTAAATTTTAGTAAATTACAATTTTGTTAGATAGTTATTTGAATAATCGTTTTCAGAACTATTTTTTGCTACTAGATATTTTTGTAACAGATATTTATAATTGTTGTGTCCAGAATGTTTTTGTGTGTATAATTGATTTTAAAAATACAAATATTTTTTTTGCCATTTCACCCAAACCGCCATCGGCATCTTGGAAAAGTTTCAGTGAACATAATTTCAACCAGAAAGAAAAACCTTTGCATATTTGGGGTTAATTATCATTGGGCAACAAAAGTCAATATCTCAATAGATGTGGCTAAGCAACCACAAGGAAATTATGTTCACTGAAACTTTTCCAAGATGCCGATGGCGGTTTGGGTGAAATTTTTATTTCACTGAAATTGCCAATAGTTTAAACATGTATAAATAGTTGTTATGCAGATAACTAGCTCTGAATGACCTCCTCTATCTAACTAATATGCATCTGTTAATAGTAAACTAATCACATCTTATCAAAAGTGTGATATTGCTTAGATATAGGATATATAGACCAGAAGTAATTTCTCAGATTTAGAACAATAGATATATTATCATCAACTCTTCTAAGAACATTTACTGTATTAAGCATATTCTTATGTAACTTGTATATTTGATGTTTTAAAATAGCACAGTTTGATGCTTTCTAAAATTGATGACATATATGATTGCTTGGTGCATATCTATTAATTACAGATGGGATTCTAACAACTTGATGAATTTATTATGATTTTTTAAAATGGCATAATTTGATTCTTTTTAAAATTGATGATATATATGATTGCTTGGTATTAGAAAAATAGTTATAAATAGTATGATAACGACTTGATGACTAGAACATGATGTTTTAAAATGGCAGCATTTGGAGGTTATTCACAATCACTAGGAGGTCATTCACAATCACTAAACTAAGTAAAAAATAATTAGAAATTGTAAAACTTTTTGTTCTTTTGTTTTTTTTGAACTTCTCCGAAACCCCCTTCGGCATCCTGAAAAATTTCAGTTGATACACAATTAATATGCTTCTACTGAGATACAGGCTGGGTCACAAGAAATCAACTGAAATTTTTCAGGATGCCGAAGGGGGTTTCGGAGAAGCGTCTGTTCTTATATTTTTATTTATTAGTTAATCTAGTTGCTAAAATCTTTTTGGCCATCACTAAACATTCTGATTTTTAAAATATTTTTCAACTACTAGTAATTGATTTGTTATTTAATACTTGGTTATTCTGATACAAGATATTAAGTTTCTTTAAACTTTCTTATTTGTGAATGGCCTCCTATATTCATTAAGATATTTTAATCTCACTGTTACCTATAGTACATGTACTTTGTATAGTAAGTACAGGGGGTCATTCCTGGACTTGTAAATTTTAGATATTTGCAATTTACTTAGTTAGATATTTGATTAATCGTTTTCAGAACAGTTTTTTGCTACTAATTATTTTTATCATAGTTAATATTAATTATTGTGTCCAGAATGTTTCTGTGCTTATAATTGATTTTAAAAATACAAATATTTTTTTTGCCATTTCACCCAAACCGCCATCGGCATCTTGGAAAAGTTTCAGTGAACATAATTTCCTTGTGGTTGCTTAGCCACATCTATTGAGATATTGACTTTTGTTGCCCAATGATAATTAACCCCAAATATGCAAAGTTTTTCTTTCTGGTTGAAATTATGTTCACTGAAACTTTTCCAAGATGCCAATGGCAGTTTGGGTGAAATTTTTATTTCACTGAAATTCCCAATAGTTTCAATATGCACAAATAATTGTTGTGCAGATAACTATCTCTGAATGACCTCCACATCTGATTTGATCTATTGAATATTTGATCAGAAGGAGCTGCTTAAAGAGGGATTAAGAAAATTACAAAATATATGATTCATACTAAATTGCATACCATTAGGCACAGAGGTTACATATTGATATCTCATAGTATAGAGCAGGTAGCCACAGGAGGTCATTCACAATCACTAAACTAAGTAAAAAATAATTAGAAGTTGTAAAACTTTTTGTTCTTTTGTTTTTTTTGAACTTCTCCGAAACCCCCTTCGGCATCCTGAAAAATTTCAGTTGATACAC